GAGAAAGTTCTTTCTCAACACCTGCTACCTGATTCATTTAGCTGAAGATTCTGGGGATTGAACTTGGAGCCTTCTGAATGCAAAGCAGATACTCTACTACTGAGGCATAGACTCTGCCCAAACTGAGATGACTGTAGAATCCTGTACAGTGAACAGAGGGCAGGCACAAGTTGTGCCAGGATAAGCAGCAACTTAAACTGAGTCTGTATGCAGGCGAGCCTCTTGAGGCTTCAAAGGGGATGGGAGAAGATGCCACCCCGGACTACTTTGGGGAGGAAGGATGGGGTATAAATTGAATGAATGAATAGTGTTAGGACTTCTTCATGGCGCTGTCTGTATCTGGTTGGCTCTTCCTGGCCTGACTATAAATGTTGAGATACTGACAGAAGAGCAGCCCTTATAAACAGACCAGCAGAGTGTGTTTCACTCACACAATCTTTCTTGTGAAGTGACATCAATTCATAAACCAACATCACAGCAGATGCCAAGCAGGGATTCTTTCACCTGCACATCTTCTGACATGAAATGTGCCCACAGTGCCTTTCTGCCTCTTACATAAGCCAAGCTGTACTATCTCTATGTAAGATGAGACTAAAGCTGACTATTCCTCTACTATTCACTACAGGAAGTAATTTCCCATTGTTTAGGTGGTTTAGGATGGAGAACCTTTTTCCAGTCTAAAGGCTGCATTCCCTTCTGGACAACCTGGGGGCACCATATGACAGTGGTGAGGTAGAGCCAGAAGCAAAAGTGGTTGGTTCACTATATGTACATGTTCACCTTTGTGCAGTAGCCAGGCTGGAGAAGCATGCTAAGCTTCTTCACTGCTTCCTTTTGACAAGTGGCAAAGACTTGACTTTTAAGCAGGCATAGACTGGTGACCACTGGTGGTAAAATGACCTACAGGGTCACTGAAATATCCCTATCTGGTAGGGTTTATGGATTACATAGGATGGCATCTTAATATCTTTCAAGATCTATACGTTCCCCCCAGAGTCTAACTGAGTGGGTTGGGAAATGGTTGTATTATTCAAATAGCTGAAGGGCTGTCATGTATAAGAGGGCAAAAGATTTGTTCTTGCTGCTCCAGAAAACAGGGCTAGATGTAATAGGCTTAAGTTGCAGGAGGGTATATTTTGATTGAACATTAAGAGAACATTATTCATGGTAAAAGCAGTTTGACAATGATTCCCTACAGGGGTGGGTGGGCTCAGCTAAAGGATGAATGACCTTTTGTTGTCTCCTGGATTTCCTGCGTGAAACGGTGTTAGATTTAATGGCCTACAAGGCCCCATTCGTCTCTATGGTTGTATGTAAATGTTTAAGAGAAATGCCAACTTGGTACAAAAAAACAGCTTCATATTTGAGAGATCCTAGAGGTGTGAAGAAATCCAAATATAGCATTGGTACAAGAGCTTTAGCAAAAGCTAAGCAACATCCCCTTTCAACATACAGTTTCCTTTATTGCTACAAGGACACTCTTCATGTCAACCCAAAGTGAGGTTATGTGGCTTCCTGAGCCAGCTGCCCCACCCATTTGAGACACCCAGGCATTGAAAAAGATATTTTGTCTTTTTCAGCACTCAGAACTTTTAAATTAATTAGTATGCTATTATACAGTCGTACCTTGGAAGTCGAACGGAATCTGCTTCACATCTGGCCTCTGGATCTTGCCTGCCTTTAGCCCCTTCTCTTTCTCCAGTTTTGTCTCTCACTTCTAGCTATGCTTTCTGCCTGTGTTAATGCTTTTGTTCCTACCCTAAGACTTGGGAACCTGGAAGGAGGAAGGTCAGCTGGTTTTGGGAATGGAGCCAGAACAGCTTCTGTGCCTTCAGCCTCCTCCAACTGCTGCTTTCAACCCCCAGAACTACCACATGTATTCTGCTAGCTTGCTAGCAATATTCTGAAGGGATGTGCAAACCAGGGGCAGCTCTGTTGCTTTGAAAAGTACTTCTGCATCAATCTGGAGGTGCCTGTTGGCTCTAGAGATAATTTATGGTGTGTTACATGGCAAGTTTGGAAGGGCTGCCTATCACTATCTGCTACTGGCAATGTAATTTTTTTTAAAAGAAGAAATCTTGCCTCCACAAATAGCAGCAAAGAGTTGGGGGGGGGGGGTAAACCAAGCACCTGAGCTTCATCCAGTTAGCTTGGCAATTTTTTCTGGTTCCAACTTCCCTTTAAGGAAGGGCTGCAGCTCACTGGTAGAGCATCCTTTTTCCATGCACAAAGCCCCTGATTAATGCCTGATGGCATCTCCATGTGAGACTAGGAGGAGTCCCTGCGTGAATTCCTAGCGAACCACCACTAGTCAGTGTAGACCAGGGGTAGGCAACGTAAGGCCCAGGGGCCGGATGCGGCCCAATCACCTTCTCAATCCAGCCTGCGGACAGTCTGGGAATCAGCGTGTTTTTACATGAGTAGAATGTGTGCTTCTATTTAAAATGCATCTCTGGGTTATTTGTGGGGCATAGGAATTTGTTCATCCCCCCCCCCCAGGTAGTCCAGCCCACCACATGGTCTGAGGGACGGTGGACTGGCCCACGGCTGAAAAAAGTTGCTGACCCCTGGTGTAGACAGTACTGAGCTTAGATAGGCTAAGGCTCTGACACAGTGTAAAGCAGCTCCCTATGTTCCTATGAGATGGCCCATTAGATGTTGATTATGAACGCTTCCTTTAACAGGCTCTGCTTAGCAGTACTTCAGTGCAATATGAATTCCCCAGGAGGTGGCGGCAGGAGGGGGGAATCTTTACCTTAATTACTCTGTTCATGTCAGATAGAGAGATAGATACTAATTGATTAGGCTCTGGGCTGGCCCTCCCTTAGCAAATAAGCTGAGGAAAGGAAACCTCTAGTGGTCTGTTGCATCAGTTTATGACTGTCCTAATAACCTGTTCCCTGTCAAGTTTCTTTCTTTAACTGCAGAAGCAATTGCTCTTGAAGCTTGTTCCTTGGTAGCGTTAAACCATCTGACTAGCTACACCTCTGCCTTGTTGTCACAGTAGTGTCTTTGGCCTTAGTGTGCAGGAGGGACTTAAAATACAGTGTTGTTTGAAATGGTGTGAAGGCCCAGAGGGGAGGTGCCATTCTGCCTTTTGGATATGAGCATATGACACTGCCTTCTACTGAATCAGAAGACCAGTTCTTGTTTTCTAGTTCTGAAACTGTTTTCACTAGAGAGATTAAAGACTCAGCCCTCCAGCTCCCACCAGCCTCAGCCAGCACAAGAGCCCGTCTGCAACGTACATCATATAGTATACACGGCAGTTTTTATTCCAGTATACAGTACCACATTTGACCTGAAATATTGGAGGGGTGGAAATAAAAGCACTCTTAATGAAGTTGAAGTGTAATGCTATGTGGTCATTTTTACTGGGATACTTTTAAAAGTATAAAGACAATGACATGAATTTCTGTAACATTAACATTTAAATTTACAAAAAAAGACAGAGGTGCTAAATACGTTTTATCAACCCAAATAATGCATAATATTTGCATACTTGCATACTTCCGAGAGTTAACCACTGAAAAACAATTGCAGTTTTGAAACTGCGAGACTTTCCAAATACTATATTCACAGTTGACACCCATTCATTGCTACTACTGAACTATGAAATGGAACGTTTTATTGGGGGGGGGGGGTTTCCACCCTGTATCACAGGCTCAGTCCAGTTAAAAGATGGTAAAGCTGGGAAAGGCCTTTATGTTCCTGAAACACTGGAAAGCCACTGTCAGTCAGAAGAAGCAGTGCTTGACTAGAGGACTCTGGACTGACTTTGTATAAAGAGCCTTCTTATATTATTATAAGTACAAGGGTAGCCAAAGTGGTTTCCTCCAGGTGTAATTGCGCTCCAACTCCCATCAGCCCCAGCCAGCACGGCTAGTTGTTGGGGATCATGGAAGTAGTAGTGTAGCAACATTTGAAGGGAACCACATTGGCTACCCCTGAAAGTGTAACTTTACCATGATGAATTGTGCTGAGGTTGACTATGAGCAGTCCTGTTCCTCCTGGAAAGATGAGAGAGAAATACTTTAAATAAGCTGTCTCTCCCCCCCACCCCACCCCATTGACCATGTTCAGTAAACTCCTATTAACTTGAGCATGCAGAGTTCCCCTCTTTGCTCTTCTGCTTTTCCTGTTCAGCATTTTGGAAGCTTATATTGCCGTGGCTGTGTCCCCCACCACCACCCGCCAAAAAAAAGAGTAGCTTCACAGTCCACTGGAAACCAGAGCTTGCGTCAAATAGAGCAGCAAACTCTTTAGCTACTGTTTGGGCTGACTCCATTGTGTGCCGGACAGTGGGACATTGTAGTGGAACTGATTAAGCAACAACGGAAAGGGGGGCAGCGGGGAGACAGATGCTCAAAAGAACCGTAGGTTCAGAGGGAGTTGAGCGGATATTTACAAAAGATTTTTTCCAGGAGGTTTACTATTTAACTGGTCCAAAAAGAGTTGTGGGGGGAGGAGACTTGGCCAACAGGCTGGTTATATATGGTCAAGTACTTTACAGCATTGATTTCATAGTACTGTACCAGAGAGACTTGTGGTTTTTTTCTGTACAAGCTTTGTAACGAGGAAACACAATCCTTTTAAACCAGTTCTGGCCAACATTTCTTAGCAAGTGTACCACTAGTTCCATTCAAAATAAGTACTTGAACCACTTTTTAGAACACGTAGCATCTCCATATGCAGCCATTCTCTCCCCTCCTCTACACACCCACCATAGTTCTGTCACTTGTCTACTGAGCCAAGGTTAATCCTTTATTCCAGGGGTGAGGGATGCCTTTCAGCCAGAGGGCCACATTCTCCTCTGGGCAAACTTTCAAGGGCCACTAGACAGTGGTAGGTGGAGCCAGGGGCAAAAATTGTTGGAGCAACCAAGGCAATTCTTACTTTTGCTTAGTGGACAGTTTTACCTCCCCCCCCCCCACTCCTTCACACATGTCTGCCAATCCATGCAAACAACCTAAAGGAACAATCAAAGTACCATTTCACACTGGATAGCTCAGTGAGTTAGAGCATGGTGCTGATAACACCAAGGTTGCAGGTTCAATCCCGGTATTGGACAGCTGCATATTCTTTCATTGCAAGGGGTTGGACTAGATTGTCCCTTCCAACTCTTCAGTTCCATGATTCTATGACTTGGGGGGTGGGGTGGGGTGGGGGGTGGCTGGGAAAGAGGGAACATGGCCTGGGGAGAGTTCTGATCACTGGGTAAAGAGAAGCTTGAGAGGTTGCATTTAGCCTACATAGGCCTGAGATTCCCCACTCATGCTCTAAACACAGGCAGAGAACAGCGCAGGCTATAAGCCAGGGGTCCCCAAACTAAGGTCCGTGGGCTAGATAAGGCCCGAGGGACTTGTTTATCTGGCCGGCGGCGACCCCTGCTGCCTGCTGCCGCCACCCGCTCTTACCGGCGCTGCGCGGCTGCCCACTTCTGGGTTGGAGGAGCACCAGAAATAGCTTGTGCGCATGCGCAAGCGTTATTTCCGGTGCACATCCGGGTCCAAGGAGGCCCGTGCATATGTGCACAAGCCATTTCCGGTGCTCCTCCAACCCAGAAGTGTGCCAGAAATAGTGTGTGCGCACACATATGGGCATGCGCTCCCCCACCCTCCGGGCCACCGCGCGATCGGCGCTGGAGACACTGGCCTGAGGCACGGTAAGTTTGCTGACCCCTGCTATAAGTGACCACAAAGTATGACAAAGTTAAAGCACATAAAGCATTTAAAAGCCATATTGTTAGGAAAGCATTGTTAAATGTCTGGATAAGATATAAGGACTTACTTGAAAACAAAACCCCAAGGTGGCTGTCACCGATGGAAGCAAAGGCTCAGAAAAGGCTCAGTATGGAGGCCAAATGGCCGAAATATTGGGAAATCTTGGAACAAGAAGGGGACAAATTGAAATTGCAGAGCTTCGAGAAATTAAAAGATAAAGTGCGAGACTGGCTTCATTACTATCAGATAATGGAGGCATACAATTTGGATAAGAAAATTGGCTTCCAGGTGGAAAAATCAAAACTAGAAACAGAACTGTTAGAACCCAAAACTAAGATTTTGTCAAAGATGTATAACCTGCTGTTGAAATGGAATACTCAGGATGAAACGGTGAAATCTGCTATGATTAAGTGGGCACAAGATGTTGGACATAATATTATGTTTGCTGACTGGGAACAGTTGTGGACCACAGGTATGAAATTTACGGCATGTAATGCCCTAAGAGAGAATATTATGAAAATGATATACAGGTGGTACATGACACCAGTCAAGCTTGCAAAAATTTATCATTTGCCCGATAATAAATGTTGGAAATGTAAAGAAAACGAAGGTACATTCTTTCACCTTTGGTGGACGTGCCCAAGGATTAAGGCTTTCTGGGAGATGATCTATAATGAACTGAAAAAGGTATTTAAATATACCTTTTGAAGAAACCAGAGGCCTTTCTCCTGGGCATAGTCGGCCAATTGGTGCCAAAGAAGGATAGAACTTTTTTTATGTATGCCACAACAGCAGCAAGAATACTCATTGCAAAGTATTGGAAGACACAAGATCTACCCACCTTGGAAGAATGGCAGATGAAGGTGATGGACTATATGGAATTGGTGGAAATGACTGGCAGAATCCGAGACCAGGGAGAAGAGTCGATGGAAGAAGATTGGGAAAAGTTTAAAGATTATTTACAGAAATATTGCAAAATTAATGAATGTTAGAATGATGTTGGATTGAAACTAAGTGGTCTTTAGCTGAAATGTTATAAGGGAATATGAAAAAATGGATTATTAATAGGTAAAAATTTAAAATTATAATACTTTACGATTAATGACTAGGATATACAAAGAGGGGAGGGATTTGCTGAACTAACAAACTGAACTGGAATACAAAAAAGGGAGGCGTGAGGAGGTCCGGGAAATAAGCAAATGAAGGATAAGTAATGGAAAGAATGAAGTGTTTTTAACTATTTTTATTTTTGCATTTTTCTTTTTCTATATTGTAATATTTTGAAAACCTTAATAAATATCTTATAAAAAAATATATAAGTGACCACAAAGTAGAATACAGTTTGGCACTTGCTCAGTTAAGGCTCTTGTTGTGTAACCAGTTGATAGAAGGTGAAGGCAAAAGAAAGTTTGTCTGCTTTGGGGGTGATTCACTCTCTTTTTTAAGTAGCACGGTAGGCTTATGTCCTCCTTGTTGACAAAGTTACAGGACTGTTGGTGTAACAGCATTCAAAGTCTCCTAATTTTGTGTTGGTAGGTTTTAAAAATCCACATTCAAAGTCAACTCAATGGAGAAAGACGAAGCCTGCCACAGTGCTCCTCTCTAGGTGCGCTGCAGTCTCCCCTGCTCCTGCCCCATGGTTTAAGCATGCACGTGATGGGTCGACTGCTTGTGTTTGCAGATATTAGCATACATGAATCATTCTCAAGAAACTGTGAACAGCTCTTTTTGGTTGTTATCGTGGAGGAATCTTAAGGATAGGGTAAGCAGTTATCAGATTTGTTTAAAGTGAATTTAAGCAAATATAACACACAGGGCTCACTCCAAAATATTTGTGGCTGCCCACCCCCACCCCAGCGCAGCAGTATTTTTTATTTTTTACATTTATTTATTCACTGCTTTCTACAAAAAAGTATCAAAGCGACTTACAAATATATAAAATACCAAATAGTTTATTGATCATATAAAACTATATATATAGGGGGGAAATGCAGTAAAGCAAACCCTTATAAACATGTTCATCCAAAAACAGGTATAAAAAAGGACAACTCTTGCCCCATGGCAGGAATGATAGACCTCTCTCAAACTTTTTAAAGTATGTGTGTGGAGTCAAATATTGCAGTGTGGTTTCTCTTGATGGCATGGGAAATTGATAGGCCTGTGTGTTTGGGGGCATGCCTGAATAATAGAGCAGGGACAGGGGAGTTGTGGCCCTCTACAACGTTGTGCACTGCTGCTACCATTATCCCTGACCATTAGCCATTCTGTCATGGGTTGGTGTGAGTTGGTGTCTAACAACATCTGGTGTGCTACAGGTTCCCCACTACCGATACAGGGGCACATGGTTGCTCGAGTTCATATAGAAACTACCACAAGTCCTTTGGCACCATAAAAATGTACTGTAGTAGAAACTTTCATGGACTGGAGCCCATTTCATCTGATGCATGGGTAGGCAAACTAAGGTCCGGGGGCTCTATCCGGCCCACGGATGGTCCGGGAATCAGTATGTTTTTACATGAGTAGAATGTGCTTTTATTTAAAATGCATCTCTGGGTTATTTGTGGGGCATAGGAATTTGTTCCTCTCTCCCCCCCCCAAAAAAATACGGTCTGGCCCCCCACAACGTCTGAGGGACAGTGGACCGGCCCCCTGCTGAAAAAGTTTGCTGACCCCTGATCTGATGCATGACCTGTTATCCTTAGTTGAAAGAGAGAGAGGAAAACTTGTATGTACAGAGGGGGGAAATTGTAACCAGCAAGGCCACAAAGGCCGTGAAATGTAAGAGCCGCAGTAGGTCTGCATACCCTCAACAGTGGTAATTGGTGCTAATACAGTCTTCCTAGCTTTGCTGTGTTAGTTTAGCACCTCTGGTAGGGGAGAGATCCCACAATTCCTGGGATTTAGTTTCAACTGAATGCTAGCTGAAGTGGAGAGGAGCACTTTCCTTCTGTGGGTGACCAATTTCTTGCTAGACTAATCAACCACTCCCCCAAATAATGCACATTGGTGTTCTTGCAGGCAGCCTCAGACGGGGCAGCATGTGAATTTTTTCTCTTGAGTGTGCACATTTGCTGTCTCTCTCCCCCCCCCACTAGAGTGGGATGGGACCTGAGAAGAGCAACTTAAGGAAGGGAGCTGCTGCTGTTGGAAGCAAAAGTGGTTGGGTGGCACTCCTATTTGAAATACTTTCCAGACTTCCAGGTGAAGATGGCAATGATTGAGGCTGCTTTGTCCTTGAGTTCCATGGTCTGTTCTAGTTTTAATTTGCTTTATCCTGAATAATTTCAAAGTGTTAAAGTCAGTGGGCCTAGCAGTTGATGTTGGTTGCCACTTCCAAAGCTATTCTAAGATTTAAATGTTAACATATTTTTTCAGATATTCTTTAAATTTCTTCCAATCTTCTTCCACCGTCTCTTTTCTCTGATCTCGGAGTCTCCCAGTCAGTTCGGCAAGTTCCACATAGTCCATCATCTTCATCTGCCATTCTTCGATAGTTGGTAAACCTTGCTTCTTCCAATTCTTCGCTAGTAATATTCTTTTTTCCGTGGCATACAGAAAAAAAGTAACATCCTTTCTGGGGATTTCACCCCCCCCCACTACACCAAGTAAAAAGGCTTCTGGTTTCTTAATAGATGTGTTTTTCAACACTTTTTTCAGTTCATTATGAATCCTTTCCCAGAAGTCTTTTACCTTGGGGCACGTCCACCACATGTGGTAAAAAGTTCCTTCTTTTTCCTTACATTTCTAGCATTTATTATCATGAGTATGATGCATTTTTGCTAACTTCACTGGTGTTAAGTACCATCTGTACATCATTTTCATCAAATTTTCTCTTAATACATTACATGCTGTAAATTTAATTCATTTTTTCTACAATTTCTCCCAATCCACCATCATAATATTGTGCCCCACATGGGATGCAGATGTAACTTTAAAGCACTTGCAGGGAGATTAAATTAATATATCTTACATGGAGAGCCCTGGAACTTTACATTGTGAGTGTGCAAGTATGGGACTGGAGAAGCCTTATCCCAGGTAAGAGGTTTTGCTACATACTCCTCTAATGAAAGCTTAGCTAACTGTTCAACTGATCTGGACTTGCTAGGAACTGATATATATGCTCCAAGATAACCTCAGCTTCCTCCATATAATGAAAGCTCAGCTAAGCGTAATAACAATCTTGGCATAACAGACTCTACCACAACAGAGATTGAAACGCCTTCACTGTGGGAACTTTTACGCGACCAATGTCTCCTGTCTAAACAAACAGCAGAGGGAATCTTTAGCAGAATCGACACATTGGAAAAGGAAATTTTGGGTTTGAATGCCATAATTGGTGCACTGGCTGTGTTAGTGAAGACAGGAATTCTGACTGTAGCCCTGCAGATAAGACCTACCAGCAAAGAAACTGAAGTTAGTGGTGGTTTGAAGGTACATCAAGATGGGAATAGGTCTGCATTTGCTGAGACCCTGTCAGATTCAATAACCAAACAGTTAAATTACATCTATCAAGATCGGAACTTAGAAACCTGCTTTTACACCAAAATGAATGCTCAAGAAAAGGATTTGTGGGAGTTGTTTTCCATTCTCAACCCTTTCAGATTCAAGCCTCCTGGTAGTGGATTAGTATGCTGATAACCCACTTGCTACCATCCAAGGAAATGATCTCAGCCCATCACCTGATCTAATTCGTTTAAGCCCCAATCTGGCATCTTTTGATGGAACTCCAGATGCTTTAGGTCATCACTCCCAAGTTTCCTGCTCTACAGTGCAGACGAGAGGAAAAGGCAGCAAACGATGAATTAATAAACACACTTTGAAAGGTAGTGAATGAGGGAGAAAGTTCAAATTTCAGTGATGATTCTTCTAAAAAGAGGTCCCCAGATGTTCTGCAGGTGGTCATTCATAACTGGCCAATGAAGAAGTCCAGTGGAATAATGAAAACAGAATCTGAACTGCAAGCAGGACTGAAAGGTTGCCCGCCTCTGACTTGGTAAACCCCCCTTTATGCATGTTCAATGTGTGCACACGTCGTAAAAGGGGGTGGGGTGGAATGGGGGTGTTTGCAGGCTTTTTCAGTGGCATTTCAAATATACGCAGAATGTGTGGTGCTGGTGAATGTAACTCCAGTGTAAATGGGGGGTTGTCTGTACAATTATTTCCTTTGTATGCAGGTGGCCCCAGTTTCAATCTGGCATCTCCAGACAGGACTGGAACTCTGGAGAGCCCCTACCAGATAGAGTAGGTAGTACAGGCAATGACCAAGTCATGCACACAATGGCTCTGCGCCAAACCTGTGTAGGCCTGTGCTACTACACTTTCCCATGTTAACTAAATTCTTCTGGAGGTTCCCGCAGATAAAATTAGGCCCCCTTTCTCAGTGGGGAATCTAGCATCTGCAGTTCTCTGCCTGAGACCCTGGAGAGCCATTGCCAGTCAGGGCAGGTAATACTGGTTTAGATGGAAAACCATCTCACATGTCACACAAGTTGTTTTCCTATTATTATCTTTTATGGCTACTAAAAAGGAGCCCTAGTTAACTGGTCTGCATATTTTTTAATATATGTACTTTGAAAACCTGCAGATAGCACAGACCATCTTAGAAGGATTCTTCATTTTTTATTCTCTGTTGCCTTCTCTACAGTGATGTGGGCTAGGACGTATGAGTGCATCAACTTGAAACAGCCTGCTTCAACCTGGTACCCTCCACTCCACAGATCATTTACATGTAGTTTGGCCAGTGGTTGGGGATGGTGGAATTTGTCCTAAACATATGTAGGATACCAGGTTGGAGTTGGCTGCCTCAAGAAGGCATACAATTTCCCTCGGAACTACATTTTCCTCAAATGCAGATTTTAAAGGATTGCTCATATTAGTATCAGTTGGTTGGTTGACTAATTACCAATTAATTAATTGCCAGGGCTCTCTCCCAATTTAAAATACAAAGAAGAAACTTAATTGACTGATAGCCCTAGTAATAACCAACCCTCTGTGCTCTTAAAAATGGGGACAGAATGTAGATGTAACCAGACTTTCAACCCCCCTCCCTTCTTGCATCCTGCAACGTGACTTTGTACAAAACGAGGGTTGCCAGTTGCAGCTGCTGCTTCCAGAGAACTGTGCAAACACCTTCATTTTTAAAAAAATCCCTGGGCAGATGGTAGGGCTTCTCAGAAGCTTCAACTCCTTTGAAGCTGAGCACTACTTCCATTTATTATATATTACCGTTTTTGTTTTGACTTTCTTTTGAAGGATCTCTGGGTGGCATACTGCTCTTGCCCTCTGAGGTAGGCTGGGTTTAGAGATAGTGACTGGCCCAAAGTCACCCAGTGAGCTTTATGGCTGACTATGGATCTGAACCCGAATCTAGTGCTCTTTCTGCTGCTTGCACCTTGAATAGAGTGAGTTAGCTCTTTAGGAAATGTTAGAAGCAGTGGCAGAATTTCCCTTGATAAAGAGAGAACACATCTCAAAACTTGTCTGTCAGTCCAGCCATTGGGTGCTTTCGTCTTGCTTTTTTAAAAATCTTTGTTATTTGTGCTACCTGTTTGCCCTGAGCCATCTAGATCCATCAGCAGAGATTAACAGGACATGGCTCAGTTTTGAAGGTATTTCCTTAGCCTATGACTTTGTTTGCATGCTTGGATGGGCAGCTTGAAATTTCCCCTTCACCAATTACTTATTTGGTCTCTTTCTGCACCGCCACCCCACCCACATCTCTCTTTCTTCAAAAGTAGTGATTTTTTTTTCTAGTTAGCAGCTGTCTAGCTGAGAGTTGAAACTTTTCACTCAGGGTTCCTGAAGGAGGGGCAATGTGACCAGTGCTTCTAAATAGTTTTGGGTGTTATTTTTGTTGTTTGGAAGAGAACCATAGCAGCATGTTCTCCCTGCTTGATTTGGAGACCCTTTTCTCTCCTTGGTTGGGGTAGGGGAAGGACAGAAATGGAGTGGAAGTGCAGCTGAGCCCTTTATACAAAACAAGACGACAGGCAGAGGGCACAGAGTTCAGTGTCACATTACATGGTACAGGCTTTGAAGACTGGCCAGCAACAGACCTAAGTGTCTGCATCCACCCACCAGGACCTTTGCCAAAGGCTTCCGTATTTGGATCCACTTTATCCTCCACTTCCAGGTGTTCTTAAAGGCCCTGTATTGAAACAAGCATGGTTAAGGGATGGTTGCCAGCTGGAGGGAGAGGGGGACCTCATGGAATACCTGCAGAAACTTAGGTCTAAGGAGGTGTGTCAAAACACAGTACCCTCCAAAACAAAATGTACAAGCAGAGGCAGGACCGCTCCCTCATGCTCCCTTCCAGTAACCATCCTGGATGCTCAGATGCACAAGATCCTAAAGTGACTTGATTTTGATAGGTTGGAAAAATACTTTTCCAGCCTCTCCTCATGTTTTGTTTGGTGTGTCTGGACCAAGGAAGCAGTGTCAAACTGTCTTGCTTCATCTTCTTCCAGTTGCTGCATTACAGTCCAGGAGACTTGGTTGCCCAGCCTCTGTTTCCTTTGAAAGTGTGCAGATATTGAGGTTTATGAAAACACCCACCCCTCCCACCACCATATGTCTTGCAGAGGTCCTCCTGTTCTGTCTGCAAACTATGGTCAAGGTTGGCTTCTCAAGGATGGGGGCCTAGAAGCTGCTTTAAGCTTTAAGATGTGGTGAAAAGTGGAATAAAGTCTGTGTTCTATGTTTATAATAATATTTTATTCTCTTGTTAATTATGCTGTTTTAAGTGTTCATTTTATATTTGTCTTCCTTTTGTAATGTTTCCTCTTGAAATGTTTTAGGTTTTTTTGTTTTGTTAACTTTGCTGCGTTGACTTCTCTATAATGTTTTATTTTGAAATGTTTGTTTCCTGTTGGTTATGTTGCTTTGAATGTATAGTTTATGTTTGACTTTCTTCAGTAATGTTTTATTCTGGATTGTTTTATTTGATGTTTTATTGTGTTGTAAACCACTTTCAGATTTTTTCCTAAAAATATAAAGTGGTATGGAAATGAATAATAAGAATTATTGTTGTTGTTAAAATAAAATAAACAGAACCTGGCTTATGGAATTCCCTCCCTGAAGAGGCATTCCTGGCACCAGCATTATTGTCTTTTGGTATCAGGCACGGATTTTTAAAAAATAAATCTCACAGACTTTTTAGGTTGTTATTTAGACACACTACAATTTAATATAATTTTTCATTTAGTATTTTTGACTTGCTTTTGCATGCTGTCCTGGAAGATTTGCTGAAAGGGGCAGTGTATAAAAATATCAGATGAATAAATAAGTTTGATTTGTGTCTGTAGCAAGTCACTGACACAGCCTCTGTGGATGCAGAGAGCTCTTTCCCACCATCCGGAACTTTAGTGGAATTAAATTGGAGCCATGCAAACCCACCCCACTCGCCTGCAATCTTTTCTTTTGGTCCCAACCCCTCCCCCTGCTGCCAGCTGTTTAAGCTGATCTGTAAAGAATGCTCTTTTCTCTGGCTTCTAGGCTTGGATTATACAGCTCTTTAACCAGCTCTCTCCAATCCAGCAAAAGTAGCATGGCGGTGCAGGGGTAGGGGGAGATCTGGCAAAGTCTGTTGCCCTATGGCAGTTGTTTCTTTTTCACTACCCCTCCCTTAAATATCATTCACATTATGGTGCTCCATATAAAGAGGCTAGGAAGTGGGTGTAAGGTACCTGTAATGGAGGTGCCCCATGGCTGTGGGTATTAATATACAGATGACTTACTAGAAAAGATTATGGGACAGATTAAAAACAGGAAAAGAATCCTTTAGGAAACTGAGAGCCTTTTGTTACATACTGGACTCCATTTTAACTGTATGGAAATGCTAGAGAAGGCGGTCAGAATGTTTTCTAACTTCTCAGGAATTGTAGACATTGTCATTTGCTTTAAATTTATTTTGAATCTTGAGGAGAGGATATAAATGACACTGGCCATATTTATTTATTTATTTATTTATTTATTTATTTATTTATTTATTTTTTATTCATGTCTTTTTATATGCTTGCCTATAATGAAAGATAGATTTTAGCTCAGTTGGTAGAGCATGAGACTCTAAATCTCAAGGTTGTGGGTTCGAGCTCTGTGTTGGGCAGAAAGATTCCTGCATTGTAGGAGGGTGGGCTAGGTGACCCTCGGGGTCTCTAGAACTCTGTGATTCTATGAGAAGAAGGCTACCTCAAGACAAAGATGGCTTAGTAAAACAGACCAGGGGGAAACCCCAGTTTCAGTGCAAATTCATAATAGGAAAAGAAATAATGGGTCTGCATGGGTAGGTAAGCTATGCAGGAAAAGTGGGGGAAATCGATTCTCACCTGATTTTAAACTTTTCTCCCTTCTCCCCTGGGGGCAATTTTTACTTACCATAGGTGCGTGGCTTTATCTACATTTCTATCTAGATTTCAGTCTTGGCACCTCCTTCCTCACTCCCCTCTTTTGGGTTACAAATAAAACCTGAAACAGTAATAAAAATTGCAATTCAAAATAGAAACAATGCTAGTTTATGCAGCACTGAAACAAGTGTATTTTTTTCAGCTTGCTGGAATGCAATTAGCAAGAGAGGTAGGCTTCCCTCACTTGAGAAGACCTTTATGAGCTATTTCCCCCCTCTTTTTTTAATGGCATCTTTTTAACTTGAGCCACATTTGGTTTTTAGATCGGCTGTTGTAATAATCCTGCTTCTGCTATCTGGCTACCCACCTCAAAGTGGGGTTGATTGTTGCAGTCAAGGACAATGTGGGAAGCAACCTATTACTTATGGTGGGCTATTCACGCATGCCGAATAGATGAGGAGAATACCTTAGTTTGTTTACAATGTGCTTTTTAATTTTTTTATTGCTCCACATATATACAGTAATGTTGTAATTCTTACAACACCCCTGAAAAGTGGCCCTCCATTCTGATTCAGAGCTTGCATGGCCTCTACTGATCCAGATGTTGCAGAGCTGAGTATTATCAGCCAGGTGTTCACACCTTGCCCCAGATTTCCTGATGACCGCTTCCAAAGGCTTCATGTAGATTTGGGACAAGATGCCACCCTGTGGCACCCCAGGGGGGCGGGGAGACAATTACTCAGTGGTAATACCTGAAACCAACCCTGGATATAGAATCTGAAGCACTATAGAACAGTGCCTCCAGTACCCATCCCACTAAGTCGACTCAGAAAGATAACATGGTCAGTGACAGCAAAAGCTGCTTGGAGATCATGTAAGAATAACCAGTTTGCACTTTCCCTGTTCTCCTCTCCATAAAAGTAGTCCATCAGTGCAATGGATTTTGTCCCAGTGATCCTTTCCGCAGCCTTTGATTCCCCCCCCCACCTGCTTGTTTTTCTCCCCTTTGAAAAAATACTCTGCTACTACTCCCCCTCCTTTGCACAATTGTTTTTCTGTGGCACTCCCGGCCCTGCTAAACTTCTCCTGCATCCTGTTTTACCGCTGCAATATCAACTCTCTCCTTCTCATGATATTTCCCAGCTGCGTCTTCGTCTCGCTGAATTACTTGTGTCAAGGTATGTTAAGTTTCTGGAAGCAAGCCAGTTTCCCCTCTCCCCCTCCCGTGTGTGTGGGGGGGGCAGCTTGGAGTGCAGAGGGGAGATAACTGTTATGGGGTTTCAGGTTTTCCTGTGTGTAGCTTTCTGTATGTTCCCCAGATATCTCACGGCACATCTGAGTTAGATGTGTGCTGCCAAACAGCAGGAAGCTTTCTCTAAAATGCCAACAAATCTCTCCCCTCCCCATCCACCCTGCACCTCCCTCCCTCCTCCCTCCCGCTAGTCTGGGAGGGAGGAAGAGGCGGGGCTAGTGCCATACACAGGGAAGTAACCTTTCGGTTCCCTTGCAAGGAGTAGGACAAACAGGAATTGCTGGCCCATGAGAAGTGCAGCTAGCCTGTCTAACAGCTTCCCATGACGGCTGCAATATGGAAGAGAATTAATGGGCTAGTGAGTACCGGGCAGGAGGGGGAGGGAGCTGAGCAGCCAACCACAATCCCGGTGTTCTGGGTGGGGTGTGTGTGTATGTGTGGCATCTTAAGCTGCGCTTGTCACTCTCATAACTACTCTTGAGAGCCTTTGGGGGAAAGCAGGGAGGTGCCTTGGGAGCCTCCAGCCTCTGTTCATTGGGGGGAGAGCCCAGTTGTTGAAGATGGTGATGATTACCCAGGCTTGATGGAGAGACGGTCTTTGTGGTTCTGTTTCTCTTCCTCTCTCTCTTTAATTGTTGTTTAAATCATGTTAACTCCTGTTGTTCGGCTGGAACTCTTTACCTTCCCATAAGTGATATTTGAAGCTTTTACTTGAAAGCCCAGTAAAAACAGAGTCATCTTTTTCTCCCTCTCTTGCGTTTATTTTTTTGGATCTGCTATTAGGCAGGGCTGTTTGCGCTTGGAGGCAGGTTTTCTGCTGGGAAAGTCATTTGTTTAAGCACGGTTATGCAGCCCTTTGAGGAGTAGTGAACATGTATCCAACTTGGCTTTGTTTTCTTTCTTTTCCCGTTCAAGAAAACATGCCAATTTTACAGTGCTTTATTCAGAACCTGAAATTTGGAGTGTGACTTGCAAGTTTTGAAACACTAGTGAATATTCCCGTGGCAAAAGAGGGGTGTAAACAAGTGGACAGGGACCGTAGTGGTGTTTGGAGGGGTGGGGGCACACCTGCATGTCATAAATGGTGGGGACAGGTAGCAATGGGCACAGAAACTCTGCTTCTGAACATTGCGGGGGTTTGGGGGCTGTTGTTGACACTCTTTGTTTTCAGGTATCTCTGAACATTGAGGACTACAAACTTGGTGCTTTTGTTTGTTTGCAAAAGCGTTAAAATTGACAATCAATTGAAACTGGGGATCTCAGGAGTCAATACTCCTGGGCAGAATTGTAGAATACAGACTTGTTGGGTGAAAAACTTGAATGAACCCTGGAATCTTGTACACAGATCTCTAAATCAAGAAGCTGGAGCCGTCTAATGTGTGTGTCTGGGCAGTCCTGCTATTAATGGTTCCTTTTATACCTCAGCTATTTTTATTGATGGCATGTGCACTACAGCCCGGCCAGCAAAACAGAGGTGCCTGGGGTTTATTTTGGTGTCATTGAATAATCTTCAAACATTTCATCGCCCATTTCCTCCTTGGCATAGTAGAAAACTTTGACAAGTGGGGGGAGCAGAAGTACTCTTGTTTAATTTTTTTTTTAAAAAAGAATGTTCTGAGGTATCTCTGGACCACTGGTGATTCCTGAAATGGCTCCATTAGCTGGCAGGAGGTCTTGTTAGAAAGCTCCCAGCTTGCTTGATTTCTTTTTTAAATTGTGTTCCTAGTCCTCAGGGTTTCAAGCACATATTTGTCTCAGAATGCCAAAAGGTCACAAATATGGAACCAAATGCAAAGGAAGCCCAAATTGCTACATTTTTAAAATGAACACCTTTTAATTTACAAAACCGGTGTTGTTTGTCTTCAACATTACTGAGAAGTATGCCAGAATTCCCTGTTTAGAGATGGGAACTGAGGCTGTGACTTGAGCGTATGTTTCCACGCGTAAGGTCCCCAGGAGCAGTCTCTAGATACAGCTGGGAAACACTCCTTGCCTGAAAACCTGGAGGGCTGCTGCCAGTTAGTGTAGACAATACTGAGCTAGACAGACCAGTGGCCTGACTCTGTATAAGGCAGCTTTCTTGGTCCAACTCATTGGTTGCACCACACACTCTTGTTCATGGATGTTTTGGCACTTGGGATTTCTGATTCTCTGACAAGGTTTTTTAAAAAAATTATTTAAGAGCTCAAATTCTTCCACATTTTAGTGCACATCTTTAAGAAGAGAATTTATTCAGAGGGCTCGAACAATTTGCTCATGTTAGAAATCTGAATTGTAAATTCAGATGCTCTTAAATATTAGTGGGATCCCTGTCTTACCTTGTACGTGAGTGGCGAATACAGCACAACTCATTGGCCTGTGTATCATAAGCAAATTACCTTTTTATGTCTGGCTACCTGGTTGTTACTTTCGTTTCAGCGTTTAAGCCTTTGATTCAGGAACTCTTCATGACTTCCTGTCTGGTGTATGCTTTTCTGCATTAAAAACAAACAAACTTCGAAGTGTCACAAGGTCCCAGAAACTGCATGCTATCTGCCCAGAAAGTTTGGAAATACTCCTCAGGTACTTATTTACGTTCCTTTATCATTTGCTATAGGGAACAACATATCCCATTGGCTCAGTGATGGAACATGTTTGCAGTGTTAGAAACTGAGATATGAAAGCTAGGAGCTAAATAGCACCTTAGACCTAGGTTATGGGCGCTACAATGGAATGTCTAGGAACACTTTTTTCCTTCCACTCTGCAGTTTTAATCTGATATCTTAGGCACAGTACTGTGCCCAGAGCTCAGAAACTGCGTGCGCTAATGAAATTCCCTGTCGCAAAATGCACTTAGAACAATGGGAATTTCAAACACGGCATGTTTGTCACATGCAAAAGATCCCAGTCCAATCTCCAGCATCTTTGGTAAGACTGGGAAATGGCTCTTGCCTTGAACCCTGGAGAGTCACTGCCAGTCATTGTAAACTAGGCAGTGCTGAGCTAGATGGACCAATGAACTCTCTGTAAGGTACTTTCCTATGTTCCAGGTCATATTTTGATACTGATCTTGGATGTGTTATAGCCGTGTACTGCTGTTTGCCATCCTCATGTTAAATGTGGTTGAAAGTGGCAGTATTCATATGAACATAAGAAGAGCCTGCTCAAATATGGCCAGTGGCCCATCTGGTCCAGTATCCTGTTCCCACAGTGGCCAACCAGATGCCTATGGGAAACCCGCAAACAGGATCCGAGCATGAAAGCACTCTCCTCTCCTGCTGTTTCCAGCAACTGCCTCCAACCATGGAAGCAGAGCATAGTCATCATGGCTAGTAGCCATCAGTAGCCTTCTGCATAATACTGTGCATCCTCAGTGAGAAAATCAGGAATAGATGGTCAACTCCTTTGAAAGACAGCATGTCCACCATTGCAGGAGTCCAGCAGCAGTGGCTGCGTTCTCATGTAACCATGGCTTGGTGGCGCTACATGGATGAGCTCAAGCAAAGCATTGGGCTTGTGTGTTGCCTCCTTCAGGAGGAGGATTTCTGCTGAGTTTTGTTTTTCTTTTTATTGGTGTCATGTAAAGACTATTGATGTCATGTTTGGTTCCAAGGTTTAAAGCAGAGGTCAGCAAGGTTTATCTTACCTGGGCCGGTTCGGTCCCACGGAGATCCCTCCTTTGTTGGATCGCTTCCGCCCGCAATTTTCGGCGTCTGTGCAGATGTGATTTTTAGCATCTGCACATGTGAAGACGTGATTTTCAGTGCTGCATAAGCGAGTCCCCGCGCTGCGCCTGTTTAGCACAGCGTGAGAGCTGGCAGCTGAGTTCAGAGGTGGCTCATGGGCCGGTCAAACGACCTCCGCGGACTTCTGACCCATGTGCCCTAGGTTGCTGACCCCTGGTTTAAAGCAAACACCAGTAAGCTTTTTTTCTATAACAAGCCAACTTCAAACCATGGGTTATGAAGCTGGTTTGGGTTTTAAATTCCTGGTACAAAGATAAGGCCAAGCTTGAGGTTCTTTAAAAACTGAAAGGAAACTCAGCAGAAGTCTTCCAGCCATCTGAGAGGAGGCAAGGAGTACTCTGGGGCTATGCATTGCTTGTGTTAGTTGAGTCTCATCTACATAACCCTAAACCTTGGTCTAGGGTTGCGTGCAAACCTGGGTTGTATAGGAGCTGGGTGTTCAGTCAAGGATTGTACAAGGAGGCCCCACATGAAGGGAGTGGAATGCCATAGAGCATGCCCCAGAATCTTCTGCTGCTCTGTGCAGAGGTGTGTGTTTCCAGATTGCCTGGTGCAGAAAAGGTAAGAATTTCTTGAAAACTGGTGGAATAGAGCTGTTCTCTCTCACGAATGCTTCACATCAGCTGCTGTGACGCTGTCATGCTTGACCGAGAAGGAAGGAGCCCATCTGTATACCCTTGAGGGCATAGGAGTGGTGTGTTTGCGTGAGAGTTAAACTGAAGTTTGATCTGCCCATGCTCATCGCCCGTATAAGGTTGGGGGGGCTGGACATTTTTTTCCTCCTGGCAGCCTTCCAGGGAGCAGTTTGAAATGGAGTTGAAGAGGACAATATGGCTGAGCCTAGAAGGAAGGACGTGTGTGACCATTTGGGATGGAAAGGACAGTTGATGGCACATAGGGTGAAGTGGAAATGGTAGCTGTGAGAGAGGGGAAGCAATGAGCTGTGCAGACTACTGAAGGCAGAGACCAGGGTTGGAAGCTTTCCAGGCTCATGGTTGCCTGGGCATCTAAAAGAAATTGTTGCTGGCACTTAAAAATTTGAAATATTCATGTGGGGCTGACGATGTTTTCTCCATAACCACAAGTGCCAGGGATGTCCTCCTTAAAAGAGAGTCGAATGGCATTAGCTTTTATTTTATTTTTAGTGGAGAAATCATGAGTGGGTTAATTCTGAAGCCTCTTGAGTTCTCTCTATTGCTTGGCTAGCATTCTTTACTCCCGACCACATTATCTCCAGTGACATGTTTTGCTTCTCAACAACTTTTGCTGCTGCTGTTAGTAGGGACTCGAAGGTCACAGGCTCATGCGGCAGTGTCATATTCTGTGATGACCATGATGTGGTGGTGAAAATATGGGTATTTCATATAAGATGGAGTTTAAGGAAGGGTCATGGCTCATTTTACATCACCTACCCAGATCCCTCCCAAGTGAGGTTTTTTTGGCACCCCTTTGCCTTGTAAACAAGTTGCCCCAGAGCATGCTCACTCTGGCTCATGAGTGGCTCTTATCTTTAAGTAGAGTACTGGTGTCAGACTTTGAGATACTGCAAATCTTTTGGCCAGTTAAAGGCGTCCTAGCGGAAGGCTGGAGATTGTTGCCGAAATGTGACTGAATAGCACAGATGACTTTGGGGCTGTGATCAGTGTAGATGAGAGGCCTTATCTGCTGAAGTTAGTGAATGCATATTTGATATAACTTTTAATAATATGTGTATGTGTGTTGCTGTAGTGGGTTGTGTGTGAATACCTTTTTTAAAAAAGCATCACATACCTGATGAAACCTGTTTCTCATCCCATTGGTGGGACTGAGAGCTAGCAGCTTCCCAAGCTGCCTAATTTATTTATGTCAGAGGATGGATTTGAACACAGGATGCTCTGGCTTAGATTCTTAGATGCTGCCCTGTGCTGGTAACAAAAAGCAGTGCTACCAGTTGAAAACCTCAGTGGTACACAGCCTGTCTCATTTCCTTGTGTCTCGTTGGTACTAATTACTGTGCAGGCACCTTCTAGCAGAGCACCTTGTTGCTCCTGTTCTGTGCAGCATGGAAAAGCACTTGTCGTGTGTCCCAGATACCATGGTGTGTGTGTTTGTGTCCATGTCCGGATGGCAGATGGGGCAGTTGTGGTTCCATGCCTTGGAGCGTTGATGGGGAATAATGAGGCTGCTTTTCCTGAGAGCTATAAACAACTGGAAGCCACTGAATCTATTCTCTGGCACACCCTGCTGCGTGACTCTCTTTTTTGGACTTGGATTTATTTTTTATTTTTATTTTTTTGGCCTGCTTCCTAATTGTGCTTGGCTCTGTGGAGAGTCCCTGGAATTGCAGCATAAACCCTGCTTGGCTTGGCTTCGCAGTGAGATGGTGAGCAGAGATACTTTTGGAGCATCCCAAGGTATGTGGTGTCTGCAGTGCACCAAATATGTTTCTGTCTGCAAGATGCATTTGCATTATCATGAAACTGCTAGGAGGCACAGCTGGGTAAGGCTGGGCATGTGCTCCAAGGTTAGCTCAGACTTAATGAAACTGTGGTCCATCTAGTCTAGCATTGTCTCCTTTGACTGGCAGCAGCTGTACAACATATCAGGTGGGGGGTCTTCTTCGTTACCTGCTACCCGACCCATTTCAGTGGAATTGCTAGAGAGTGACCCTGTGTCCATACATGCTAGAAGTCATGTGCCACTGAGCCATGGTGTTATGGAAGTTACTAGGAGTTTCCAAGAGCAACTATTTTAGGGTTCTATCCTTTGTTCTGGTACTCAAGAGCTGAAGGTGCTAAAAACCCAGAGTTTAGTAGGCAGATGATGCCTGCCTTAAGAGACAGAGAGACTCTGACTCCTAACAGTTTTGTAACTGCAATTGTACTTCAAGTCTCTTCCTGGAGAATTCCACCATCCATTTTTAAAGATGCACGTTAATCATTGTCATTGCAACAGAGAAGGTGAAATCAGCCGTTTGAGAGGAACTGGAAAGAGCTGCTTTTTGGGTATCATGAGGGCGGTTGCCCTTCACAGACAGTCATTGCTCCCCATTGATTTCAGGGCCCAGTTCTTCTGCCAGTACTCTTTCCTTCTAAGTACACTGTTGAGCACTTAGAGAGAACAGCTTAAGCCAGCTTTGGAGTGATAGTCTCACTTGAGCTGTCTTCTGTCTAACCAGCTGAATTTGATTTTCATCAGGTCAATTAGTACAATTTCATTGTTGATCTCAATATTGTCTCACTGGTAATCATTTGGAACCTAGATTATTGGATTGCTGGGTTCCTTTCTGGGCTACAAGGGTGTCTGCTTGAATTTCACTGTGTGTCTGCCTTGCTTTCATGCTGTTTGGTTGTTCTATTCTGCAACATTTAATTTTTAGCTCAATAGCGTCTCCTTGATTGTCCCACATTCAAACAACAAGGGCACATTGAGAGGCAAAGTTGGTGGGCCACAGCTATGACTGTAGAACCTTCTCCTTCTACAAGCCTGCCTATAAATACTTTCCAGAACAGCTATGCAGCTTTCTTATTTGGGCTGGCATTAAACAGTCAGCAGTAAGCAGGTATGGACTAAGTTTAATGAGGTGGTCTGTATAGTCTGGCTCTTTTTATTACTGTTGTAACTTGCCCCAGCCCTTGGGAAATTGTAAGATGGAATTTGGGACAGAATAAATAAACATTTACAAGCAAATTCTGTTTAGGACAGGAGTGGGAAACCTGTGGCCCTTCAGATGTTTCTAGACTTAAGCTCCCGTCCGTCCCAGACAGCCAACTGTCGGGGATGATGGGACTTGTAGTCCAGCAAGATCTGGAAGGCCACAGGTTCCCTGTCCCTGCTTTACAGGCACAAACGACTGACACACATGTATGGACAAGCACTCTACTGAAAATGTGTGGACTAATCACTTTTGCAGACCTGTTTGCAAGGCTAGTTACTTTTAGCAGCCCACAGCATCCATGGAGGTGCCAGAAAGAGAGAGAAAGTCAGATTTGCTGCTGTCTCTGTTTGCTGCGATCCAAGGAAGAACTGCAGAGCTGGCAAGCAGCCTGGTGTGCAGTTAATCTTGTGGCGCATACGAAGTTGTCCATGTCTCCCCCACCCCCCTCTTTCTTCTCAGTTAATTTCTACAGTACTGGGGTCTTGCCAGCTTAAACGTAGAACCACTTAACCACAGAAATAACAGTGTGCACAGCTATAAATATGATGGCTTGAACTGGTGCCTAGTTGGGCTCCCCCCTGCCCCCAGCTTAGAAGCATTCATTCCTTTTGGCCTTGTGTGAAAACACCAGAGGTCTCTAGGCCTGTACCCAAACAAAGGGGTTGAGCCGTACGGGCATATTGCCAGGCTACTGGTGATGGGGGAATAAAGTCACAACGCCAACAGTTTTTGGGTCAAAAAAAGGGCAGCAGGAGTGTCCTGAAGGACAGCAAAGCCTGGGAACAACTTACCCAAAAATATCAGGAGCCATCTGTAAAATTCCAACCAGAATGCTTTCAGGCATTTGTTATATAGCACACATCAAATCCTCAGAGCACTTAATATGTTTCTCAGTGATCCTTTCAGCACTAGAGCAGTTTTAATATTTGGGGTGGGCCTTAGCTCTGTGGTAGACTTTACCTGCTTTAAACATGGGACATTTGGCACACAGGTTCTCATACTTTTGGTAGGATTGGGGGCCAGTTTATGCAGATAGAATGAGCAACCAGTGATCTAACTTGATTTAATAAAGCTTCTCATGCACCAGTATATTGCATATATACCATATGTAATACAGTTGGAGGGCTGAGGCTGAGACCATAGTTTTGAACATAATAACAAATTATGGTTTGGTGATATGAGAATGAACCTGAAAAGAGCCTCAGGCTCTCACCCTCCCTTCTCCCTTTGCCTGCTCTCATTCATTTTTGCTTAATCTTCAAACCACAATTTGCTGTTGTGTTCAAACTGATAAACTCTGGTTTGTGCTTGTGTTGCAAACCAGGGTTTGAATCCTGACCTTCAGGGCAAACGCAAGCTGTAGTTTGCTGGTTTGGCTATAACAGCATACTCTGACGTAGCTGTAACTGGGAAGGAACTGTTTAAGCAATCCTGAGGCTCCTCCCAGGCTTGTTTTCATAGTAGCACCAAACTGGTTTGGCATTACCTCTAAATTGAGCCAATGATTCTGTGGACAAGTGAGGTTTTCACACAGGGACTTCCTGCCCCTTGCTCTAAACTGCAACACAGTTTCTCAGGTGTGTGTGTGTGTTTGTGTTTGTTTGTTTTAGGAAACTCCCAGCTTGGATGTCCTGGTGTTGCTTTTGAGTTCAGTTATAGGCTTGAATCTTCCCATGTTGATGTGGAGATGCTACTGCCTTTGAAGCTCTCTCTGGGGGGGGGGGTAATTGTGCACAAAGGAGTGGAAGAGGGCTTTGCACAAATAGGGAGTTGCCACTCTGGTGGGGAGTGGTGGGGAGGATATCTTTGCTGCTTATCCTCTGGCAGCAGAGCCCTGGGCGAGGAGGTACTGATTATGCAGGGTGAGTCAACAGAGATTCCAGACAGTTGTCTCTGCTTAACCTGCCCTCCCTGAGGTAACCTGTCCTTATGAATTCTGTATCCTGCAGCCAGATTTCACTCAGAGGTGTTATATTTTTATTTTAGAGGTTCCCTTCCCGTCCCCTCTAGGAACTGACTAGCCTAAGAGTGGATGCCATCTTCAAAACATATGCAAAAAAAAATAAATCCTCACGTGTGCGTGCGCATATGTGTGTGGATTGGGGGGGTGTTGCCTGTTTTCGAACTACAACCTGTTCTCAGAAAAGTAGGTGCAAGTTAGCTGAAGGGGGATCAAGCTCTTTATTCGGCTGTGGTAGTTAGTACAGCAGAGTGCTTAAATGGTGTTTAATCCACATTACCTGGCCTTGAATATGTTCCATGGTTGGGACATAGAAAATGAATGGGTGGAGATCAGGGAGTTGGAGCTGTATGACTCCGGAGAGGGTCCTAGAGAACTGGGGGAGAAGAGCTGGGACCCCATAAAGTGTTCCGCCCGGGGAAGCCTCCAGTGGGCTGGAAGGGGAAGAGTTGGATCCTGGGGAGGGACCGAACACACTGTTAGAAGAGTGTTCTGCCCACAAGACTCTGGATATCCCAAGTCTAATGCCTCCTACAAAGGAGCCGCCTCCAGCCATTGAGGACATCCTCCTTTCTGGGAACGCATCTGAGAGTCTAATGCCAAGCTGGCTCTCTCTCTGCCCCCATCTTCAAGGACTGGCAGTGTCATTGCAAACAAGCTTTGCAAAGCCAGCCTACTGGAAGGAGAGCCTGTTTGATTCCTGCGTTGCAGGTGGTTGGACTAGATGACCCTTGTGGTCCCTTCCAACTTTACAATTCTATGATTGCCTAGTGCCAAGACTTATATTTGCTTGTTAGAGAAATGTTTTGACTTGTGCTTAGTCAAGTATTCCAGTCTCTGATTTACCTGCTGAACTCATGCTTTGTAACCTTACTTCAGTTCATTACTCTGTCCTTAGCAGGAATAGTGTCAAGAGATATCATTCTTTGCCCTGCCATGAGAGTCTGGGCATTTGCTTTATTTGGAGCATTAAAAAACCCCCACAAATGTATCCCTCCTCTCATTTATCCAAAGTGAATGTGAAGTGGCTTAAAATTCATAGTGACATGATAAATAACAGTAATACAACAGCAATGGCACTAGAACGGATAACCTTCTTTTCAGTAGAAACCAAAAAACATGGCTACAGTCTCAGGAACAGCAACCAGCAGCAATTGAATTCTTGGTAAGAAAAGAGAGCTTGCTACATGCTCTTTTTGCATGAGAGGGGTTGTTTGGCCAAACTTCTTCTGTAAGAGAGGCCAATGTCAGGACTTGGATCAGTTGGTGCGACTACTGAGAAGGTCCCACACAGGTGAGTGCCTGCTGACCTTTATTTGGTAATGACACCTTGGGTGTGGGATGGAGCACACAGAGGGACACACCCAGAACAAGGTTATCCTTAAGCTCCAGCTTAGTGGTAGAGCATCTGTTTTGCATATAGAAGGTCTCAGGTTCAATTCCCAGTGGCAAATCTAGGTAGGGCTGGGAAAGACTGCTGGTATAAGGAACCTTCCTATGGCCATAGCCGTGGGTTTTGCAGAGGAATTTGCAAGTATGGGAGGTGGGCAGCCAGGGAATATGGGCAACAGCAATTCAAAGAGCAGAATTTCTTTTGTGGTTCTGATTAACACCATGCTGATTTTTTTTTTAATTTAAATCAGGCTGTTTCTTTATTGTTTCGTTGGTGGCATTATAGACTTTATTTCAATGTATGTGGTGGTGGTTCAGTGTGTAGGCCGCTTCCGGCATGGATATATGTGGTGCAGAATGCAGCATATTAATAAAATAAAAAGAGCAAGGTGGTGATTTGGATTGTGTTCCCTGGCCTTGACTCTTGCTTGGACCTATTAATGAAAGAAGAGCAGCACGTTCAGGGAGGTGAAGGGAGAGGGAGGAATTCCCTTTCTTCTAAAGCAGGCATAGGCAAACTCTGTCCTCCAGCTGTTTTGGGACTACAACTCCCACCATCCCTAGCTAACAGGACCAGTGGTCAGGGATGATGGGAACTGTAGTCTCAAAAACATATGGAGGGCCGAGTTTGCCTATGCCTGTTCTAAAGGCAGCAAAGCTGGATAGAATCAAACTGCTCTCAGAAGCAACCTTCCTGCTTCCCACCAAATCAGTCTTCTTGTCATCTGTGTTGCTGATGTGCTGACTTCCCCCCTCTCCACCCCTCACCGCCTCCTGTCTCTCTTCCTCATCAGGAGTGTATCCCTCTGGGCTTCACGTGAGCCATGTGGATGAAGGAGAAGTGCTCCACTCACTCTGTGGGTGCTACAAAGAATTGCTGCTTAATGTGGGGGGGGGGGAATCCCAGTGGGAGGGAAAATGGAGCTTACCAGAGGAAGCTTATAGCTAACCACAGAAGTGGAAGGTTGTTTTGGAGGGGATGGGGGTGGAGATAATAGAGAGGGAGAACATATGCCAAATGCTAGGATGAGTGCCGAATAAAAGTTCATATTCTTAGCTGCCTATTTTTAGCTTTTCTTGTCAGATGCAGATGGGGGCAGTTTGCGTCAATTTTTCCAGTACGGAAGGACCTCCATTTTCTGGACTTGGATTTACCTGCTTTTGGTCACATTAAGTTTATTCATTTCTCTTCCTCCAGCCATTTAAGGGAGGAGGTCGGATTTCATTTTGTTTTATTCCTTGCATTTTTTATCCTGCCTTTCTCTCCAAGGTGTTAATGGTGGCATAAATGGCCTTCCTTTTATCCTCCCAACAGCTCTATGAAGGAGGTTAAGTGTTTTTGCCCCACCTCTGCAAATATTCTCATCAGATCATTTTTGCCTGTCTTGTAGGTTGTGCCTCTTGTCATTCAAGAGTTTATGGATTTGCTTCCATTTTGGAGAGATGCATATGTTAGCACAGCCTTCTCCACCTCAGTGCCCTTCAGATTATTTTAGACTATGATTTCCACCATCCTTTTAAATATGTAAACTGCCCTGAGATGTATGGATGAAGGGCGGTATACAGATTTTAACAACAACAACAATCCCTGAACATTGGCTATGCTGGCTTCAGGTGATGGGCTATCCAAAATATCTGGAGGGCACCTGGTTGGGAAAGGTTAAATTAGTGTTTCTTGGATACTATTTACATGAAAATATTCCAATATTAAGCATACGATTTGGAGAACTTTTCCTGGGTCACCTTTTGTTGAACTGACACAAGCTCACTTTGATAATCTTTACCCATCACCATCTGACTTAGCTGTGAAGGTGAGGTTTGCTTATGATAAAGCTTCCTTCCACTCCCACAGTGAGTGTCTTTGCTTGCCTGCTTTCCTATTTAAAACAGTAATTGGGGGCCATGGACAAAAAGGCAGGCAAAATAATGCACATTTTAGCCATGTTGCTCCTTTTCCTTATCGGAAAACATCTCAAATACACAAGACATCACAACTAGCTTAGGGAAACTAATGTGTGACTTGGGGGCATTACTCATCAAATCTGCTACAGTAGATGACAAAAAAGGGATCTTTTCAGTTGACTGGTATGCAGGAGCCTTTCCTGGGAATATTTTAGTGCTTTGGTAATGCCCATTGAAGGTGGTGAGCAGAAGGAAGCCTTCAGCTTTGTCTCTCCAATCCTAAAGTGGCTTTGTTTTTTCTGGGTGGTCACTGCGCTCACCTTTCTAGAATAGCCTTCCACAAGAACATGCTCACTTATTTAGGTTGAGAGAGTTGGCATCTGGATGGTAGGCTTAGGTATACTTTCAAATCTCAGGGCTGTTCTGTGCCTCAACTGGGGCACAGGTTACCCACATGCAGCACAGGCTTCAGAGACCAGTACCATCCCAGCCTGCGTCTCCCATGCCATGCTAATACTTGCTCCCTGGCTCATACAGTGGTACCTCGGGTTAAGCACTTAATTCATTCCGGAGGTCCATTCTTAACCTGAAACTGTTCTTAACCTGAAGCACTACTTTAGCTAATGGGGCCGCCGCGGCGCCGCTGGAGCACGATTTCTGTTCTCATCCTGAAGCAAAGTTCTTAACCCGAGGTACTATTTCTGGGTTAGCGGAGTCTGTAACCTGAAGCATATGTAACCTGAAGCGTATGTAACCCGAGTTACCACTGTATAAGAGAAATCGCCCATGTGAACTGAGAATGCAAGACAAGCCCACTGTAATGTGGGTGTCCAAGCTGTGGAATCTTCTGCTGTGTGGGAGATTCTGTCAGCCACTGCTCTCTATGGCCATAGCCACCAATGAAAACTAATTTATTTGGACACATTGTTGCATTGGGTGTTCTTTCTGTTTATGGTTGTTGCTGCTGTTTTATTTTCATGATGGCCGTTTTTTGTTTGATTATGCTTTGCTCATCTTGAGGGATCCTGTTTTAGGACTGAAAGGTGGGACATAGTTGAATAAAAGTACACCAAGGCTCTGGGCCCATGAAGGCTGAATGTGTATAACACTTGGCTTCCTGGGACACCTGAACCCGGGATCCTGGTTAGTTAAGCCAAAATTCATAAGCCAGCAAGAAACCACAGTTTAAGGCTGTCTAGCAATCCTGGCAACAAACCAGGATCCTGGATTCAGATGTCATGGGAAGCCAAGCTTAATTGTGACCTCTTGCTTTGATTTGGTGAAAAGCGGTGGCTCAGTGGTATAACATCTGCTTTGGATACAGAAGGTCCCAGGTTCAGTTTGCAGTGGCATCTCTCAGTTGGGCTGGGAATGCTCCCTGTCTGAAATCCTTGAGAGTCATTGCCGGCCAGTGTAGACAATACCGAGCTAGATGGACCATGACTCAGTATAAGGCAGCTTCTTGTGTTCCCACTCGTGCTAGGGGAGGAGTGAAGCAGGAACAGAAGAGCATTGTGCATCAGTGCACTGCTTGTCCACAACAAACATTGATCAGCCAGCATCCCGGGCTTGTTGTGATATGTTAACCCAGCCATTGTCTCATGTCGTACTTGGCCAGTGGGGGACATACTTCTTTGAACAGGTCTTGTCTTCTCTCCCCCGCTCTCCATTTTTAAAAAATTAAATGATGTATATATTGATTTATTTTATTTGAAAGAAAAAAGTACATACCAAAAAAATCTCACGCAGCAGAGAAGCAGCAGATAAAATACAAGTGTGTACACAAAGCATCACAGCATCTTATTCCTGCTCTAATATCACTGATATGCTGTCATACCACCATGAATGCAATATAACTTTAGACCTGATTTTAACTTTTAGCTGTTTTGTTAGTAACAACAAAAAAATCATATCAATTACTGTCACATTCTCAACCAGTTTCACTTTATCCTCTGTACTTCATAGTAAATACGTGAATTTCAAATAAGTTAAGCTCTCATTGTTGAATTGGTAGAGCCTTAGCTTCCTTTAAGTGTTGAGCAATTAAGATTCTAGCCGCAGCAAGAAAATAACTTATATTTGGGTTCCCATTGGTAAAATGGAAAACATAATTTTCTTCTTTAAAGCATTGTCAGAAAGATAGAATAAGCAAGGAGATGTGTTTTCGCTTAGGAAAGAAGGTGAATTGTGAAAGGAAACTGTACCAGTGGTTCTTAGTGCTCTCTGGTGATCATTATGTTGTCAAAGGGGTGGGATTCCTGCATGATTTTTCCTTTGCAATTAGAATGAGCTCTGAAACAGGACAGCATTTTAGTATGAAGTTCGGAATGCCAATCCATTGATCAGACAAAAAACTGTTAATCAGTTACTTCAAATATTCCACACAGGAATATAAGAAGCTACCTTAAACAGACTCACCACTCAGCTTAGTATTGCCTGCAGTGACTATAGTTGCTCCCCAAGGTTTCATGTGTTTCACCCTAGGGAGGCTTAACTGTGAGTCACAGGACTTTAGAGTCTATGGTATTTATTTATTTATTTAGAATATATAGAGTTCTGTGTATAGACAAAAATACCTAAGTGGTTTACAAAAATTGTAAAATGCCATAAATACAACAAAATAATTAAAAACTGAATCAGAATATATTCTGTTTAGAAAATTTCTCCATGAGAGATCATTACCATTATATGGGAAAATCAATCTGCTCTCGCTGGCTCTCTTACTTCATTCTCTCCTTCACACTTTCTTTGGGGGGGGGGATTCCCCTGGTGAAAGGTGGAAGGCGGTCCTAGCTGAGTGTTTTCCTTGACATGCTACTTCTCTGAGTGCAGGGATTTATTTTATTTTTATACAGAAGATTCAGTTTATTCTGTTCTCCTTGTTTGTTTGTTCCAAACCTTTATATCCCACTCTTCAGCCTGGAAGGCTCCCAGAGTGGCTTATATATCAATAAAAATAACATTGTTCCTGCCCTTAAGCATATAGTCTAGAAACACACCACACAAAAGGAAAAGGGGATGAGAAGGAAAGAGGAGAACAAGATTGCTGAGGCACCAAGTTCTTACTGTTATAAGGCTCTTATAATAGCCAGCTGGGAGAGAGAGGGTCTTCTCACCATTCAAAAGCAGTCCTTGTTGGGCTCCTGAGAAGCAGCCTGGTGAGCCAGCCTTTATGTAAGTGGCTGTAGTGTAGACAAGTTGTTGGCCTTATAGGGTGAAACCTTGCTGGAATCTGCCAGCTTCTTGTCTCACCTGCAGTTCTGAAGTGGTACAGCCCAGAGACAGGTTGATTGTCTCTTCCCCACTCCCTGCAGAGTGGATTCATACCAAAAATGGATAGTATTCTTGGTTGACCTCTGTAACTTGCAACACTCCCAAGCTGAATGCAGCCCACCAGGAGCTTGATAACACCTCTTTTAGCTGCCTGCCAAGCTCTACAAGCACAAAGCACTGTCAAGCACACAGACGTGGCTGCATTCAGTTTGATAAGTCATAGTTGTATAAGCCTGGCTTAAGGATTCCTCTTCTTTCTTTGCAGACATCCACCCCCCTCTCAGATCCCCTGCTCATGTTGCTTAATATTTAAGTTGCTCACAGACAGGGATCTAAGTGTTTTGCCTTGGAAAATCCCAAATGATGTAGCATGGAATCCCCTGTGATTCAAACACAGTCCTTTATTAAGCAAAATAGGGAACTGATGCTGCTGTTCTTAAACTGATGACGTGGAGCGTTTACCCAGAGGGTTTTAGGCCCCTTTGGAACCTTTCCATATTAGGCAGTGAGGGGGGAAAGGGAGAGGGTGTCAAAGAGTTCAGTAGCTAGGCTTTAGAACAGGCATAGGCAAACTCCGACCCTCCAGATGTTTGGGACTACAATTCCCATCATCCCTGATAACTGGTCCTGTTACCTAGGGATGATGGGAATTGTAGCCCCAATCATCTGGAGGGCCAGAGTTTGCCTGTGCCTGCTTTAGAACATAGGATAGGCAACAGGCTGCCTTGCACAGAGTCAGAACATCGGTCCATCTAGCTCAGTGTTGCCTCACTCTCCATGATTTCAGGCAAGAGTCTTTTCCAAGCCTACCTGGAGATGCCGGGGATTGAACCTGGGTAAAGGTAAAGGACCCCTGGACTGTTAAGTCAAGTCAAAGATGACTATGGCATTGCGGCAGTCACCATTTGCTTGCAAGGCATAGGCTCTGCCACTGAGCTATTGCCCTTCTGCTAGTTTATGGGGCTGGAAGATGGAGCATAGTGATTTCACACAGTGCTCATAGTCTCCTGCCATTTGAGGCAATGTTGACTTACCAGAGCAATCCACTTAGTTACTTCTGAAGTGATTATTCAGGGGATACAACACTGCCTATACTATTTACATGCATAATACACAGGTTGCTTTCCAGCAAGAATATCAGGTTGAGTGGATTTATCGTTGGCATTGCAAATTTTGTCCTCCATGTTCCATACCAGCCCTTACTGACTACTCTCTACATCAGGGCGGCACAGCTTTTCATAGCAAGTGGGCTGCAAGAATACTTTGACAGGAAACCCACAGGAGGTGTGAGGCTCTGGCATGGTCCTAGAGCCCTCCTACCTCCTTCCCAAAGCTGGGAAAGTGCTAACTAGGTTTTGGGAAGGAGGCAGGATGTCATGGGCTGGCTGGATGCAGGGGAGTGATGGGAGGCATCAATTGGGGACCCCCAAGGGAAGAAGGCTCAGAGCCAGGGAATTGGTGGTGGGACGAAGATGAGTGGACAGAGGGAGAAGAGTTTCAAAGACTTGCAGCCAACTAAGCCTTTCTCAGAGTAGGCCCAATGAAGTTAGTCATAGCCATTAATATCAGTTGGTCTACTCTGAGTAGGACAACCCAAAGAGTCTGATGGAAGGTGATATCTGAGTCCTAATGTCTGTGCTTGCCCTGTTGTCCACTGTTGCTTGATCCTAGTGCATGATTATCTTGAACTACTGGTATTTTCTGCCTCAGATCAGCTGAAGCCACCTTTTGTTTTTATAATTGTAGGATTAGGAAAGAGTACTAGTCCCTGTGAGTCATGGGGATGTTGCAAGTTGCTATCCTCCTTGGGAAATTATAGTGAAAAATCTAACTTGTAGCTACTGCCTGTTTGTGGTTTAGTTCAGATGCTCTTCCAAACGATTGTGAGCGTTGTGGGGCTCAGTTGCTCCTTCCTTCCCTCTTGTGTAGTTTCACTTTCTTTTTCCTGTTTAATGAGAACCTGATGTCCAAATCAGCAGTTAATGTTGCCCCTCTCCCCAACCTGAATCAGAAACTAGGGTTTGAAATGGGCTTCTGATTCCACTTCGGAAGGCAAGCGTTAGCCATGGGTGGTTGATTTGGACGTCACAACAAGGTAGACTTTAGCACTAGTCAGAAATTAGAGAGGGAAGCCATTTGAGAGAAAGAGGGAACTTGGTAGTCAGTGGGTTGTTTGCCATCTTCTAGCCACAGTTGGGAGGTTTTTCTGAATTTAGCTTGTGTTTGATTTACAGGAAGGTTTTGAGGCAGAACACAGGCATTATCTGAAAACCCAGTTCAATATTTATGGAACTAGGTGGATTTGGCAGAGATCTGTTCTGTAACATCCCATTAAGCTCACTGGGTGATTTTGAGCCATGGTCATTGTGAGACTAAGAATAGGGGAGGATCCATATAGGGGAAGAAGAAGCCACCTTCAACTCTTTGGAGGAAAGGCAGAATATAAATGTAATGAATTAACATCAGCTTCTAGTAGCAGGAATACTAGCTTTCTGAACAACTAAGCTTACAGCAAGAATTTTGAAATAGTTTTTAATTGGAATTAAGTTGCTTTGTGCATCACACCAGAATTTAAGCAATGACAAGCAAATGTCTCCTTTTTTAAATACAGGAAGAGATTTGTCACATACTGCATTCTGTTTCATAGTCACACAATTGGGGCGTGTACATCAGTATTTTTTAATCTGCCCACTTCATTCCAACTTAAAATTGTGTTGTGCTTTACACGAGTCAGTTTCTTTAACTTCTTCCTCCACCAGCCCCTGATGAACACCAAATGATTGCCTTCATCTTGTAAAGGGAAACTGGCTCTCCCAAGAAAGCTGGCCGCTTTGGCTGGGGCTTTTGCCCCAGGGTTCACAATTGGGAAAGGCTGAGAATAGTCATAGGCTCACTTCCTGTGACAAGAGGAAAGCAGCACTAGCCAGAATCAGAGTGCCTGCTGGTTTGTGACTTGATGAAATCACCATCCTAATGCAACTCTTGCAAGTACCGTGCTCTAACCCCTGCAAGACCCCAGTTCCAGTTCAGCTGCCACCCTGGATATGTGTGCATTCGCATGATCTTGTTAGTAGTTTTAAACTTGTTTAATGATGGCCTTCTCTAGTGCACGGGGCTTTGTTGTCAACAGGCTAGACCTGGGGTGGGGGACCTCAGGTCTTGGGGCCAAATGAGACCCTCCAGGCTTTACTGTCTAGCCCTTGGAACTATTTCCAGGCCATCCTCTGGATTGAGGATTCAGAGCGTGGGTGGGTGGGTGTGTAAAAACCAGCCTACTGTACAATGCTAAAATTCACATATATTGCTGCACCCACTTCCACCCCTAGCCCTGCTCAACATTGGCATGTGGCCCTTGAATGGTTGCCCAGAGGGGAATATGACTCCCGGGCTGCAAAAGGTTCCTCACTTCCGGGCCAGACTAATAAACTGGCACATGTAAGGGCAGCCATCTGGACTTTCTGTATAAGGAAGTGATTTGTTTTATTGTTGACGTTTAAGTTAATCTGATGCTGAAACTTAGGCTGATTTTAAATATGGTACTGCAAAGGTAGCTGAGCTACAAGTGCTTGTCCTCACCCTACCCCATCTCCTGTTGGCCTGTTATGAATAGGATAGGTGGCAGCCTTTGCTGAGAAGCAGTGTTTGTGTCAGTTCACAACAGCAGCATCACGGCAATTTATGTGCCCAGTAGCCTCCTGAATCCTCCTCCAGACTGCAAGGAGGCAGTCGCCAGGTGCCTGTTCAGTTTGAGCTTGGCATTAAATTGGAGCCATAAAGCTAAAAGGAGCCTTGAGTGACAAACAGGCCTCACTTCCTGTTCCTGTTTGAAAGCTGCCATTTGGGAAGCAGGTTCATTCTACCGTCTTATCTCTGTAACTCCAGGGCTGGCTGTTTGACATTAGTTGCCTTTCAGATGGCCATGCGCAGTAGGAAATGAGAAATTTGGATCGAAATGTTTTGGGACTCTCGTTTGGAGCTCCTTTGTGACCATGTTGCTCAAGCACAGTGCCAGTTGTCCTTGATGATATTGGGTGTGTGTGTGTGTGTGTGTGTGTGTGTCTGTCTGTCTGTCTGTGTCTGTGTCAGACAGACTCTTGTGGTCTGGCCTTGTGCCAGCTAGAACCTAGATTGATAAGTACTGGAGAATATTTTAAAAAGAAGATACAGTCTAATCTTCCACAGGCTAGCTTGTTATCCCAGATTTACAGAAGCTTGCAAAGGTGTATTGATGCACCTATTGGCAGTAGAGGGAGCTAGCTTCTAAGCAGAAAGGAGAAGAAAAAAACTTGAAGATTAGTATGGTTCATTGGCTAATGCTCAATTCCAGCTCTGCCTCACCCAGTGGGCTGGGCGATGTTAGTCTCACAGCCACCTTTCTTCATGTGGGAAACTTAGGTGACTTACTAATATGGTGTCTGTAAGCTCCTGCCAACCTAGCAGTTCGAAAGCACGTAGTATAAATAGGTGCAAGTAGATAAATAGGTACTGCTCCAGCGGGAAGGTAAACGGCATTTCTGTGCGCTGCTCTGGTTCTCCAGAAGTGGCATAGTCATGCTGGCCACATGACCCAGAAGCTGTATAAAGCGGCCAATAAAGCGAGATGAGCGCTGCCACCCCAGAGTCGGCCACGACTGGACCTAATGGTCAGGGGTCTCTTTACCTTTACCTTTAAGGATGATGGAAAGTTCATGTGATATATTCCTAGTCCAAGTTCCATCTTTGAGGGCTTGCTTTGAGGGAGATGGCAAAGCTAGATTAGTATTCTTGCAAGTCCTGCTCAGTACTGCCCCCTTTGCAAGTCTAGATTTCTACCTGGCACATCATTGTTTTGTTAAGAACTCTGAACTTGTTCCTTTTAATAAAAATATTGTTATTTTAGCTTCATAATGAAGTGTTGAATTTTCCTTTTTTAAACAATTAAAACTGGACTTAAGAACCTAGCAGGGATGAATTTGGTGCACAAACAGAAGCTCCCAATGGATTGTAATATAAAAGCCCAAGAGAACAAGAAAGCATTTGCCTGGCACCCCCAAAACTCTTGTTCTTAGGCACAAGGGGAGCCTCTTTGAGGGGGGCATTTCCCAAGCAGAGTCCCACCACTGAAAAGGCCCTCTCCCAAGTAATTATTCTCAAGTTCTGGGCAGATATGTATTAGGAGAATTGTGTGCTTTTGAGGATTAACATGGCCAAAATGAAATGTAGATTCCTCTGCTTCAGTTATGTGGACTTTGGCTAGCATGCAGTTGGTGGTGGTGATCATGATGAAGATGATGGTGCATTTGATTTGCTGTGTTAGATTTTTTGATCGAAAGGTTCTCAGGGCAGGGCAACTGGTTTGCCCTTGTGCTTTTTTTTTAAAGTGCCATCAAAGTAATGTGCTTGAGCATATTTGATTCCATGTCAGTTGTGTTATTTTATTTACTTACTTTATTTTTCAGATTTCTGCCCTGCCCTTCCTCCCAAAGGAGCATAGAGCAGCAACATACTCGGGTTGAAGTAGCTTCAGGATGAATATTTTTGGGTTGCGCTCCGCAGCGACCTGGAAGTAATGGAGCGCATTACTTCCGGGTTTCGCCGCTCACGCATGCGCAGATGCTCAAAATGACGTCATGCGCGGAAGCGGCGAATCGTGACCCGTGGACGCAGGTTACGTTCGCTTCAGGATGCGAATGGGGTTCTGGAACAGATCCTGTTTGCATCCTGAGGTAACATTAATAATCACGTAAAACATTTTAGAACATCAAAACACATTTAAAAATGATCACACACCCTCACAGTTGCTTATTTCAAGGTTGTCATCATGGCCAGTATTTTTTCAGTCATCAAATGCCTGGGTTAGCAGGAATGTTTGTACGTTTTCCTGAAAGTCAGTGAGGGAGATGAACTTGTCTCAAGTCAACACCAACCAGAGGCAGCACCACCAACATGGCCTCCCATGCTGATCTTTGGGTCCTATTAGTGGTGGGGGATCTTCAGGTACTTGATCCCAAGCCATTTAGGACATTGTATGCTAGTACTAACACCTCAAATTAGGGTGGTGCATGGTCCCACCCGGCTGCCCCACTTGCCAACCTAGTAGCCACTTTCTGCACTAGCTGCAGTTTCTGGGTTGTCTTCAAGGGCAGCTCCACATAGAGCACATTGCAGTAGTCTTAAGTGGGAGCTCACTAGAGTCTGGGCAGTTGAGATCAGGCTGTCCAAGTATGACAGTAGTCCAAGTAGTAGGCAGTTCAGCCCAACCTGGGCATCAACACTCCTGGCCAAACAATTCAGTTGAGACTTCATTGAGAAGTTGGAATCCAGGCATACTCGCAGACTAGGAACCTGTTCCTTCAGGGGGAGTGCAACCTTTCCAGAACAGGTTCTACATCTAATTCCTGGGCATGGGAACCACTCATCCACAGAAACTCCATCTTATCAGAATTCAACCTCAGTTTGTTGGCCCCCATCCAACTTTTTACTGCTTCCAGACACCAGTCTACTTTCTTCACAGCCTCTCCTGATTCAGATGGAATGGAGAGTTTCCAAATGGTTTGGGGTGGCTTACATGGTTCTCCTCTTCCTTCATCCAGTGCAGTTTAACTATGGCATTTGCTCCCACAAGATATAGTGATGGTCACCAACTTTGATGGCTTTAAAAGGGGGTTGGACAGATTTGGAGGATAAGACTATGTTCTTTCTACACTAATGGGTCCTGTTTGTGGATGGGCATCTGCTTGACTACAGTAAGAATAGGATGCTGGACAAGATAGGCCACTGGCCTGATCCAGCAGTACTGTTCTTATGACCTTTTCAAGCAGGAAAGTGTTGCTGTGATTGTAAATGAAAAGGGAAATAAGTAACATGGCTTTCTTTGACTGGTGAGTATTTTTGTTAAATTTTATTGCAAATTACTTGCCTGTATCAATAGAGATTTTGGTCATATATGCATTGATTTAAATTTAATTCCAGAATGAGCATCAACGTAAACTGGCTGACCGCCCTATGTGGCTTCCTCCTCAAATGTTTTGGCTCTTGGCTTGGTGGATTTATACCAGGTGCGGGGAACCTGTGGCCCTCCAGATGTTGCTGAGCCACAACTTCTATCAGCCCCAGCAATACTGGAAGTTATCATTCAGCAACATCTGGAGGGCCACAGGTTCCCCACACCTGGTTTATAGTTTTTCTTAACCCCCACCCCTTTTACTCGTAAGGAGTGACTTCAAATGAAGCATAATCTTTTCCTAGGTGACCTCCTTCTGTCAGAGGTAAATAGCTCTGTCTCCTTTTGTTAACTCTTCAGTGGGTGTTTATTCAGAACAAACATACTGCGGGGAGATGCAAATGTAACTGGAGTTTCTCTGCTGGGTAACCGGACTAACAAGTTCTGGCAGGAAACCGGAAGGGCTGCGCTAAGGGGTGGTGATGGAACTTTCTCCATGGCTGCCTAGCTCAAAATGAAGTTGGGGGGGGGGAGAGAAGGAAGTTCCTAGGGCGACAGGTTAGCAAAGTTGGTGAAACAGCCTATCCACCACACAGCTTTCTAGGGGTGTGGGTGTACTTTTTAGCTGGTGGCCTGAGGAAGCATCCTTTATTCCACCCCGTATTTGCTTTTACCTTTCTGTGTTTTTTTTCTCCTTCAAAGAACCTTTTGGCATTTAAGGAGATTTAGATAAACTTTAGAGGCTAGATTGAGCTCTCTTTTGGGAGCTGTTCAAATCCCTGCAGAGCCAGGAAGCTTTTCTGTGCAGCCTTGGTCCCAGTTGCCTCCCCATTCTGCCTAATCCGCCTCACGAGTTTCATGAGGAGGTGAACTAGAGGGAGGACTCCCAAGTAGAATTGCACTGATATATTTTCATGCAGGGGTCCTTTAAAGCAGGAGTGGGTAGCCTGTGGTTCCCCAGATATTGCTCCCATCTTTCCTGATCATTGGCCATACTGGCTGGCACTTACAGCAGTTCAGAGTCCAACAACATCTGGAGGGCTACAGGCTCTTCCCCATCCCCCGCCTTGAAGCATATCATAGGTTTTTATGCCCAGGGTCTGCTCTGTATGAGATAGATAGAAACATACACACCAAGAAAGACAGAATTCTGTCACTGTCTAAATGCTGGTTGCCACAGAATAAATGGTGTCAGGAACCAGTCCCCTCAAATGAACCCCCCTGGTTTAAACTCATTTTCTTTCTTTTTTTAATGCTCTTGAAATTCACTTTATGTAAAGCCTGGTCTGTGTTTTCCACAGAATATCTGCTTTTTTCCGGGGAGGATCTGTGTGTACACATCATATCTGTATTTCCTCTGCCAGTATGCTGAGATGATAGTCTGAAGCTCCCAAACTTAAAGGCTGAGTTTTCTTCCAGTGTACAGTTTCATTGCTTTGGAGCAGTAGATATGGATCAATATACTAATCAGTAATGACATGCATTCCTAGCTTCTTTGGGGCCAGAAGTGAGGTGGATGACATGGTGGCCAGACTAAAACTGGCCAGATGATGTGAAGTAGCAGCCATTTTGATAGATACCCACCTGAGATAGCATAACATGAATAATGAGAATTTCATTCTCTTTCCTCAACCCCATACTTTTGTCACACTCCAGCTTGACCAAGAGTGAAATGCCTTTAGGGGAGGGTCATAGTTCAGTGGTCGATCACATTGTTTGCAATTAAGGCTGGAAAAGCCCATGTCTGAAATCTGGAGAGTCACTACCAGACAGTGTCTGTGAATGGTCCCTAAGCTAAATACACCCGTGGTCTGACTCATTACAAGACGGTTTTTCATGTTCCTGGGTAACAAGCTCAGAATGGTGCAGGTAGAAGCAACTTGATTTTTTGATTTTTTTTTGTAATAGGGAGGGAGCAGGGTTAACACACAAGTGGTGTTCCCCAAATACACCTGTTATCCCCACTTAAATTAATAGATACCAGAGTTAGGCATTGCACTTGGGGACCCTTTGAGAGGAAGAGAAGTCTAGCCTGCTCTCCTCTGGAGACTTATGTGGCTTGAGCCTTCCTAGACAGGGTTCCCACAGGAAATGCAATACATCTTTGTGTGCACACATCACTATGCAACACTTTGAACAATTGTTGGACATGGTCCCCTCACAATGCACTTACAGTATTCCTTTGTTTGTTGGTTTTACAAACATGAAATGTGTTAAAACTTTTATGCCTTTTGAAATATTGGTGGCTTTAAGACAAGCACACCAAATTGATGGTGAATATACAGCAATGTTTTTCAAGCCTCAGCCTCAGGTGACTCCAAAACCTTAGATAAGAATGTCAAATTGATGTTGGATTCTAGCCGAAATAAAATGCAAGGAAGGGTCATTACACTGTGTGGGATAATTGTGTGTTAGGGTGTCCCTCCATCTCCTCCTCCAGATGTCTGCAGGCTGTTGTTTGCCTTTAATTGGTGAATGAGGCTAATGACTCCTAGGATATCTTGTGGTGATTGTTGTTTACCCAAACAAAATTTGGTTCTGAGGCAACTTGTGTATTGGCTCAGCAGAACAAAAATTGGCTTGATGTAGACTAAGAATTTGAAAAGATTCTTGGATGACCCAGAGAAGGAACTTAATCTGGGCCTTTACAAAAGCAGATGAGACTTTCTCAAGTGCACATTCACTTGCTGACTGTCTTCCCCACTCAGGCAGGCTTACATTGTGGAATAAATTTGAAGCACATAAGAATCTGAAGCCCAGAACATGCGTGTGTGTGCTTTGTTCTATGAGCCCATAGATTTAGAGACCAAGTAGAGAATCTGCCATTTAGTGATGCCTTTATTCTTTCCTTGGGTTACTCTCCCACACACACCTTTCCTCTTTTTTGCCTATGTCAGGTTTTAAATTGTCTGCTCCTCAAGGTAGGACCTAGCCCTCCTGTGCTGAGTGAAGTGCCAGACACATTAAATGCACATTTGTACAAATAATAATGTGATGCAGAATTTGATCATAAGGATCTCCTTGCTTTGACCAGGTGTGGGGAACCTTTTGCCATGCATGCTGGTGCTGATGGGAGCTGTAGTTTGGCAACAACTGGAGGGCCAGAGTTTCCCCACTCCTGCTTTAAACATACAGACAGCTGCTCCAGCCTTCTCCATTGCATAACATAGTATGTAGGGGTGTGGATGTGTTAAACCTCTCCTCTTATGTTTTATGAGGGCCAGGTCACAGTGCACCTTGTCAGTGCCATCCATGCAAATAGTTGGCTATCTTGCCCTTGTTTTCCCAAAGAGAACTTTGGAAACTGAAGGCCAAGAAATGACTGGGGTGGGCTGAGCTGGCACAAGGGTGTCTTTTTTAGACTTTTCCAGAGGTTAGTACTTTTCATATGTTTTCTGAGGCTTTTAGTGGTTTTAGTGGCTTTTTATAGCTTTTATTGTCTCGCTGCTGCTATTATGATTTTTATTTTATGTAAGCTTTATTGATCTCCACTCTTAGGTTTGAAATAACTTAATAATTTATTGCCTCCATTTTTGCTTGTATTTGTCCTCTCTGTAAGCTGCTTTGTATCTTTAATTTTAATAGAAGAGCAGTCTCAGATAGGTTAAATAATTGTTCGCAGTTGCCCTATTAATATCAGGAGAAGCTTGTTCGACCAGACAGCAGCCTCCCTATGTGCATGTGCATTTTGGAATCCTTTCAAAATGGAGAAGGTGAACTGAGGTTGCTCTCCAATCAGAAAGTGTTCACAGAATGCCACTCTCCTGCATCAGGGTTTCATAGGGAAGCCTGTGGAAATGAGCTAAGTAGTGGGGTGGTTAAGCCAAATGACATCCTACTTACTCTGAAGTAGGGAACCTCCAGTTCCCAAAATGGAAACCCAAGGTGCAGCATATTAATTTTACCAGGCCCATTTGCAAGTCTAGTGGGCAAACGGAGCAGTGACGGGATATCTTAGTGGATGGCATGTGGCAGCTGCTGTTGTTTTTCATGGGGACAGTGCTTACCAACCATTCTAGAGACTTTGAACAAAGCAGAGGTTCATGATTGGCTATCTGTGACACTGCAGAGTTGGCCTGATGGGATGCAGCAGAGCACTTCCGAGACCAAAGGGAAAGGTGTGAATTTGAATCTTGTTTGCTGTGACCATAACTGGATGCAGGTCATATGTGTGAAGCTTTTGGAGGGGTGGGGTTATTATTTGCACTGTTGCTGTACATTACACTTGACAGAGATTTTACAGTCTACCCTGATGGTCATGTAGGCCAGTGTCCTCAATTGGTGGTCCACCCAGGGGCTCCATGGCACCATTCACACAATGAAAACCACCATAGAGACATCATTTTTTTTTTCAAAAGCAGGGGTCCATGGCTTGGCTTTTGAAAAACGGGGTCTGCAGTACTGATGAAGACAATACCAACCTAGATGGATGGGTGGTGGGACTTGGTGTGCAGCAGCTGCGATATTCCTACAATGTATGCCTGTTGAAGATTAGGGTTTGTATTGCAACACCTGCAATTCAACAACCAACTAAATTACAGAGGGAAGTATTTGGCTGTCTTCTTTCTATCCATATAGGGAAGCCTCTGGAGAAAGAAAATTCTAGACCCTGCAGCACCGCCCCAATTTGGCCCAGGGCTCTGTGCATGTCATGCCTGCGGGAAGCTTCTCATCTCCAGTCAGCTGCAGTTGCAAATTCCCAGCCTTCAGGGGCCTTGAACAAAAGGCTCCATCCTGCATATACTCCAGTAAGGGTCAGCCCCCTCTAGGCATCTCTAGGCAGCTGCTTTGGAGCAGCATCAGGGTTGGAGGGACTCTCCTCTAATTTGCACATTTAATCCCTGCTCATTTTCATGAATGTGACAGGAAGGTGCTGAATGAACTGCTGACTACATTTCCTCTTGTGCACCATTCTCATTCCTACATCAAACGTTAAGAGTTCAGGCAGACCTTTAAAAACACACAACTGATACAAAATCATGAGAGTTGGGAAACATAGTTAAGTTGGTCTTCCGTCTGCTTTCTACAAGCAGAAAGAACACCATGTTTATTATGCTCCTCAACACTCATGATTTCCAAGTAAACTAGTAACAATAAAGATGCGAACTAGTATTTCTTTTTTGTCGTTAGTTTTTAAAACTTATTTAATACTAGAATCTAAAATGTAACTCGCAGGAACCTACCCTGGGAGTGGTGTTAGCTATACATGTGTTCCACTTTGTGGGTTGGGGGTAGTGCTGCAAGCTCTAATCCAGTGTATTGATAAACTAATACTTTAACAGATGACAATTAACACTTGTGTGGGGGTGTTTCACTACTGTCTTGTTTTGGCTGTTGCCGTAATGACACTGAAGCAAATATCCAGCTGCTGGAAGTAGTTTTAATTTGAACTACAAGTTACCTTGCACTTCCTTCAGTATTTCAAATAGGGTATATATGCTGATATTTTGGTAAGCTGCACTGTGACAAATGAAAGTGAGCATTCCCTGGCTGCTGGGAGCCTTTGTTACCTTCCTGTTTCCTAATGAATTGTTCTCTCATAGAACCCCACACCCCCACCCTGCTCTGTAATCCTCATGCAAATTTATTTTGGCCTGATTGCAGGTTGGGGAGCTCTGTATTAGCACACTTACTTTGCATGCAGAACGCCCCAGATTCGATTTTCAGCATCTCCAGTTATCAAAGGATCTTTGACAGTAGAGCTGGGAAGACTTCTTTCTGCCTGAAACTTGAGAGAGCTGTTCCCAGACACAGCCGACACTTATGTACTTAAATATATTGGCCCTCTTTGGATGATCACGCTTACTAAACTGAGATACTTATGAGCACCTTTCCTTGACCTGTGATTAAACCAGGAAATCTCTAATTAATTAAACTTCATTTTGTACTTGTGTCTAAAATAAGGAAACTGTGGTTATCAGCTTCAAAACAAGCCTTAAACAAACATCATACTGTGGTTTAAGAGCCTAGCTTGTTCTGAAGTTGGCAACTATAGTTTCCTGATGATCACGAAATAATAAACTATGGTTAAAGAGACATCCTAGTTGGAGCCGTGTTGAAGGTGGCCACTGAGTCAGACCACTGGCAGCTTTGTGTACAGAACCATGGGTGCTTTAAAAAAATCTTAATTCTAAGGTGCACACTCCTCCTGAATTTTGTAAGCACAGTGTTGAGTGAATTGGAGCAGTTCACAGCACCTCTGTTCCTGGCTGCTGAGAAGCTGGCACCTGAAAAGGTTTTTCCCTGGAGTAGAAAGTTTGTCCCAGTTGTGGGGGTGGAGATGGAGCTTAAAGATTGCAGCATGTCTGGAGCTGCTATCCCTATTAGGGAGTTGTAATACCCTCTTGTGGTATTGTGGCTCATTTTAACAGCTGTGGCACCTCTGCAAATGGGCCTTTTCTGTCCTTTTTGCTAGGGGGATCTGCAATGTAGCTGAATACTTTTGGCTGCTGCATCTGTGTTCTGCGTTCACACACTGGAGAGGTGGGGCTGGTTGCCTGGAGGCAATTGTTAATTGCTGCAGGTGATCAGATGTGGGTGAAGGGATGGTATGGAGTGGTTTGGGCTTCATAATGCTATACGTATACAGAAAACCATGGCCCTTGGTGCCTGTACACAGCTGAAAGAGATTGCTTATAACTAGGTAGATAGCCTATAACTGCAGTTTTGTGGGAACGCACACACAAAAGTTGAATATAGTCTTGGATGCAGGTTTCAGATGTTCAGGTTTCATGGTGTTCTTTAAAGCTATCTGGCCCTAATGGCTTGCAAGGATATGGGCAATGCCTCATGAAACCACTGAAGCCGAAGTATATCAACTTTCCAGTGATCAGAGAACCATAGAAAGTGAATACATTTTATGTTGCGGGGAGGTGGGGGGCAGAATGGCAGGATATATTGGGCAGGATTTGATGCTTGGGCAGGATAAATTGGGCAGAATTCATGCTGAGGTGTAGAATTTATACCAGTTGCAGAATTCAGCTTCCCAAGCTGCAGAACTCTGTCTCTCTAAGTGCAGAGTACACCCAGCCCTGCCTAGAAGCTGTTTGCTCAGCCGTACCTCTGTACAATCTCTCCTAGGCTTTCTCTCCCTTCCACTCCTTTCAAATTGGCAGCCTTTTAAAAAAAGCAAAAAAAAATCTGCCTTGCAAACTTAGTAGGCTCTGCAGGGCTCAGTCAACAGAGTTGCCTGTCAGAGCTCCAGATCACCTGACAGCAGGTCAAAGGGGTAACGTCATCCTTTTTTCCTTTGCTTTCTCTTCCCCTCCCTGGTTTTCTCCAAAGCCCTGCCTGCCGATTGCATGGGTGGGGCAGGCAGCTTCCTGTGGGGGAGAACCTGACGTTGCTGTAACTCATTCTCTCTCACACTTTCTCTCCTCCCAAGTGAGACGCAGGTTTCCTCCTACCTTCTGTCTTGAGTGGGGGGTGGGGGAGGATCTAGCAATTCGGACTTCCTTCTGGAGTAAACCTTGATTGGATTCTAGAATAACCCGTTACCTCTATTTAACTATTTGGTTTTGGGGTGTTTTTTTTGAGGGGTGTGTGTAAGATATTTCCCCGCCACCATCACTCAGACTTTAAAAGAGGCTTGGAGGACTTGCCAAACAACCCAGGTGCTCTCTGGCTCAGCAAGTGGGGAAATTGCGAAAGGTGTTGCCTCGCTCAGGTATCGGAGGTGGAGACTTGGGCACCGGCTGGATGAGGAAGCTCCACACTTCCTCAGTTCTGTTGCTGTACTTTGCTCCGTCAGGAAAGTTTTGGGTCAACAAATGAAGGGGTAAACGCACCGTCCCAGGAAAGGATTATTCCCTCTTGAGTTTCCACGAGCTGCTGCTTTGCTCAGACTTGTTTGCAGTAATTTTGGGATACCTGCCTTATCCGTTTCTTCACGGCCGAGAAAGCAGGCAACTGGATCCAGTCTTTTCTCCCTCTCTTTCTCATTTTTTCTTTGGCCTCTCTTGGAGCAGCGGTGGATCGATGAGGTACAGCTTGCCTCTGACTGGCAGAGGCACTACTGCGTGAGGTAGCAGAGAAGACTACGATTAATGAGTGGAGGACATAGATACGTTGTGCCTATGACAATGGGAGTAGTAAGTCTCTTGTATTACTGGGAATGGTTCCTGGGGTCCAAAATGGGATTCTTATATGAGGTGGTGGATTAAGATCTGGTGATTATATGAGGAAAAACTGGTATTTTGTGGCTAGTGATCTGATGGAGGTAGGAAACTGAGTTTCCAATAGGGGCTCTATTTAGAGAATGTGACCCCCCCAACTCACCTTTCTTTTACACCCTGGGATAAATTGGGATCAGGCCTCAGACTCACATGCTCTCTCTTCCTCCTCACTGCAAGAGTGAGTAACTGAACAGGGAGATCCCTTATAAAAAAAACTTCCTTGACCTCAGAAAGGTAAAATTCACCAATCCCAAGGGCTAGGAAGTAGGTTTTAATTCCATGCAGATTGGTAAGATTTTGGGCATGCGGTCCTTTCAGGTTGGCCCATTGTGAGTGAGGAAAGCAGACTCAAGCTGAGGCCTCATTCTTGATCTCTCTCTACCCAAGTACTCTCCTGGAAGGGTAGGGGAATATTGCTGGATCAGAACTGGCTTTGTTTTATCCCAGGAGAGACCTTCTGAATCAGACCAGCAGCCCATCCAGTCCAGCATGCTGTTCTCACAGTGGCCAACTAGATGCCCGTGGGAAGCCTGTGAACAAGACCTGTGTGCACCAACAGCACTTTCCCTTCCTGCAGTTTCCAGTAACCGGTATTCAGAAGCATACTGCCTATAGCAATGCAGGTAGAACATAGCCATCAGGCTTAATAGGCATTTGTAGACTTATTCTTCACAAACAGAGGCCCTTGCACAGGTTGAAAGTACCCCTCTTGGAAATGATGACTTTATAAGCCTCTAGCGACAAGGGGCAGTGTACTAGAGAACAACAGCAGTAGAGGACCATTATGCTCTTCTGTCCTGCTTATGGGTTCCCCCTCAGCATCTGGTTGGTCCCTGTGGAAAGCGGGATGCTGGGCTTGGATAGGATAGCCGTTTACCTTCCCGCTATAAAGCGATCCCTATTTATCTACTTGCACTTAAGAGTGCTTTCGAACTGCTAGGTGGGCAGGAGCTGGGACCGAACGACGGGAGCTCACCCCACCGCGGGGATTCGAACCACCGACCATACGATCGGCAAGTCCTAGGCACTGAGGTTTTACCCACAGCGCCACCCGCGTCCCCGACTTAAGCTTTGTGCCCTTAGTTTTTCGATACTTCTCTTAGCCTTGGTACTTTTTGGTATCGTGGATTTATTGATGGATTATTCTTCCTATTTTTATTTTTGTCCTTATTTTTTAAATACCTGTCAACTGTTTTGAGCAATATGTTTGTGGTGGGAAAAACAGGATGTACATTTTTGGATAAAATAAATAAATCAGATTTTCACAGAATGGGTAAACTCGGATCACAGTTTATTTCAGGATACTGTAAGTGACTTAACTGCATGACTTCAGGCATCTGACTTTTTTAAAAATCTTACTCTGAAAATAATTTTTATTTTATTTATTTAATAAAATTTCTATACTGCTTGATTGTAGTAAAACCTCTAAGCCATTTTACAATAAATATTCCAATTTACAAGAAATGTTTAAACTAATTAAAAGCTTTAAAAATAATGACAATTAACAGTAAATTAATATTAAAACATGCCATCATTAACATGTCCAGATAGGCTTGCCCAAACAAAAATGTTTTAAGCAGATACCGAAAAGAGTACAGCGAAGGTGCATGCATGATATCAACAGGCAGGGGATTCTAAATAAGAGCTATGAGCCAGTTAAATCATTTTTGTTTATTTTAAACTGTTTTTTAATTGATAAAATAATTTAATTTGGATGTTACCACAACCTGTGTTGTTGAGAGCTAGCGAGCAAAAGGGAGTGTTTAAGGAGTAAAGTGCAATTTAATAAACAAAAGCTGCCACTCAGTCATTTATTTATTTTAGAAGGAAGATTGTTTTTAATCTGTTGATTAAAGCTTAAACAACAAAGAGTCTTGTGGCAACTTAAATGACTTAAACAAATGTAATATGGCGTAAGCTTATGTGTACTAGAGCTTATACCATAATTTTATTAGTCTTGTTAAGGTGCCAAAGGGCATTCTTGGTTTTGCTGCAACGGACTAGGCTTGATATTCCTCTGAAAAGTTATATTACAAAGAATGATCTCTTAAGTTGGGAGAGGGAGAGCAGCATTTTAAAAAGGTTTGAATGATGAGCTGGTTCAAGAAGAGATAATTAGAACAGTGTGTTTGATTTAGACCTCTGTGCTCCTCGTGGTCTTGAGCCTGTTAGATGATCATAAAGCTCTTAACTTCCTTTCCTGATCATGGCCTAGTTCTTGCTAGGTAATGCTATACCTTGAGTATCTCTCTTCAGACTGGGGACTCGTGGGATGGGATGGCTCCTCCATATTATAATATAATGGGGAAATCTCTGCACATAGAAAACTAACTTGTAAGGAGATGGGCAGGTGCTAGGAATCACAAAAGCTATTGGACTATTGCTTGTGGTCTTCCCATAAGCATCTGGTTAGCCACTGTGAGAACAGGATGTTGGACTAGATTGGTCTCTGGGCCTGATCCAGAAGTCTTACGGCTCGACTGAAAACATCCCCTGCTGCATTTTCTGCCCAAGTTACCACAGTACCTCTTGTTTCTTTCCGGAACGATTAGGACTGCCATTGCCATCCTCCACTCCAGATTTTGAGAGGTGGGTTCTTCCAGATAGGTCTTTGCACAACGTGGGGTGCTAGCATAAGGCCACTGGTTGGAGACACTGGTGAGCCTTCTCCACAGAGCAAGCACTTTGAAGATAAGAAGAACCTTGCTGCTGGATTGGGCCCAAGGCCCGTGTCCAACATCCTGTTCTCAGAATGCCCAGCAAGCAAGACCTAAGTGCAACTGTGCTCTCACCAGTTTTGATTCCCTAGCACCTGGTATTCTGAGGCTCACTCCAACAGTGGAGGTGGAAGATAGCCACTGTGGCTAGTAGCTATTGCTAGCCTTACTGTTTCTTCCATGAATGTATCCAATCCTTTAAAGTCTGTAGGCATCACTACATCTTGTGGGAGCAAGAGGGATCTGGCTTCGGGGATAGCCACGCAAAGCCTCTTGAGCGCAGCGGGAGCGCTCTTGCCTCTTCGCTCAAGAGGCTTTGCGTTGCTTTCTTGTTTCTTGTTTTCCTCCTCTAAAAACTAGGTGTGTCTTATGGTCGGGTTTGTCTTATAGAATGAAAAATACGGTATTTTTCATAGTCAGATCACTCCCTGTTGAGGTTTATGGCTTATAGCAACTGTTCCCCTCTACAAGGGGGGTGGGTACTAGAGGATAATGAATTCTGTTGGGCTCTAGTGAGTTTTCTGGCTGGTTTGACTGGCAGTTCTTTCAAATTCCTGGTCACTCTGTGGAATGCAGAGATTACACGAGTGGTTGTCGAGCTAAGCTGAACCCTACACCTGAGCCGAGGGCATTGAAGCAGGTTGAAAGATGGCATGAACACATCTGGATAAGATTTCATGATGAGTCCGACCGAACACAAGAGCTAATTATCAAGCCTTCTCTGTAGTGATGGTGAAGTAGCCATTTTTCTACACCATAATTGCATTCCCACAAAGCCATCCTGTGGAGCTTTTCCAAATGGTTTTGAGTCTTTTGAAATCTAATTTGATCGATTTGGTGGAATCCCAGTACCGTAGTTCTTTGTGATGTGTTTGCAAGGGACTTTGAGAACAAAATTGCCTGTATCCACCAATTTTCGGACCTCACAATTGTCTTGCTGGATAACTTTTACCTTTTAGGGCCTGTGGATGTGGCCCTTGCCTATCCTAGCTAACTGCATCAAGCAGAGAGGGGGGGTGACTGGTTGAGTGCAGGAAGTAGCAAATTCCTTGTTAACAGAGGGTATATTCCCAGCCTCCTTTATTCCCAGGCAATAGTGTTACTATTCCTAAAAAGTTTCATTGGGCCCAGAAGTTCTGAACAACTGTGGGCCAATTGCTAACAAACCCTTCCCGGACATAGTGTTCAAGCAGTAGTTGTCAGCCGTCTCCAGACACTCTTAGATGAAACTCATTTTCTAGGTCCATTTCAGTTGAGGTTTTGGCCTTGTTTTAGCAATAAAACTGCCTGGGTCACTCTGTAGCATGACTTTTGCTCAAAGTGAGATGGAAGTGCAACCCTACTGATTCTCTTGATCCCTCAATCAATCATGGTATCATTCTGGAGAGCTTGTCCAAATTGGGTGTGGGTGGCACTGCTCTTCTGTAGTTTTACTCATCTGTGTAGCAACTGCTTACAGAAAGTGGTGCTGTGGGTATCTCTGTAACTCCGTGGCATTCAGGCTTCAGGTAACATAAACATCAAACCACCAAGTGTGCTTACTGATCATAACATTTGGGCCTCAAGTCAGTACTTGAGAAAATAGTCTGCTCCAGTTTGTGGTGCTTTGTGGGCTGCCCAATTTGGTTCAGGATCCATCAGTCTACTTCATTCCATCACCTCCCATTCACTCATAGGATTTGGGTTTTTGTTTTTTAAAGGCTGTAACTTCTCTTTGTTTTTGACCAAAGTCAATGGAATTTGCAGGTAAACTAGCCCATAGTTAGTGAAAAAAGGCTACCAAATTGCAGGCAAATAGCTCAAGGGGCTTTTGTACTAGCCATATTTTTAAAGTTGATTCAAGGTGGAGAGAACTAAAAGGGATTCATTTTTCAGATAAAATTATTCCCTCTGGTGTGTAAACATATCAGTCACAGTGGAGTTTTCCCTCAACTCTCTTTCCTCTCTATTGTTTGCTCTCTGTTCCTTCACCACACACCCCCTCATGTTATGGAAAGCTTATGGATCTTACTTTCACTTTCTCGGCAACTTTTTGCTATTGTTTGGATCACTAAAGGACCACAGGAGGTCTTGCTTCAACCTGTGCCACTCATACGGATTTCATTTTGCCTCTGACAAGCCAAGGACATCCCCCCCATACAGACATATCCCCAGGATTTGCCTGAATCCTGATGCACAACCCTGTACTACATTAGATCATTTAGGGATTTGGAATGCAGCTGGCACCTAACTCTATTGCTCTTATTTATCTAATTGGCTGAGATGGTGGATATGCTAAATTAAATCCTAGGCATGGTAATGGGGTGGATGAAGGCCAATAAACTGATGTTAAGTCCAGGCAAGGCAGAGGTACTGTTAGTCCACTTTTGCACTGGTGAATGGTGTTCAACCTGTTCAGCAGGAGGCTATACTCTCCCCTAAAAGGGGAGCGGTTCATAGTTGAGGTGCTCATTGTTCCGTCTTTGTCACAATGCCCTCCGTGGCTCAGAGTACCTTGTTCTAGCTGAGGCTGCTGCACCAGGCATGACTGTACCGGGACCAAAAGAGATCCTTGCTTCAGTGTTCCACGCCCTGTAAATCTTCTCTTTGGATTACTGCAATGTGTTGTGTCTGGGGCGGCCTTTGAAACTGGTTTGGAACGGTACACTGCTGCATAATGCCAGTGTGAGGGAAGTGACACTCTCTCACAGGGCTGTGAGGATAATTGAAGTAATAAGGGGACAGGTGGGGAAAAAAGACTTCCTTGGAAAGTTTTCTTTTAAAAGCAGCTGTTTTAAAATTATGGGACAAAGATTAAACTCACCTTGACTCAAAACAAAAAAGTGCACTAACTCAGCCTGCTAAAGGAAGTGTTTGAAGGGAAATTGAAATACCTGCCTCAAACCCTCCACCTTCTTTTACTTGGAAGGAAAGCTGCAAGCAACAAAGGAAACTATTCACTAACGCTTTAAAAGGCACTGTTAACTGAGCCAATGTACCTTATCAATTAGGATTGTTTGGTTTGTTTGATCTGTATTTGTTTGTGCTTTTCTAAGCAAGGAGGGAGGGCAGAACCATGTTCAGCGCCACCTTGAGTTTCTTGGAGGAAAGATGGGAGACATGTAATAAGCAGGTGCTATAAACATACTTAATACTTAAAATAAAATAGAGTTAAAATGCAAAAAAAAATTAAAAACCCAGAAGCTTCAGAGTAAACGGCCTTCAATTCAGCATCCCATCAGTTTCCAGCAAAAGTCTGAGAGAATTGGTACCTTTTTAATCCACATCAAAAGATGACCAGCTGAGGATGCCTGTTATACCTCAGGAGGGAGGGAATTCTGTGGCTGAAATGCCAGTCATGGAGAAGGCCCCATGCGACGTAACCACACACTGAGCCACGTCTTATCAGCAGAACTACGTGAAAGGCATTTTCTGGTGATCTTAATGCACAGGCAGGCTAATACAGAGAGAGGGCCTCATTCATGTGCAGTATATGGATCCCAAGTTGTCATACATGAAAGTTAACACTTTTCTGTTCGGTTTGGTAATGTATAAGCATCCATTTTAGCATGAGAGAGAGAGCGCAGATTTATTACCATCAGAAAACATCAACCCCACAACATGGCTCTGCTGGTCTCTTGCAGGGATGGAGGAACTTGGTGACCTCCAGGTGATGTTGGACTAAAGAACCCATCAGTCCCAGGCAGCATGGCCAATCTTCAGCATCACCTGGAGGGAAATGGATTTCCCATCCTTGCTTTAACTTAGTTAAGGTGGCCTTTGCTTTCCATTTTCTGCCTGTGGGGCTCCCACTGCACTGCTCATTTCACAGAACCATCTTTTTGCTTGAGATTGGGAATGGGCGGAACCCCAGTGATAGGGCCCCAGATGTAATCGCCAGTAGTGTCTCCAGTCAGGGCTGGGAAAGTCTTCCTGTCTGAAACCCCGAAGAGCCACTGCCAGCCAGCCTAGACAGTATTGAGCTAGATTGACCAAAGGTCCGCCTTGGTATAAGGCAGCTTCCTATCCCACCAGATTCCCCTTAGGATAACTTGTTTACGGTGTTAGAAACTTAGATATGAAACCTAAGAGCTAAATGGCACCTTAAACCTAGGTTATGGGCGCCACAATGGAATGTCTAGGCACACTTTTTTATTACAAGAATACAAAGCTGAAAATGAATGAACTGCAGCTAAAATACTACGTTCCTTTCACACATGGTCTAGTCCAGGGGTCTGCAACCCGCGGCTCCGGAGCCGCATGTGGCTCTTTTACACCTTTGCCGCGGCTCCGGGGCGGATACTAGCGAGGGGAGGAGGCGCATTGTGCGCCCCGACACTCCCCACTGTGGCGGGCGCTGTACAGGCTGTGACGTCGCATGGGGGCAGTGTGTGCGTTAGTCACGCACTGTCCCGACGTCACCTTCCCGCGTGCCCGCTACATTGTAAGGGGCATGTACGCTGGTCACTGCATTGAAAGGGGGCATGTACGCTGGTCACTGTTTTGAAGGGGAGTGAAGAACACACACACACACACACACACAAAAAGGTAACTTGTTAATTTAACGTTTATTTCTATGAGGAGGAGTAATTCTGAGGGGTCAAACAAAGAAATAATAAAAAAGTGACAAAAATGTTATTTTTATAATGACGAGTTTTGCGGCTCCCAGTTTTTTTTTCCTTCGGAAACGGGTCCAAGTGGCTCTTTTTGTCTTAAAGGTTGCAGACCCCTGGTCTAGTCCTTCCCCTGCCCACCCCCCTAATATTCTTAAGAGGGTCTCTTCTCCATTCTTCAGAGAGTAGCTGGAAGTGGGGAGGCAGAAAAAGGTCCTCCTTTCCTTCCACTCTGCATACAAGCCCTGGATTCTCCCTGCACCCCCTTTCCTTCACATAAATGTATCTTTTTGGCACCACAGTTAGCACATATTAAAGGCCTATACAACTGATGGCAGAGACACCCGCCTTGAGTGTCCAGTTCGCAAACCTAAGTCTTAAGGGTCCTTCAGTGATTCCACTCCAAAATTGGTTTTGATTTTAAGCATCACTGTGAGAGTCTGAGCTAGATAACACTTTAACATGCATTTCTTAAACCATCATAACTAACTGGCTAGTATATTTCAAATTAAAAGCACAGCATACATTAAAAGTGCATTAAACAAGGCAACTGAAACTTAAACAAAACATGTTTGGTAGAAAAGAAAAGAAAGGTCCCCAATCCATGCACGTTTTACTTGGGAGGAAGCCCCATTGAACTTGGTTGGGATTTACTTCCAAGTAACAGTGGCAATTTTAATCTGAAATCTTAGGTGCGGTACTGTGCCCAGAGCTCAGAAACTGCTCGCGTTTATGAAATTCCCTGTCACAAAACGCGCCCAGAACAATGGGAGTTTTGAATACTGCTTGTTTAGTGGCAGTCCACATTTTTATATCTATGGAATAGGTTCCCCTGAAGGTGCAGTCAGTGAAGTCCCCATGCCTCTAGTCCTGCTCTCAGGAGTCGAGATTTGGTTGTTGTCAATGTTTTGTGTTCCTTTTCCTCCTTCCGTACCCAGACGTGAGTGTAAATTATAAATGAGTGATGCAGTGTTGATTCTGCTCCTCCAGGGTGCCTTTTGGAATGGTGGCTCAGCTGTTGCAGTGAGCCCAAGAGAGCAACAGCCCAGAGTGTCCTTGGGAAAGCAAGCCAAATGTGGGGTGCAGTGCCAGAGCATAAAGCATTTTTCCGTTTTGCCAGGCCTGTCTGCATTCTGCACATCTGCAGGCTCACTGCACAAAATTCAAGACCTGCTCTAAGGTGCAGAGATTTGTACGGCTGCATTTCAGTGGTCATGATTTTTAAACGGGTTGAAAATCTGGCCAATGGGAATGTTGTGGGCATGTTCAGCCTGGTCTCAATCAGGCACTTTTAAGTCATAGTCCAATTATCCTGTAACTACTTTAAAAAACCAACCTCCCCCCACCCTGAAGTGTTGTGAGATGCTGTCCTCAGTCAACGTGCATGTTTCAAGTCTGGGTGAGTCTTTGTGCTCCCTGCTACTTGCTGCAGCTAGGGCTCTCCTCTCTAGTCACTGTCAAGTCAGGAATACTTCTTGCAATCAGTGGGGTGCAAACAGAGTGCTGTTTCCTCTGCTAGGAAGAGTGCAAACAAATGCCCTGTGCCAGTGGCTTCACATAGGATGACAAAAAATGCAAGGAATCAAACGCACTCATATAAAGTACTGTTGATTTTTGAAATTCTGTTGATTGTCTTTGAACTCTTTTCTTTTAGTGTGGTGGGTTCTAAGAAACCCACCCCAAAAAGCTAACTTCTGCCCTTGTGTGAGATGCAATTAGCTTGGGAGATGTTGCAAGCAAGTGCTTTGATGGGGTGCTCTGGACCCAAAGGTGTGGTTGGCAAGGCCATCCAGAGATGGAGCTCTGGAGGTTTCAGTTTTGAGGACAGATTCGGAAATAGGATTGGGGAGGAGATTGGTAGGTGGAATGGATGGGAGCGAAGATTGTTTTGGCTGCAAGCTCCTTAGGACTATCTCTCCTTTTCTTTTTACTTCTCTTGCTTTGTAAATTGGATGTGTGGAAGCACTTCTCCATGTTCCAATCCTAGGAAAACTTGCTTTACAGAGCCTTCTCTGTGGTGGCGCCTCTTGTGGAATACCATCCTCTTGCACACGCCAACATAGTTATTTTGACATCAAGTTAACACTTCGAAGATCCTCTTGCCAGTCAGCATAGGCGATGCTGAGCTTGGTGGAACAGTGATTTGAGTCAGGATATGTCAGTTTCCTAGGTTCCAGTATAATACAGTCCTCCATTCAGACCCACGAAGACTAGAATCTTAGTTTACTTTTGTGGGCCAGTCATAGCTCAGTGGTAGAGCATCTGGCAAGTGGTCCAAGGTTCAGTCCCTGGGATCTCCAAGTAGGTCTGAGAGTGTCCCCTCCTTGAAACCCTGGAAAGCTGCTGCCAATCCATGTAGACAGTACTGACTGTACATGGACCAGTGGTCTGACTCTGTATAAGGCAGCTTCCTACAATGCTGAGCTTGGTCTGTTGTTTTATCTCTGTATGCTGATTATTAATTTTGTGCGAACTCTGCCCTGGTATCTGTACTGATGAAGGACAGGCTGATAAATCCTTCAAATATATAAAGTAAAATAGCCTAGGGATAGGGAGCCTATGGCTCTCCCAGTGTTGCTGGACTACAGGTCCTATCATCCCTCACCATTGGCTATGCTGCCTGGGACTGATGGGAGCTGCAGTTCAGCATCATTTGGATGGCCACAGCTTCTCCATCTGTGGTATATTAGAAAATGGGAGCCGCAGCTCAGATACTTCTGGTTCACAGCTATGCCTTTGAATGGCCTGAACCAAATTTGCATGCTCTCAGTTTTATTTCCCTATGTGTGATTTGGGGGTGATTATGGCAGGGTGAATGTGATAAGCAAGGTAAAGTGGGCAGTGTCATTTCCTTAGGGGATGTGGCCTCAACTGCATGTTTAAACAACAACTGGGTGAGGCATCCCTTGAATTTCTGAGCATGCTCTGCTCATTGGCTTTCCATAAACCCTGCAAATAAGATCCTAGATCCTCAGTCAGCCTATATCTGCCTGAGGGTGTGTTGGAAATGGCTGTTTTGAGCTGTGATCCACAAAGAGGTCCAAGCAGTCAGCCTGTACAGCAGCTGTGCTCCCTTCCTCGAACTGATAGCATCCTGGATCTTTTCCCAGCTAGAGTTTTGAGTTTTGGGGTATCACCCCTGGATGCTACTTTTCAGCTGCCCAGCTGGTCATCTCATTAAATATACTGTGGGCAGCTTTGGTTAATGAGGGAGGTTTTGTAGGGTGATAGAGGGTAGGGTTGTGTCTACTTTATGGATTTTTAAAGTACAAATTCTGTGCCTAATAAATTTTGCAACGCAGTATATACATTGCACAGACTGAGCAATTCTTCCACATTCTTGTAGACTAGTAACTTTTGTGGCGTTTTTGAAGGACTGTTGTTTATAAGAAGGTACTGGGTGACATTCTGTCTCTCTTTCTCTCATTCCAGAATGGGAATGGAAAGTGGGAAATGGGGACCTTTGACACTGAATAGAACTGCTTAAACATTGCAGAAACCAAACTTTTTTCTTTTCTTTTTTTAATTTCTTCTCAGCCGGCCTTGGGACATCCGGAGTCCAAGCCCAACACAAAGTCCAACATGCTACGAGGCCGCGGCCCAGTTACCTCCGCTGATGAGCAGCCACACATTGGGAACTACCGCTTGTTGAAGACGATTGGGAAGGGCAACTTCGCCAAGGTCAAACTGGCACGGCATGTCCTGACAGGGAAAGAGGTGAGAGGGGGGAAGCAAGAGCAATGGGGGTCTTTTGCTTATGCAGGCAACCTCCAAAGATGTGAGGGAATGAGAGTCTAGTTCTCCAACCAACAATGCTCTTAAAAAGAGAGATGTGGGGAAATCAAATTCTGCAACCAGAAAAGCTGGCTTCTGTGTCCTGTCTCAGTGGTTTAGGTTAAAGCACAATTTTACTCAGATCTGATTATCATAGTTCTTAGTGTTGGGCTTGGAGTTTCTAGGCTCAGCTGGGGTGCAGAAGTAGGAGAGGGACAGGCCAATGAATACCTGGAGTGAACGGGTAAGAAGTAGAAAGGTTAAGAAGGGAAGTGGGGAGACACACACAAAATGTGTGTTTGTTGTGACAAACCTCCATAACCTTGAGGACTAGTAACTTGCTTTACAAATAAGCCTCTCTTGTAACAGCAACAACAAAAGCCAAGGTTCTCAGGAGAGCTAGTTCTGCACTAGCAGTAATAATTAACACTTTTGTGTGCCTTTTTGAGTGTTGAAAGAACTTGCCTTACATTATCTCAGTCCACAGAACAAGCCTGTAAGGTAGCACAGTGTTATTAACTGAAAAAAGATGGAATGGTTGAGGCTGAGAGGGGGTGGCCTATTGAGCCACCTAGTGAGTTTGATGAGATTTAAATGGATATATCTCCCATCCTTAGCTGCTGTGCTGCATCAGCACTCACTGCACTCACTTTATATATGTAAAGGGCCCTTTGCTTGTTGAGTCATGTATAAATTGATTTATAATCCTTCCTATCCACAAGGGCTCTGGGCAGATGACCTTTATAAGCACTGCGGCTTGGCCCCCAAGAGCCTCTTGAACGAGCATAAGGTGCAGTTAGTCAGTGGGGCCAGTTGTCACTGTCTCTGCTCCACCATTCTTCAACTCTGAAGAGGTCCCCTAACCTTCAGAAGCAGCTGGGTGGGTTGGGGTGGCATTCGTAGCTGCTGCTGCAGCAGTAAGAGGAGGAGACAGGAAAGCCCAATAGCACAAGTCAAAATCTCATTGTCATTCTTAGGTTTAAAGCCAGTACATTGCATCTTAAAAAAAAAAAATTCTCTCTCACTGCGTATGGATTTTGTTTTGTTTCTAAAACCACATTTTAGCAGTAAAAACATACTACTGAAATAAAATCTTTATCTCCGGCCACTGAAGTGCCTGTCCAAATGAGAACCCCACTCCACTCTGAACCACACCAAAGTCATTGTACCAAAATAGCCTGTACTGGTTTTCCTCTTGAGACGTTGGCATGCTGCATCTACTGTACCACACTCCCTTCTGTTAGTGAAGCACTTTGAACATACCACACACCCCAAGCTTTTTCCAGGGCTAGTTCTGAGGAACTAACATGCAGCCTTGGAAAAAAAAGAGCCAACTTTTCCATTTGCAAAGTTTTCAGATGCTCTCTACCTTCTCCTCCTGAGTATTTCAGCCAGTGTGGGGAGAGTCTGCAGTCCCCCCTTCCCACTGCTCATCAAGATGGAATCTGCTGCCCTGTGGGGCAGACAGTTTTCTGGACTTGGTAATTTTTCCAAGCAGCTGAACTCAGCTTCCTGGAAGCTTGTAAGCACATGCTGCAGGCAATTCTCTGATGAGGATCCTTGAGGGAAATACCTGCTTCCACTGAAGAGAGCAGGAGTGGCTTGGCTGAAGCTGACCTGCCCACCTTGTTTGTTCTTCCTCTACTAAATCACGTCCTGCACTCTTGTCTGAGGTCCCTGGCGACTCGGTGCCATACATATGGAAGGCTCTGCATGAGGAATAGCCAGTTCTTTCCCCTTCTGGCTGAGTTTTCGCACATAGCATGCGATAAGGGCCATACTGGCACCTTTCCTGCCAGGACAGGCACTCAGTGATGTAACAGGCAGGAAGGGCAGGCTGCGGGAGGCCTGATGGGAAATAAGGAAGAAGCCAAATGGCTTCATTAGGCGAATTGTAGCTTAGACTAAGCACCAGGCCCCAAGCTTTGGAGAGGAGGAAGCCTGAGATGTTTGGCTGCTCCTGATTATTAAGGGAAAGGCCATAGCTCAGTGATAGAGCACATGCTTTTCATGCAGAAGCTCCCAGATACAGTACCTGGCATTGCTAGTAAATATTCCTGTCCAAAACCCTGGAACACTATGGCTTGATTCTGAGCCAGATGAATCAGTGGTCTGACTCCATATTCTGCTGCATGTGTAGACTAGGCCTCAGATTAAAGATTGTATTCAGTGTTTGTTGTATTCAGAGTAGACCCATTGAGATTAATGGACATGATGAACTTAGATCAATTAATTTCCATTGGCTATAACCCTAAAGGCTTTCTGTTGGCTTAAGGTCTTAGCGGTGAGTGAAACCACAGATACTCAACTTTTGGAGCTTCCCAGTTAGATTCCTGCAGTTCCTGGTGCCAAACATCCATCCACCCACCATTTCTTTAAGGGGGAGTGAGTTGTAGGTGCATCCGCTTCCTCATTCCCATCTTAAAGCAGCTTTTGAGAAATTCTAGTTGCTGATCAGAGCTTTCCACAACTGACTGGTCATGTCTGATACAGCTCTGAAGTTACACTGGGGCGCCTAGTTTCGTACCTAACAGGGCTCTTTTAACTAGTGACTTCGTCATGCCTCTCTCTCTTGCCCTAGCGTCATGGAATGCTGTTCCTCCTGAATTTTTTTCCTAGGTGTAGCATTTGCCAGAATATCTCTCTCTCTCTCTCTCTCTCTCTCTCTCTCTCTCTCTCTCTCTAAAAAAACAAAAACCAGGCTTTTAGTCCTCTATTTATGGAGGTACTTTAAAAGGCCTGCAGGGCAGTGGTTGCAAAGGGCCTGTCATTTCTGTAATTTGCACGACTGTCTGTTACTCCTGTGCATCCTTCACATTGCATCTTCCTGCTTACACCCCCTCCCCCCCCATCACCACTGCTCTGTTTTGTCACAGGAGCACAGAATTCTGTTAAAAATGTGAAAGGTTGTGTTTTGGAGTAAACTATCCCTAATCAGCTAGCTTTGCACATGCATTTTAATTGACTTTCAGGGTTTTTAATTTTTAATTTTGATTTATTTTTTTTGTGGTGCATGATTAGGGATTCCATGAAGTGGAATCAGAAGTCTTTTAAATGCAAGGGGGTGAGCTTGCCAGGGGAAACTGGAGCACTGATATTGCTTTGAGTCCCTATGCTCGTTACAATCATTCCCTGCCACTTGACAAGAGCTGCAATTACCAGCCTTGTTCCGATCGACTGGAGTTGCAGCTGGCCTGGTTCCATCTCTTGTTTTGCGGGTTGCTGGCTATGTTTCTCTTAATGCTCACTCACACACCATCCCCAAACCCAACTAATTGAAATTACATAGGATTGTGGCATGTTTGACCTATGAGCACCATAGGAAGCTGTCTTATACTGAGTCAGACCGTTGGCCCATGTAGCTCAGTACTGACTACACTGACTGCGAGCAGGTTCAGACATTGTTGTCTGCCAGGTCTGCCTGGAGATGCAGGCATTTCTGTTTTGTAAATGTAAGAATTGCCCTTGCTGGCTGACGCAAGGCCCATCTATTTGAACATCCAGGGCAGGACCCTGGACTTGAGAGACGTCAAGATGGAAGGATATAGCTTATATGCTGCCGCCCAGCTTCTAACACCCCAAAACCCCTAGTGGTGACAGCAGCAGGTTCTGGAAAACTGAGCTGCCTTTCTGTACATGCAAGTCTGTTCCTTGATAGTGTCTCTAGATCAGTGACCCGTGAAAAGATGTTTAGGAGACTGAAATTCTGCCTTGTGTCTTAATTGCCCGTCCTTGTAACAGCCCGCCTAGAGAGCAATAGCTGTGCAGGCAGCCATTTAGCAAGTGGTGTAATGGGGAGTGTTTTGAACATCCACCCACTCAAGACAATACATCTCCCAGAGTGTCTTATTAGCACAGTGTCTGGGGAAACTGCAGCGGAATGCACCATGAGCCTTCTCTCTCTCTCTCTCTCTCTCTCTGTGTGTGTGTGTGTGGCTGCTTTAGGCTTGAAACAGTCATTGCAGAATGATTTCCCCTCCTAGATGGAACTGTCCATGTAAGGGCCAATGTGATGTCATGGCTGAGGGTGTGAGGACCTTGATCAAATGTTGCCTTGGCCACAAACCCCTGAGATGGCTTTAAGTCAGCCACACTCCTCTGCATCATGGGCACAATTGTGCTATTGCTGATGCAATGTTGCATGCGAAAGCACTCTTGAACGCTCAGGGAAAATGCTGTGTAAATATGAAGAAGCACTGTGTCCTTGTAGCTACAGGGTTTGGGTTTAAATCTCCGCCCGCAAAGAAGCTTGCAGCTGACCTTCAGTCTTGGAGAGGGCATGAGGTATAAGAAAAGTAATAAATAGGAATAAGTAATCAAACAAACACTTTACTGATTCCATCTCTGAACCAAGCCCAGGTGGTCATGCAGTGTGCTGACCTGGTCCTGAAGCAGCTACCAACATTCTGCACTAAGACCCCAAAACTGTGGAAAACATTTGCAATCAGGGTTAATAGCCAGCCTCCTGAATGATTAGCCCCACTCTGATAGCATTACTGTTACACTTGACCTGTGTCCAGAAATGAGCTTCCAGAATGACTTGGGTTCTTAAAATTCATTTTTAAAAAGCTAGGGATGCTTCAAAGAAGCCCCTGTGTTCAGATACACGGTTACAGCTCACATACCTGGCAGGGGCAATGGTGTTGTACCATTGAGAATTAGCAAATGCCCAGGTCACCTGTTATGCATCCTTTACATCAATTAACAAGACAGACTAACATGACCTTTCTTTGTGTCCTTCCATCCAGGTGGCTGTGAAAATAATTGATAAGACGCAGCTGAACTCCTCCAGCTTACAGAAGGTAAGGAGTGTGTGGGTAGTTTTGATTTTTATACACTTAACTGAGGATCTATGGTCTGAAGCTCAACATCAAAAAAACGAAGATCATGGCCACTGGTCCCATCACCTCCTGGCAAATAGAAGGGGAAGAATTGGAGGCAGTGAGAGATTTTACTTTCTTGGGCTCCATGATCACTGCAGATGGTGACAGCAGTCACGAAATTAAAAGACGCCTACTCCTTGGGAGAAAGGCGATGGCAAACCTAGACAGCATATTAAAAAGCAGAGACATCACCTTGCCAACAAAGGTCCATATAGTTAAAGCCATGGTTTTCCCAGTAGTGATGTATGGAAGTGAGAGCTGGACCATAAAGAAGGCTGATCGCCAAAGAATTGATGCTTTTGAATTATGGTCTGGAGGAGACTCTTGAGAGTCCCATGGACTGCAAGAAGATCAAACACATCCATTCTTAAGGAAATCAGCCCTGGGTGCTCACTGGAAGGACAGATCGTGAAGCTGAGGCTCCAATACTTTGGCCACCTCATGAGAAGAGAAGACTCCCTGGAAAAGACCCTGATATTGGGAAAGATGGAGGGCACAAGGAGAAGGAGACGACAGAGGACGAGATGGTTGGACAGTGTTCTTGAAGCGACAAACATGAGTCTGACCAAGCTGTGGGAGGCAGTGGAAGACAGGGGTGCCTGGCGTGCTCTGTTCCATGGGGTCACGAAGAGTCGGACACGACTAAACGACTAAACAACAACTGAGGATCATTGTAGGATTGTGTGGCACGCTTTTGCTATCTCATTGGGTTTGCTCTTGTGAAACTGCTCACTCTTTGTTCCACATACTGAGAGAGTAGGGACTTTGTATTTATTTGTAAATGCACGAAAAGATTTCATGCTGGTTTGGTGTTTGATGAAGTCTCTGTCCGTGATAGGCTGAGGTTTCCATGATGTCACAGAATAGCCGAGCATTGGAGGCTCTGACTGCCATTGGCTATTGGGCAGCTTTGGAAAGGGGTGCTGGAGTAGAAGAATCCAGGGAGAAAAAGAGGAGAGATGAGAGGATACATGTGAAAATGTCCAAAGCTTGGAGCTCTGCATAAACATCCTGTCTCTGGGGAATGTCCAGTCCTGAAATTGGTGATCTGCTGACAACCGACAACCTAGGATTCCCTTTCTTTTCTCCCAGCTGTCCAGACCCACTTCGTTCTCTTTTTTTCTTTTTCTTGCCTTCAGCATGCTTCCTGCATCCTCTCCCTCTCTCCTTCATGATTCTTTGCCCAGGGCAGTGAAGCTCCCACACCCAAGACCAGGCACCCCCTGACAGCATTGCCCCATATATGCTGGGCTGGATCCTTATCACCCCACATATTTTCTGGCCCTGCATTTGGCATCACATATGGTGTCATGCTTAGGCCAGGTGAGTCTGACTTGACCAAAAGAGCCTGGTGGGCCATATAGGGGTGTGTGGTGGGCTTAATTGGGGGGCAGAGGTTGCACATCTCCACCCTATATCAAAACATTTAACCCTGTACAGATGGCAGAGGCTCTGTTTACCTTTTTTCCTCCTCCTCCCTGCATTGGGGAAAACTGTTCAGCCTGATAAAAGATAAGGCCAGAGAGCAAGCAATTCAGCGCAGACTTATCTGTCCTCCTCCACCTCCTCTCCCCATTTCTCTCCATCTGCACCCTTTGTCAGCCCAGAGAAGCATCTTAGCTGCTGCTCCCCTACTTGGCTGCCCTTTGATATAATACCCCACCTCTCATCAGAGTTGGGCTTGTGTCTGGCTGAGACCCGATATTAGCCTCGCCGTGTCCCCACAGTGGTGTGCACACAGCCTGCAGACATTGCACCTGTCAGCAGCAGCAGCAGCCAGTGGCTAAAGTGATGACCGCAGAGCCAGTTGGACTTTGGGTCCTGTTTGTTTCCGGGCCTGACACAGCCAGCCAGTCCCACTGCGACTCTGCTTGTCAGTGGCAGCAGCAGCTGCTGACGCGGCCTTGTAAACAAAAGGCTGAGCGAGCCAGCTGGGTTTTCTGTTTCTGCAGCAGCTCCCTGGATCTCAGAGCAGAAGCTTCCCTCTCCAGCCCAGATTGCCTTCCCACCTGCTGAAGCTTTCAGCACTGCCTTTCAGCTTGCTGGTGGCTGAAGGTGGGGCTTGACCTCTCTTTCCCCGGCAGCATACCAGCATGGAATTGCTTCCCTTGAGCAGTTTGGTTCTGCTTTGGAGGCTTCGTGGTGGTGGCTGGCTTGCCAGGAGAAGCCCGTTCTATCCACAAGAGGCTGGCCCTCGCAACAGCTAAAAGAGACCACAAAGTCACCAACCCCGTATGCTGTGACTGCAATTGAGAGCAAACTTGAAGCAGCAAAAACATTGCAGGGAGAATAAACTCCAGGAGGGTCAAAGGTTTTTCTCCCAGCCTTCACCAGTGACCAAATTTATGGGCATTGCATGCTAATCCCAGTGCTTGGAAGTGTCCTGCTGAGAATAGCTCTGGGGTATTAGTTGAGGCTTTAGGTTTCTAGTGGCAGCTGTATTGTAAACTTCAGAGCATGGCCTCCCCATGTGAAGTGCGGTTATTCTGAGGATTTTTGCTTCCTCTCTTCTCCCTACCTCTTAAAAAAAGGTTGTTTATCCCTACTAGTTCACAGAGTGCACCCAGAGCTAGTGGCTGGGCTGTGGGTCAGTATAGTTCACTCAGTATAGTTCACTGCCCCTTATCCTGACACTTGTGTTGCTATTAACAATTGCTTGCAAAAATTTCTAGACCACCAACATTAAGAAAAAATACCATGGAGGTTCACATTATAAAATCAATAATAAGATTATATTCCTGAAACAATTGTAGACACCACCCCCCCTCTCCATTTCTTCCCTGCTTTTGTCTTGATCTCTGTCCCACCCACCACCCAGCCTAGGATGGGACAAACTATACCATATTTTGTCTGAAAAAGTCATTTTGTGTAATAAGACTCAGTAATGAAAAATAAAGAGAGATCAAGTTGCATATCTTCTTACTTGTTCCTTTAAAATATTTATAACCTACTCTGCCGTCCATCGAGATCTGCAAGGTAACGTGACGGCCCTTTCAATTTTGCAGGATTTTGCCTGCTTCTAGGCCCAAACCTCTGGCATTGCTTTAAGCCAGTGATGGAAAGGCCTGTGGAGCCCTTCAGAAATTGCTGGACTCCCATTCCCCATCGGCCCCAGGCAGCGTGGTCTGGAAATGACGGGTGTTGTCAGTCAGCAACATCTGGAGGGCCACAGGTTCCCCATCCCTGCTTCAGGTGAATGGTTTGCTCTCACTCACTCCCTCAGCCAGCACAGGAGAGAGATGCATTACTGAAGACTGGAGATTGCAGCTAGCTTTCTTTCTTTCTTTCTTTCTTTCTTTCTTTCTTTCTTTCTTTCTTTCTAGCATGCTGCTCTGTTGGTAGCAAGGTAGCCGTCCCCATGTTGCTTCCCAAATGTTCCTTCTGCTGTTCCCACCGCAGGCGCCTGGACTGCGTAGGTGTCTCAAGCACATGGACTCCTCCACGAGAGGAAGGAATGTTGCTGCAAAGATAAATCCCCCCCCTCTCCCTCTCCCTCTCCCTCTCCCTCTCCCTCTCCTTCTCTCTCAGTCAGCTGCAATGGGTTTTTCTCAAAACCCTTTCCCTGAAAGAAATCCTTTATAGCTTTCTTCCTCAGGATGATGGATGGGGACCAGCATGCTCAATGTACTTGAGAGAGGATGGCTGCCCAGGAGGGCAGTTCCTGTTTGCACTGGTGTGGGCTCACTTGAAACAGTTCAGGCCTTCCTGTGGTTAACCTCTCGCTGGTTAGCAACCATCTTGCAAACATGCCAGTCATTCCCCCACAGTGCTGCTCTGCAGACCGGGAGGTGCCTTGAAAGGCATCATTGCAACTGCCCAGGTGGGTGGAGGAAGAGTGTGGAGCTGGTGCTTATGCTGGGCCTTAGGCAAAGTGTTGTTCAAGTTAGACAAAATCCTGGAGGCTAAGGCTTCTGTCAGTGGCTGCTGGCCACAACGGCTGTGCTCTCTCTCTCTCCACTCTGAGGCAACCAGTTGCTGAGAATCATAAGTGGGGAGAGTCATTGTTGCACTAGGGTCTTGCTTGCATGTGTTTGGCCGCTTTAAGAACAGAGTGCTGAGATGGTCCGGCAGGGGTCTTCATCTGTTCCTCTCCTCATAATCCTCTATCTCAGTGCCACAGGCCCCACCCAAGCGGCCAGATTTCAGCCAATCGGGAAAACGTCTCGTATGTGCAATGTTCTGTCAACACCTGTCAGCTGCATCCCTCTCTTGAGCCAAAAGTGCTTTCTGCTTACATTGGTTGGGCATCCGGTGCACCTGGCCCAGAAGCCTCCTTGCTGGCAGCCTGGGCAGACATCTGCCTGTCTAGTAGGCTGCCAGCTTTGCCATATCTCCCAGACGCCTCCTCTTCGCCGTCTTGGTTTCAGAAGTAATTTATAGAGCTCTTCCCTGGAACGGTCATTGGGGATCTCACCAGCTACTTAATTGCTGTGGACTCAAAGCCGAGGGAACTGAATCATTGGAAATCCAGCAGGGCCAGGCAGGCAGTGTCTAGGGTCTTGCAGAAACTACTCATGCAGCCAGCGTGCTTGTAGGGTTCCTCCTTCCCCCAACTATGCTGGTGGTTTTTTTTTTACATGTGTGTATAAGCTCTGCAACTCCATCCAAGAGCACGGAAGCTAAAATGCAGCCCTCAACGTTTCAGGATTGAGGTGGAGCTATACTGGGAGTCAGGGCAGAGCAGGGTGCCGACCCCTCCCCAAGATTGGGATGGTTTTTCATCTTCAGAGCCCATCGCTATCTTGTCCTCCCCTCACATGTCAGAGTCCTCAACATCTAGGCACACAGGTTAGGAACTGGGGCCGGGGGTGGAAGCCGGCAGCTGGAATATCCATCTGCCTCCAGCTTCTGGACCAAGGCAGGATCTGAGCTGTGAGCTGGTAGTGGTGTTTTTCTCCAGCAGCAAAGGGATTTATTTGCCTGAACAGCTGCTCGTGGGCTTGGGAGGGTGGGGGTCTTCCCTCCTGCATCAGCCCAAGCATCTGTTCCTTGCGCTAAGGAGATGAAGTGTCACAGGAGACCCGCCCTTTAGGGCTGCAGAGCCAACTGCCTGACGTTCACCAACCAGATCCTGAGCAGAAAACCCTTTTCTCCCCACCCCCTGCCACATCCTTTTATAAATAAAGGAAATATTATAGGGAAGTTACACTCCTTATTTATCATAACTGTGTTGAGTTTGAACCTGGCCCCTTTGATCTCCTGTCTCAAGCCAATGCCGGGCAGGGGTGGGGGAGAGCTGTGTGTTCGCCACCCCCACCTATCCCTCCGGCTCAATTATTAGCGGCTTATTACCCAGGCTCATTGCAGGCAATCGGATTGCCTTTTTTTAATTAACAGATTACTGTAACACATTATCCTTAAAAAATGTCTAATCCAAGGAGAACAAAGATTGGGGCAAGGTTGTGGGAGGGAGGGCACGTTCTGACCAAGTTTGAGGTTTTGGAGAATGTGATATTTGGCAGATTTTTAGAGTGTAGAGCGGACCACCAAAGGCCACCCCATTCAGCCACTTCCTGCAAGGTCGGAGCATCCGGCCAGTTGCCCCAGATGTCTTTAAGCCAGGCTTTTCCCAATCTGGGGCTGATGCAAGTTGTACTTCACAGCATCAGGCAGCTGCCAGGTTGGGAAAGACTTAAGCTAAGGGGCATAGGACTCTTTGTGCCTGTGTAAATCCACCTGCATTGATCCTTCTGTTTCTGCTCTGCTCTTCTGTTTCTGCAGCTCTTCCGGGAAGTGCGAATAATGAAGGTTTTGAATCATCCTAATATAGGTGAGCCCCCTTCCATTCCCCCTTCCCCTCCCTTTTGCCACTGGATTTTGATGTACTTAAACAGTATATTCTGACCTGTAAGGCACTTAATTTCCAAAAGGGTAATTGAGAGAGAGTCCCTGAGGCTTTCCTACCTCTGTGGCAATTCTTCTGAAAGCCTTTAAGTGAGTGGCTGTTGCTGCTTCGTCATGCGGCAGTGAATTCCACACATTAATTACCTCTAATGTTCAGGAGTGCTTCCTCTTTGTCTGCACTGAACGAACTGCCAGGCCGTTTCATCACGCAGGAGAGAGGAAGAGCACTTTCTCTCTGAGCCTTTTGTAATTTTTTGTAGTCTGCCTCCGCCTTCCCCGCCCTTAAAAGTCTTCTGTCCTCTTGTCTTGCAGTTAAATTATTTGAAGTAATAGAGACAGAGAAGACACTGTACCTCGTCATGGAGTATGCCAGTGGGGGTGAGTGTTTGATCTGAAGCCTCTTTGAAAGACACGTTGTGGGGAACCTTATTCCAAGAGTCTATGTGGTGTATTTCAATATATTCGTAGCTTACTTTCCCCAGATTGTGCTGGACTGCGGCTTCCATCGTCCTCATCCAGTTGAACCCGGTGGTCAGGGATTATGGGAGTTGTAGGTTAACATCATTTGGGGGCCCAGGTTTAAGAACAATGGCGTATTTGGTTTCAATTGTCGGACTGGGGTGACCAAGGTTCAAATCCTCACTCAGCCAGGAAGCTCATTGGGTGACCAGTCTCTTTCTCACACACACATACTCTCTCTGACCTACCTCATAGGGTTGTCAGGAGAATAGAATGGAGGGGCTTCTCCTGAGCTCTTTAAATAAAGAATGAGATATATCCCTAGATCTGTCACATTCTTCTCCCAGTTCTCCCCTTTCGGCCCAGAGACAGAAGAAGAATCACAGGGTGGGGTCACAGCTAGCTTCACCTTCTCCCTCATCACATAATTTGGGAGGTGAGACATGTATCCTGTGACATACTAGTTATAGAATGGAAGGTGCACTGAGTCAGGTCAGTGACCCATCTTAGCTCAGGACCATCTACTTAACTGGCAGCGGCTCACCAGGGGGCTTTTTCCCCATAGACAGCAAGGTGTGCACTGATAGTGTTGTATGCCATTTAGTACAGTGTTTGAACAGTAAGTACATGCAGGCACACCTCATCTTATTGCAGCTTATTTCAGGCACAGCTACAGGCAGCTTGGCTGCTTCCAGGAGAAGGAAGCCCCCTGCCGCCGTCGCCCCTCTCCTGGCCATGGGAGTGGAGCTGGCTAGGGCTGGAGATGGGTTTTCCCCGTCCCACCACTGCAGTCAGGTGGACCTGGCTTAATAGACTGCAGTATAGTGTAGTCATAAGTTTTGTATGCCCTGGGAAACAAAATTGTGTGGCTCACTTTATTGCGATATTTGCTTCATTGCGGCGGTCTGGAACCAAACCCGCAACATCTCCGAGGTGTGCCTGTAAATGTTCTAAATACCACATCCTAGAGGGTTTTTTTTGAAAGTGCCTATCTGTAGGTAAGTTTTATCTCCCTCCTCTCTTTCTTCCCCCGCCCCCTGGTGACTCTTGACAGAGGCTTTGCTGAGTTTAAGGGTTGCCCTTTTTTTTTAAAGCAGGCTCTGAATCTCTGGAGGCAATCTTGCCAGTTTTGTGCAAATGTCACGCGGTCTGTCGGGAAACACAAAGGCCTTTAGAAATGCCATTGCCATTACTGGTGGGCCCTAGACAATTGCAGGAGATGGACGGAACACATCCTACTCACCAGGCAGGCAGTGCCTGGAGACAGCCATCCGTGGGGCATGGCTCTCTTTCAAGATGAAGCTGTAGTGACTTATGGAAAGACTCATTGTAACATAGGAAGTCGCCTTATACCAGCCTCGACTATGTGGGGCTGTCTAGCCCAGTGCAGGGTCCCTGGAAGAGAAAAAGTGTCTCTCCCTTTACCTGATACTTTGAACCTGGGATCTACTTCATGCCAAGCCGGTGAATGCTGCTTCCTTCTTTGGAACATAGGCAACTGCCCAATACCATGCCAAACTATTTGTTCATCCAACACAGTCAACTGTGGGAGGAATTCAACATTCCGCATTTCCAGTCACTCTGTCAGCATAAGCATGTCAGCTTGCCAGACAGAACCACCTTCCCTCTCCTCCCCGCTCCCCATATGCTGGTCTGGGGTTTCACCTGACCCCCACCCCAAGCCAATTTCATGGGTGCATGGGGGAGGAGATGGGGGGAAGCCCCATTGTGCAAACCATTGCTCAGGGTTTCCACTGGGAGAACTCATTAGGTGAATCTTGCTCTCTGACTGACAGTGGTTCTCCAATTGTCTCGTGCAGAGAAAGGTCCTTCCCCGTCACCTGCTGCCTTCCTATTTAATTGGAGATAATGAGCGTTGAACCTGCCACTGAGGTCTTGTCCCTTCCTTAGAACACAGCCTTGGCCTGGTATTTATCTGTCTATCCCAGTACTCTGAACAGCATTTCACTAGGGCGGGCATCCCCAAACTCTGCCCTCAAGCTGTTTTGGGACTACAGTTCCCATCATCCCTGACCACTGGTCCTGTTAGCTAGGAATGATGGGAGTTGTAGTCCCAAAACAGCTGGAGGGCTGAGTTTGGGGATGCCTGCTCTAGGGTCTGTAACAGAGCAGAGGCTTCCCCATCACTTATCTGATCCTTCCAAACCCCCCCCCCCCACAAAAAAGTGACTGGGATTGAATCCAGGGTCTTGTTCATGTCAAGCAAGTGTTCTACTGCTGAGCTATGGTGAGAGAAGTGGCTGAGACTTCTGAAAAGTACAGCTGGACTGGTGTGCTCTGCTCCTCCAGGCCCAAGTGGAATCTGCTCCTGAGTTTTGTTATTCTCGGTGATGGCAAAAAATGGGGGTGGGGGGTAGAGGAGGCACAGGATGGAGGGCAATGTTCTAAGTCCTTTCCTCTGACATCCCCCACACACAACCTCAGCACACACACAAGCTCAGCATCAGACTTTCACCGAAACTCCCAAGTAACATTATGCTTCCCTGTTGCGCCCCCTGCAGGTGAGGTGTTCGACTATTTAGTAGCCCATGGAAGAATGAAAGAGAAAGAAGCACGGGCAAAATTCCGACAGGTTGGTGCTGTACCCTTCTTGAACTGCGGGAAGCAAACAGTGTTTATAGGGCCCCAGCAGCTGCCCAGTAAATATGAAAGTGGGGCTTGATGCTTTCTGTGGTGAAGATCCATGTAATTCCATCCCCCGCCCCCCAGCAGTTCTATTATTCACACACAGCCCACAGGCATATGGGGATACATTGCAGAAAATCGATTCCCACACTTCTGGGGACTGTGATTAAAGGGCACTGCATCTGGATTGCGTCTGTCATGAAGCAACACAAACCTCCCCCCTGACCTCTCTGTCCTCTTGTCTTCCAGATAGTTTCTGCTGTGCAGTACTGTCACCAAAAATTCATTGTACATAGAGACTTGAAGGTGAGTATAAATGCTGAAAATGCTTCTGGGGCAAGAGTTTGTAAAGCTCTTTGTTTACCCTGTGCAAATGCTGGATTTCCCATTGGAGGTAAAACGTGGTGTTGTTGGCCCATTGGCTTCCCCAGCCTGACTTGCCTTTCGCCTCCCTTTGCAGGCAGAGAACCTGCTCTTAGATGCCGACATGAACATTAAAATTGCAGACTTCGGTTTCAGCAACGAGTTCACGTTTGGCAACAAGCTTGACACCTTCTGCGGGAGCCCCCCGTATGCTGCCCCTGAGCTTTTCCAGGGCAAGAAGTACGACGGCCCCGAGGTGGACGTCTGGAGCCTAGGGGTTATCCTTTACACACTGGTCAGCGGCTCCCTGCCCTTTGATGGGCAGAACCTCAAGGTAAGGGAGTTGTGGAGGGCGAGGAGAATGGTTTACAGCCTCAAGAGGTTGGCAGCATAATTGCAACTTGAGGCTGGCTATCCCAGTATTGAGGGAACAACCTCTGTGGATTCCCAGTTGTGCCAGTCAGACTGAGCTGTGGAAGAAGTTGCCTCGGCAATGGACCAGGGCCACCCAAAGGCTTCAGGGCCTTCCAGTATCTTCACTCCCTTCTGTGCATGTGTGTTAGGATCAGGGCATCTTCCCTTAGAACAGGTATAGGAAGCCTTTTGCTCTCCAGATGTTGCTGAGCTATCTCTCTTGGTCACTGGCCATGCTTGCTGTAACCAATGCAAATTGTTGTTCTGCAACATCTGGAGGGTCAAAGGCTCCCCTGCACCTGCAATTGAGTTACGTGCGGAATTGCTGCTCATTCCCTCCCCTTTCCCTCTGCAGGAGCTGCGAGAACGGGTCTTGAGGGGGAAGTACCGGATCCCCTTCTACATGTCCACGGACTGTGAGAACCTGCTGAAAAAATTCCTCATCCTCAACCCTAGCAAGAGAGGCACTTTAGAGGTGAGGAGACAGGACTGGGGACCAGGTGGGCTGGGCAGGAGGGAGGCCGGCATCCGCTTGTGGAATCGTACACCACACCACCCATCATTTTGGAGTTCCTACTGTCGTGCCATCTAGTCATAGGAAGGTGCCTTCTTCCAAAGCGCGGACCATTGAGCCGTCAAGTTCAGTATTGTCTCTACAGACTGGCAGAACTTCTCCCAAGGTTTCAGGCTAGGAGTCTTTCCCAGTTCTGTTCAGAGTTGCCAGGGATGAAACCTGAGACCTAGCTTGTTCTCACTGGTGAAGTGGTAGCAGTTTTCCATACAGGGCAAGACAGGTCCCTGGGCAGCTTCCGGTGGATTCTGCTGACTGAGCTATGGAAGATGCTGCCTCAGCAAAGGGCCAGAGTCAATCCCAAGACTTTAGAAGGCTGACACAGCCTTCTAGTGGTTCCCCACTCCGATTAAAGCTATCTAGAATTGGGACACAATTCTGTGGCCACATGCTGCTGGGCAGCTGCTGAGCAAGAGATGTTACAAGGGACTCATCCCTAGAGTTTGAAGGTGATGGGAGAGCCAGGATGGTGCTGTAGTGGGCTGCTGAGGGGTCCCTCCCCCAAGTGGGTTGATTTGTGAGCTATCTGAATTAGTCCTGCTGGGGCAACACTGGGGTTTGGATGCCAGGGACATGAGAGGACTTACTGAATGCAAAATATGTGCTGTCATTGCCTTAAATCAGTAGTTTTGGCTAGACCCCCCTCAGTTTGGAACCCATTCCCTCCTGCCCTGCCTCCCCACCCCACCCCAAAAAATAAAATAAAAAATCTGAGAAGTATGTGAAGACTTCCTTCTTTGGATGCCTTTAAGAGATTCTCTCCCTTTCTCTCTCTGATGAGATCCTTTCCCAAATACTTCTGCTTCATTCACCCGTTAATGCTTTTCAGTTTGCGCTCTTGGAAACAAAGATAACAAAACCACTTTCGGTGTATACAGAAAACGTAATGTGTGAATGTACCCTTTGACGGTATTTGGTTAAGCAAGTGTATTTTGGGCAGTTGCTTAACCAACTCTGAATCCAGGTTTTGCCCTTGATTTTTAAGTCTTACAATTGTGCCAGCGCTGTCTCAGTTTTTAGAAGGTGTATCCAAGTCCATGCTGGTAAGAAAGCCCTGTCCTTGCAAGCAGTGCGCGGTCTTGTTTGTTTTTAGTTTTATTTTCCAAAAGGCGGTTTTCCTTGCCTCCAGTGCTAGCGTGAAGAGGGCCTGGTTCATTTCCCAGCGGTTGGCTCCTGCCTTTGTCTGGCTGGGCTGCAGTGCCCCCTGCCATCCGAAACTGCCTTTCTGCGTAGGCAAGTAATTAAGAAGCCCCGCCAGCCATTCTCTTGAATAGGAGAGGGAAGTTCCTTGCTGTCTGGTGCTGGAATGCCATGGCCCCTGCTGCTCTCTGCCTGCAAGCAACAATTTTAACTGTGGGCTTCAGGGATGCAGAAGGGGAAGTGCAGGGAAGAGTGCATTAAGGGGGGCAGTTGGGTTTGTGCTCGGGTGTGGGCGGAGACAAGGCAAGACACACACACACGCATGAATACACACACACACACACACACACACCCCCCCTCCGTTCTCTGTGATACACAGAGGGAGGGTGCTGTGTTGATTTCATGCCAGAGGCAAGGAGAAGGTCTTGGCAGATCACTGCAGCAGCAAGCTGGGGTTTCCAGTCAACGGTGCAAATTGCATGGTTTTTCTTCCTGGTTTGGTTTGTGCATAGCAGGTGTGGAGAACATCTGGCTCCCAAGATGTTACAGAACTGCAACTCCTACCCAGCCCAAGCAAACCTGGCCAGTGACTGGGGGTGATGGGAGTTGTAGTTCAGCGACATATGGAGAGCCAAAGCTTGCCTACACGTTATTTATAGAATAAAATAACCTATTTCATTCATTCATTCATTATAAAAATTTCTGTCCCCACCCCACCCCCAAATAAGAGTGACTTGCAACAATAGAGTATATGTACAATGGGCAATATTCATTGTCAGTCATACTTTGAGTAGACCCATTGAAATCAGTGGACTTCATTAACTCAGTGGGTTTACTCTGAGTCTGACTTAGTTGGGTATTGCCCAAGAAAATCCAAATCTGCACAATACATCAGACAACCACCAAAAAAGCCCAGCATAATAAAAAAGCCAAAAATATCAAAATCCACAAAGACAGCAATTCATAAAGCTCATCAGATAAAGTGAAGAAGCAGAGAAAGGAAGATTGATATTAGGCAGACACCTTTGCTGTATATATATTTAGTTGCCTTCTGAAACCTTTTTTTTATTTTAGCAATCCTAACCAGACATCTAATTTAGTTACCTATATTCATAAAAGCCTATCTGATTTTTATTTCTATTTTAATTATAATTATTTCATGCTTACATGTTTTCATAGATTTTTTTGGATTTTAGTTATTTGCAGTTTTATTATGTACACTAGCTGGGAGAGCTTGCTGATTATGCCATGGTCTTTCACGAATTAATCATGGGCTTGGGTGGCGATATGGATTGCATTACCCAGACTTGCGGAGAGAGGGAGAGGTGGGCCAGCGGGCCAGATCTCCTCACAGCTGGGAGCTTGCTGTGAACATTGGGGAGAGAGGTGTCTGCAGAGCCTGCGTTTTGCACAAGTGGTTCCAGTTTTCCAATAGGAAACTCTTCCAGCTATGCAACTGGGACCATCCTCGCCAAAACGTTAAAAAGGAAGAAAACACTCCTCTGCGCTGTTGTCCTTTACCTCACTGCCACCCCCCCACATACTGAGCCAACGTTTCCCCTTCCCCTCTCCATAGCAAATCATGAAAGACCGCTGGATGAATGTGGGTCACGAGGACGATGAACTGAAGCCTTACGTGGAGCCTCTGCCCGACTACAAGGATCCCCGGCGGACAGGTGTGTCACTGAGGCGGGGCGGGTGATTGGGTGGCCCTGCGATGGTGACTTGCTGCTGTGCAGGATCTTTCCGGGCAAGCGCTTGGCTATCGTTTCCCTGCAGGGCGTACCCACAGATTTCCCTCCCTCCCTCCATGCATCTTTTAAACACAGTTTTATTTATTTATTCACCCTTCAAGGCGCTCTGACCGTCTCTCTCCTTTCCCTGTGTGTGCGTGCTCCCTTCCGTTGTCCTGCAGAACTCATGATATCCATGGGATATACCCGGGAGGAAATCCAGGACTCCTTAGTCAGCCAGAAGTATAACGAAGTCATGGCTACATATCTGCTGCTAGGATACAAAAATTCAGAGGTGAGTTCCTTGTCCGTTTGTGTGCATGTGTGGCTTCCGTTTGAGGGACTGAGCTGCAAACATCTGGGTGTTCGCATGTCTTCGGCGGTAGCACTTCCCCATTGAAGCTCCATCAGTGGAAACGCACTGGTGTGAAACTTCCAAGCGCAAAAGCACAATTCTGAATCTGTCCCTTTGGGTATCTGCGGCAGAGGTTGGTGCCCCCTGGGACCGGCAGGGTGGAAGGTAGAGAGGTCAACAGGAGGTGGAGGCGGAGTCAGTGACTGGCGGAGCCGTCAAATTCTACTTTGCCTACCATCCTCCTCCTCCCTGCTGAGTCCCGCAAGGACAACATCGAGACCAAGGAGGAAGAAGTCAGCAGGCAGGGACCCCACCTGGACTGGTTGTAGGTAGGAAGGCAGCCAAGAGCAGGCTGGCTGTGGGCAGGCTGAGGTTGGTGGGTGGTGCCCCAGTCGCCCTGATAAACCAGCCTCTACTAGACGCCTGCCTTCCCTGTTGATTGCTTAGAATCATAGCATTGGAAGGGGCCCTGAGATTCATCTAAACCAGCCCCCTGCAATGCAGGAATCCTGCCCACAGCCATCCCTGGATGGGCTCAAACCACCAACCTTCTGGTTAACAGCCAAAAGCCCTGACCCACTGAACCACGAAGAGGCTTGTTGTTGGAGTTTATGGCACCCTTGTCCGTTGAGGTGTGCAGACTTTCAGTGGCTTTGCATCTGAAACCTATAATGTAGTGCTGTTTGTGGTACCAGTTGAACAGAATTTAAGAGCAAGCTTAATACCACTGGAGACCACCTGAAATTAGATATATTGTCATGAACACACCTGATTGGGGGAAACTCTGGCCCTCCAGAGGTTGCAGAATTACAACTTGCCTCAGCACCAGTGAGCATGGCCAATGGCTAGGGCTGACGAGAATTGTAGTTCAGCAACCTCTGGGGGGCCGGAGATTCCCCACACCTGATGCAGAATGAACTGCACTATTTCAGTCTGCAGTTGGGTGATACCTTTTTTCAAATGCCCCTTAAATTTTTGCTTGCAGTGATCTTTGTTGTTTTTTTAAAATGTATCACAAAGTGAGCAGGCTGGGTTAGGATCTTTCTACTAGGGTTTGTTGTTGTTGTTTTTAGCACAGAGGAGCCTCCAAAATACGTATCTTTTCCTTGAGTCTGAAGTGGTAATAATCTGTTCTGCCACATCATTTGTCTGTTGATCAGGACAGGGGGGTGGGCAGGCTGCAGTTTGGCTAGGGGAGGGGCTGCGCTTTGTATCTCAGAATGTTCACAAGCACACCCCAATTTCTATTTTCACCCTCCAGCAGCAACTGTTAAGAACTCCTATTCTCCTCTTCCTCAGCCGAGAGGAGAGATCATATAAATAATGTGTGTATGTTCTTCATCTCTGATATAAATAAATGATTACATGAATGGAATGCCTGGGTCAGAGCTTCACCCACTGAGTGAGCCTCTTCTCCCCCCGCCCTCGTGCTCCTGCCTGATCTCTTCCAGCTTGACAACGATAGCATTACCCTGAAGCCACGGACCCAACCCGAACTTGCCAACAGCACCGCCCCCTCCCCATCGCACAAGGTACAGCGCAGTGTATCAGCCAACCCCAAGCAACGCCGCTTAAGCGACCAGGGTGAGTCATCCCACCACCACATTTCTTGCTCAGGGGGGGACCACAGTGAGGGTTCCCTGCCATTACAGTGGAACCTCTGTTTTCAAACGTAATCGGTTCCGGAAGAACGTTTGAATTCCGAAATGTTCGAAAACTCAAAACAGAAGCCTCAAAACGGAAAAATCAATACGGAAGCCGCCTCAGAAGTTCATCTTCTGAGGCACGTTCGAAAACGGAAGCAGCTACTTCTGGGTTTTCGGCGTTCGAGTTCCGAAACGTTCGTCAGCAGAGATGTTCGAAACCTGACGTTCCACTGTATTACAATTATTACGACTGCTACTTCTACTACTACTGTTACTACTCTGCTCATCTGACTGGGTCTGCCTCTTCAACAAGGAGGCATAATTTTTTTTATGTGAGATGGGGAATGTGCATCCGTACGGGCTATTTTGCAACATTCACCAGGCACTGTGGGGACTAAGATTCCTAGATCCAGCAAGGAGAGCTGGAAAACTAAACTGGGATGTTTGTGTGTGTGTTTTTAATTACACGGTTATATTTTCCCTCCTGCTTTATGTAGCTCATGACTGCAGCCATGTAGGTTATTTAAAACTCCTGACGGTTTTTAATCTCCCTCTCCCCGCATTGGGGTGCAGGGAATTTTCCAGTTGCTCATTGACTCCTTAGAAGAGAGAGTCCTTCCTTCCTTCCTTCCTTCCTTCCTTCCTTCCTTCCTTCCTTCCACACTTGTGAAACAGGGTGCTGCCCAGAAAGCACAAGCTTCCCCTTGCTGGGTATCGCTTCCCCAAACCAGACCTCACCACACTGACTCTTCTTCTCTCTTCTCCCCCCACTCCCTGGCCCTCTCTTCTTCCCACCACAGTACCCACCATCCCAACATCCTCCTCGTACTCCAAGAAAACACAGGCAGCCAACGCAGAGAACAAGCGGCCCGAAGAGGAGCGGGAGGCTGGGCGCAACAAGGCCAGCAGCACGGTCAAAGTGCCTGCCAGCCCTCTGCCCAGCCTCGAGAGGAAGAAGAGCACCCCCACACCTTCCACAGTTAGTCCTTTCTTGCTCTGGGGCGGGGGTGAAGGGAACCAGGGCATGATTCTGAGAGTTTAGAGGAGGAGTTTGAGGACTGGAAGACCGCAAAAAAGAGGGGGTGCAGAATTAAAGTTTGGGGAAAGTACAGCATGTCTGGGCAGAACCAGGAATGACTCCTGGTCTGAAACCCTGGAGAATTGTAGAAAATACTGAGCTAGATGGACCTCAGTAGGTCATTCTCAGTATAAGGCGGCCTCCTGTTTTGGGGGAAGGGCCAAAGCTCAGTGGTAGAACATATGTACTGCATGCAGAAGGTCCCAGGTTCAATCCCTGGTATCTCCAGGTAGGCTTGGGAAAGATCCCCTGCCTCCCTTGCAGCCTCTTGAGAGCTGCTGACAGGGTAGACAATATATTGAGCTAGATCATTCTTTTCCAAACTTGGATCTCCAGCTGCTTTTGGACTACAATTCCTATAATCCCTGACCACTGGTCCTGCTAGGTAGGGATGACGGGAATTGTAGTCCAAAAACAGCTAGAGACCCACATTTGGGAAACACTGAGCTTGATGGACCCCTACGCGCCTCTCTGTGTAAGGCAGATTCCTCCATCCCTATGTTATGACTCTGGGAGGCCTGGGTGCTGACTCAGGTAGCCTAGCTCAGGTAGTCTCTGCAGAAGCAGCAGGCTGGAGCCACTTAACTCCCTTTCTCTTTCTCTGAAGTGTGGGCAGTGAAGGGCTCGTGCTCACTCGGTGTCTCTACCCCTCTGCAGAACAGCGTCCTCTCAACCAGCACAAACCGGAGCCGCAACTCCCCCATGCTGGACCGGGCCAGTTTGGGCCAGAACTCCATCCAGAACGGCAAAGATAGGTAAGGACCTGGAGCCCAGGCCAGCTTGGTTATGTTGCTTTCTAGATGCTGACATAAAGATGCACTAGGAAGAGGGGAGGAACAGAAAACTTCAGTAGTAGAGAGGTGTCCAGCTGTTTTGGGGCAGCTTTGCAGGTGGCTCCACAGGACTGTTTTGTGTATGGGTCACAGAGCCAGGCTACCTATGAGGCACTGTGAGGCGACCACCTCAGGCAACAGGGCCCACCAAGGCTGCAGATCCTGGTGCTGATATTCCCCGACCCCTGGTGGGGAGCAGGGCACCATTTTGAGGTCCATCTCAGGTGCCAAAATGTCTTGGGCCAGCCCTGATGGGTCATGCATTTCTTAATGTGGGGTGTGGAGAGAGAGAGCCATCCCTGGAATGTACCATTAGAGATTGCAAGATGGTGGCCGAGGCATGTGTTTGAATCCTCAAGGGTAGAAATTCCTGCACTGAGAAAGCCAACATATCAAGAGGCAACAGTCAGCCAAAAGCCTTCTCCTTGGCTTGACAACTTTTTTGTCTGCAGGCACCTTTGTAATGCAAAGGAGGCAAGTGATTGCATCCACCAGCAGTCTGTAATAGGGGCAATCCTAAAATTGGAGAGGTCATTGTGAGGCCATCCAGCGCAGTGCTGGAAATCAACAGCTGACTATGCAGCCTCAGCTGGAAGGTCAGACCTGCCTTGTCAGTTCTCTGTTCAGCTGGGCAAAGCCACAGTTGCTGCCTGGCTGGACTGCATGATTGAAAGCCACCAAACAGACCTGCACACGCGTGCATGAACCTTTGCCTCTGGTTCCCTTATTTCCCCTCCCAAGTCACGGATGGAGATCCTATGGCCTCTCAGATGTTGCCGGACTCCAGCTCCCACCGTCTCTGACCATTGCCTGTGCTGCCTGGGGCTGATGGGAGTTGGAGTCCAACAACACCTGGAGGGCCACAGATTCCCCATCCCTGCTCTAATCCTGTGTGGTTTTAAGAATATTAGGAATGCACTGCATACTTAAAACTGATTTTAACAGTAGTTCCTGGGACAGAGGAAGCAGTGCTCACGTTTCAAAGAGTTCTCCCCAGCTGTACCAAGCTGTGGTTCCCTGGGTTTCTGTGGGGCAGCCATTGCATTTACACAGACTCAGAGGCGGTGGGTCCAAACCTGCCTGGGTTCGGGTGCCTTCTCTGTCAGTGGTCCATTCTCTTCTCCTCTGCTCCCCAAACACAGTCCTCAAAGAACGGAGCTGCATCCTGGTTGCAGCAAGGTGGGATTACGAGCTAGTTTGGAATACTTCAGAAGTGTTGAAAGATGATTTGTAGCATTGTTCTGCCAATTGATTGAGAGAGGGGAGATGGCTGTGGGTATTGCTGGGCGGGCGGGCGGGCGGGGCGCTTCTGTTCTTTCCTTCTGTCTGGTTCAGCAGCAGCGGCAGCAGTCTGAGCCACGTGTCCTGGATCTGGAGCAACAGTGTTCACCCCCCGGCCCGTAGTTCGCCCTGCCAAATGGAAACTGGTCTTCCTCTCTAGGGTCCCTTCGTCAACCAAGCAATCTGCTCCCTGCAGAGTTCTCCTTTCTCTGCCCCACCTTCTCCCCAGAGAATTCTGCAGCATTGGAGGAGCATCTCCTCCTATGAGCTGTCTCGCACCCCACTCCCCCACTGGCAGCCTGAAGTGGTGGAGCTCAAACACAGCTTGAGCCACTTCAGAGAGAACTAGGCAAGTATTAGACCTTCCCCACAACATAGCCTTTTTAAAAGAGCCGGATGCATCTTGGAACTGTGGACCCTCTGCAGTTAAGGCCAGTCCGGTGCGTGTTGATCCCACCACCACCCTTGGGTCAGCACACCGCCGGGTCTTAGGCTACTAGCTACTAGCCTGCAGGGTTTATTTCATCAGCTTCTGAAGAGGCTGCTAGCCTGTGTTTCCACGCTGGCCGTGGAGGAGAGGAAGCCCCACCCACCCAAGGGGACCGACTGGAAGAATGGAGGAACCCATTTTTTTCTGCCAACCAGCTCACTCGCCTGGACGGGATCCTGGTCGCCTGTCTCTACCAAAAGAGTTGCTAAATCCACAGCTGGTCTTAAGCTCTCCCCACTTTTCCTACTTCCAATACGGCTCAGAAGAAGCAGCCCTGCTTGACCTCTTCATTTCTCATCCATTATGGACACGCACATAACATAACATGCATAGTTACATACAAGCAAAACCCGTTTTCTTTTTGCTTGAGAACATTGGCTCTCTCTTTTTAGGGTCTAACTGCCATGGTGTCCCGTCCCCCACCCGACCCCAGCACGATTCCCTCCACATCCATTCCCACTCTTGCATCAAGGTTGTTCCTGACACATATACACATATACCGGGTTGTATATTGTATATTTGCTCTTCCTCCCCTTCCTCGGGACATCCATGTACCTAGTAGTGGCTGTATCCATGGTGAGAAAGGGATGGGTTGGGGAGGGGGAGATCCAGGGCCTTCTTCCTTCAGCTGAAATGATTAGAAGCAGCTCTGTTTCATCGAGCAAGGGCAAGCACGTGGATGTGGTCTGAGCTGCCAAACAGACAGATTGATTATTTGACAGCACGTGCCGTATCCAAAGCTGAAGGTGGAGGAGCCGCTGCCTTTCCTCCCCCCACCCTACAATCCTGCAATGAGGCCCCAGCTGCAGCATGGCCCTACCGGGGTGAGTCGGGGCCTTTGGAGAATAAGGGGGCCCTTCCCCCTGTCTTGCACAAAGCATTAGGGTCAAGCAAGGGAACAGCATCAGAGACAGACACATGCAAGGAAAGGAAAGGTTTGCTGCAAGGCCCTTGAGTGGCCCCTCCTGCCTGGGAGGAAAATGACTGTCAGAGAGACAGCCGGGTGGGAGACAAGAGCCCCTGGTGCCTCCTCTGGCTGGGCTTCCATTTTGCTTTTTTGTTTTAGCCTGTTTTGTTATAAAAGGGTTCTTTTTAATAAACGTGCATTGGTTCCGTTTTGCAAATGCCCTAAATCGCTTTAAGGACTCCAGTCAAAAAGCGGGATATAAATCCAGTCATTCGACAAACGTGGCTGTTGATGAAAGAATGCAGATCAGTTAGCGAGAGGAGTTCTGCGTTTCCATGCCCGTTGGGTGGGAATAAGGGGGAATAATCAGTGCATTGCTACTTTGGCAGTCTGTTCAGAGCCCACCCACCCCCATCTTGTGCACAGTCCCAAGTACCTTTCCTTGTAACATGACTTTTTTTTTACTATTCCTGGGGGCTTGGGAATAAATCCACCCGAGACTCATAGAACGAGGAACTCTCCTTGAAACGGTGCAAACGAGATGTTGGGCGCAGTGGGTAGGGTGGCACCTCCCTGCTAGACTGGGAGTCTGTTTGGGTCAGCTACGGATACAGCCAGCCGCCTTCCCTGATTTTTCCCTCCACCCTCCACCCCATCCCTCCTTTTTTAAACATCTGCTTCTCCCCTGCTTGTGTTTTCTTTCCTCCCCTCACCCCCCTAGCCTAACCACTCCAGGCTCCAGGGCTTCTACCGCTTCAGCTTCCGCCGCCGTGAGCTCTGCGCGCCCGCGACAGCACCAGAAATCCATGTCTGCCTCGGTGCACCCCTCCAAGCCCGCGCTGCCCCCCTCCGACAATAACTGTGAGGCGCAGCGACCCAGGCAAGTGGGCAGCTCTGCATGCCTTGTGTCCTCCGTCCCCTGCCCACCCCTAGGGCTCTCCAACATTTTTGTGTCTTCCGCCTGCTCCGCACCCTGGAGCCATGTCTCTCTTTTTGCCCTTCCCCAGTGCGCTCGCTCAGGGCCTGGAGGTAAGTAGAGGGGGACAGCCAAATGTTTTGGGGTTGGAAGGATTGTGGTGCCTTGGAGGGCAACTTGGTGCCCTGCAGCTGTTTTTTGGACAAGCTGGCTTGTAGGATGTGACAGGAATATTCTCCCGCCACCACCACAAAACCAAGGAGGCACAGCACTAATGCAGGGGGAACAGGGCTGCCTGGTAGAAAGTAGAACAGGCATCCTTTCCAACTTCAGGTAATGGCAGGTTGGATGGCTTGAAAGGAGTCTGAGAACGAGATCAGAAGCCTCCAGTTAGTTGCCTGTCCTCTCCAGGCAGAAAAAGGACAATTGGAGCCTTCTGAACCCTTCCCCTTCTTTTTTTATTCAGCTCTGTTTGTCTCTACTTCACCAGCTGGGGTTCAGGCAAGCGGCTCTTTAACCTCATCTCCAGGGTCAACAGCAACAGCAGAAGCTATTAGCAAGTATCCTCTCCTGGAGACTCATTCCTGTCAGCTTGTTATTGTTGTGCCCCTCCTGCCAGTGCAAAAGGCTAGTCTTCACACTGAGGACTAGGGGCTTTGGAAATCTTTTCCCTTTATCCAAGCTGGTGCAGGAGTGAGCAGCGGAAGGAGCTGAGATTTGAAGCGGCCAGAAATGGCAAAGGGGGCGGGGCTTCTGCACCTTTCACAATTGTGTAGAAGAGGGGATTTCAGCAGGTGAGGTTTAATTAAAGGTGTAGGGGCCCCATCCTCCTCCCCCCCACCTGGTGCCCTTACTTGAAATTGCAGGCCCTTCAGCCCGTGCTCAGTTCAAAATATGGGTTGTTCATTCATTTATTTTTAAGCGTTGGCTGCCAACGAGGTATTTGCTGTTGGGTTTAAGCAACCACAGCCTTCTGCAGTCTTAAACTAGGCTGCAAACCCATTTTAACAGGCTCACCATTTTTCAAGAACTCCTGCGATTTCAGGAGCACCTCTTCATATAATCTCAGCTGTGCGGTTCTTTGTAGAACTCCCCTTGTGTTTCCTCCCACCCCCACAAGCAGAACACCACCTCCCAGAATCCTCTGGGGCGCAAAGGCCATAACCCTTGAAAGTGGCTTGCCCCAAAGACTTTTCCTGTTCAGCCCAGGCAGAGGAGTGTTCCTGGATGGCGAGCAAGTGGGGTCGCTGACTGTCGTCTTCTCTGCTCTTCCCCCTCCCCTCCCCATAGCACTGCACCCCAGAGGGTCCCCGTCGCCTCTCCCTCGGCCCACAACATCAGCAGTGCCCTCCCGGAGCGCACCAACTTCCCGCGGGGCGTCTCCAGCCGCAGCACTTTCCATGCCGGGCAGCTCCGGCAGGTCCGGGACCAGCAGAACCTCCCCTACGGCCTCACGCCCGCGTCGCCCTCCGGGAACAGCCAAGGCAGGAGGGGGGCCTCAGGGAGCATCTTCAGCAAGTTCACCTCCAAGTTCGTGCGCAGGTGAGCAGGGAAGTGGGCAGGGGTGGGAGGAAGAGGAGCCGTCCTCCTTTTTTAGCCCTTTCCAAATCCGTAGCTGGTATTCTCTGCCGATTGGAAACAACTCCAGGATTGCTTGAGACACGTGCTTTGGGGGTTCAGTTTGGGGGTGAGAGTTGAATGCAAGCCATCCTCCCCCGCTCCCCCAGGGCGCAGCATGAAGGCTCACTACCTTGTGTGTGTGTGTATATATGTGTGTTGTGCACAGCCAGGCCCACCCTCATAAGTACCCCTCTTCCCCACCCCACACCAAGGATGTCCTTGTGACCCCAGCCGCCTCCTCTTCGTCTTGCATCTCTCCTCCCTGCCCCCACCGTATTGCTGCACAGAACCAGCGCAGGGGCAGGAGTGTCAGCTGCCTTCCTTGGCCGGATCCTTTCCAAACTGTGCTTGGAAGGGGTTGGAGAGGACTAGCCTCCTAATTAAGCTTGGGGCAGCCCTTTTTTTCCTGTAGCATTCAACCAAGAGGGGTGTGGGTGTGTTTGCATGTGTTTATATGTGTGCATGTAGGGGTGGAGAACCCCTTTCCTGCCTTTCAGCTCCCTCCTGGTATTGGAGCAGTGAGCAGCAGAGAAGAGGCCCCTCTCAAAGGACGTCTACAGACAAATGGGCTCAGGCACAAGGGAGTGCACCTGGACCAGGGATGATTGGGGAGAACCATGGCTCATTTAGACAGTGGCTGCATTGCATGCAGAAGGTCTCAGGTTTGATCCCCAGTTTCCAGTAGGTCTGGGAGTTGTCCCCTGTTGGAAACCTGAAGAGGCACTTCCGGCCAGCAGAGACAAGGTTTGGGGGAGCCTTTGACCTTTCAGGTGTTGCTGAACTTCAGCTCCCATCGTCCTTTGCTCATTAGCCATTCTTCTTGGGGCTGCTGGGAGTTGTAGTTCAGCAACATGGGGGGGGGGCAAAGGCTCCTCACACCTGTTGTAGGTGATACAGCGCTAGGTGGATCAATAGCCTGACTTGCTCCATGGCAACTTCCTGTGCTTCCCTGACGTGTTAAGACCAATCAGGAGGTGCCACATTGGAGAGAGGCATTCTGGGAATGGAGATCAGAAGAGCGGGCTGAAGGTCACCTTCCTCCTGGCAACTGCAGAGCTCAAGGCCATGGAGGAACCACCTTGCGCTCTCCCCAAGAGCATGCGCATGCTGCCTTATGCGCTCCTCCCCGGGAATTCCCATTTCTGCTTGCAGCTCAGAAAAAGAGACCAGCAGAGTCTCAGCTGAGCCGCAGAGCAAGCCAGGCCTGCCTCCCACACCCTCCGATGGCACTCCAGACACTGCTTCTGTTGTGGTTCCTGCAGTGACCTAGGGTGCTGCGAAGGCCGCAAAGCTGAGGGTGGGTGGGGGCCGCCTCACCTGCAGCCCAGCCATCCCAGGGGTGGGGGGTGGACAAGGATTTAGCAGAGCAGCCCAGGGGGTGAGGGTGGCAACCAAGCTCATTTCCAGGGTTCTCCGATGCTTCTCCATCCCCTTCCAAGCGACAGGATGGAGGAGATGCCTTCTGGACCCTGTCAGTACCAGCTGCCTTCTCTGGTGAGGATCCAGCCAGGGAGGTTTGCAGCTAGGGTCTGCTCGAACCCGTCCCTCAAGGCAGCTTTTTTGTGGTGTGTGTATATGTGTGTGTGAATATGTCTCAAAATGGCTTCTCTCTTTCCCGTACAGCCCTGAGAGGGGATGGGCTGTGAGATGGGGCACAGTTTCCTGGCAAAGCCTTTTGTCTCAATTGGCGGGAGGGGGTGTTTTATGGTGCATGACGGGGGAGCCATTCTGTACAGCCCAGTGCCTCCTGCCCCCAACCCCTTTCCCTCTTTGCTGTAAGTGTTTAACCTGCCCCTCCATAGCACCCCCAGCTTCTGTTCCCAGCTTTGTGGGGAGAGTTAGGCTGTGGCAGGACTGGGGACGAGGGGGGCAGCCAAGTGCCTCTGGGGTCCTGGCCTCCCTCCCTCCCCCTCTGTAAAGTTCCAGCACCAATGGGAGGGGGGCAGTGGGAGCCCCAGCTCAGCCCTCCTCCCTCTGGCCTGTCTCTGTTTGAAGCAAGGAGGCTCTTCAGATTCCCAAGTTTGCAGGGAGGAGGGAGCTAAGGTCGAGGAGGGTTGTGAGGCGGCGGGGTTGTGGGGGCCTTGCTGTGACACCCACCGCCAATTACTATTTTAGGGAGGGAGGTTGGGGCGCCCCGGCCTGCTCCCGCGCGGCTGGCACTCCTGTCACTCGGTCATTTGCGCACTCGCTCACCCACCCACCCACCGTTTCCCCTCCTTTTTTTTCCTTTTAGAAATCTGTCTTTCAGGTTTGCCAGAAGGTAGGCGTTCATCACTCTGGTTTTGTTCTGTCCTCCTCCTCCTCCTCCTGTGCAGTACTAACCTCCTCCCTGCCGGCTTCTTCCTCTCCTCTCCCCGCCCCCCCCTTCTGTGCCTTCTGGCTGCTAATGGTGTCTGTGTGCGCGTGTGTCTGTGTGTGTGTGCACAGAGCATGCTTAAAGGGACGGGGGGGGGCTTGTTAACTCCCTGCCTCTGGGATGTGGGGTGGAGAAAGACCCCCATTGGCTGTGGCCTGCCTCTCAGCCGCCTGCAAATGAGCTGGCCTGGGACTCGGTGGGGAGGAGGGTGGGCAGGGGAAGCCGCAGAGGTTGCTTGCTCACCCGGTGCTGGGCCTCCTCCTCCTCCACTTGGGCATGCTGTCTCTTTAAAGGTGCCTGCCATCTTCCTTGGTCCCCCAGGCTGGGCCTCTGATCTTTAACCGAAACCCTTCTTCCCCCCCCCCCCCCGCCTTTCTCTTTCACACACGCCCACTCCCCCCAACCCAACTAATCCCCTTTCTCCCTGCATGGTGGTGGTTAGGAGGCGCTGGGCTGTCACTGTGCCTCTATTGCTTGCAGCTGCCTTGAGGGTTCAGGGCGGACATGTGGGGAGATGGTTGCCTCGGAATCTTCATGGCCCCAAAGAGCAGATATTATTATCCTGTGGCAGGTTTTGAGCACAATCTGAAAGATACTAGCAGTTGATGTGTTGGGGGTTGGCTTCCTTTCTCTCCCCCCCCCCCCCGGTTGCAGTAGGTAGCCTTTTTATCTTGTTCTTTTTTAGAAAGGGGGAGGTTGCTAATCCACATGGGAACAAAAATGCAGGAAGTGTCAGCAGGTTCCACTTTGAAAGACTGTGGGTTTTTGCTTGTTTCTTGGGACATCCCAGGGCACAGGGCAGGATATGAATCCTACATACCTTTTTGGTTCTGGAGTGTTCCAAAAACCCTGGCCTTCCTCATTCAGTCTACTTCACCTTTTTTATTGTTTCAAGTTATGCTGAACATCTAACAGATTTCTCTCTTTGTGGGGTCAGGAAGGAACGTTTTCTCCTGGGTAAAATTGACTAAAAGTGGGGGTTGAGGGGGGCTTTCTCCCCCTCTACTCATGAACAGCAAGTGCTTTAAAACCTTAGCATTGTGGAGCTACTTGCCATAAAATGGATGACCAGGGATGGGGAGGAGAACAGAGGGGTTGTGCTAGAAATGACCTCGTCCCAGCTCTCTGATCCCGTGGACCATAAAAGGCAGCTGCAGCTGCTGTATTAAAGGCTTGTGGGTGTGGGTGTGAAGGTTTCTCCATTGTTTGATTCCCCCCATCCTCCGCCCCTACCCCACCTCCTGCCTGGTGATGGTGGATGAGCAGAGAAGGAAGCACACTGGTGATCAGGAAGCAAGTTGCTTGCTTGCCCCCTCTCTCATCTGAGCTGGCATGAGGGAGCTCCATTGGCTGTTGCAAGTCACATGGCTTAATGATGGATGGATGTGGCTGGAATATTTAAGGATAACAAGGAGTGGGGGGCCTGTGGCACTCCAGGTGTTAATAGCTGCTTGCTCCCGCCTTCCCCAGCCAGCATGGCCAGTGGTCAGGCGTGGAGGGACTTGTAGTAGTTCCACAAAATCTGGAAGGCCAAAGATTAGACACACACTGCCCCTGGTGTATATGGCTCTTTATCCCCCAGAAAGGGGTACCCAGAATGGCAAAGCAGTAAATATCAGCAATACCCAAAAACAAAACAAAGAAAGAAAGAAAGAGACAGAGCTTAAAATGTCTGCTTAAACAGACATTTTAAAAGGCCAGCATCACTTGGCCTCAACACAGTTTAAAAGGCCAGCATCACTTGGCCTCAACGCCAGGAAGAGCTTTGAGGAGTTGCTTTAAAAAATAAATCCAGAAGTGGTGCTTTGTATAACCAAAACCAAATTAAAAGGGTGCATGCTACTAAACGTTCGGAGGCTGAATCCAGTGAAGCAGCAGCTTTGATAAAATTGGCTCTCAATGTCACAAAGCCATTCTCCCAGGACAGCCCATTGGGCTGCTTAAAAACCTGATGGAAACCAAAGTGTTTTTAGTTTGCCATCTCGAGACTCGTAAGTGGATTCCGCAAACTGTGAAGCCACCGTGGCAAGGGTTGTGCTCTTCCTTTTCTTTTGCATGGTGGTGCCATCAGCACGCTCTCCTCATTTACTGGTCTCAGTGGGCAGGTGGGTTATGATGCAAATTTCTATGAAGCGGGTCCAGAGTTGGGCATAGTGTATTTTTAGGCTTGGGGAGTGGTGCTCAGATGAGAGGGGAAGCACCTCCCAAGTCATTTACTTTATATTGTAATAATGTCTAGAATTCCTAGAGCATGATTTAATACTATTTAGCATTGAGGGCCACAGGGGAAGGACTGTAGTTCCGTAGTAGAGCATCTGCCTTGCATGCAGAAAGTCCCAGGTTCAATCTCTAGCAACATCTCCAGGTAGGGTCGGGAGAGACTCCCTGCCTGAAACTCTGAAGAGCTGCTGCCAGTCAGTGTAGACTGTACTGGGCTAGATGGACCAGTGGTATGACTCCGTATAAGGCAGCTTCCTATATACTGATTTTCGAGCGTTAATGTGTGCATCCTCTTCGTGGCCCTTGCAGCAACCCTTTAAGGTAGGCTAGTGGTGGTATTGCAGGTGGAGGCCGAGAGAGATCATGGCTCATTTTGCAAGTTTGTGGCAGAGGTATGCTTTGAGCTGGTGATCACAGCGCAGCCTCTTCCCCTGCCACTCCAGCTCCTCTTCTCTTCCCTTGCCTGGCTGTGGCTTCTGCTTGTGCCGAGGGACCAGGGAGAGAGGTGCCGCTGCGCATCCCACACCTGCAACCAGCCAGCCCAGACGCCCTCCTCCTCACCACCATGTTGACAAAACGCACTTCCCAGCATGCCGCGCAGAGTGTTGCATGCCGGGAGCCTGTGGGCTTGGCATCAGCCCTCATGACGCCCTCCCCAGCCCCTTCCGTGCCTTGAGTTGCCCCCCGCCCTGCCACACCTGCCAGAGGTGCACACTCGTCCCCCTGCCCCCTGGGAGAAAAGGAGAGCAGGTCTAGGAGCTGCTGACTGGAGGGTGCCTGATACCTTGTTCTCCTGCTCTGTTTTTTGAGGAACCTGCATGAGCCCGAAAGCAAAGACCGTGTGGAGACGCTCAGGTGAGATGCAGCCAGTGTCACGGGGCCTCCTCCAGCCTTTGGGGGAAGCCTTTGCTCCACTCTGTCTGTTTCTCCAGCAGGGCCAGGCTGCTCCCTGGCACCTCCTCTCCGTCTCCTCCATGTGCCTGTCTCTCTCTTCTGTTGCTCCCAAACTACTACTTAGCGTCTCTGTGTGTGCGTGTGTGTGTGTGTGTCTCTCTCTCTCCCCTCTCTAGCTCTCGGTTGCCGACCAAGCTTGGCTTCTGGGGGCAGCCGAAGGGGCCGAGTGGGGAGGGCGCCCTTCTCCGCTCACTGTCTCGCTCTCCCCTCTCAGGCCTCACATGGTGGGCAGCAGCGGCGACAAGGAGCGGGACGAGAACCGGGAGGCCAAGCCGCGCTCGCTGCGCTTCACCTGGAGCATGAAGACGACGAGCTCCATGGAGCCCAACGAGATGATGAAGGAGATCCGGAAAGTGCTGGACGCTAACAACTGCCAGTGCGAGCTGCAGGAGAAGTACATGCTTCTGTGCATGCACGGAGCGCCGGGCCACGAGGCCTTTGTCCAGTGGGAGATGGAGGTGTGCAAGCTCCCCCGCCTCTCCCTCAACGGTGTCCGCTTCAAGCGGATATCGGGCACCTCCATGGCCTTCAAGAACATTGCCTCAAAAATCGCCAACGAACTGAAGCTTTAACAGGCCCCCCGGGGGGGCCCAGCCTGCACGCGCATGGGGTGGGGGTTAGGAGTAAAAAGCTGCAATTTTAACTCTGGAAGGGTTTATTTTTCGATACCCTGGTGCAGGACGGAGATTGGGGGGGCAGGGAAAGGGGGCGGCAGCTGGATGTTTGGGGACATCCCCCCTCTCCATCACTCCCCCCCCCCCGCTGCTGGATCGCCATAGAGACAGAGTGCGTGGGGTAGTGGCTGGCAGCCACCCAGCCCGTCTCCGTGGCAACAGTAGTGGGAGCGTACCAAGGGCTGTTGGTCTCTATAGTGACTGTGTTGGGGGGCATCCCTTTTGGTCTCCGTGGCGACCATGGTACTTTCCTTTTATTTCTTTTTTTTGTTGTTGCACATGAGACAGGGTTTTAAATTTTTACCAAACACAGCAAAAAGCAAAGATGGGGAAATAAGTGGACACCCCGCCCCCTCAACTGCCAGAGCTCGCCCTCCCCCACAATGCCTTTTACCTCCCACAATGCCTTTCACTCGCACCCTCCTCTCCTTGGTGGTGGACTTTCAGCTGCTGAGCGTGTGCTTGCTCATGCCCTGGGAGAGTTGGGCTTTCCTAAGGGCATAATGGTGCCAGTGGTTCTGCCTTTGGGTTTCCCCCGTCAGGCCAGTGATGGACGGTGGTGGGTTCGGACGGTTCTGCGGTCGCCCTCTCCTCCCCTTCCTAGTCTTGGCCAGTTCTGCTCCCAGAGATCAGGGCCTGTTTTCGGCAAGGCCATTGGAAGGAGCACTGTCCTCCAATTTGCTCTTCTTCTGGCAGGGGTCCTGAGATCCCCTATAAGAAGAGTGGGGTGAAGATTCTAGCCATGCATATGGTTGCCTCCCACCTTGGAAGAGCAAAGGGTGGGGAGTGTCCCAAGCCACAGCAGTCCATTTCTTCACCTCTGACCACCCCCCTCCCCAGCAATTCTCTTCCCTGCAGGCTCCAGGAGCAACAGCATAAAGCTAGCAAAGGCTTCTGGGAGCAGAGCATTCCTTTGTTCAGCCTGAGCCAGTTTCTTTTATGGGCTTTGACAGCTTGCACAGCATCATGGTTAGAACTGCTGCCCCATCAGTCTTGCTGGTGCCTTGCTTGTTGGTTCTGATCCCAAGCATCCACCCCCACCCCCCGTCTCCAGCGCTTCCAGGCTAAGATAACTTTCAGCATGTTTCTTCCTGACCCAGGATGCTCTGGAACACACCAGACCTTGGCCACCAACTTTGCACACGTGTTCATACTTGGCTTCTTTTCCTCTGTGCCCAAGAGTGGCTTTGGCTGTTATTAAAGCAAGTGGCACCATCTGCCTGTGGGGAGAGTTGCCTGAGGCGTCATTAGCTGGGGGAACAGCTATTTTTGCCCCAGTCTTTCCATTACGGAAGACGACATACACAGGTCATGCTGATGTTTGGGGGCAAGAGGAAGAGCTTTGTGGTGGGGTATGTGGGGGGGGGGGGTTCTGTTAACACTCTCCCTGCCCAGGTAGTGCCCAGCAGTGGTCACCAGTATCTTACCAGTATGGTGGAAGATAAGGGGAGCTCCCCCTCCCATTTACCTCCTTCCCTGCATCTACAAAAGCAGGATAGCACAGCCTGCCCTTCCTTCCCATTTGACAAGCCGGCTTTTCCCCTCCTCTCTCCAAAGCACAAGAGAAAAATGGGACCCTGGCTGCAATTACCTCTCTTGTTCCTCCCTCCCCTTCACCCCACCACCCCTCAAGATGGGTTTCTTCCATTGTCATATCACCACTTGAGAATGTATTTTCAATCCTCTTTGGGGTGGTTGGGCTCCCCACCCTGGCAGTCTGTACTGAGCTCCTTCAACCCCACCACTGTCACACACACACACACACAAATCTGGTTTGTATATAACTGTACTGATACCTCGGTTTTGTGAGTGGTTACTTTTTTTTTTTTAATTCTGATCACAAAATGCCTTTTTTTAAAAAAAGAAAAAATCATGTCCCTTTTTTGTTCATCCCCTTCCCCCCCCTCTAGGGACGCTGCCGTTTGATGTAGTTTTACAGGTTCTAGATTAAAACTTTCCAGAAAGTACCTGCCTGGCCTTGGCTTCCTCTGTTCCCACCTCCCTCCCCAAGCACTTTGCCTGGAGATGTGCTTCCACTCCCTGGGAGGCTACAAGCCTTGGTACCGTCCTGTCAAGAGTGGGTGGGGGTGGCTCCATGGGGTTGTGGTGATGGGAAGCAAGGCCTAGGTGCAGCTGTTCCAAGTGCCCAGTGGTTCCCCTTGAACGTGGAATGCTAATTCTGTGCCCCCTTTGCGTGATTTCTTTTTGCTCTGTGCCCTGACCAGGCAACAGTTGGTGAAGGAACTGATTAAGAGGGGCAGTGTGGCACCCACAACATAAAATGCTGTGGCCTGCTGTGATACCCTGAACTGTTTTTGTATTCTGAGGAGATGCAGTGTTCCACAAGAGGCTCCCTCTGTCCCGGTTACAGCAGGGCGAATTGCTAAAGGCTCTGGGAGTGGCAATTTTGATGTCACCGCGTATGCAATTCCTTCTGGCCTTTGCTGTGTTCATCTTGCTGAGACTGGCAGGACTCATCCTGGGCAAAGCTGTCTCTGTGACAGGATCAGAGCACCTTTTGGAAGACCATGCCTGGGAGGAGGCTGACGGGGCAAAGACCTCCTTCCTCTTGCTTGTGACCAAGTAGCTTGCCTGATTCTCCCCTTTCCATTCTTATTAAAAGCCAAAGAAGAAAAATCATAAGCTCCAGACCTGTTTTTCAGAAGGGGAGGGGGGAAGCCTTATCTCCGACATGCATCTTGAGACATGACAGCCCTTTGCTAGAGCACAGAATTTATCTTCTGCCTTGATTTGGGCAATTGTGAATGCCACACACTTTCCCCATGCTCCATTGCCTCCCCAGCTAGACACAGGGTGGAAAGACCAGCCAGTTGTAACAAAATACCTTTATTGAAAATGCTCCATGGATGACAACAACAACAAAAGACTCCCAGCAATGGGTGGGGCCTTGGAGGGGAATCGTACACAGAAGACTGCCCAATCCTACTCTTTAGGGAGTCGTTACATCTTTGCTGCCAGGGACTCCTGCCTGGCAAGGTGGATAGGCAAGTACAGAGCAAATCAGGCTGCCACTCATTCCCTCCCCCCCCCCTTCCAAATCTCCATGTAGAAACTGGAGAGGAAGGGAAATTGCTGTTACAGAGAGAGGGGCATCTTTACTTGGGAGCACTCTTGCCTCTGCATCCAGTCTGATCAGGTGTAAATCTCCCCTCCTTCCTCCCCCTCCCCCCAAGCTTCCACCTGTGTCAACTCTGACATACCTCCCCTTGCCCTCCCCCCAATCCCCGATTCACACAGGCACTGACGCAACTGATCCTGCAAAAGTGTAAACATAATCCAAACCCACCCCAAGCTACTAGTCCTATCACTTCCTTTCTCTTCCCTCCCCTCCCAAGAAAAAAAAACCCCACCCCCACCCCAATGTACATGGGATTGGGATTCCTTGCCAGCTTTCTGGATGCTACCTGAACTGGGTCAGATGACAGTTGGGACCCCGAAGCCCCTCCTTCCCCTGTTCCCTTTTCATGACCACCACAGCCAATGCACACCTTGTGGGGGGAGAGGAGGACTGTACCAATCCCAGCTGTGACTGTTGTAGAGCCAGGCTCACAGATGTCAAAGGAAGCACTCTGAAACCCCTCCTCAGAGGGAGCTGGAGGAGGGGGGAGGGGGCTCTCCTATCCCACCAAGGAGTGATGGGGGGTGCTGGCCACTGCGGGGCGCTTGTCGCGAGGTGGCTGGCCGAATGAGCGGGGGTGGCGGCTGGTTGAGCGACAGTCTGGGCTGCAGGAAGCGGCCTTGCTGCAGTGGTGGGGGTTGGCGGTGCAGCGTGGGTGCTGTTGGAAGTGTGGGCCTCAGCAAAGGGGGTGGCTGTGAGAGGGCAGCAGGTGGTGGCCGGGGAGACGCTGGGAGTGGCGGCGGAGGGGGCAGTGGCGGCGGTTGCTGCTGCTGCTGCTGCTGCTGCTGCTGCTGCAGGGAACGGGACACTGCAGTGATCTGTACCTGCAAAAGGGCAGAAGGAGAGCTTTCAGTGCTGGAGAAGCTCAAGAGGTCTGTGCGGTGTTGGTACTTGGGGGCAGCCCCTCTCCTCACCTCATCTTCTTCCTCACTGCTTGCTAACGAAGCGCTAGAGCTCTTTTGGTCCTGAGAAGGGGAGCTACCTTGGGGGGCAGCCGGCCCCACACCCTCCTGCTCAGCCTCCCATTCCTGCAGCACCTCTTCCAAGTTGAACCGGCGCCGGTAGCTGACAAAGAAAGTCTTCACTTGGGCTACTGTCTTGTTGCCAATCACCTCTGCAATGGCCTGGAAATCTTTGCCGTATTTTCGGATGGCTGAGCAGGAAAAGAGAGGTGATTTTTGCACCATTCCGCAACATAACCAAATGCCACCATTTGGCAAGCCAGCTACCTACTGTTGTGTCTCCAGGCCCCCAATCCATGGTGGAGAAATTTGGTACAGAGGGTGCCACTTTAGGGTGATCATAACCTACACTCTGGCCCTCAAATCCCAAAGACCAATATCCTCCTCTGATACAACGGAGGGGAATAACCCATCCATCCTCTCCTAGTTCAGCCCTGCATTGCTAAGAGGAGGCAGCCTGTCGCCTCTTTGCTGCATGGGCTCCCACCTGCTGGACCTTGAAGGCTCACCCTGTACAGCCAGCAGCTGTTCATCTGTTGTCCAGCGTGAATTGAACTTGATGTTTGTCTGCAAGGGAGAAAAGGAGCATGTCTGAGCTTTGCCTCCCTCCCTCTTATGCCTCCCCCGAACAGAGAAATCTGGAAACTACCACTACAGAAAAGGGGCAGCTTGCCTGCGCATGCACACTCACCTCGGGTGGCCGTAGTTTGTCTATTCCACCTTCTAGCACCTGCTTCATACTGCTATTGATCTGCTTGATGCTCTGTACCTAGTATGGACAGAGACTGGAAGGTCAGGAGGCAACAGCTCCCTTGCCCACCCCCATAGTCTGAAGAGCCCAAATTCTTTGGAAGATGAAAAGGAGAACAGGTTTTCTGTAAGGGGCGGTGCATGCTCATTGGGAGGGAGGCAGGCAGGCAGCAAGTTGTGACCACGTGTACACACTTAGGATTTTGCTACCTGGCGCTTGAGGGAAACCAGCTGGGAGTCCAGGTGGCGCAGGGTGAGAACAGCCATGTCTGGGCTGGCAGACAGGCCTGTAATGTCCTCCTGGCTCAGGTACATGCCCTTGGGAGGACGCCGGCGAGTGCGTAGTGGGTGGTGCCGATACTGGGACAGTTGCACCTCCTTCTTCACAGGCCCTGGCTTGCTGTTCAGGGGCTTCTGGTAACTAGGCTGGAGAGGAGAGAATGAGAGTGAGAGAAAACTGAACAGGGCCTCCCTTCAAATTTACCATGGTTTTTACTGCCCCAGTGCAGCTCTTCCTCCCATGCCCTTTAATGCTGCTTCCTTGAGGAGCTGGATTGTAATCTGTCTTGGCGGGGGTAACTCCTTGGGTTGTATCCAGTGCTAGTTGTACTCAGTACAGATCCACTGAAGTTAATAGACATGGCTAACTTAGGTTCGTTAATTTCAGTGGGTCGACCCCCCAGGTAGAACTTCACTGGTTACAACCCCATCTTCCTTAGGTTAATGTATCAGCCAGTCCTCTACCACCCAGTTCCTTTTGACATACAGTTGTCATTCAGTTATAGCTCTTCTAAGCTGTTTAATGTTCCTTGGCACATGGCATCTCCATCCTGATAAATTCAGGACTTTGTGTGCCCTGTACTTAAAAAACACACACACAAAAACATTTTTATGGCAAAGTGCCTGTTTTCTTGCCACTGAAGGTACTGGAACCATGTTGACCCTTGTTTATCTTAGTTACCCTTAGTTTAGACCTGTTAGTGGCCATTCCCCTTACCTCCTTCTTGGGATCCATGGCATCAAATTCACCCTCACTAGCCTGCCGTCCTTCCTCCAGTTCATCATTACTGTAGGGGAAATGCAGCAGACATTAGAAGTTATTCTGCTTGCTCCAGAATATGACTTGCCTCTCCTTCAGTCTTTTTCTGGTTTCTCCAAATAGGTCTCTTCCCCCTACTGGGCTATTGCCATCCTTGCTTTGAGCTCTTCTGGGAGGCAGTAATTACTGCTGTTCATTGCATCCTGGCTCGGCTTCACTGGAGAAAACGAACTTCTGGCCATCTCTGCTTGTGCCCCCACTTTTTCCCAAGCAGTGGGAGAGACTTAAATTGCAGGAGCAAAGTTTGGAATTCTGTCACATACTTATTTGTTTATTTTTTTTAAAAAAACAAGTTTACAGTGATGCAGTGGTTAGCACAAGCAGGGGTCTTGGAGTTTTAGAAGTCCAGGCTGTGTCCACGCAAGTATTGCGTACAAGGTAGTCACTTCCAAGCCATCAATGTTTTGCCTGGTTCTGTCCTTGCTAGATTGCAATTGGTTTTATGGGCAAATCTTGACATTATATTCAGCTTAACTGGGTTTGGGCAGGCTCCCTGCCTCAGAAACTGATTTGTAGTGTTCCATTAATTGGTGGGGTCCCACTAATGAAACTGTTTTGGGGTTGAAGGCAAAGTTATTGGCTCTGTGACAGGCCCAGCCACCCAGCTACCTCTGCTACAAACCCTTTCCTTCATGAGCCTGCTAAGCCGATCCACCCCACGTACATGCACTCTTGGTCTCTGACCTGTCATCCTTTTCCTTCTTGCTGAGCAGCTTGCGGGCCTGCCGATCCATCACGCTAGTCCTGCTCCGGGTTTTCTTCCAGGAGTAGTAATACTTCACCAGGCTGGGAATCATCTTATCAGGAAGCTAAGCAAGGAGTCGCAGGAGGAACGGTGAGTAGAAGAGGGCAGCCAAAACCTGAATTACTGTGTGGCACAAGGTAATTCTAATAGGCATGTAATTAGGCCATGGAGTGATGCTCAAATACAGAGTTAACGAGTAGAGCTGTGGCACTGGGTCATTCGTATATTGTGTGTGAGAGACAGGAGGTGCCAGAATGGGACTAGTGAAATGGGGAGTCTGGTCCAGAAACAACCATCAGCCCATATAATTGCACAAGCTGGCTCCCCATACAGAGTGAAAAGGGGATACAGAATGGGAAAATCATGGTGCAGCCAGCCCAGGATTTCAAAGAGCAGGCCTTTAAAACAGTTTTGTAAATTGTCAACATAGGCACATATCTGGTTGCAGGTTTTGTAGGGGGACCTGTGGAAGATACCCTCAGCCTTACCTCCACCTTGCTGCTGTCCCTATTTCCCATTCCTTACCCTCTTCTTGGCCAACTGAACCAGGGCCAAGAGGGTGAGGAAAGGCTGCTCCCCTCCTTCACTTGCATCACTGCTCACCCAGAGAACAGCCAGGAGGTGGCAGTGGGGCTGCAGAAGGGGCCTGACGTGACCAACCTGGCACTGGACACTCGTGAGAAGAGGATTGTTCTTTGGACCCCAGCCACCCTGCCACTTACACCAGCAAGAGGGGAACGCATACCATCTGCTGGATTCGAGCAAAACTCTTGCCATGGAAGCTGAAGGCTTGCTCAAACAGGACTTTGTCCTCCACCGTCCACTCATCAGGGAATGGTGTGAAATTGGCCAAGTCAGCCAGGGACTTCTCCACATCGTGTTTGTGCCACAGCAGCATCCCCAGAGCCTGTTGGGGGAAAGAAAGTAATGGGTAAGAGAGAGGAGCAACTGTCCCAGCAATGGAATGTCACTCCTGAAAATGTGGCTCCTGAAAGTCTGGCGATACTGAAGTTTCTGGCAATTCTGAAGATAACCTTACAAGGTTAAGATAGTGATGGCAAGCAGGTCAGTGAAAGAGAGATGGGCTAGAAAGGGTTACCTTTGGCCATGGAATGGCATGTTTGTCAGCTCTTGGGGGAGGGATCCCTCTTAAATGTATCTCTCACCTGGTCCTGTGGTATCACATTTTTTGCTATGAGAAAATGCCTATCTTAAGACTGGGTAGCATTGTTTCCAATAAGCTTTTACTGGCTTACAAGTTGATGCTAAGTGGAATGAAGTGTCCAATAAATCTAATTTGGTTAACCCGATCAAACAATGTCTAATTTTGTGTAATTTGCTCTGCTCTTATGGAATTTGTAGGATTTCAGAAATGTTGCGTTAGGGTCAAGAAACAAGGGGTTGTATTCAACTTAAGATTTACACTGAAATTAATGACCACCACTAAGTTAGGTCCAGTAATTTTAATGAGTCTGCTCCAAGTAAAACTTGTTGAAGCACCATCCAGGGAATCCAGTTTGTTCTGGTTTACCTACCTGCTCTATGTTGTATCCATGCTTCTCCTTGGCCATGGCAATATATTTGTCCACTAGAGGGAGAAAGAGGCAACCGTCAGTGCTGGGGGAGGGAAACAGAGAAGATGTAGATGCTTCGTCCTCTGACATCTCTTTCCCTCGGTGGTTGACTAGCCTGCCTGCCTGCCCGGTGGGGATGGCAGTGATCATCTCCTCTTCCATGACATCCACAACCACTTTTGGGGCTTCCGGTGAGGAGCCCCTCCTAGCAAAGAGGGGAGAAAATTGAAGTGCTCTGTTGCGGGGCGCCCTCTAGAGGAACATAAAAGGCATGTGGCCAGAGGGTCCAGCACACACTAGATCTGTGTTACAAGAGGACTGCCCAAGAGATGTCTGCCGGTCCCATGTGAATTCATGTGCGGGAAGGAGGGGAGAAGCATCCCCCATAGAAGTGGAAAGTGTGGCTGTAAAATATATTATGTACATGTGATATACTAAATATTCTCACACAAACCCTTAATGACAAAGCCATTGGGGTGACAATTGGCCATGCATCAATCTTTTGCCGCCCTCTTCAAAAGCGACAGCACTACCTGGGCAAGCGGAACCCCAACTTTGGGCCTCTCTGCTTCAGCATAGGCAGCGACACCATTTCTCTCCCCCCCCCCCCCAGCTGCCTGCACCAGCCAGATTAATAACCCAGGAGCCGGAGGCAGCGCACCAGCCGCTCGGTAATTGCTTCTAGGAGTCCCGGGAGGGGGGGAAGGGGGAGCTGTCAATCAGAGGCTCTGTTACCAGCTGAAGATGGAATGCATTTCCCCACCCCCACCCCTATTTTAGCCAGGCTGGTTCTTGGTTGATTCTGGAACTGGTTCAGAATCCAGGCCAGGGAGCAAAGGCTGTTGGAACATCCAACATGGCCTGAAGGGAGGAGAGCTCCACAGGAGTGTGCAGGGCCCAGCCCCAGCCATTGATCTGACCTGGCCTTTCCACTTTTTACACAATAAAGAGGGAGGAGCAACTCACATTTGGCATCAGAGACGCAATGATTTGGAGACCAAACGAGCATCCCTTTCAACTCCTTGTTGCTGTAGCGAGCTGGGCTCTCTGAATTACAAAGACAGAGGGAAGAGAAAGCTTTAAGCACTCTGGGCAGGATCTCCTGATAGGTTCATCTGCTGCTGCTGCTGAAAATCAAGGTGGTGAGAGAGGAATGCTGTTGTGCTGAAGCAAGCAGTGGATGGCTTGGCGTCCACACAAACACAACCTCTCTCCGGTATCCTAGCCAGCAGTGCGAGCTATCCCAGCTCAGTCAGCTTTCACTGTGTTTTCCTGGTAGGTGACCACCCCCCACCCTCCATCACGCCCACTCAGTCTGCTCATGTCTTCAGTCCCCACCTGTATTACACATTATCTAACACTTTGGTGGACCCCTCCCTTCACTCTTGGACAGCATGTGGGGAGGAGGTACATATAATTTCACCCCACTCACCCCGGAACCAAGAGTAAAGACAGGTGGAGCCTCCAGGTCCAGAAACTAGCAGCTACGCGTTGCCAGGCTGGTTGTAAGCAGGAGGCGCCAAAGATTTGGCACTGGAAGAGAGTGTGACTGCATTAGGGCTTCGGGCTGCTGCCAGGTGCAGGAGGGGGATGGTCAGAGAAGCCATCTGGTGCAGCAGGGTGGGGGTGGGACCCGTCGCCCTTGTTCACCTTAGGGGGAAATGCTCAGGTTCCACTTAGGAAGGAGGAGGACTCAGAATGCAATGATCCACCAGGACTGTTAAGCCAGAGCCTTTATTTGAAGGAGCCGGGAACATGACTGCCTTCTTGCTTAACCCTCTCCTGTAATCTGTAATGCTTATATGTGCCCCCCCTCCCTTTACCTGGTTTGCACTCTGGAATCACAGCTTGGTAATCTGCTCCCACACGGATCATGCTGTCTGTAAGGGAACAAGAAAGACAAGCTTGAAGGACCTGCTGCTGCAAGGGAGAGAGGGCAAAGGCTGGCTCAGACAGCGATACAAGCCCTCAAGAGAGGAGTCGGATCATCCCTTGGAATGGGAACAGTTCACTTTTGGCTGGTGCTTCCTGCCTGAATAGCCTCAAATGCCCAGAGACATTCCCAAGGGATGTGGAGAGTGCAGGAAGCAGAATGAGACGCTCCACTGCTTTTAAGTTCAGTGGTCCAGCATAGTATTTGGGGGAGACTTCTACTGTATATGAAGGGGCAATTGCATGTTTTGGTTGGGAGGAGTCCTGGTTCTACTTGAGATATTGCAGTGGAGTGTTTGTGTGTTCCTTCTATCACTGCCTTTCTCCATCCTCAAAGGTGGTGGCGGTGTGGCCAAGAGGGCAACAGTATAAATGGCTGATCAAGCCATAGCAGCCTTCCAAATGAATAAGGAGGATCTTGGTACAAACACTCAGTGCACATACCCTCCACCACCCAAAGCACTTTGGCACTTGAGAAGCAAGGACCCTTGGGAGCCCTCCAGGGAAACATCAAGAGAAAGGCTACTGCTGAGAAACCTTCCCAGGCAGCAAATGCACCATTTTCACTATAACTTTGGATAGCCTAGTATTTTCTCCACCACCCTCTGCAAACTCCTGTTCCTTACAAAAACCCAAAAAAAACCCCCAAGCTACCAAGCAGCTGCTGAACGGCAGGCAAGATCTGGAAACATTTAGCCAACGTCATGCCAAGGAGCTCCTGAGCTTTCACTTTCTGGCAGAGGGGCCAAGAAACACATGCTGGGCTGGGGGCCGAGTGTCTGCTGAAAGGGCTCCATATCCATTCTGGGAAACACCCACACTGTGCCCTACAGAGCAGTTTCTGGGATGGCAGTGATGGGATCCTCATGTGGCCATGTGCAGGAAGGGGCATGGTTCTCCTGATGTATCTTGGGGGCACCATCTGCACCTCCCCCAAGAGTGCATCTGGCAGCTCTAGGGTGGTGTTGGGCAGGGTGGGGTGAGGGGTGGATGTCAGTTGGCAAAGACAAATGACACCACCTTAGGGCCATGCACCATCACCACCCGGCTCACTAGAGCATGATCCAATATTCAAGGTGGAGAGAGAGAACTGGAGAAGGCAGCAGTCCTATCCAACAGTTCAAGAGAGCTAAAGCAAAACCTGCTGGTGGCTGGGTGGTCATGGTTATACTATCAGGGTAAACACACACATACACACACCTTGGAATGCAGGTGACACACTGAGGTAGCTTCTGTCCAAAATGTGTTTTGAGAATGAAATCTGACTAGGGTGATTTTACTTGTGTTGTGTATCTATAGCCTGTGGCAGATGGACAAAAGTCTCTCCCCATCCAGCCCTATCAACAGCACTGTATATCTCCTAGAGCAGATGTTCAGCTGCAGGTGCACCAGTGGACATGTGGAGTACTGGGCGGGGGGTTGTCCCTCCACCACCACATCCCACAGAGAATGGAGGGAGGTGGAAGAGGAAGAGGAAACCTAACAAAGCCAGAGGTGTACAGGAAATCATAACAGAGTTTGGGTGGGAGGGTGGGGAGAGAGATGACGGGAGGGCTCTGGGGACAATAAAGCTATGAGCTCAAACCCAAACCAACTTTCTAATTCTAGCCCCCAGCTGGCTCCTTTGTTAACCTGGCCAATGGGTGAAGGTGGAAAAAAGGAAAGGGGCAGTTGCAGAGGATCCCCACCCTCATCCTGCTTCTGGGTCTGACCACACAGGCAAAAAAGGATCAAATGTCAGAGGTAAGATAGGTGGGTGATCACTAAAGTGTGAAGCAACTGGAAAGGATTAAGGGAAAGAAGTGTCTCTTCCAACCACAGTGACCTGGCAACTATCACACTGTTTTATTCAAGGATCCCAAGCAGCAGCATAACACATGCTTGGGCTGACATTTGGGAAGATGCACTTCACTAACAGCACCTCACCTTTTGGAACACCTTGAGCCAGACTAACACCTGTGCGCCCCCCTTCTTCTTTTGAAGCCTCATATCACAACACTGAAGGAGCTCATCATCTGCTTCCTGCAATCAGGATAAGTCTCTCTCTTTTGCACACTCCTAGCCCTCTCCCTGCACCATCTCTGTTGCTTTACAAACTACAGTTTTCCAAGTTACGTGTTTCTCACATGCTGTCATATGCACCCCAAAACAAACATTTTCTTAGATATATTATCCATCAGCTGTGCCCCCACAACCTCACCCCACAGCCCTCATGGAGCCAGATTTATCTCTGCACACACCCCCCCCCACATTTGTGTTACCAGCTCTCCCTCTCCCACGCCCACTCTCACTCTGTGGCCAGTAGAGGGCAAGGTGAGCCTAATAAAGGCCTTTCCCCTCTATTGGAAAGAGCCAAACTAAAGCCATTGGTGTCATGAGCTCAGTGGCCTGAAGTCCAGCTCCAAAAGGGTCCCTGATACCAAACTCTTTGTTCCACCGCAGCACAGCACAGTGGACTCTCTCAGCCCTCTTTTTAACTGGGGCATCTTAGACCTTCAACCCACGCATCCATTGGTTCAAATCCTCCCACCCCCTTGAGTACAATGAAGTCTTGAGAAACAGCCACTTTTAATAACTCCTCGTGTGAGCATAGCATGTAGCTCAGCTTGGCTTACCGTGGGAGTGTTCCTCTTCACTGCTGTCATCTTCTGAGTTCTGGTGGTTGCCGTTGGTGGCTGACTTGGACCGGCTTCTGGACAGGATCCCTGATTTTTCCATTACGGAAGGCATCTTCCAAGTCCCAGCAGACCACCAGGCTGGGAAAGGATATATTTTCCCCTTCCAGTCTTCGTACCTCTTTCAGGAAACTGAAATACTTGTGTGTTATTTAAATTTTAAAAAATTGAAGTTCCGCCGTCTCTTCTCCCCCTTTGCTGCAACTTCCAACTTTAAAACATTAAGAGGAGGAAATTAATGCCCCTTGTAAAAATCCATTGCAGTGAAGGTAGGAGTTAAACGTAAATTCTGTGCAAAGGGAGGAAAGATCAGAGTTGAGTTCAGGTTTTCCTTTCCCACTCTGAAATTTTGTCTCTCATTCCAAAGTTACTGTAAACTTCCTTGTAATGGGTATGAACCATGAGGGGAAACTCGGTACTGCTGAAGTTATGTAGGAGATGCTCTGAGAAAGTGGGGAGCTTAACACCTGGAATAGGATTTGTGTTTGGGGGAGCAGCAACCTAAAAAAGATAACTTCTAAAATAAGCTGCTTCTCCAGCTAAGATCCTCCAATCTGCAAAAAGAAGAAGGGGGAGGGAGGAAATATCACCTTAAAAATCCTAGGGAAACGTAAAAGGGGGAGAAGTCCTTTGGTCCTTAAAAATCTACTTAAGGCCCCCCCCCTCAAAAAAAGATCAGTCCTTTTCTTTTCTTCTTCAGAGCTGCAGTAACTTGTACAAAAAGGGAATATCCTCTCCAGAGTCCCAGTTTTTATCACCAGGAAAGAGAAGAAGGATCAGGAGGAAAGCCTCCCTCGTGCGTGTGAGGCACTTAAAGGAAAAGTTGCATGAGGAGGATTATTTGCAGGCGCTGCCGTCTCCTACTGCTGCCGCCACCATCTCTTTTTCCCTCCCTCTCACACAATGAGTCTGTGGCTGCTTTGCTCTTGCTCTTGCTCCTGCTCCTGCTGCTGCTGCTGCTCCTGCTGCTGCTGTGAGAAAGTAGTTCCAGTTCTCTGCCTTAGCACCTCCCCTCAGACTCTTCCGCCTGCCTGCACATCTGGCCAGAGGAGGCACGCAGGGGCAAGAGGCGCGCAGAAAGGGGAGGGTGGAGGCCAGATGTGCAGAATGGGGAGGAAAAGGTCAGGAGCGGGGAGGGAGCACATCAGTCCTCTGAAAGCACAAGCTGCTCTGTCTTAAAAAAGAGAGAAAAGAATTCCCATTTCTTCAAAGGGGTGAAGGATGGAGGAAGTCTGTTCCCCTTGTAGCGAATGAGAAGGTGCCGTGAGATGCTGATATTCAATTCCCAGCAGGAGACACGTGGGAAAGTCTCTCTTCCCCCTCCATTGCTTCTGCTCTAATCTGGCTTCTCTCACTTTCTCCTTATCCAGGAGAAAGGCACTGTTTGGTAGCAGCAGAACAGGAGCATCTTTATAAGACACATAACTGTGAAGTCATCTAACACTCTCAAAATTTCACTTAGCTGTCATTTTATGCTCACTATGTAGAGCTTTGGCTGCTGTGTATGGGAGAGTTCCAAAGTGAGAGAAAACAAGTCCACACCCCTATATCAGATTGACCTATTCGCTCGGCATCACTATCTCCACCACACTGCTTTTTAGAAGACAGCTTCAATCTGGATAGCTCTGCAATTCTGCAGAACAGAACTAGGAAAACCCAAATGAATCCACTCACCCCACCCTCTACACAGAGGGGCACAATTAGTTGAGAAGGAAGTTGCCCTTTACTAGTCTCATTGAAATGAACACGAGCGACACACTATGATGTTCTTGCGCAGCTCCCATTCATTTCAGGGGAGCCTATGTAAGAGAATTACCAATGGTTGTGAGTCCTATTCATCAGATCAGACCCTTTTCTCCTCTGCCACACCACAATCAGCTGCCTAAGGCAGCCAATTAACCTTTCCTCATGGTTGGGCTGCTTCTGTCTAAATTCTCTTCGGTGGTCTCACCCATGGAGAAGGATAAAATGGTAGCCCTTACACAAGGTATACTGCACACAGGAGCAGCCCATGCACAAAGCAAGGTGAAGCCATTTGCTTCAGGTAGCGAATCCAACCCTCCCCTCCCCCATTGTTGCGTGCCTGCTAGCCCCACCAGGACTTCCTGCACCACCATCACAGCACCATTGCCTTTGCAGCTGCACCCTTGCCACTGTGTCGTGGTGGCAGCATGGGCACAGCCACAGGTGAGGGTACAGTTGCAGCGCTAGACTGCAGGGATCGGGTGAGCGCAGGGACCTGGATCTGCTGGGGGGGGCAGCAGGGCATTTTGCCTGCAGTGACAAAATGTCTTGGGCCAGCCCTGCACACCTGTGTCTATGAATATATACCATAGTGAAGAAACAAAAAGCAAATGTTCTTAAAAACCCCATTACACGCAAGTTAAAAATATTATTCTAGTCCTTTTCTCTTATAAGATGGGTAATAATAAACTGATTTACAAGGAAAATACAACATATCAGGTAGCCACTTGGATTCAAACCAATCTTCCTGTGGGATGTCTTGCAGAAGTGACACTGCAAATGTCAGTGTTGGGGGTGGGGGATTTAAGCCACTTCCTGCCTACATTCAAGATTAAACTGAATGGTGGTTGTGCATTTAACATTGCGTGGAGAAACTCAGGTCCATGGGACTCTCCTCAGGCCACACCCCTTGCTAGTCCTGTGTCCATGTTCCCAATCAAAGACAATCTTTTCCCTACCTCCTCTCCCATCCCCCACTTGAAGAAAACTGATTTAAGTATTTGGCAATGTGTATCTAGGAGAGAGGAGGTCCATTTAATTGTTTCTAGCAATAGGCACTCAGTGTGAGTTGGCGAGAGTGAGTAAGAGTTCCTGAGGAAGAATTGCATAAGGTATGAAAAGGGTCCTTAAAGGGAGCCACAGATTTAGGCTCTTTACACACCAAGCACTTAAGCACTTCCGACTCATAGTGCTGGGAACTTTAATTTACACCTCACAGAGCTACAATTCCCAGCACCCTTCTCATGAGTTTGGGGGGAGGGGTGTGTTTTTAATGTGTGGGGTGTATGCTGCCTAACTTTTAAGACCTGGGTTTACCCAACTCTACCCCTCCTTCGCAAGGTGATCCAGGACTCCAGGTAAATTGTCCATCCAATTACCAGCTGCTAACCCAAAAAACTCTACCATGCTTTCCTCTATTCATCCTTTCTCTGTCTACCCCAGCCTGCTTAACATTAGGTCCTTTCCCCACATTTCCCGTCAGCCTGCTAGAACTTTCGGTGATTTCTACAGAAATTCACGTGGTGATGCCCCCCTGCTTTCCCTTTTTGGTTGTTTCAGGCATTCTCTCTTCTTCCATTTCATAAATATCAGCCTCTCTTGTTTCCTGTCATTTTACTCGCAATAGGATTCACTGTGGGAATAGACTACCAGCCTCCAAGGCAGCCAGACTAATGATTCAGGAGGGCTAAAAAATATTGTGGAGATCTGAAAGAGCATGGCTAAACAGGGCCATAAAATAATGGCTGGTTGAGGAGGGCTGTGGTGGGTGGCGGTGAGAAGCAAGGTGACAAAACTGCGCCTGGGTGCAAAGAGGCATGGCACTGTCAACATGACAGAGAAATTCCCTGCTGGAAGGAGAGAGCAGAGGAGGAACAATAGCTTCTTCCCCAACCCTGCTGCTTGGAAGCAGGAGGAAGCAAAGGGGAGAATTTTAGTAGGGAATTCTGTTTGTTCACAGACTCTTTGTAGCAGCTCTTTGATGTGTCAAAGGAGCTCAGGTCCTAGGCTGCCTTCCAGCCCTGTACGGTGGAGGTGGTGAGGAGCGCAGTGGGGGGAGAGGGGATTGAGCTGGCAAGAAGGGAGGGAGGACTCTGGGAGCTGAGGCCATCCACCCTGTCTCTGGAGTCTTGTTTGTTTCCTGGTCAATTAGCTGGAATGGAATGCAGGGGTCAGGGTTTTCTATCTTGGCTGCTTCTGCAAAGGAGAGCAGTTACTCTGGTTTTGTGTCCTGAGATGGGCTATCATCCCATCTTCAGCTCAATTGTGGAACCTGGTTTTAATTTGTATTTTATAGAGTCCATGAGAGGACAGAATAAGAGGGGACAGCCGTGTGTAGAAGGGGGGGGGCAGTTTGTGCCTGATTGATTATGGTGTATGGAGCTGTAGTCCATCATCCAGGAAGCATTACAGGCTTCTCTCTTCCCTACACAAAGGAGGGGGATTTGTGGCATTGGAGCGCTGTAGTGAAGAGGATGTAGAAGCACACAACTTCTGCTTTCTACAGCAACAAAATCTCAAAGCTCGCTGAGGCACATTGTTGTTATTCCTAGCTGGAGATTAGAGACCGAGAAACAGATTTTCCTAAGTGTACCTTGTGAATCTAGATGGCTCCTGGACTGTAAGCAGATGTGTCTCCTCTCTCTCTCTCTCTCTCTCTCTCTCTGTGTGTGTGTGTGTGTTTACAATATTTGTGGCTGCGCTAGAATTTGAACCCAAGTGGCTAACAATGAGAATAAGGAACGTGGAAGCATGTAAAACTGTAAAGCATATGCACACATTTGTACACACACCTAGACCAGTGTAATACACACATGATGAAACTGATACCTCTTGCAGCACGGCAAACCTAACACCACAAGCCCCTTCAGCCTTTGTGGCAGTTTAGATCTGCTGGCATGAGCAGCTGCATAACAGAGGAAAAACCATTTTATTTAGGCCTTAGCCACGCTAGGAGGACACAGTGTTTTAGTCAGACAAGGGCTGAATCCATTCAGTACAGGCAGCTATGGAAGGGAGTTTGCTTCCTGCAGCAAGGACCGGACAAACACAGTCCTCTAATGGCATGACATGCTGTCACAAAAGGCATGAAAAACAGAGCAGGCCTGGGTAAGGTAAATGGATCAAGGGAGAAACTGAAATGGAAAAACAAACATTCCCAGCGGTCACTAACCAAACCATTTTCCCCCTCAACCCCAAACACCACACCAAATCCAGGATTCTATTCTCTCACTCTGCCTTCATCCCGAAATTTCAAGAGCTATGAGCTACACCCTTAGCACAATGCATAACAAAGACAGCAGAAAGTTCACTACCTCTACTCTCACTCCATATGTAGTGATGTCTCTTAAATCACATCCTCTTGTCAGTCAGTCATTCAAATATCTATTCACACATGCACACTAATCCCCTCCGCAAAAAAACTATAGCAGCCTATGCAGGAGTCATGCACACAGACCTGTCTACCACTGTCACAGTCACACAGGGGAAATCCTGCTCTTACATTTATTCTTCCCCATTCCCTTTCCCTTCTTCACCCCACCCCCATCCTGCCCTCCCACTGGAGCACGACAAAGCAACTGCATTGTCTAAACAGACACCTGCTCCTTTGCTCTCTCTCTATGTGTGTGTGTGTGTGTGTGTACCATGCATATGCACACGCGCGCACACACAGCAACAGCCCTATAAAAATGGCTGCATGAGGGAGACTGTTGGGGAGTAAGAAGGAGTTATAAGTTATAGGGGAGCTTTTTCCTTCTGACTACTGCTCATTTCTCTTTGCAGAGGGAGTGGTGCAAGGAAGACCAGAATGTGAATGCCAGGCTGGGTGGCAATAGCAGCAGCTGCAAACACAAAAGCAAAGGGCCAGTCTGCCCACTTCCCACACAACACAGATTTGCTGACTCCCTGCTGGACTTCTGCCTCTCCCACCCCCTTTGCTTTATTTGAGTGACATGCTGGGGGTGGGGTTGAGAGCAGGAGCCCAGGCTACTGTCCCAGGAAGGAGACAGTTGCCAAGCTGCAGAGAGAACCAGGCAAGAAGTGCTTTATTTTTTACCACCCCCCCTTTATCGCTCGTATCATACAACCAGGGTAAATTGAGTGGGTCAGGACAAGGCCCCAAAATGGTTGATTTGCTGGAGATGACTATCTGTGTGTATTAAGAGGTTTGCAATGATTACGTGCCATGGTTATGATTAGACAATGGATAAAGCTAATGCGAGCCCCTGTGCTTTCGAACAGCAGAAAGATACAGCTATAGCTCACTGTTCCTGCCACCCACTCTGTTTGCAGTGGGGTTAGGAGGACACAGGATTTGGAGGGGAAGCCAACAAGGCTAAGACAAGAGGACCACAATCTTTGCTTATGGGAGCAGTGGGGTGGCTTGTATCTCTCTGCAGCGGCACAGCCCTGCTGGCTCAATGCCCTGCTTGGGGTTTAGCTTCCATATTGGCTCAAAAATAAGAGACACCAACTCCCCTCTCAAGATAGCACTGTTGGTAGGATTCTGAGATCTGGCAACTCCCACCATTATCACAATCTGGCCACTGTTTTTCTCCCAGCCAGGAAGATGCTGCCCCTGCCACAATGCACCCATAAGAACTGGACTGACATGAAGGAAAAGTGGGATACTGTCCTGCTACTGCAACAGTCAGAAAAGCAAATACTCGAGTGTCTAACTCTTGATTTCAAGTGGGATGAATTACCACACAATCAATGGAAAATTGCTCCTACGGGAAAAGCAAAACTGTGTGTTTCTGTTCCAACAGTTAATCCAGCACGGCTGCTTTGTTTGACTGAGGGCAGAGACTTCAAGTGAGAAGGAGAGACACTGTGTGTGTGTGTGTGTGTGTGTGTGTGTGTGTGTTCATGCATGCGTGCACATAGACACATAGAATATACATGCAGGATTAGAAAGATTGCTTCAGTGGCTTTGGAATTACAGGGGAACATTTTACTCTGGCCCCCATTAATTCTGCTTTGATAGAAGAGATCTGTGCAGCTCAAAAGCTTGCATGCTCCAGCTTGACACCAGTAAACGTTACTGCATTAAAATACAACACCTTGTCTGTATTGCATTTCTCTCTTTTGGGATTGACCCAGGAGCAGCTGTCATATGGAGTTACTGTGAGTGCACAAGAAAAAATAATGTGTTTGAGAGTGTGAGAGAGAAAGAAGGAGCACAGGTGCCTTTCACACATCATGAATGCACTCTCATGATGCAGATTCATGCAAGCATGTGCTTTTCGCTCTCTTCCTCCCAAGCTGAATTTCTATTTGGTGGGTATTTTCCTCTCTTCTATCCAAGCCCCAAACTATAATCAGGCTCCTAAATTTAGAAGATACCAATGAGTAGCCTGCCTGGTCCCTTCACCGCATATGAGGCCATTCAAACCTCCTGCTGTCAGCAGGGATCCCAGAGTTCATGAGTCCGCCTACCCTTCCTTCCTCCACCAGCCCTCCCTCCACTGGGGCTGTGGGATGAGGAACCCGCAGGCTAGGGAGCCTAGAGTAGATGCTGACTAGTGTTGCAAACTCTCTAGTCTTCTCAGTGCACAAGCTGCTCCCCCTGCGGCATTTACAGAATAATAGGACATGTATGGGAGAACATGTGCCAATAATGCATGTGTGTGTGTGTGTGTGTGTGTGTGTGTGCATGTTGCACATGCATGCTCAGATCCAGCCCAAGGATGTGAATGCCCAAGTCTGTCTGCTTCAACATGGAGAAGCTGAACATCAAAGCCAAAGCACAAGGGGTGGGGGGAACTGATGCAAGGGAGAGTGAGAGCTCTGAACAGACCCAGCCGCTTTCCATCCTGCTGAAGATTAAAGGATCTGATTGCCCTCCAGGGAGCGTGCCTGGCCTGTAGCACTGCCCAGAGCAGAGGGAAGAGGAAGGGCCTGATTGGGGTCACGTACACACTCCCCCCCCCATCGGCACACAGATACACAACTCTACTCTCCCACCTATATCCAGAAGCACAGCCATGCTCCCTCAAGTCTAGTCACACTCCACATCCTGCATTCCCTTCTCTAGGCACACAAAGAGCCACACACACACTCCCTCTATTGTCACATGCTGTTGCTACTACTTCATCACTCTATGCATATACCATCACATTTCCCCACTGCCTGCCATCACATACTTCCTCCCTCACTCTGCTGCTGCAAAGCTACACTCATTCCACAGCTGCTGCTCCATAAACTCCATCCTTACACAAAGAGTCATACCCTTCCTGCTCATAAACCACAAACTGTGTCACTCCCCACCTTGAATGCAGAGAGTCACACACCACACAAGACTATGCTGTTCCCAATTTATATGCTCCCTCTCCAGTGCCTACAGCTGTTTCCTACCCAAGCATTCCACATACTTTACAGCAATCTCTCTCTCTCTCTCTCTCACACACACACACACACCTATGTATGGATTTCTCTGAACTCATGTCTCTAGATTTAGTATTCTGCATGTATACCCTGTACTCAGATGTCCATTCCACATGTACTAACAATCCACAATGCCTATGCATCCCTCCCCAGTGCTCCTTCTCTGTGACAGAGATCCACCTCTATAGAAATGTAGAACCCATAACCACTGCTTTACCGTTCATCTATATAGCATTCCCACTCCTGATACACAGACCCATCTTTTCCCACCCACATAAGCCTACTGCCCACTATTTCTAGGGTTTGCTGAATGACTTAGTTCTTCTTTTGCTGATTCTGCCTTCCTCATGATGGTCCCCAGCTTTCCAGCTACAGCAAACCTTCCCACTTCAGCACCTCCCCATCGTTTAGAGGCTAAGAAAGGGAAGGTTTGAGGTTGCATTTGTGCAGTGCAGTGGGGGGCTGCATCCACAATAAAATAAGTCCCTGGCTTCCCCCTTTTCCAGTGCACAAAGGCCTGGAAAATTCAAGTTTACTTTTGCAATAAATCTGCTCCACCCCCTCCCAATATGGTTCCTTCCCTTCTTCAGACCTCCCCCAGCTGCATTCTCCCTGCACCCAGCTCCACCCCAACACAAAGGGGGGGGGGTAAATTCAGGAGAGACAGGCTCCCTCTTTTGTGCAGCCACACAAAGAACAAGGACTGGAAGCAGATGCCATCTGCTCCCTGCAACCTGACAGTCTTAAAGAGACAGACACTTCCCCCTCCCCCTCTGCCAGGAGAGCGAGGGGTGAGTGGGGGGAGGGTTGCTAGTGTTTGGTGGCAGGGAGGATGGAGAAGTGCAAGTTTCCCTTTTCACCCCAAATCCTAAACCTATCTGGGTGAAGAATGTTTGTTCGCACAATGTGATGGGGAAGGAGCCAGCTAAGTCCCAAGCACCAGTGACACCAGTTTAGGTTATTAACCTGCATGTTTGTGTGGCAGAACTATAGCAGTGGCAACAAGAAAGAGTAGGAAAAATTGCCTGCTCAGGCAAATGGATTTCATGGTGTCAGTTAGCCGCCTGCAGACACCCATACCTACAGCACCCCACTGTCACAAGAAGCACAATGTCTGCCCTTTTGTTCCCTTAGGGTGGAGATGGAGATGAAGCCCCATGCCCTGGTGCTTGAGGGGTTAAGCTTTCAGCAGTGGCAGCTGCGCCTTCAGTCAAGCTGTGCCAAGCCATCCTCTTGCAGCTCTACTCATCAGGAGGAGGAGTGGGGGGGGCAACAAGAGATATGATCCAAGCTGCCTGTCCCTCTGGCCATGTCCATTCATGCTGGCCAAGAGAGGATATAGAATTTGACTGGCAGAAACCCCAAACCTGGAGAGGCCTGAAGGGAAAGTAGGAGGCTGCCACGGATGATGCCAGACAGAAAAGAAAGATGGGAGGGGGTGGCAGAATTGGACAGCAAAAAGCAATCTGCTCCCTGGGGAGTGTTGGTGAAGAGGTACAGGGTAGAGAGCAATATTGTTCTTCTTGGATTAACCACTAGTCCCTCTTGCCTGAGCTTGTCTATTTCTCTCTCTCTCTCTCTCTCTCTCTCAACTAGGAGGGTGATGATGCCTCCCCTCCGGAAGGAGGACACAGGAGCTTGTCTCTAGCAGCCTGGGAAAGGAGCCAATGTGGTGAAATGCAGCCTCCCCTCCTCCTGCCATCACCTTGGCCTTTCCCCTGGAGACTGGATACATGAGCTGGCTATGCAAGGAAGGAAGCTCACTCTCTCCCTCCTCCCGCGTCCCCCCCCCCCAGCAGTAAGAGAAGGAATACCTGCATTTCCTGAGCTGCTTTGTCATTCACAAAACAAAAGGTACAATAGGCTGGAAATGGAAATAGTACCACCAGCACCTCTGCAAAAAGAACTACAAAATAAAAGCCATGACTGCGGATGCTACTCAAGGAAAGATGCTGGACAAGAAACCTGGTGGTGGTGTGGATCAGTTAGGCCAGAATGCTTTTTGAATATCAGCCAACAATATTCAGTTTGCAAACAGAGAGGAGAGAAACAGCCTTTTTGTTCACACTCCATACTTTCTGTGCTCATATATTACAGTTAGCAACTTGATCTACAACTGGCACAGCCGTAAGAAGTGCAAGAAGACCTATAGTTCTCAACCGAGAAGAACTGTTGCAGCTATAAATGTAATATGTAGTTCCAGGTTTGGAAGAGCAGAATGAGGGGAAGCAGCTGGACTGAAGGTCAATTCTTGGAAAAGGAGATGGGGGGGGATGTGGTTTGGGGCCCAATGGTGGAAGGCAGAGTATAGAATGGCAGAAGGCTGGGTCAAAGAGCTGTTTAACATAAAAGGAGGGAGACAAGGGCCTGAAGGGTTGAGGCACTTGTGCCTAGCTGCAGGGAAACTGCTTCCATGTGTGAAATAACACCCAAGGAATGAGAGCTGAAGAGCACCCTCAAAACTTTTGTCACAAAAATCCAAGGCCAGGAGAATCAAAAGGCCACAGTTTTGGGCTGAAAAGCAGGCTGTGGCTGTTCATGCAGACAAAGACATGAAACTGCATTAAGGACTCTGGCAGCAATCATTCAGAAATGAAGCATTTTGCTCTGATCATATTCACAAGTTCAGGAAAATACTATTTGCAAATATATAAAAATGTAGTATTCCCATCTTTATAAAGATTAATGCATACTTCCAGTGTATGAGATAAACTGATAGAGAGATAATGCGAACCAAGGACACTACAGTGGTACCTCGGGTTAAGAACTTAATTTGTTCTGGAGGTTCATTCTTAGCCTGAAACTGTTCTTAACCTGAGGTACCACTTTAGCTAATGGGGCCTCCCACTGCCGCCGTGCAGCCGTTCTCATCCTGAAGCAAAATTCTTAACCCGAGGTACTATTTCTGGGTTAGTGGAGTCTGTAACCTGAAGCGTCTGTAACCTGAAGCGTCTGTAACCTGAGGTACCACTGTGTTAATCTGAGCAAAGCTGCTGCACTTACAGAACTCAGGCAAAAAACACACAATGAATTATCAAGGTTGTGAAAAGCAGCAGTAGGGAACCTGTGGCCCTCCAGATGTTGATGGACTCCAGTTCTTATCAGCTCCAGTCAGCATGGCCAATGGTCAGAAATGATGGAAGTCGGAGTGCAACAATATATGGAAGGTCGCAGTTTCCCACCTCTGATGTTAAATTTTGTGTTTTTATCACCTTCCCCTCTGTTGGCCTCTGGAGCCACCAACTGCTTCTGATGCTTCTCTGAATGGGTTTCGGTTCCAGCAGGCTAACAGGGAACCATGATGCTTTGTGCTATATAATACATTCAAAACAAGGATACAGGTAATATTCAGAGGAAGAAAGCTGAGTCACAAAGCAGAGGACTGGAATTAAAGACAGGTTTAATCTGTGTGACCTAGGTAAATCACATGATCTCACTAGGTCCTTGTGCTTTCAAAAGGTGATGACGCAAGCTTAATAACGAGAGAGAAATGTGTGGAGTTAAAGGGGTAAAAATGCATGTTAAAAGGTCATATATGTTAAAAGGTTAGTGCTGAGAATCTTACATATTGTTGTAAGATACTACAGCAGGGAGAGCAGCAAGCAGTACAGGATGGTGGGGGTGCTGAGTGAGAGAGTGCCCTCTAACTTGTGATCTCATTCTTCTTTGACTCTAATTCCAGTCTCAAGGACATTTCCTCCAAAGGTGACACTGGGTCTCTGGCACACAACCTGAATCCAGGGCCATATGATCCAGTGAAAAAGCAAGCAGCAACATCCCAAGTGACCTGGAGGCAACTCAGTACCACCTCCTAGTTTAATTCATCTCCTGCCCCCACCCCATCATAGCATGGAAGGAGGAAGCGGTTGAACCTCCCCCTTTTCCATCTAGTTTTGAGGGGAAAAACTTACAGCACAAGCGCCCTCTGGTGCCTGACTTAGGTTGCATAAGCAAAATAGGGGGTTTTTTTTAACAATACATCTGGTTTTAATCTTCACATGTGCCCTGCCCAATATCATCAGGCATGCCCTCTCTAAAATAGGTAGGATGTTCCTTAGTCAGTTCCTGTTCCCTCCACAAGGTATTATCAAGATGGTTCATGAACTTTATATATTTTATTTTTTAGTATTGTATTTTAACAGTACTGAACTGTGAAAAATTCACATCTGGAAATTGATATTGAGGGAAGAGAAATAAAACACTTGATTTTAAGGAAAGAGACAAAGAGGAAGCTACTAATTAAAGGGAGACCACCCCAGAAAAACCTTCCCAGTTATCACTCCATACTGGACTGAAATACCATTTGAATAAAAAGAAATCACCACAGATCAGTTCTGAGATGGGAAGGCAACACAGAATATTCTCAAATGAAATAATAAAGTAGCTGGAGAAACCCAGCCAGATGGGCAGGGTATAAATAATAAATTATTATTATTATTATTATTATTATTATTATTAGGTGGCAATGACACCTCCTGGGTTTTCTATAAAATTGCAGTGAACAAAGGATGTCTATTCCAGACCAAATGACTGGTAAAACCAAGTGTAGTACCGTATATAAGCTGTGAGCCTGGAGAGATCTAGATCAAAGCTTACCTCTGCCATGAACTCAGTAGGTGGTCTTCTTAGATAAACTACAGTTCTCCTGGTCTCAGCTCTCTATCTGCAATATAGGAATAATAGTAACCTACATTACAGGGCTGTTGTAAGATTTCCTGAGTTTAAGTCAAATCCTTTTAATATCTGAAATGTGCAATATTAATATTTAAAGCATTATTGTGAGGCAAAACCCACCTATAAAAACCAAGTATCTTCTTGCAATAAAACCATGTTTAGCCACATTGACTGCAATGAGACTAAACCAGATTAAGTGTGGTATGTGGATTGTAGCCTGAGGCAAAGAAGCCATCCCCTCCAGCTACAGGAATAGGAATAAGCATCTGTAGGGACTGCATGGAGAGGGGGGCGCAGATAAAAGATCCAAAGGCTTTGTGTCTTTGTGTTTCAAAGTAAAAGATTCTCATCCCCAGCTAGACTCTCCAGGATCAATTTGTTGTTTGATGATGAAAGAGCAAACCGTACATGGCAAAGCCAACCATAGCCTCCCCAATGGCCTTCTCCTTATTTCTTGTTCCTTCTCCCAACATTTACTCTCTTTCCTCTTCCCCCACCCCCTTGTTCATTCCTCTCACATATTCAACAACACTGGTTGGATAGAGGTCAAAACGGGCTGACAGGAGCCTATTTCCTGGGATGTGACAAAAGTTCAGCCTGCCTCAGGGCAGTTTACAAAAAGCAAAAGTCCTCGATCTATTGGAGCTGATCCCTATAAGAAATGGGATTGTGTACTTGCCAAATTAATACTTTTGAATATCTAGGGTGCTGCAGCTGATGTGTTCTGTGGGGCTGGGATGTTCTGGCTTTAAGGAGACACACACAACAAAAAAGAGGCTTCTGGAACTTTACCTTTTCCCAAGGAGAGTCCGATGTCCTGTCGTGACTTCAAAACTACAACAAGCCTTACAAATCAACCAGGAAGCCACACCTTCTCCTCTACAAGTCCATATCTGCAATCCCAGATGTTTTCGTGCTGATGGTGATTTTTCAGTTGTGCAAGAGGAGGAGAAGCACTCTGCACATGTTCAAAAGCCCTCAGCCATGTCAGAGCTGAGCCCTGTGTTTCAAACTCTGGTGAGCCTTGGCTCAGATTAAATTCTACTGAAGAAGAACTCATCTTAGCCCTGCCGCAAACAAAGTGACATAAAAGATTGTGTGAGTTTATAACAAGAGTTGATCACCTTTTGGTCTGATTTTACTGGGCTATCTCTCCTTTAGTGAAAGATCAGGAATAGGTAGGGAAACATTTTAGGAGTCATAGAAGGTGTAGGTAGAGTGATTAGGAAAGTTGGAGCACAGAAGATTAAACCAAGAAGTTAACACCATCATGAGGACCTGCAGAGTGTGCGTACCCTCTAGAACTAAGCTGAAATTTATCAGAAAAGAATTCCACACTGAACAGATGATTCTTTTTCTAAAAAAAATGGGTCACACATTTTTATGTTCTTTAAAAATTATATTTTTATTGGCTTTATATGACTACAATTGTATTTCCCTCCAGTCTTATTGCCAGCTGCACATAAGGTTCTACCAAAAAAAGCAGCTCTATTATTATTTATTTATTTATTTTTGTTTATTTATTTATTTTCAATGCAGAATCATAACAAAAATTACAAACACTGAATCCAAAATAATACTATACAAACAAACAAAACGGAACATACAAAAAAAAAACAGAAAAGAAAAAGAAAAAAAGCAAAGGAAACAAAACAAAACTAAACAAAAATGAAAAAACACACATCTACAGAAAAAAACCATATCATTACGTACATTTACACATATTGACTTCCTTCCTTTGTTCTAAGACCTCAAAAAATTTACTCTTACTATATTGTTGTGTCTGGTTAGATTACTTCCATCTTTGTCCTTTTCTTTTCTTTTTACACCATTTTCCCCCCCTTTAACCCTGTAAAGCATCATTCATTACATACCAATATACTTACTCCAGAACAATGTTTTTTCATATACTCTTTAGCACAACTCCATTCTTTTAATAATTTCTGGTCCGATTGTCCCCTTATGAATGCTGTGAGTCTTGCCAGATTTATGTATTCACAAAATTTAATTTGCCAATCTTTCACTGATGGAATTTTCCTCCCTTTCCAGTTTTTTGCTATAAGCATCCTGGCAGCTGTTGTTGCATAAAGGAATACTTTCCTTTGATTTTCGGGAATATCATTTGTAAGGGAGAATTTCTTAGGTTGTTCCAAGTAGAGCTGAAACAACCATGAACTTTAGACTGTGAATTAAAAAATGCTAATAAAAATGTTAATAAAATAATTAGTTTCAAACTCTAAAAAATAAATCCCAAACTGAGCAAGAACGGCAAACTTCATTTTTCTGCAGAAGAGTGCAGGGAAAGGGCAAAGGGTTAAGTTGCAAGGAAATTCACAGGCTGAATATAAGAGTCTTGCTGGATCAGACTAAAGGCCCATCAAGTCCAGAATCTGTTTCTACAGTGGCCAATGAGATGCCTCTGGGCAGCCCACCAGGACATGAAGGCAACATTGCCTTTCTCTCCCATTCGTACCTCCCAGCAGAAGCTCCTTATTTAAAGGTATTATATACTGCCTCTAAACAGAGATTCAATTTAGCCATCATGGCCAATTCCCATTTGTAGGCAACGACCAGCAGCACATATTATGGCAGTGAATTCCATATGTTAATTATGAATCATTGTGATGTGCTTTATTTCATCTCTGCTGAATCTATTGCCAGACATTCCATCTGATGAGAAACTGAAAATATTAACTGAAAATCCTGCATTGCATGACTAGATTTCCTATTGCTTTCCTCCCCCACACCCTTCCCTCTCAAATCCACTCTGGAGGGTCCCCCAACTCCAAAGAGCAGACTTTGAGGGAGTTGGGGAACTGTGACAGTCTCATTGCACAATTGAAATCCTTGTATATATTGGATAAAGCCCTTTCCCATTAGTAATATTTAGGTAAGAAATTCAGTTTGCATATAGAATATATATTGATAAGAGTTTAATTACTTCTTTGTGCATTTGTAGTATAATAACCTGTATCCAGTGCTTTTTTTTCTGGGGAGACACAGGGGTACGCATACCCCTAAACATTTTGTGAATCTAAGATTGGTCTCATTAAAGGTAAAGGGACCCCTGACCATTAGGTCCAGTCGTGGCCGACTCTGGAGTTGCGGTGCTCATCTCGCTTTATTGGCCGAGGGAGCCGGCGTACAGCTTCCGGGTCATGTGGCCAGCATGACTAAGCTGCTTCTGGCGAACCAGAGCAGCGCACGGAAACCCCGTTTACCTTCCTGCCGGAGCAGTACCTATTTACCTACTTGCACTTTGACGTGCTTTCAAACTGCTAGGTTGGCAGGAGCAGGGACCGAGCAATGGGAGCTCACCCCATCGTGGGGATTCGAACCACCGACCTTCTGATCGGCAGGCCCTAGGCTCTGTGGTTTAACCCACAGCGCCACCCGCGTCCCTTGGTCTCACTGAGGGGCAGTATTTCAATATAAGTAGGAAAACGAGAGTACCCCTAAACATTTTTTTAGAAAAAAAGCACTGCCTGTACAGTATCTGCTTCTAGGATATACCATAAATAAAAATTAAGTTGAAAATGTCAGGAGCAGTCATTTTAAGCACTTAATCATGCCAAATATTTAAAGATGGATAAGCTGGCGGTAGGGAGCATTACAAAAGTTTATTTTATGGGATACTAGCAGCTCTGTATCTGGCACTGCTCAGGAATTCTAAGAAACCAAAAAATCAGTGAAGTTTTTTAATTGTTAGAATCAGTAGTTTTGAAAAGTTCAGTCCACTATCTTGATTCAAAATGGCATGTCTTATTCAGAAGGAAAAACCCTGTTGCGAATAGGACTGCTGCCTAATTTCCCATGTGTGTGTTGCCTTTGCATACCAATTACTGTTTGTTCTTTATTGATTTTAAATTATGAACCACTATGGGTTGCTTGGGCAGTATAAAAATGCCTAAATAAGTATTTCCACATTTAACATAGCATTTTTAATGGCTGACCTATGTTCTTCACTATGTTTTTAAATCTATTTTTGTTGTATATTGCTGTAATTTTATTCTCCCCCTCTCCATGTTAGTTTAAGCTGCTTTGAACGCATGCAGTACTGGAAAAGTGGGGTATATTTTAAATCAATTGGATTATTTAATCTCTTAACTGAGACACACAGCTCATTATTTGGTACTTTTAAAAGTATAGGCTCTTTTTAAAGTACATATTGGAGATTTAAATAATTATAAATAATTAGCTAATGTTTTAATCCTATTCAGAATGGTGTCCCGCTTTTTATTGTGCTAGTCACGATGACTGGCGGTAGCCTTTTAATATACGGATTTGGATTTTTAATTCCCTTTAAAAAAAAAGGGAAAGGAAACGTAGTTAGAGCTGAAAAGCAAGGGCTATTATGAGGAGAAATTTGTTGAGGCACAGCAAAGTCATCCATCTCCCCTCTCACTGAGGTAAAACAGCCGTCTCTCCCAATAGCCAATCAGCGCGGAAGAAACTTCGCCTCAACGGTCCCCCCAAAGCGCGAGACCGGCGACCGAAGATTGAACCGGGGCACTCTGAGGGCTACACCGCGCACGCGCCATCCTCTGCCTCTCATCATAATCAAGGTCTTCCACACTTTCCCGCCTTTCCTCCGCTTTAAATTCTCCTCTTCCCTCCCCGCCTTCTAAAGCTTAGGCCACCAACCCCTCTTCGGCGCACGCGCTCCGGAAGCCCCTTTACCCCTACCTTCCGCCCTCTTCACTACCCACATTCCGAGCCACGCGTGCGCGGCCACGCCCCTCCCCTCTCTTCTTTAGATGCTTCCCACCTCCACGCTGTGCGTCAGGTGCCGTTTGGTTGTCTCTTTCTTCCCCGCCGTTTGGGGCACTGCGCAGGCGCAGTAGGGGAATAACAGCCCCCCCCCGCCTCTTATCACATTCGCCCCCCCCCCCGGCTTTACGGATATCTTGAGGAGACTGTAGGGGGGCTCGTTGTCGTCATCGCCATGGGAGTGAGTAAGGCCTAGATTCCTCCCGGGGTGGGGGGGAGCGGGAAGGGAAGGGGGGGTCAAGATTTTTTTGGGGGGTGAAATGGGGGGGCGCTATTCTGTGGGTGGAAAGTTTTGTGTTGGGTAGGGAGAAAAAAATAAAGGGGAAATCCGGAGGAGGGGGGTCAGTGTGGGGGTACCAAAGGAATAATAACGGGGGGAGAGCTGGGGGCGTAATGGGAAGTTTGCTGCTGGAAGAAGTGGGGCAAAGGCTTAGGGATTGGTATTTGAGATACTAAAGTAGTTCATGGAAAAATGAGTGGGGCGGGGGTTCCTGACCCCCCTACAGGCAGGTTGGTAGTGGTAGGATTAGGAGACTTGGGGAGGGGGATGCCAAGTTTAGAGGAAGGAAAGTAAATGGGGGACACCTGTAGGGGTGTAATAAGGCAACTAAGCAGGGAGAAGTTAGGTTTAATGGGGGGGCGAGGATTAAAATAGACGGTGGAAAGTGGGATAAATTGACGGTATTGGTGGTATTAAAGTAATTTGGGAGGGGCAGGAATTAGGGGGGCGCTTTCAGTTAATGACACCCTAACACAGGCTGGGGGGTAAATCAGGGAGGGAAAGACTGGCTTGGAGAGGTGAAAGCAAGTTGGAAAAACATGTATTATGCAGAGGAATATTTGGAGGAGTGGGGTAGTGGGGAGAAAGGAAAGTTTGATGTGGGCAGGAAAATGAAAAAGTAAGAGGGAAATCCAGGCTGCAGCAGAGAGGAGGAGGAGACAGGGGGTGTTAAGATAATGATGATGGGATGGGAAGGCGTGGGGTCAGGTTGTGGGGTTTTGAAATGGGAAGATATAAGGGGAGATAAAAAGTTTTGTATTGGAAGGAGGTGTGAATGGGGTTAGGGCTGTGGTGGATGGGTGTGTTTTAGGCCACTTTCTCAACCTGGTGCCTTCCAACTGTTTTGGATTACAACACCCATCAGACATGCTGGCTTGACTGATAGCACCTGAGAGTCCAAAACAGAGGGGGAAGACTGGTTTGAAGTAGGGTTTAGGATGGGGGGCAGAGATATGTGGCCTTGGTGGGTTCAATTTACAGGGTGGAAGTAATGGATAATCGCAGAACTGAAAAGGTTAAATATTTGGAAGGTTAGGATCAATTGTCATGGGCAGAAATATTTGGGATGGAAGAACAATAGTGGGGGTTGTCAGGCAGTTCAGCCCTATGACAATGCCCACATTCTTTTAAATCACATTTACTTTTTATTTGAAGAGGTTTTTATGTTTAAAGCAGAACAAATAATTAAAGACTTGTGTTTTGTTAACATACATCATTCTCCATGGAGATCTGAAGAGAGCACCCATGCTAATAAAAAGGGTTTCCTTTTTAACCCAGTTCAGTCCTCACACCTTTGCGTACTTCTAAAATCTAGATGGCATTGGAGGTGCTTCAAGTTAGGAAATTGAAGTAGCCTTGACATTTGTTTGCCTTGCTGATAGGAATGGTTTTTCTTTCCCTTTCTATAACTGGATGATCCTAGGTGTCTGGAACTCAGGGGCAGGGTGGGCTATATGTTAACCCATGAAGCATCAGTATGATTTTTAGAAATTTAAATCAGTTTTTTAGATGCGAAGTGTTGGCAGGTGTACTTTGTCATTGTGGGAGAAGCTGCAGTTATTGGAATTCTCCTAGCCTGCTCAGCCCTTAAAGGTACAAGCACCTTCTCTCAAAACGTGTCATAGGTCAAGCTTGTCAGTCACCACTTGCCTGTTTCCCAGGGGTGCGCAAGAACTGCCTTCAGACAGCTTGACACAAACACTTCCATAAAGTGGAAGAAGCCTATTTACCTTTCTTGCTGTAGATGTGCCACAAATAACATTTAACAATATGTCATTCACATACGTAGACTGCAAGGCAGAAGCAGGCAAAGAAGGGTTCATAAAATTATCTCTTCCAAGCAAGCTAAAGAACCCCATCTTCCAACATAACAGAGTAGCACCTGCAAGGAAAAAATATATATTTATTGCAGGTGCATGCCTGTTCAGGCCAGGAGATACACACCATCTATCCTTTTCTATTGTTTTGGAAGTTGCTTCAGGTCTTGCTTGTGCCAGGAAGATGCAGGCACAGCATTCTGCTCCCATCTGCTGGCAGTCTTCCTGCCCCACATTCTCCCTGCTCCGACTGAACTAGCTTCCCAGCCAATTTCACGTAGGGGGTGGGGGAAGAAGGATGTCCTTGCTTGAACTTTAGCAAGGGTGGAAGGGTTGCATTGAGGTTAGGCACATGTTTTTGGCTCAGAACCTCTTGTATTCACTGACTCACCAGCCTGGCAAAACTTAACAACACTTCGTAAGTGAGTTTCATTTTCTCCCTTTTTTCATAAAATGGTGATTGTATCCAGTGTTAGTCCTATTTAGAGTAGACCTATTAAAATTAATGAATATAAGGTAAGTCATGTTTGTTAACTTCAATGGATCTATTCTGAGCTGGACTAGCACTGGACGCAACTTGGTATTTCCAAGTCAGATATGAACTGGCTCTTGGGACTGTAGGTGGAAAAACGAATGTAGGATAGAAAGCTGTTTCTCTAGGAAGCCTGGGTCCTGTCTCTTTAGCACAAAAGTAGGCTGCATGCCCTCCAGGTTTTGCTTAGCTACAACTCCCATCATTTCTGACCGCTGGCTATCCTAGTTGGGGCTGATGGAAGTTCTATTTCAAAACCTCTAGAAGGTACCCCACTGGCTACACTTCTTCTAGGATTTTATATTCCCTGTTGCTCTCAAAGCCTGCATCATAACCTCACCCACACCCTGGACAGGAAAAATCGTGATATGAGAGGAGAAATGTAACAAATGAAAAAACCCTCTGTCACCCATGAGCTGCAAGTTCTTAGCATTTCCCTGTGTTCCCTAGCACTGCTCTTGCCAAAAGGGTGTTTTTGTGTGTGTGTGTGTGTGTGTGTGTGTGTGTTTAAACCTGCAAGCTTTAATTGGCTGAAGTGGTCAATTAATCCACAAGGTTTAGTTGAAGCAGTGAGGGGCAATATTAATATTTTGCTTTGTTGCTCTACTAGAAATAGTTTTCCCTGTTTGGCAGCATCATTTGGTTTGGCATAATCCTTAGGTTGCCAGTGTTTCATAGAACATAGGAGCCGAGGTAGCTGCCTTAAACTGAGCCAGGCCATTCTGCCTGTCTCACTTAGTATTGTCTGCACCAGGAATTCTCAAACTGGTCCACGAGCTGCATTTAGGTGGTCTGTGGAGTGTCTGTGGATTTGTAGTCAATGACAGAAACCACATGTGCATTGTGTTACATATTCACATTGCTTTGTAATAGTATTTCAATAGCTTTTTATATCTTGCATTGTTTTACACTTCGGATTCTGTGGAATACAATAAAACAATATATAAGAAATAAAAGAAGCAGTTAAAAATACACTGTGCTAGATGCTGTATGATTTTTTTATTGTATTTTTATTGCCACCAATAAAATTGGGAACCACTGCTCTACACTGACTGACAGTGTGGCTCTAGGATTACAGTCAGGAGTCTCCCAGCCCTGAAGAGCAGATGCTGGGAGATACCTGGAGAGGCTGTGGAGTGAACTTTCGTAGTCCATGTAGGGGAAGCCACGCTTAAGGCTATATACTGAGTACAACTCGGCTGCATTTACATGTTGTGCCTTGTTCTAACATCTCAGCCCTTCTTCTTTCAGAGGAAATCAAGTAAAGGCAAGGAGAAGAAACAGAAACGACTGGAGGAGCGAGCAGCAAGGGATGCCATCTGTGCCAAGGTGGAAGCTGCAAATAAAGTGAGCTTTGTTTTCTCTTTCCCCTCGACATGGAGACTGAGCCTGGTATAGTGGCAGTAGAGCAGCAGTGCCCTCCAGATAGTTTGGACTGCAGCTACCATCTTGCTTGACCATTGGTAATGCTGGCGAGGGCTGATGGGAGTTGTCCAAAACATTAGGAGTCCACCAGTTGGGGAAGTCTGGATTCAAAGGTTAGATTCGGGTTAAAGAGACCCAGGTTCAAATTTCCACTTGGTTGTGGAAATTCCCTCAGTGGCCTGGACCCAGTTTGCTTGTTTCTGTGCAGCACCAGCCAGTTAACACTGTCTGTCACTGCTGCCAAGATGTTGCTGCTGAATGTCAGAGACCACTCATTATAACTTATCCGCTGTTTGCTGTTCCAAAATTTCTTGGACAGTATATGCAAATAAACAGAAAGAAGTGGTTTAAAACCCCCCAACTCTAAACACTTTCTCTCCTCCCCACTTGGAATTTATGGTGGGCTAAAAGCGAGAGAGAGAGCACTTTTCCCAAAGTGAACACTTTAAATGTTAAAAGCCCCTGAAAAAGTATCTCTTTGCTTGACTGCACTGCAGACATCTATCTCTTCCTATCTTTAGTATACTCTCTTTCTTTCCATAGTTGGGAGACCCCTTAGAAGCCTTCCCAGTGTTCAAGAAATATGACAGAAATGGGTGAGTAGAAGTTCTCTGCTCGTTGAGGCTAGAGGGATTTGAACCCAGGTCTTCTTGGTCAAAGCCTTAGCACAGGCGTTGAGACTGTGTGTGTGTGTGTGTGTGTGTGTGTGGAAAGCCATGAAACGCTGCTGCTCCGTCTGGTATTGCATGCTTCTTGCTCCTGGGACTCAGCTACAAAGTGGACTTCTATTTATGTATATTGAAACCTAATGGCTTCCGTTTCCTTTCTCTCTTTGCAGGTTAAATGTCTCCATTGACTGCAAACGAGTTTCCAGCTTGGACCCGACCACACTCGACTGGGCTTTTGAACTAACCAAAACAAACATGCAGACCTTGTAAGGCCCAAGGGGGACACTTGGGGGTAGTGGGTGGCGGTGGGGAGCAATTGCCAGCTGTAGTGGGGATGTGCAAGAGCAGGGGGGATGACTCCCTTTCTTTCCCGTCCCCCAAAAGTCGTATCTCCGCAAAAAAAAAAAAAGCATTGTGCTCCAGATATTAGAGAGCTACTGCAAGTCGGAATAGGCAATCCTGGGGTAGATGGATCAAGGGCTTGACTCAGTATTCTGTGTTTCAGAGATTCCCAACAGAGGCTGCTGTTTTGTTAGTAAGGATGAACAGTTTTTCACAACTTTTTCTCTGTAAGGGATTCGAGGAAGGAAGAAAGTAGAACGGATTGCAGAACCTATCAGGCAATTGCATTGCTAGCTGTCACAAAGATCTTGCAATTGTCTTGTAAACCAGCTTCTTGCCCCTCTGATGGCTAATAGAGTTGGGTCCGCTTTGCAGAGGTTGTTAGGTAGCCATCCAGAGGTGCTGCTCAAAGCCCAGGTGGAGAAGGGGAACGGGTCCCGAACGTGCTCCGGTACCCAAGAGATTCCCTCCCTCTCCTAGGCAGCAATGCAGGCTGCTTCTTATGGTGAGTACTATCTCCAGGTGGCTGAGCTCTCCCCTAAGGAGAGGGTGTGAAGCGATTGGTTTTTATGCTCTCTTCCTCTCCGCAGGTATGAGCAGAGCGAGTGGGGCTGGAAAGACCGGGAGAAACGAGATGAGATGTCAGATGACCGTGCTTGGTACCTAATCGCTCTGGATGACGGCTCCCTTCCCGTGGCTTTCTCACACTTCCGCTTTGATGTGGAGTGCGGGGATGAGGTCCTCTATTGGTACGTCTCCTGCTAGGCACGTTCATATTTATTTTCAGAATCTGCCCTCAGATTCTGCACTTGGGGAGGGCCAGGTGGATCATAGCAGAGTGGAAGGATGCACACAAGTCAAACCTGCTACAAAATTTTGCAGGGTACAGGAAGGGGGATGTGGGAAGTGGAAGCTTATTGATATCCTGTATCAGCCCAGCTATATAATTGGGGACAGAAAGCTTCCTTTATTGTGTAAATCACTGCTGTTTCGATAACTAACACACAAAATGTAAGAATGGATTTAGACACTAGGAGGGAATATATTGTTTAGTTATTACTGCTTCCTTGCTCCCATTAGTGAGATCAGCACAGTACCATCCTTTGCAGCTTAAACTTGGAAGCTAAGACAAGATTGATTTAACTTCTTGAAACAATAATCCAGAATGCTTTAAGGCGGGCTGTATTTTCCCTGGAATTACCTACCCTTTTGCCCCCTCTTAAAATAACAATCACACACACATTGTTTTGTGAAGAAATGAATGTAGTAATTAGTTACATAATCTAGGCTTTGAATCATCAGTGACAGTAGCAAGATCATCAGCAAAACTACCATCTGAGTTACAAAAGCACAACATGTAAGTTCAAAAATGGCGAGTTCAGAGTGCAGAGTTCAGACATGTATGTGTGGCCAGCTTGGAAGCATAATGAAGAAAGAGGAGTCTGCCCCAAGGAGGAAGGAAGTGCATAGTGTTACAGCTTCCTGTCAAAGGCAGACAAAGGAAGAAATCTCACAGAGCTTTCTGTAGCAAATTTTACAGGAAAGCCCTGTGAGCCTCAGCTCTGTCACGTTCCCATCTGGCAAAGCACAAATTGTTGGGTTGACTGCAGTAGTGTCCCACACAAAAAAAGTTAGAGTGTGGAGTGCTCTTGTTCAGTGTGCAGGCCAGCCGTGCCCTCTTTCAGGTTGTTCCTTTCCATTCTGCACCCATCCATCCAACATTCCTATGTTCCTTGGCTAGTTGATCCTCATTCAGCTGTTTGGGGATTTATTCATTTTAGTCTCTTAAACTTGTCCCTAAAGACTCCTAAAAAAACCTTGGGTTTCCCTGAGGATGCTGATAACTCCAAGCTTGGTATATACCATCCTTCTCCATGCTGCTTCCCTTTAGATGTTGTTGGACTACAGCTCCTATCACCCTACATCACTTGTCACACTGGTTGGGCCTAGTGAGAGTTATATTAAAAAATGCCTGGCGGTCATCTGGTTGTGGATGACCATATGATGCATTCAGTCCCCAGCATCTTCCAGCTTCAAGGTCAGGTAGCAGGTGACGGGAGACACCTTTCTCTGCCTTGGACAGCTTCTGGTGTAGCCTTGCCTGGTATAAGACAGCTTCCTATGTTCTGAACAGAAGCACATAAAGAACAGTCCTGCTGAATCAAGTCAGTGGTCCATCTAGTCCAGCTTCCTGTTCTCACAGTGGCCAACAATTCCCATGGGAAGCCCACAAGCAAGACTCGAGTGCAAGAGCACCTTTCTGCCCCGTGGTTTCCCGAAACTGGTAATCAGAAAGACATTGCCTCCAACTATGAAGCATGGCCTTCAAAGCCTTATCTTCCATGAAAATCCGCACAGATTTGTTGTTTGATTTATGTGTGTAAACTGCTGTGTTTATTCCAGGTGCAAAATCTGAAGGGCTGTGTTTTTGCAGCTGCCAAAGTGGTGGAAGAGAAGGGGTGAATGCAACATTACAAATCAGTTGTGGCTTAAATAATCATTGTTTAGTGCTTATATAGTTCTATTTTCCTTTTCCTCTGCAAGTTTGAAAGCCATTTGCATCCATTATGTCATCTGAAGCTGTGGGGAAAGACTGAATGGGGGTGGGGGTGGAATTTTGCAGCTCAGGGCAGCGATGTTTGTGGAAGGATTTCAAGGCCTGGATGTTCTTTAATAGCATGTTGAAGCTCACCCTTTCCTCAACTCCTCAGCTACGAAGTACAGCTGGAAAGCAAAGTGAGAAGGAAAGGTCTTGGCAAATTTCTCATACAGATCCTACAGCTCGTGGCGAACAGGTAAGTGCACTATTTTTTCCTCTTCCTCTGAATTACAATTCTCTCTAGCTGTCTGAAGCTGCAGTCCTAAACATGCCCACTTGGAGTCGCTAATCTCTCCCCATTAAAAAAACCCTAACAAACCCTGAATATCTTGATACCAAGGATTGACATAGAATGGCCTGGGTTGCATGGCCACCCTAACTATGGATTACCAGGTTCATGCAAGCATAAGCATAAGCATAAGACGTAAGCTTGCTGCTGCTTTGCTTGTCCCTGCTCTTTTTTTACTGCCACTCCAAGGTTTGGCTTAGTGTGTTATCTGAACTGGGTCTCAAGCTTAGTGAGAGGAGAGAGCTTAACCTTGAGCTGTTGCCAGGGTTTGTGCTCAAAACGACTGGGGAGAAGAAAAGCAGCTGTGAGCATTGCTCAGGGAGCCTGCACAGTTCCTGGTAAGCCATGGTTTGAACTTGCTGTGCTGTTGTATGAACCAGGCCAGTGTGAATTCAGATGGTTCTGTTTTTAACCTCTTAACCATATCCAACTAAATTCTACCCAGCTGAAATTCATGATCCTAAATTACTCCTGTCTATTAACTTCAGTGGATCTACTCTGTGTAGAACTAGCATTGTATACAACCCTCTGCAGGTTTTGTGTATCAAGTTAGGCATTTTTATTTTGCTTGCATTAAAATAAAATAAAAAGCACACTGCAAAGAATTTAGCGTGGACCAGAACTGGAGCCTTCTGAAGACCTTGGGTGAAGAGAGAAATTTCTGAGCAGCACCCTTCCCTAAATCTTCAACAATCCCTTCTGACACCTTTTTGAGCTTCCTTTGGTAGTTGTAAAGACTAGTGTTGGGATAGGGAAACCTGTGGCCCTCCAAATGTTGCTGGACTCCAGCTCCCATCAGCCCCATCAGAGATTATGGGGGTTGGAGTTCAACAACATCTGCAGGACCACAGATTTCCCATCCCTAGGCTCCAATCTTGCTTTAATATAATCATCGGCATCATCTGATTTGCACATAACAGGTGTGTGAGCACGCAAGATAATTGCTTCCAGATGAACATGCAGCTATAAACTGCTGTCGTGCTAGCTAGCTTGCTGTGCTCTTTGAAAATGTCTGGATTTTAAAACCTAGGGTTGTATCCAGTGAAGTCCTACTGTGAGTAGGCACACTGAAATGAGTAAACCAAAGTTGATCAAGTCCATTCTTTTGAATGAGCCCTACTCAGAGTAGACCATCATTGGGTACAGTCATTAGATTATGCTCTCTGTTTTAATTAGTACTGTGTTAGCTCTGCTAAAACTTGGCAGTTGTCTGGAGGATCCAATTCTATACCAAATGCACTTTCAAACTTTGGGTTAAGAGAAGATGGCCATCCCCAAATATACAGAAACGTGTGTGTATTTATTTGATAATTTCAATTTTTACATGGGATTGGAACTAATTTAAATTAGACTACTGTGAAAGTGCAAGGAGCTTTGTTTGGCTTTTGCTTTCTTTCTTGTGACCTCATCCCAAGCTGACCTTGTCTTCTCCCTGGCTCTTAGTACACAGATGAAGAAAGTCATGTTAACAGTATTTAAACACAATCATGGGGCCTACCAGTTCTTCAGAGAAGCGTTACAGTAAGATTTCATTTACTTCTTTTTTGCTCACCTGAAGTAGAGACCAGAAGAAGATGGGTTTGGGGAGATGCCCTTCTCCTACCCTTGTGATAGTTGGCTATTTGACTGTCTTTGGCCAGGGATGGGGAGCATGTGGTCCTTCAGATGTTCCCTGATCTCTGGCCATGCTGGCTGGGGTTGATGGGAGTTGGAGTCCAACAAAATGTAGAGGGCCAGTGGTTCCCTGTCCCTCTCTGAGCAAAGGGCACAGAGCCCTTTTCAGAACAATATTCCTTGATGGCTAACCTTCTGGGAGACCACATGCCAGAGGTGGGTGGGGCCACAGCAAAGTGGGTGCGCCCATATATATCCTATACATCCACACACCTAGTCCTTCCCTTCCCAGCTACAATCTCCAGGCAGATCATCCATTTTTCCTGCTTCCTTTCCCCCTTCAACAATGGAAAGAAAGCTCCCACTGGTTCCAGTAGAAGGCTCCCCCCCCCCAGTCTAATTGCTGGGTGGAGATGAGGCCAGGAGAGGAGGCCTTGCAGGTCCGAGGTTCCCCACACCTTTCTTAGGCCAAGGGCGGCAGGCACTGTTCCAACAATAGCACAAGCTACCGAATAACTACAGCTTCCCACAAGATACTCTGATGGCCTGGACCAACTTGGAAAGCTTTGAAACGGGACTAGAGCAATTCATGGAATATAAGGCTATTAATCACAGTCTTCCCTCCACTGTCAGAGGCAGTATGCCTATGAAAATCTTTTGTTGGGGACCGCAAGTGGGGAGAGTTGCTGTTGTTCTCTGATCCTGATCACAGGCTCCCCTTTGGGACATCTGCTTGGTTACTGTAAAACAAGGAACCTGGGCCTTTGGTCTGGTCAGCAGGGCTTTCCTCACATATTTTCTTTTCTTCTGATGCTGCCCTGTTTCTACAAACAGACTCTTCATGCAATCAGTTGCTTGTGGAGACCACACCAAGGGGCCAGGCCAGCTCCAGTTGCACAGATGTGGCTGCATTTTAAGCATTGATGCAAATGCCACCTGACACTTTCCTCTATCTCCTCTCCTCCTCCTTCACTACAACTACTTCTGCCCCTGCAGGTTTGAAATTGATGATACCTCACCCAGCATGTCTGGCTGCTGCGGGGATGACTGCTCTTACGAGATCCTCAGCCGGAGAACAAAGTTTGGCGAGAGCCAGCACGCTCACCTGGGTGGTCACTGCGGAGGCTGCTGCCATTGAGGTTGTCCTTCACTCCTGAGAAAGAACCCGGCTCTCTCCACACAACCCTGCCATTCTCTTTGGTTTCCATTGCCTGATCCTGCCCCCCACCTCCCCACTTCCTCCATTTCTTGGTACACCCCCAAGCCAGGACAAACAAGACTCCTTTATTGCATCCTGAATCCCAGGATGGAAGATCTTCCTCCGTACGGGAGGCTCTGGGAACCAAAGTCATGCCTAAGTCTCAGACCTAGTGCTAGATCTTGCATACTTACAGTCTTGATCCGAAGGCATGAATCTGGGCAGCAGGGTTTGCTTGCTTATTTGTTAAGCCCATGCTGCTGCAGTGAAGAAATAGTTAATTCCCCAAGTGAATGGTGGGGATAGCTCTCTCCCTCCAAGCTGAAGAGGTGCAGGGAGTGAGTTTTACAGAATCCTTATTGGAGTAGCAGATCTAGAAACGTGACCTTTCCTCACCTGCATTGATCTGTGCCTCTCCTTTCTTCGGTCGTTACATTGGACTGCTGTTTTGCCACAAAACTGCAATGTGTATCTAATTGGATGTGGTCCCCTGCATGGGCTACCTGGGGAAACCTTGCCTGACTCCATCCTGTTGCTTGGATTTCTCCTGGGTGTATGTTGCAGCCACCTGTTGTTTTTTGGTTGATGGGGGGAGAGGGGAGGGGAGGAGAAACGATTTGTACAGGTTTTAGAATCATACCCTGATTAATGTTCTGCATTGATCATGCCTGGAGCACTTCCCTTTTGTTTATACGTGGGGGGTGGGGGAAATATTGATGCAGATGTACTGCTTGTGCAGTTTGCTGCTGGCGAGTCCCGTATGGCTGTGTCCTTAGAGGACCTTAGAAGCCAAATCAAGCTATCAGTGACCTACACAAGTGACTTTCTGCGCACAGACACACCACCTGGAGAAAACTTGCAAGAGTTCGAAGCAATGATAACTGAATTTGCTATTCCTGTGTCCAAAAGGCTGAGTTGAAGGAAGCGTGCAAGAGATCCCCCCCCCCCAAAAAATGCTATTAACATTTTTGGTTGTTCAGGGCCCTTCACCCTTTTGAGTCTTTGGGAAACAGGCAGCTCTGGCATTTCTGAATCCTGTGTAGCGGGGTGAGTAACCTGTGGCCCCCCAGCTGCTATTGGTTTCCAGCTCCCATCAGCCCCAGCCAGCATGGGCAGTGGTTGGGGAGGATGAGAACTGGAGCCCAAACACCCGTCTTGAAAACTATAGGTTCCTCATCCCTGCTGTATATTATGAAGCGAGGATGTTCTGGTTTGGGTTTTTCTTTAAAGATGTTCTTGAATGCCTCGGCTTTGCATTGATGCTTCATCATCAGAAGGGACAGCCTTTGCCTTCAGTTAATTATCTTGAGTTGCAGCTTTTTAACACAGTGTAGTGTCATTTCCCCATCTTTGTGACATGCTGTGCAGAAATGACATCTTACTCCCTTCTTGCCTCAGTGAGGTGTGTTGGTGTGTACAAGCTTCATTTGAGGTGTTAAGAATTGACCAGCCAGGTCCTCCTGCTGCAACTGTCAATCACTGGCCTGGCCCTGCTCTTCTCACCAGGCTTCCTTAGGCTGCAACATAGCAGCAGTTTTGGGAGGAGAGTGGCTGTTGGTTGCCAGGCAACCGCCAATAGCTTTCGTGCGTCCCAAGTTCTGTCGTTGCATGCTCTACCAGGCCCTGCTGACAACTGCCTGGGTAGTATTTCCCAGTGTTGGTCCTCCTCTGCTGTAGCAATGCTAGTGGTGCAAGTGATCCATCCCATAACTCCCCTTTGCCCAAAATGGAGCCTCTCGCACCAGCCGCACAACCTCAGGACCTCACTTCTGTCTCAGGGTGTGCCTCTTTGCCTTTTTCTGGTTCCCTCTGAAGGGATGCAAAATGGGTGCTCCTACTCTTCAGCCTTTAAATGCCTGAACTCGGGGTGACCAGTGTGAGTGCCCCTCCCCCAGATGTTGCTGGACTCCACCTCCCATCAGCCACAGCCAGCATGACCTACAATCAGGGAGGATCATTCAGCAACATCTGGAGAACACCATGCTGGCTTTCTCTGGCCCCAAGCCTCTTTTTTAAGAATTAAAAATTGCCCTGCTACTTGAGTTGCATCTTACCAAATAGATAGATTGCTAGTGGTTTTTCCTCTCTTGGAAATTGGATCATAACTCCACAAGTTCATACTTAGATTTTTGTAGAAATGCATTGTCTACAGCCAAGGAGTGAGTTGCATGCAGGCTTTTGTGTGTGCATGTGGATCATTCAGGCTGCAGAATCATTCAGGGCTGGAGCAGCGATGGCCAACATTGTGAGCATCTGGGGATCAGATTTTCCAAGATTGATCTGCAGGCAGGGTACAAGTGGATCTCATCACTGTGTCTTCTCACTCCTGGCTGCAGAATTGACAGGGACAAGAGTGCCTGCATGGTGAGACAGACAGGCAAGCTGCAAGTCTCAGACTGTTTCTTAGTTTGCACCCCTTCCCCCTTGAGAAACTCTCTTTGCTTTCAGTTGTCAGCACTGGGGAAAGGCTCATGGACCAGTGATAACTTGAGAGCATTGCAAGCACTGCTTTCAGTCAGTCTAACAGCCATCTCCCTATCCCTTTGTGGAAGTGATGGAGACTCAGCCAGGAGACCTCTTCATGAGCTTGGTGCCCGTTCTGCAACCTCTCATTTATCAAGGGACAGCTACAGCTACAGAATAGGCAGCAGTGTGCCACAGACTCTATGGCAGGGATGAGGAGCATGTGGCCCTCTGGATTTGGTTGGACTCCAACTCCCAGCAGCTCCAGGTATGCGTGGTCACTGGTCAGGGCTGGTGGGAGTTGTAGTCCAGTAACACATGGAGGACCTCTAGTCATGCTGTGCAGCGGTTTTGGGATGTGGCACTGCCACTTCTCACCTCCCAGGAAATGTGTGCCTTCTAGATACAAAGTGATGAAAAAGTGAAGTTGTGGTAGGGGGTCCAAATGCCGCCTGTGGGGGAGGATAGACTACTCAGGCAGGCTGGGTGCCCTAACTGAAGGGGCGCTCACTTTGCTGGGGGTAGTGCACAATTTTGAGCACTTGCTGCTTCCAGAACACTTTGCTCCCCTGCATGGGTTTAGCATGTCTTTCTCCCATGTGGCAGTAGGAGGCTCTTTAATGCACTCTCCTGTTTGTGCAGGAACATGCCGCCCTGGCCTAGGGCAACAAGAGACGCAGAATTCAGCCTTGCATGGCTGTCTTTAATCTAATCTGTTCCACTGTGAGCAGGACCAAGGCAAAGAGAGCTATTCTGCTCCCCTCTCTTGGATGGGGCATCTACTCATCTTAGCACTGTTCCCCCTGAAAGTTTGTGGAGTCAACTTCACTCTTTGGCATGACCATGTCATCCTGGTCTCACTTAATTGCCTGTAGCAGGATGTAGAAACAAATGGGCCTCATTTAACACAAAACAATCCCCTTTTTTGTTTAAAAAACAACCATGTTCCTAAGATAAGCCCCCCTGTTGCTTTTTTTTAAATTATTAACATGGGAAAGTTGCTATCGTGTTCATTTTTGTTTTGTTTGTCATGCTAGGGACAGTCTACGAAGCTTCTAGCTCTTTTGGACTTTTTGAACAGTAGATAAGCTAACAGTTCTCTGGATATTACCTCCCTATAGCAAAAATCCATTGATAATTGCAGTTTGCTATATTAACCTTTTGTTTTTGTTACCTTATACGTGAATCTCTTTCCGTATTCCAAAGTATCAAGAAAAGGTGGTTGAGTGTGGCTAACTCTCACTTGTATTTTTATTCCCCCCCGCCCCCCCAAAATCTGGCATGCTTTGTAATATTAAGTTGTAAACTCTGCACTGTATACTTCTATGTATCTAGTGTCCTTTTTGCCCTCTTCTTTTGCCCTCTTTATTTTGTGTTTTTTTTTGGGGGGGGGGTTGTCCCCCCAAAAGTTTTTAGAATAATTTTCTATGGTAATTACATTTCTTGGCAAATATTTTCACCAGAATCAAAGGGAACAAGCTGACTTTTTAATTTTGGTATTTGTTTTCTTCATATGTTTGAAAATAAACATTTTCTTCAGTCTCTAGCTGTGTGTGTTTCTCAAATGTCTCAAGTGTGCAAATCCTGGGATGTTTGGAAGCAACCTGGCCCTTCCCCCTATGGTTTTTTAATAAGCGCTCATTAATTCAACCATCTGAGCAGTTTCCATCCTTTCCCAAGGATGAAAGGCCATTAAAGACCACTTGATTCCTTTATATTCCCCCTTGATCACTGTGATATTCAGGGAAGACTGTTAGTGGCTCAGATGCCCAGCTCAGAAGCTGTGCATTCAGTATTGTGGTCCCAACTCTGTGGAACTCTCAGCTGAGATGAGACAGGCCTTAGCAGACCAGAAGCTGAACGTGAGTCAACAGTGTGATGCCGCAGCAAAAACAGCTAATGCAATTCTAGGCTGCATCAACAGAAGTATAGTGTCCGGATCAAGGGGTGCAATAGTACACTTTATTCTGCCTTGGCCAGAACCCCATCTGGTGTACTGCGTCCAGTTCTAGGCACCACTTAAATGGTTTTCTGCCTGTTGCATCAAGTTTCATGTGCTGTGCTAGATACTGTACGATTCTCAACTGCAGTTTCATTGCTTCCTTTCTTTCTTGTCTTTTAGTGTATTGCAGTTTGAATTCCATAGAATGTAATACACGTATTCCACGTAATGCAGTAAAACGCAATATAAGTAAGCAGAGGAGCAATAAAAATACCTTTGCAAATCAGTACTGTATACATATTGAATGCGATGGATGTGCTATCTCCTTTCTTCAACCACAAGGCCACAGCAATGCCACAGACCACCTGAATGAAGCACACAGACCACAGTTTGGGAATCCCTGGTGTAGCGGTTCAAGTGTTGGAGCTGGAAGCCAAAGGTTCTAATTCCTGGTCAGCCATAAAGCTCATTGCTGGAATAGGCCATTGGCCTGATCCAGCAGCGCCCTTCTGATGACTGACCTTTGGTACTATGTGCCTTGACAGGACCAGCCCATTTGCTGCTTCATCTCAAGTAGGAAAACATCTTGGGCCAGTCTTGTGAATGCCCCAGAAGACTCTGAGCCACAGTATTCTACTGTAAAACTGCTTTATTCTTTAAGGTTTCAGGAAGGAGAGAGAAAAGAGGGAGTAATGACAAATACTCAAACTTGAGGCACTAGCACCATATGTGGTGGTGCAGAAGGGATGATTCCATGGAAATAAGACCCTGAGGAGCAGAAGAGCCTTCTGCAAATATTTTTTTCCATTATACTCATGAGTAGACCTCTCAGCGCTGGGGTTAGGTGGGCAGTCAAGAGGAGGAATGGCTCTTGCAGTGTGAGCCAATGGCATAAGCACCACCATGAAATCTGGGAGGAAGGGACAGCAGCTGGAATCTGAAATGGAGAAGCCAGTGAGGGTAATGAAGAGACGTTTTAGAAGCACTTCCTGTGGACAATGGATGGCCCGGCTTCATCATACTCTTGCTTGCTGATCCACATCTGCTGGAAGGTGGAGAGGGAAGCCAAAATGGAGCCACCGATCCACACAGAGTACTTCCGCTCCGGAGGAGCAATGATCTAAAGGGAGCAAGTGAGAAAGTTAACCAGGGGTGGATGATGCCTTACTAGAGCAGATTACCAAACATTCAAAAAGGAGAGAAATAGTAATCGGGGGATTCCAACTTCCCCGATATCTGTTGGGACTCAAACTCTGCCAAGAGTGTAAGGTCTGACAAATTCCTCAATTGCATCGCTGACAATTTCCCAAAAGGTGGGAGAACCAACAAGGGGATCATCTGGGCACTACAATTTAAGAAGGATGTTGACAAGCTGGAAGGTGTGCAGAGGAGGGTAGACTCGAACCAATAGCTTCAAGTTGCAAGAAAGGAGATTCCGACTAAGCATTTGGAAAAACTTTCTGACAGTAAGAGCTGCTCAGCAGTGGAACAGACTCCTACGAGAGGTGGTGGACTCTCCTTCCTTGGAGGTTTCTAAATACAGGGGGAAAACAAGCATGTTCCCTCTTCCTTGTGACAGCCCTTAAGATATTTGAAGATAGCTATCATATCTCCTCTCGGTCTCCTCTTTTCCAGGCTAAACATACCCAGCTCCTTCAAGTGCTCCTCATAAGGCTTAGTTTCCAGACCCTTGATCATCTTGGTTGCCCTCACACACACACAAACACCCCAGTAACTTCTGAATCTATCACAGCTTTCCTCTTACCTATCTGTTGGAATGGAATGCCAAGTGTTAATAATTCTGCTGTCTATTTGCCAGTCTCACCTTGATCTTCATGGTGCTAGGTGCCAAGGCGGTGATTTCCTTCTGCATACGGTCAGCGATGCCAGGGTACATGGTGGTGCCGCCAGAGAGCACGTTGTTGGCATACAGGTCCTTACGGATGTCGATGTCACACTTCATGATGGAGTTGTAGGTGGTTTCGTGGATGCCTGCAGACTCCATGCCTGGGTTAAATAAATAAAAAGAGCAAGATTGCAAAATCTGGGGAGCAGGGTATATGGCTAATTTAATGCTAATTGACTATATTTGGCACAAAAGGATGTATCCTTAAACAGAGGTACATCTTTACCCTGACCTTTGACACCTGAGGTCTGTATTTTCAGGAATCACCTTGTTTTTTGTGATACCAAGTTGCCTTAAACTGTTTTTAATGTTGCGTTTTTGTCTTTGTCCATGGAGTTTTCTTGGCAGGGATACTGGAGTGGCTTGCCAGTTCCTGCTCCAGGTGGATCACGTTTGGTCAAAACTCTCCACTATGACCTGTCCATCTTGGGTGCCCTGTATGTGCCCATACATCAGTAGTGATGTATGGAAGTGAGAGCTGGACCATAAAGAAGGCTGATCGCCGAAGAATTGATGCTTTTGAATTATGGTGCTGGAGGAGACTCTTGAGAGTCCCATGGACTGCAAGAAGATCAAACCTCTCCATTCTGAAGGAAATCAGCCCTGAGTGCTCCCTGGAAGGACAGATCCTGAAGCTGAGGTTCCAATACTTTGGCCACCTCATGAGAAGAGAAGACTCCCTGGAAAAGAACCTGATGTTGGGAAAGATGGGGGGCACAAGGAAAAGGGGATGACAGATGGTTGAATAGTGTTCTCGAAGCCACCAGCATGAGTTTGACCAAACTGCGGGAGGCAGTGGAAGACAGGCGTGCCTGGCGTGCTCTGGTCCATGGGGTCATGAAGAGTCGGACACGACTAAACAACAAAACAATGTTGTGCTTTAAATTGCTGTAAACTGCCCTGGGACCTCAGGGTGAAGGGCTGGCAATTAATGATAATTCTGCACGTGACAGGTGTGGTTGTATTCATTCTGAGAGCCAATTTTGCTCAACCTTGCATTTAACTACCATGCTTGGTCACCACAGGCGACAAGTAATTCTGTGCAAGCGAACAGGCTAGTGGAGGAGGGATGGATCAGCCTGGCCTCCACAGCCAGAACAGAAACCGTGGAGGCTGTCAGCAGATGAGAAGCAGAGAGAGCTAGCCTAGTAGAAAACAAACAGGAAAAAGCAATTGCCAAGAGGCTACTAAAAACAACAACACTCAAAGACCTCCCAGGAAGTGCCTTTATTAGGGCAATTGCTAAGTTGCCTAATTTTAAGCAAGTTTTATTTATTTTCCCCCGGCTCCTCCGGGCCTTGTGAGCTCCCATTAGGGCTAGAGACAGAACACAGTATCTTCCAGATTTGATTTTAATAAGGTGAAACAGCCCATACTGCTGCTTTGTCATGCTAGTCCCGGGTACATCCTGCAATCTCTTCTGCACCTGGTGCTGCAAGGCCAGAAGGAGTTTGAAGAAAGAAGGACTGGGAGCTCTTTTAAAGCGAGGAGACCCACATAGAAGAATCCTTCGCCAAGGGCAAAAGTCAAAGGATTTTGTGATGGCCTCAAGTTACAGCAGCTGCTTAGCAGGAGGTCATGCTTCCCCCTCCATTTAGGAGAAGGAGGATACTATCCTGGAATTTTGCCGCTTCCCTGCCTATTTTTGGGGTAGAAAAAAGAGCATCGAAGAGCCCTGTGCTGGCGCGATCAGCTGTTCCTCTCCACCCGCTGCCAAAGCCTCAGCCCTAATCCGTAAGTGGAATGTGTCTACCTGATACCCCTTTCTCTGGTCAAGGCTGGTCTCATCGAGACGCCCACCCTGGGCTCCCTGCACTTCCTGGCGTGTGTCAGTAAACGTTTTCGCCATCAGTAAAACCAGTGTGACATTTCTGAGCGGTCTCAAAGGAGAAGACTGACCTTTTTGCCACTGACATGCCTTAACCCCTCACACATCTCTCAATTGCCGCCCCAGCCAGCAAGCCTCTGCTTTGATGACATTTGCAGAAGCTCGCCATCCCTCACCTATGGCCGCAACTGACTTCTCAGGTACTCCAAACCCCTCACTCTTCCAGAACAAGCCCACCAGTTGCAGATTACCCTGCCCCACCTATAAGCCCCATGGTTGGGTCAGTCTGTGGGCCCTCCAAATGCTGTTAGACCCCCAACGCCCTTCAGCCACAGCCACCAGAGCCCATGGTCTGGCATAATAGAAGCTGTGGTGCAGCAGTCTCCGCAAGAGAGGTCTCCTGTGCTCCCGCTGTTTCTCACCAATAAATGAGGGTTGGAAGAGGGTCTCTGGGCACCGGAAACGCTCGTTGCCAATGGTGATGACTTGCCCATCAGGCAGCTCGTAGCTCTTCTCCAGGGAGGAGGAGGAAGCAGCGGTGGCCATCTCGTTCTCAAAGTCCAAAGCCACGTAGCCCAGCTTCTCCTTGATGTCACGCACAATCTCCCGTTCAGCTGCGGGGAGGCAGGAAGGATTTGGTCCGTTAGAGGAAGCCCACAGCTTGGAAGAACTGGTTCTGTCGCTCAGCTGTAGGCTCCATCTGCACTCAAGATTTAAAGCACTATCATACCGCTTTGAACAGTTGTGGCCCCACCACAAAGAACCCTAGGAGCTGCAGTTTGTTATGGGTGCTGAGAAGCGCCAGGAGATTTCTTTTTTATGATTTTCAGTTTTAAACATTTCAATAATTTTACAATCATTTTAACATTTCAAAGCTTGATGAAATTGATGAAATAGAGGATGTTTAATTATAATACTTTAAATTAAATTACGCAAATGAAAATAAGATCGGAAGGATGTGCTGAAAAAGAACGATCTGAACTAGAATACAAAACTGGGAGGTGAGAGGAGGTCAAGGAAATAAGTAAAGGGAAAAAGTTATGTAAAGGTTTAATTTGTTTTTGTTTTATTTTAATGCAATGTTTTTGTATATTTCTTGTTCTGTTTTTTTTTATTGTACTTCATTGTTCTTTTTTTCTCTCTTTTTTTCTTTTTATTCTATGCTCTGTTATGGTTATGGTCAAATTTTTCATTGTATCTTGTACTGTTTTGTTTTCCGGTTTTGGTTTTTTTTTTGTAATTTTAAATTTGGAATAAATATCATTTAAAAAAAAAAAATTTCAAAGCTTGACTTCCTTCCCCCCTCTTCCTGTGGTTCCTTAAATTTATTTTTAATATTTTCGGCATATCCAAATTAACTTAATTTGCTCATTTATTCATGTACTTTAAAGATGTACTCTTATAAAACTGCAAGTTATTACAATAATCCAGCCAATGTTCTTATCTGTTTACAGTTTGTTTGTTTGTTTGTTTGTTTGTTTGTTTGTTTGTAGAAACCATTTCCATTCTTTTATAAAAAATTTGTTAACCTGTTTTGTTTTGTTTTCCTGGTAAGTTTTGCCATTTCTGCATATTCCGTAAGTTTTTGTATCCGTTCTTCATTTGCTGGGATGAATTCTTCTTTCCATTTTTGGGCAAGTAACATTCTTGCTACCGTAGTCGCATACATGAATAAATTTCTATACAGTTTGGGTAGTTCTGTCTCTATAGTTCCCAAAAAAGGAGAAGTTCTGGGTGGTTTTTTTTACAAACATTATTTTAAACATCTTTTTCAATTCATTATATTCTTGTTCCTCTCAGAGAGCTCCAATTCCCAGGGTTCCCTGGGAGGAGGGATTGACTGTTTAAACCACTCTGGGAACTGTAGCTCTGTGAGGGCGATAGGGGTCTCCTAACAACTCTCAGCATCCTTAACAAACTACACCTCCCAGGATTCTTTGGGTGAAACCCTGATTGTTCAAAGCGGTATGATACTGCTCTACAGTATGTGTATAGCACACATGGGGTCAGAGTTAAGGCATTTGTTTTCAAATGGCATGAACAATGCTCTTGGCCGGTGTAGGGAGTAGACTCAAGCAGACACTGGCTGCAGAATTAAAGCGGTACCACGTAGCAGTTCTCTTACCAGTGGTGACAAAGGAATAGCCACGCTCGGTTAGGATCTTCATCAGGTAGTCGGTGAGGTCGCGGCCAGCCAGATCCAAGCGCTGTATGGCATGGGGCAAGGCGTAGCCCTCATAGATGGGGACGTTGTGGGTAACGCCATCTCCAGAATCCAGTACAATTCCTACAGAAGAGGAGACCTGAGTTGGTAGGGAGCTGGAGAGAGAGGAAGCTGCTAGGTATCCCACAAGACAGCCTCTTGGCTGGGGGCTTTTAGCCTGGCTGGCCTTATGTGGTGAATGCATGCCAGATAGCTGCCAGTTAACATTTGCCACAATACTTTAGAGCAGGGGTTGCCAACCCAGCACCCACACAAGTACCATGGTGCTCCAGCCTCTGAGCTTTCTTGCCCTCCTAGAAAGCAAGGGGTCAAATGTGCCTTCTAAGCAATTTATGAGAAACAAGAGTGGTGGGGTCACCTTGTATATTTTCCCTGGTACTGAGGAATGCTCTATGTTCCTGTTAGACAGAAACAGCAGCATTGTGCATGTGATTGTGGGTAAAATCAATACTGCGTGATCTCCAGAATCGGGACCAGCAGGACATAGCTGGCTTCTCATGGGTGCCAGGGGTGGCGGTCTCTCTAATTTTGTGTTATGGCACACTCTCCATGGCAGCCATTTTGTGTTATGCCCCACCTCCACCCCCGCATAGTAGCTACTGTTTTGTGACTGGCACAAATGAAATGTACCCGCTGGTCCTAAAAGTTTGGCGACCCCTGCCCTAGCATAGAGGTGGGGAACCATTTTTAGTCTGAGGACCTCGTTCCTTTCTGGAGGTCTTGGGGCCAGAGGCAAAAGTAGCCGGAGCAAGGAATGAATGTGAGGAGAAAGCAAGAGGAGCAACAAATGTAAATTGCTCATTAAACAGCCCACAATCTCCCTGCAAACAAGTCAGGATGCATTAATCATAGAGTTGGAAGGGACACAGAGCGTCATCTCATCCAGCCCTCTCCAATACAGGAATATGCAGCTGTCCCATACGGAAGCTGCAACCTTGGCATTATCAGCACCATACTCTTAACCCAGGGGTCAGCAAACTTTTTCAGCAGGGGGCTGGTCCACTGTCCCTCAGACCTTGTGGGGGGCTGGACTATATTTTGAAGAAGAAAAATGAACGAATTCCTTTGCCCCACAAATAACCCAGAGATGCATTTTAAATAAAAGGACACATTCTACTCATGTAAAAACACACTGATTCCTGGACCATCCGCGGGCCAGATTTAGAAGGTGATTGGGCCAGATCTGGCCCCTGGGCCTTAGTTTGCCTACCCATCCTCTAACCTACCCACTTATTAAGCTACCCAGTGCTTAATAAACAGCTGGTCTGGAAGCAGCTGGCATGTTCATGCCATTCATTAATCCATCGAAAACATGTTTACCCCTGCCTCTTGGTCCCAAGGGGGGGGGGGTCAACCAACAATTTTGCTGATTTCGGCCCCCCACAGCACGCACAGACGCACACACATACACACTTACCAGTGGTACGGCCAGAAGCATAGAGAGAGAGCACTGCCTGAATGGCCACATACATGGCAGGCACGTTGAAGGTTTCAAACATAATCTGGGTCATCTTCTCCCGGTTGGCTTTGGGGTTGAGGGGGGCCTCGGTGAGCAGGGTGGGGTGCTCCTCGGGGGCCACGCGCAGCTCGTTGTAGAAAGTGTGGTGCCATATCTTCTCCATGTCGTCCCAGTTGGTGATGATGCCGTGCTCGATGGGGTATTTCAGGGTCAGGATGCCTCGCTTGCTCTGGGCCTCGTCTCCCACGTAGGAGTCTTTCTGACCCATGCCCACCATGACGCCCTGGAAGCAAGCGAGAGCAGGGACTCAAGAGAGGGTGGTCCTTTAGGGAGAGCTAGACTGTTGCCAAACCAGCCTGCCTTCGGTCCAGCCCTCACCTGTCCTGTCCAGGGGGTGGCTCTGCCTCCTTAGTCTCTGTGTGGCCCTGTGTGGCCCTTGTAGAATGCAGCAGTGGGGAGAAGGATGGGGGCAAAACCAGAATTAATTGGCTCCATCTGCCATTGGCTCAGCCGCCCAGAGTGGCTGGGGAAACTCAGCCAGATGGGCGGGGTATAAATAATAAATTATTATTATTATTATTATTATCATCATCATTATTATTATTGGCTCTGGCTCCAGCCACTGTTGGGCTCCCTGCCTTCCAGCCCCAGTGGGTGCTGGTCACCACAGCTAATCCTCCCTAGGCTTTCTGGTGCTTAATTTCAAGCAAAATAAACACAGGGGGGGGTTTCGGGGGGGGGGTAGAAACACTGCCCTCCAATCTGGATTCTGTTCTCCCAATCATCCCCTTAAAGGGAGCAGGGAATGGTGCTTCCTCCTGCCCAAAAGGGTACAGAGCATTCAAGGCCAACCAAGTCATTTGGGTGCCTTGTCCCTTCTAGGGCAATAATAAGGGCTGTAGCTCAGTGGCAGAACACCTGCTTGGCATGCAGAAGGTCCCAGGTTCACTCCCCTGTGGCATCTCCAGGCAGGGCTGGGAGAGACTGCGTGCCTAAAACTCTGGAAAGTTGCTACCAGCCAGTGTAGACAACTGTTTATATAGGCCAACTGTCTGGCTCTGTAGAAGGCAACTTATTTTGTCTCTATGTTCCTACTGCAATAGCTATTAATTATACAGCTAAGATTAGGATGACAGTAAAAGTTAAATAACTGTCCTTTTTCTTACACTCATATTCAGCTGAGTAACTCCTTGTTACTCGATGATAACTAAAATATTGAAATTATTATTGTTAGTTATTATTATTGTTGGAATTTATACCGCAGCTTTCTACCAAAATACATCTCCCCACGGAACTTTGTACAAAGCAAATCAGGATGTAGGCTCAATAAACATAGTGTCTGAAACTTGAAGCATCCTCTCTCTCTCTCTCTCTCTCTCTCTGTGTGTGTGTGTGTGTGTGTGTGAGAGAGAGAGAGAGAGAGAGAGAGAGAGAGGGAGGGAGGGAGGGAGGGAGACCAAACTCTCCAAGTGTCCCTATTTTCCAGGGACAGTCTTGGATTTACAGAAGCTGTCCTGGTTTCTGATTTGATCCCGGAATGTCCAGCTTTTCCTTAGGACGTCCCTATTTTCATTGGATAAATGTTGGAGGGGATGGAGTTATGCGACCCCCGACCCAAGGAAATAAGTAACTATACAACCTTTAGAAGACATCTGAAGGCAGCCCTGTATAGGGAAAGTTTTTTTTTAAATGTTTAATGTTTTATTTTGTTTTTTATATATATTGGATGCCACCAGAGTGGCTGGGGCAACCCTGTCAGACGGGAGGGGTATAAATAATAAAGTTGTTGTTGTTGTTGAATAGGACATCCCTATTTTCATTGGAGAAATGTTGGATGGCATGACAGGCTCTCTTTCTCCCCTTGCCATTGACCCTTATGCCCTGGCTCCCAAATGCTCTTTGCCTTCTAAGCTTTGGCCTAGCAGCTGTTTAAGAGCATAACTTCACCCCAGGAGGAAACAGGATCCCATTGGAAAGCCAAGAGGCAAATGATCTCTTAATTGCCTGGGTTGGAATTTGTCAGGGAGACCCCTGCTGTTCTGGGGGTGATCTCCGACAGGCCGCCTGTAAGGTCATATACATGGCTGGTGGTGGAGGACTCCAAAGGGAAGGCCACACGCATCCTTGCTCTCTCCTCAGGGTGGCCCCTTCCAGACCGGAGTGGGGTGGGCGGGTTTGCAGGTGCATTCTGAAGCTTTCTAAAACTGGCGGCGGTGTTTTTTCCTACTCAACCACCCACACATAATTCGGCTTTTATTAGTTGGTCTGCAATGTTTCCTCCAGGGCCACATTCACACATATATTTAAGGCGCTAAGATACCACGTTAAGAGTCATGGCTTCCTCCAAAGAACCTTGGGAGCTGCAGCTTCTTAAGCCGGGGTCAGCAAACTTTTTCAGCAGGGGGCCAGTCCACTGTCCCTCAGACTTTGTGGGGGGCCAGACTATATTTTGAAGGGGAAAAAATGAACACATTCCTATGCCCCACAAATAACCCAGAGATGCATTTTAAATAAAAGCACACATTCTACTCATGTAAAAAGACGCTGATTCCTGGACCGTCCGCAGGCCGGATTGAGAAGGTGATTGGGCCGGATCCGGCCCATGGGCTTTAGTTTGCCTACCCATGTTCTTAAGGGTGCTAAGGAGACCCCTAACTGTGGAGGGAGAACATAGCCATTGTGGTTAGGAGCCGTCGCTTGTGTTATCCTCCATGAATTTGCCTAGTCCCCTTTCAAAGCCAGCTAAATTGGGGGCTATCGCTGCCTCCTCTGTGGCGTGTGAAACAGCACTTCTTCTTTCTCTCTCCAGAAACTTCACTCCTGCCCACATCACTTTCAACGGTCACGGCTTCGAGCCCCAAAGAAACCTGGGAGTTCTAGAGTTCTTAGGAGACCATCTACTCTCCTCCCAGAGCTACAATTCCCAGAGCTACATGGAAAAGGAGGATTGGTTGTTAAACCATCCTGGCCTACGATAACGCGCTATTGCTGTATGGAGAGGCACAACAAAAGGAAAGAGGAAAACAACAATTCCCCGCAGTACATTTTGTGATACAAAAAGATACAAGATCGCAGGGGGAAGTTATGGGATGTGTATTGATTGGAAATGAAGCAACGTGGCTTCCCCAAAACTTTGGCAGGCACAAATGAGATTGAAAGCAAGATCGTTTGTATAACTGCCCTGATAACACCGTAAGCACAAATCACCATGAATGCCACAATAAGCTACCATCCCCAGAGCGGTTTAACAGCCAATCCCTCCTCACAGGGAACTCTGGGAATTGTAGTTCTGCAAGGGGGAAGAGGGTCTCTCCTAACAATTCTCAGCACCCTTCACAAACTGAACTCCCCGGGGATTATTGCGGGGAAGTTGTGACTTTTTAAAGTGGTAGGGCTCTGCTTTAAATGAATAGTGCAAGTGGGGACCAAACAGAGCCTTGCAGCTACCGCTTCCTTACCTGGTGTCTTGGGCGCCCAACGATGGAGGGGAAGACAGCGCGGGGAGCATCGTCCCCGGCAAAGCCGGCCTTCACCAAACCGGAGCCGTTGTCACACACCAAGGCAGTTGTCTCCTCGTCATCACACATAGTGCTTGCTCACTAAGGGATGAGATATGGGTGGCAAGGGTTACATTCTGGAAGTGACCCACACTGCCCTCATCTCATTTCTCCCCCTGACAGCAGTCCTTCTGTGCCATATCTATGTGGGGCAAGTCTCAAGGCCCAAACTTGAGACCTAATGGCGGGCCATTAAACACGCACATGAAACACGGTCGATGAGAACACGTAATTCAAATATTTTTTAAAATTGCAAGGTCTAGCAAATTAGCGAATACATCACTGGTTGGAAAACCCTCAAGATTCCATCTGATTCCTTTTCTCCTGCATGAACTTTAGGATTCAGGAAGGGGGAAGGGGTTGTTTGCCCTGGTTTTCCTCCCTCTTGTAGAATAAACTCATAGGGTGTGAACCAACTAAATTCTACTTTGAGTAGACCTATTAAAATCAATGGACCTAAGTTCGAGCTCATCCACACTTCTGCTGGTGTCCTGCCTAGAAAGCACGGGTCACCCTCGGCCCCACTCCTTTCCAAAGGAAAAAGCTGCTCTTTAGTGATAGATCCGGCAAAATAGCAATCTGGGGGGAATCTGAATTGCAGCTTGGGGGGGGGGCAGGGAGGAGCAGCAGGACAAGAGGAAGTGCAGATAAGCCCTTAGCCATTCTGATGAATTTCAATGGGTCTACTCTGAGTAGGACTAACATTGGAGACAGCTCATAGAGTTTCCCCTACAACGGTAAAACCCAGAAAAGTTAGAATCGATCTGGATACTTTCCAGTCCGGGATGCAAGCAGATTGCATTTCCAGATAGAAAGCTTCCTCAGCTTTCCGCTTGGCAGAATGCAAACATTTTAAGCGTACACGCCAGACAGCTGTAGCTGCAATCAGTGGTGGCGGCGGGAGAAAGTTGGTTCCAAATTCTAGACTAGAGCAATGCTGCCTATTCCTGCTGCTGGCAGCTCACCACGGCCATAGGCAGAGGTTTTCCGCTGGGATCCTTTCAACGGGAGATGCCATGCATTGAATGCGAAGAACAGAAGAGCCTGGATGCTGGATCAGGCCAAAGACCCACAAAGTCCAGCATTCTGTTCTCGCAGCCAAAGCAGATACCTTTGGGAAACTCGCAAAGAGGACCCAAGCTCTCTCTCCCTGCTTGCAATCCCCAGAAGTTGGTATTCAGAGACCATTGACATCCTTCTCCAGTAATTGGCCAATCCCCTTTTAAAGCCAGCCAAGATGGTGGCCATCACTGTCCCTTGGGTGGGGGGGCAAATTCCAAAGCTGAACTGCGCAGCGTGTGAATAAGTCCTTCCTTTTGCCTGCTGAAAAATCTGCCAACATTCAGAGTCATGGTGTGGCAATTTTGGGATGACCACGAGTTGTAAGTGTGTCTTAAGAGTCTTAAGAGAAAAACATCTCCCTCTACAACTTCTGCCCACCATGCATAATCGTATACACCTCTCAGTCGTATCCTCCCTTAACTTGCACCCCCCCAAAAAAAACTAACTAAAAATGATCGTGGGGAAAGATGCTCAGCGTTTTTGCCCTTTTAGTTGCCATTTTCCCAGGTCCGCATTATCCTTTGTAGAGGTGACCATACCTGACCTGCTATTCCTTTTCACTATGACTGGCAGTGGCTTTCCAGGGGAGCAAGGCCCTTAGTTCAGTCACAGAGCATCTGCCTTGCATGTAGAAGGTCTCACATCCAATCCCCAGCATATCCAGGTAAGGCAGGGGGAGACCCCTGTCTGAGATCCTGGAGAGCCACTGCCAGGCAGTATGGACACTTCTGAGACAAATGGACTCAACATAAGGCAGCTTCTGATCTTCCTACAAGCAGTTCTGTCTCACCCAGCCCTGCATACACACCATACATTCAAAGCATGTTTCTCCACACCTCCAATAAGCCTGGGAACTGTGGTTTGTTAAGGGTGCTGGGAATTGTCGCTTTGTTAAGGGGTAGATGACAATTCCCAGGATTCTTTGCAAGGCGGGGAGGAGGAACAGGCTTTAAATGTATGCTGTGTACACAGCCGGAGTCTCTGCCCCAAAGAGCTTACAGTCGGCATCGGCTGCTCTGGGGGTACTCACCAGTTCCTGCAGCAGCCCAGAGAAAGGAAGAAAAGAGCAGTCAGGCTTGGCTCGCAGGGTCCAGTCCTTTATACCCCTAAACTCCCACTGGCCTTACTCCTCCCCTCCCCTCTGCTCCTGGCGGCCTCTCTCACCCTCTGCCTCCTTCCCCCGCAAGGGTTGAAAGGGACGTTTCATACATTCCATATTTGGACACATTCCAGGCCACCTGTCACTTGTGCCTTTCATGGGCATTTATGGCTCAGCTGCTGGGGGAAGCCAGACCCCACCTGCTTACCTCTCACCCCTCACCAGTCTGGCCTCCCTCCTTCTCCCATCTCTGTTTTGCAGACACTTGCAAGGCCAAGAGTGGGGGGACGGGGGGGGGACGGTCCAGACCCCCTGCTTGCAGTAACCATGGCAAAAACCATTCCCCAGCCATTTACGGCTGTGACACAGAGACCTGGGAAATCATTTGCATTCAGAGCAGTCTGTAAAGATCCATTTGCTGCCTTCGGATTGCGAGAGATGGAGGCACTTTGCTCAGGGGTCTTATTTTTAGATGCAAGTGGGCAGCCCGTGGCCTGTGGACCAGAAGCAGCTCTCTACCTCCTCTCCAAAGAGAGGGAAAAAGGTGTTTTTTTTAGGTTTTAAAGCACTTTAAACAATCTGGTCTGTCCCCCCCAGATAATTCTGGAAACTGTAGTTTGTTAGGAGTGCTGAAAGTAGTTAGAGAAGGCTCCCTACAGTGGTACCTCAGGTTACATACGCTTTAGGTTACAGACGCTTCAGGTTACAGACTCCACTAACCCAGAAATAGTACCTCGGGTTAAGAACTTTGCTTCAAGATGAGAACAGAAATCGTGTGGCAGCGGCACGGCGGCAGCGGGAGGCCTCATTAGCTAAAGTGGTACCTCAGGTTAAGAACAGTTTCAGGTTAAGAACGGACCTCCAGAACGAACTAAGTTATTAACCTGAGGTACCACTGTATTCCTATTCACAGAAAGATATAATTCCCAGAGTGCTTGAGCAATCAATCTGTCTTCATAGGAAACTTGGGGAATTGTAGCTCTGTGAAGAGAATAGGGGTTCATTCCACAATGACATCTCCAGGTAGGGCTGCCTGAAACTCCCAATCCATGAATGCAGATAATTCTGAGCTAGACTGGTCTGACTCAGCATAAGGTAGATTCCTATGTTCCTACCTGCATGCCTAATGCTGAGTGCATCCTCTGAACTCCTTCGCTCCAGACTGCAGAGGTGGATCATGATGCAAAGCTTTCCCCTCCTGCTGTTTGAGTGGCATTGACTGAGGCTAACGGGAGGCCTCTACAAAGCTGCTAATCCTCCTCCTTTCACCAAGGGAGGCCTCTGCTAGTCAGCTGGCCTGGGCTTCTGCTGCTCCAGCATTTTTTAAAAGAGCAAATGGGGGGGGGGGTGCGAGTGAGAAGGCAGCCCAAGAGATGCCACCACCAGAAGCCTAGGGCTCACGATGCAAGCTGTGTTTACATGGATAAGTTCCAGTACCACGTCCGCTGGGCAGTGCCAGGGAACGTGTGTTCTTGGCCTCAGGGTCCTCCATTGCCCCCCAATGAAAGGGGATGCAGTGAATCTGGTTGCCCTCTCTGCTCCCAAAATACTCCGAAATCTGCATTTCCCAAAATGCACTTCTGCATTTAAAAACCACATTGTCAGGAAAGCGCTGTTTAATGTTTGGATAAGATATAAGGATTTATTAGAAAACAAAACCCCAAGGTGGCTGTCACCAATGGAAGCGAAAGCCTTGAAAAAGCTCAATATGGAGGTCAAATGGCCGAAATATTGGGAAATTTTAGAACAAGATGGAGATAGACTGAAATTGCAGAGTTTTGAAAAACTAAAAACAAAGTGCGAGACTGGCTTCATTATTTTCAGATAATGGAGGCATTTAAATTAGACAAGAAAATTGGCTTCCAGGTGGAAAAATCAAAATTAGAAACTGAACTGTTAGAACCCAAAACTAAGAATTTATCAAGAATGTATAACTTGCTGCTGAAATGGAACACTCAGGATGAAACGGTAAAATCGGCTATGATTAAATGGGCACAAGACGTCGGACATAACATTATGTTCGCTGACTGGGAACAGTTGTGGACCACTGGTATGAAATTTACGGCATGTAATGCCTTAAGAGAGAATATTATGAAAATGATATACAGGTGGTACATAACCCCGGTCAAGCTTGCAAAAATCTACCATTTGCCCGATAACAAATGTTGGAAATGTAAAGAAACTGAAGGTACATTTTTTCACCTTTGGTGGACGTGCCCAAAGATTAAGGTTTTCTGGGAAATGATATATAATGAATTAAAAAAGGTATTTAAATATACCTTCCCTAAGAAACCAGAGGCCTTTCTCCTGGGCATGGTCGGCCAAACGGTGATAAAAAAGGATAGAACTTTCTTTATGTATGCAACAACAGCAGCAAGAATACTCATCGCAAAGTATTGGAAGACACAAGAACTTCCCACGCTGGAGGAATGGCAGATGAAACTGATGGACTATATGGAACTGGCGGAAATGACTGGCAGAATCCGTGACCAGGGAGAAGAGTCGGTGGAGGAAGATTGGAAGAAATTCAAAGATTATTTACAGAAACACTGCAAAATTAAAGAATGCTAGAGTGATGTTGGATTAAAAATAAGTGGTTTCCAGCTGTACAGCATTCAAAGTTATAGATAGACTAAGATTAAAGATTAGGATTAAAGAAGTTGAAGGAAATGGAAATTTGGTATTTAAGAGGTAAAATTTTAAGGCTATATTATATTAAGATTAAAGATTGGGATTAAAAAAGTGGAAAAGAAATTGCTGGACAAACAATTTGGACTGGAATACAAAAGAGGGAGGTATGAGGAGGTCCAGAAAATAAGTAAATTTAAAAACGGAAATGAAAAGGTGATATTGTTTTTAATTGTTCTGCTTCTTTTTTTGTTTTTTGTTTTCTGTGTGTTTTATTCTTCTTTGGATTATGTACTGTATATTTGTGTATTTCTTTTTTATGTTTTTATGTTTAATCTTTTATTGAAATCTTAATAAAAATCATTTAAAAAAACAAAAACAAAATGCACTTCTGCAGCCCAGCCAAGTGCATATATTAGTGAAAAGTGCATTAAAAGCGGGAATTGATTTGCCATAAAGGTATATATTGGGCAAAACGTCATAGCAAGAGAGGAGAAATCCACACTAAAATGCTGCCAAGTTTTCACGAGGACTTGTCTTTAAGAAACGCGCAAACTGATGTGGAAATGTGGAGAACAGGGCTCGAGAGTGGAGAAATGAGAAACAGAATCCAGAATTAACAGATCCACCCATTCCTAGCCACAGGGTCCTCCTTGTTTGTCCTCATGTAAAGGGGTTGAAGCGAATCAAGTCCCTCCCACGGTGCTTCCAGCATAAGGTGGAGAGGGAGGTGGGAGACAGACAGAGAGCAAGTGGCCGAGGGCGAAAAGTCAAGGAGCTGCCTAGAGCATCCTGATGAAACCGACCGCGGAGGATGAGCCAGGAATAGCTAAGTGAGATCCATCCAGCCCTTATGTGGGAAAGTTTGTGTGGGAAAGTGGCACCTTGATTCCCATCTATGGCTGGGAAGGATGGGACAGGGCCAGTCAAAGAAGGGAACCTCCACGCTTGCTTCGTGAAACAGGACTATGGACATAAGCAAGGTCAGGCTTTCGGCAAATTGTGCTCAGTGCAAAATCCTAACCCGATGTGTGCATGGGCTGGGAGCCTGCTCAGGTGAGAACTGGTCCATCTAGATCTGTATTGTCTTCGCTGACTGGCAGCAGCTCTCCAGGGTTTGAAGCAGGAGACATTCCCAGTCTTTCCTGGAGACACTGGGGAATCTCCTGCATGTAAGTCTCCACCACCAAGCTGAAGCACCACCGTCTGTTAAGAGTGATGTATTGTCCTAGGGGTGTATGGGGTGTTAGGGGAGGAGTGGTGCTTCTGGTGGAAGACAGTTGTGCTCCTTCTGGGGTAGTTTGTCCACCTTTGGTCCCCACCCTCAACTCAGCTCTCACCTGTGGCTCCTGGAAGCTGTCAGCATGCAACAGTGGCCACACCCCGGAACAGCTTCAACTGGCTGGCTAAACCTGGTGAAGGTAGCTAGTGGGTCACAAAGTTAGGGACTTCCCTGGCATGTGAAGACAGGCATTGGCAGATTGAGCGGGCGAGGCCGAAGGTGGGTCCCATGGTCAAGAAGGTGGCTTCTGCAAGTTCTGCATGTGCTGCAGAGGAAAGTGAGAGGCAGATGGGGCTTGTCAACCTGGGAAGGAAGCCCATCTAGGAGAAGGAAGACACTGATCCTAAACCTCTGCAGCCTTGCAGGGTATATTCGGGAGAAGAAAAGGCTAAGAGGGAAAACCCTACACAAATCTGGAGTCCCTAGGATGGTTGGATGGCATCTTGGATGCCTCCTTCCGGCAACTCCTGCAGCTAAGCTGCCAAATGTATTGCTTTCCTTTGGATCACATAATTGAGGCTGAGAGGGGGGTCTTGTCGTCCGGGCAGCCCAGGCCCTCCATACACACTGCCCAGGCTTGGTACCCTAAGGAGGTCACTTTGGCACTGCTAGCTCTGTATTGCTGACAAGTGGCTGTAACTCACTAGAGTTATAGAGCGGAAAACTTTCCCAACCCCTGCCTTGAGATGCCCAGTATGCAAACCATTGAGCTGCCGTCGTTCCCCTGAAAAGAAAAACTTAGAGTCCAGTCCTCATGGTTCTGAATGAAGGACTGCATTAAGTAGGAACAAAGGAAACTGTCTTAAAGTGAATCAAATAAATGCTCCATCCAGTTCAGCAGCGTCCACACTGACTGGCAGCAGCTGTGTCCACCGGCGTCTCTCCTCGCCCGAGCAGGAAACGACAGGGGCTCAGTCTTGAGTTTTTTTGTACAAAGCAAGTGCTCTGCCCCTGAATCATAGAGTTGAAAGGGACCCCAAGCACCATCTAGTCCATCTCCCTGCAATGAAGGAATATCAACTAAAATCAGGGATATATATTTGATAAAATAAACGAATAGGAATATGCAATTAAGTGTATTGTAGGCATGGCTAGACGAAGGCAACCGAAGCAGTACATTGTGGGAAGACATGGAAAGCAAGCAACCACCGCAGGAGATCGGCTAAGACACAACTACTGTACAGGACTCTTAGCAGCAAAGCTCTCTGCTTCGTAGATCTCGCGCCACTTCCTACGTAACTTGACGTCGCCTTTCTGACTGCCCTTTTCTGAAGCCACTCCCCCGCCCCTTCTATCATGTCTGCAAGAGGGCGCAATACTATAATGACACTTCCGGTATGCTTGCAGGGGAGGATTTTCCATAGAGATGTGTAGGTCTAGAGTGACACCACCGCCAGAGTTGATTTATAAGCCAAGATGGCGGCGTTCCTCCCCTTCAGGAAGTTCGGGGCTCTGACTCTAAGAGCCGCTCTATTTTTTCCTCTATGGAATCATATGTTGGCCAATGGCGGCTGCCGATGTCGTTTATAACGGAAGTCCCGGCTCCTGTTAGAGCTCTATGGTCAGCCGCCATCTTGTTCTTGCTTCGTACCGGAGGAGAGGAGGAAGGTTGCATCTCTCGGCCTCATCATGTCCCTGCAGTTGCTGAGAAGAGCGGCGCTCAGGCTGCCCAGCCTGGCTCCCCAGCCTGCCAGAGGCATCACTGCCAAGGCCCCCAAGGATCCTATAGGGCCCGTGGTAAGGAGGCCCCGGGGGAGGGTTATGGGGAGGAGGAGGATTCCGTTTTAAAAAAAAAATTGGAGACGAGAAAACGTAACAGAAATACAGAACCAGGAGGAAAAGCTTCGCAGAAAACAGGTAGCGCGGACCACCGCCGTTTCTCATGGAAATGGGTTACGTAAATCATAAATTATTCCAAATAAAATGATATTTGGATTAGTGTGCACTTGGGGAGGTGATCTTGTGCTGTTCAAAAAACGAGGTGGGTGGGAGGGATACAGACACGTTAGACGTGTGACTGGTATTCAGCGTAGGCCCTTCCTGGGCTGCACTTCTAAAGCAGTTATCGTGCCCCTTTAAACTGTCGTGGTCATTGAAAGATTGGTCATTGAAAGGTGTTTGGTTGGGTGGTATGATGTGTATCAATCAAGCTTGCTGCTAGGAAGGAGTTGAAGTTGGGCAAGAGATTGAGGGTGAGTGAGGACAGACGTCCCTTGTGGACTGCAGTGCAGGCAGGTTTGTGAGTACCTGGGCACCTAAAGGATGGGCTGTGTGAGGAGAGGACTTCTGGTGGGAATGTTTGCATAATGCATATAACACAGAGCTTTTATAGATGTCATTTGTTACAGAGAGCCTTTTGGGCTTACCAAGTAATCCATTAATCTCTTGCTTCCTGTGCTTAGCTGATGTTCTCTGTCAGCTCTCAGTGGTGTCTTGTAGCTGGAGATGTGAACAGCCATGTCTGATTTTTTTAAATTTATTTTTAAGCATTATAGAGTAGTGTTTTCACATGTAGTAGCTTCAGCTGTGGTTGTTTCTTTGATTATGCAAATCGTCACTAGACACTCTTATCTCTAGCGCTGGCATTTAAAGGATTGGATCTAGCCCTGGGGCATCTGCTTGCTGCTGATCCTTCCTTCCCTCAAGTCTCAGGGCTGAGCACTGCTGCTTTTGTCTTCTCTTGTACAGGAGACGGTTATTGGCCTGACCACCTTCTTCATAACATTCCTGGTCCCATCAGGCTGGATCCTGAAGAACTTGGAAAGCTACAAGACCAGAGAATGAAGGAAGAGTGGACCAACCCTCATCAGCCCTGAAGCACAGGTGCTACTTCCTCCCCAGATGCATGGCTTCCTCCATTCCAGGGAAGAGTTCTCTCCAAGGCCAATCTTCCATGGGGACCAATGTCCTGAAATAGACTCTCTGCTGCTTCCCAGCCGTCACAGAGGATGTAGTTCAAGATGGCAGCACTCCGGAGACTTAAATCTGTTACAATAAATATTGTTACATTCCTGTACTTATGTCCTCTTTTATCTCTTGTTAACTGTTGGCAGAACACATAGAATTATACTTTGAAACATCCCAAATAAATTGGTGCACAGTTATCTACAGTGGTACCTCACGTTACAAACACTTCGGGTTACAAACTCCACTAACCCGGAAGTAGTCCCACAGGTTGAGAACTTTGCCCCAGGATGAGAACGGAAATTGCACGCTGGCGGCAGCGGGAGGCCCCATAAGTGAAAGCACGCCTCAGGTTAAGAACGTTTTCGGGTTAAGAATGGACCTCTGGAACGAATTAAGTTTGTAACCCGAGGTACCACTGTATGTGCTTCCTCTGAGGAGCGCAATCAAACTTGCATCTCTTGTTATTATTAATTTATTGATACCCTGCCTTTCCCCCCGATGGGAATCAAAGCAGCTTACAATTGAAAATAAGAATCACTGAAAACATTGGGGGGGGGGAACAAATTCTGACAGTGAAAAGTTAAAGTGGGGCTTATATTCGCGACCTTACACTGCCAGCAAAGCGGAGTTGCTCCCCCACCACCAAGCAAACAGCCCGGGAGCTTGGGCCATGGCGTGCAGCCCGCCTGCTGCTCCCAAACTTCCCTTGAGCCGTGGAAAGGGGGGGAGGCCGCCGGCAAAGCAGCACAGCTCTCTCCCCCCCCCCCCCGCAACTGGGAGCACGGGCCATGGCGCGTAGCCCACCCACCGCTCCCCCAAGCACAGGTCAGTTGCAGACCATGGGACTTGCCCTGAAGACAATACAAGTATTTTAAGCACAACATTTTTTTGTGTTTCAAAGGCACAGATGTCTGTTCAATGTGAATGTAGCCCTAAGGTTGCAAAGCAGTGATAGGTGACCCCCACCTCCTCAAACGGTTGCATCAGAAATAAGCCATGCTATTCCCCTTCCTGTGCAAAAGTGAAAAATAACTTTGCTTGTTTTTGAGCTAATCTGAATTTGGACTGGAGGCCACCAGCTGCAGCCCTAATCCCCAAGCTTCCCTCCCTTATCTCCCCATAAGCCTCCCTGCCTGCCCCCTGCTCCTCCAATACCCTTTCCTTCCCACCCACCCACTCACTCACCCTCCAAACCCCTTTTTCCTGCCCCACATGCCTGGCTACTGCTGCTGACACAATCTGGGGGAAAACAGGAGCAGGGAAGAGAAAGAGGTCTCTTACCACCTCCCGCTGGTGCCACATCCAAGAAGCCCACAGGGAAACTATTGAAACACCACTTGGGAGAAACTACATTTCCCAGGATCGACTTAGGGACACATTTATTAGGGGATTGTCTTTTTATTTCCACCCTTGAAATTTAAAGGTGCGGCTTATATTTGGGTGCTGCTTATATTCGGGCCAATATGGCACTTTAAAAAGGATAATAATGAAAGCTCAGGGTTTGAGGCACTAATGAAGGCCTTTACAGACACCCAGTTGGTGATCACCCCCCCCCCCCATTTAGAATATCGATAATTGAATAGTGTGGATATTTAGGAGTAAAACGGCTAGCAGTAACAGAATGAATAATGTCATAGTCAATTTATTTATATACCCTATTTTCCACAAATGTATTTGTCGTTCACATTTTTTTTTAAAAAAAGGCTAAATAGTCATACAGTGACAATCCATAATAAAAAAGGAAAATAATATGACTACAGCATTAACACTAGAAACCCCCCCCCCCCACCAACAATTAACAGTTTAATGTAGGCCATATTGTAAGTGAGCATAAAGATCACCCAAAGGTCAAGTAAAGCTATCTAATAACTTCCACATCCAAAAGTAGTACCCAAAGCTGACAGTGTTAGTATTTACACGCCCAAAAGTCCTCTCTCAGAGCTGGAGAGTGGAATAAGGAAGGTAGAACCAATCTCTCCCCGGACAATGGTCAATGTAGGGTTTTATCCAATGCTAGTCTTGCACAGACTTGATCAGTTGCAATTAATGAACTCAAGGTAGTCATGCTCATTAAATTCAGTGGGTCTACTCTGAGTGAAGGTTACCAGATTTTTTTCAATGAATCTGGGGACACTTTTCAACTTCAATGGATTTTGTATGGGGGCTGATTTGTAAATCCAGGGACTGTCTCCGGAATACGGGGATGTCTGGTAACCTTACTCTGAGTACGGCCAGCATAGGATTCAATCCACAATCTCTTTAAAAGAGCTACTACAGCTGGTCCATCCTGGCCTTTTAATGGCTCAACAAATCATTTAATCCCCCAGCTCTTGCCAAGAGGCATCCATAGCCACGTGGAGAAAGGCAGGAATCAAGCAGGCCAATGAAAAAACTGGCTGACTTCGTTCCAATTTGTAGGAAAGCAAGACTGGATCTGACTGGCTGGCCAGTTAGTAAGGGGGCGGGAAGCAGGGGGGCGTTCAACCTAAATGCTCTTTATACAAGTGTTGTTGGGTGTTTTCTTCCAACTTCATTCAAGCAGTGCAGTTTCTAAAGACATTTTTATGTAGGTAGTTTGTGTTCAACACTTTAGAGATGTGTGCATATCTAATATAAGTTACAATGCTAACTTGTCTGTGTCAGAAGCTAAGTTTTACTGATTTGCAGTAGGGGTTTATTCCCAGGTAAATAGGGTTAGCATTGCAGCCTTCCTCTCATGACTTGGTTGGCTTGCTGAAATAGATATGATGGTTTTATGGTTTCTTGCTTAGTAATTACTTGCTTCTTATGGTTTCTTACAATTACTATACAGTATAGTATATTGTTAAAGTTGTACATGTTTTTGGCTGATTTCCCCCAGGCTTATTTTCTCCTCCAGTACAGTGGTACCTCGGGTAAAGTACTTAATTTGTTCTGGAGGTCCGTACTTAACCTGAAACTGTTCTTAACCTGAAGTTTAACTAATGGGGCCTCCCGCTGCTGCCGCGCTGCTGGAGCACGATTTCTGTTCTCACCCTGAAGCAAAGTTCTTAACCTGAAGCACTATTTCTGGGTTAGCGGAGTCTGTAACCTGAAACGTATGTAACGTGAAGCGTATGTAACCCGAGGTACCACTGTATTGTATTCTGCTTTGGGAAAATATTGAAAGATGATAAACAAATATATGTAAGTAAATTTTTCATTTCTAAGTTGCAATGAAACTTTTGAGTGTCTTGTAATAGACTGACATAACTACTCATCAAGAAACGAATCAGCCCCCACTCCCTGTTTTTTTAGTTTTCAAAAACAGGATAGTGTGTTTTTTATGATGGCATGTTACTTTCCTTCTGCTGTTCTGAATCTAATGATTGTTTAGAGCACACTCTTTTATTTGGAAGTTTTAAAGTTTGGCAAAAAAAAAGAAAGAAAAAAAGACTGTGCCCTGCAAGCTTCTCAGCAGCAGTTTCTTTTTCATTCAAAACGAGTTTCGAGTTCCCGTCATATTGGGGTTAATTAAAATGCATTGAAAGTGTGTTGCCTCTCATTGGCAGTAGGTGGCGCAGTTGTGTGGTTCTAAGGTCATTCTCTAGTTAAAGAGACATCCAGCTTTGCTTGGTTGTGATTCATTACATTTTATATTTTGCCTTCTGCCCAAGATGTAGCTCAAGACGGTGTATGTGGGGCTTCCAGTCTTCCATCCTGGTGGTATCAGGACAAAGACGAACTTTGCATTAGCAAGCTTGCTAGACTGATCATGTGTTTTTAGGACCATCTCCTGGGAATCTAGCCCATGGGTAGGCAAACTAAGGCCCGGGGGCCAGATCCGGCCCAATCGCCTTCTAAATCCAGCTTGCGAACAGTCCGGGGATCAGCATGTTTTTACATGAGTAGAATGTGTCCTTTCATTTAAAATGCATCTCTGGGTGATTTGTGGGGCATAGGAATTCGTTCATTCCCCCCCCCCCATATAGTCCGGCCCCCAACAAGGGACAGTGGACCGGCCCCCTGCTAAAAAAGTTTGCTGACCCCTGATCTAGCCTCTTAGCAGCAGTATAGTATAGTGGAAAGATTGTGGTTGCACTCAGGTGGGATTCCCTGTGGGAATTCCCATAGGTCATCTGGTTGTCCATAATGAGAACAAGAGGCTGGAAAGATTCTTGCCTTGCAGGGGGTTGGACTAGATGACCCTTGGGGTCCCTTCCAACTCTACAGTTCTATGACTAGGTGGGCATGTGGCTTGATCCAGCAGAGCTCTTCTTGAGGCAGAAATGTTCTTGGGTTTTTCATGTGAATTGAGGATGCCTTAGGAGCCTCCTCACAGGAAAACGAACTAGCTCTTATATAGCAAGATGGTAGCTCCACCGATGGTTCACTTTTTTGCCTAGTATAGTATAGTAAATGTTTTGTGAAAAGTTTCAGAAAGCCCAGCTTTCACTCCTTCCCATCTTTTGCAAGCAACAGGGAGCGGTGACAGACTCTTGGCACATAAATCAATATGATAAGTTACTCTCCTGCCGATGGCCGTAGTGTCATATTTTGGCCAACTCCTGTTTCATTAGTTATATTGGTGTTCTTGGGTCCCCAAATGTTGGGACTACAAATACCATCTTCCGTAGCTATTTTTGCCAGTCAGCGATGATGGGAGTTGTAGTCCAACAACATCTTGGAATACAGGGTGCTATATCACAGGCAAGTCCTATTTCCTTGGTCCAAGCAATGCTCTGTGTTGGCAACTTCCTTTTTTAAAAAAATGATTTGCATATAGCATTTCAGTTTCATGCTCCATTTACGGGGTAGGCAAGTAGCTAAAACATGGCTGGACAACCTTTTTCAGCCTGAGGGTTAAATCTCACTTCTGGGTTGGCTGGTTTTTTGCTTCCTTCCACTATGCTCCTTTTCCTCCCAGGGACACCATGTTGGAAGCCAACGCCATACCTGATGACACGGAGGCTTCAGTTCAAGAAATCCCAGAAGGTCCCAGAGTGGTCCAGACCCCTCTGAGGAGCCAGCAGGAGAAGAGGAGTATAGAAGAGAGGTTGGGATTGTACCACACCCTGCCCAAGAGACGTGAACGCATTGGCTTCTATAAGGGCAGGCCCATCTCGTCCAAAGTAGACTCCTTCCGACTGAAGAAGCCCTTGTAGGCCTGCCATGGCTGAGTCTTCCCCTTTGGTAAGTCTTCCCTTCTCCCAGCCTCCCAAGTATGGGTAAGGGCAAAGGGCCATAGCTCAGGGACAGGACATCTGCTTTCCATGCAGAAGGTCCCAGGTGGCAAAAAAGAAAGAAGTCCAGTCGTGAGGGGTTCCTCCTGGATTGTTAGCAGACTCTGCATAAATAGCTGAGCTCTAAGTGGGAAGATCCCCTTCATGGATCACTGCCTTGCCTTGGCGAAGGGGCTTGAATAACTCAGAGAAGCTATGAGCTATGCCCAAGATGGACAGGTCATAGTGGAGCGTTTTGACCAAACGTAATCCACCTGGAGCAGGAACCGGCAAGCCACTCCAGTATCCCTGCCAAGAAAACTCCATGGACAAAGACAACAGGCATATGAGTGCCTGGCGTGCTCTGGTCCATGGGGTCACGAAGAGTCAGACACGACTAAACAACAACAACAAGTGGGAAGATACCGGTGAAACTAAAAGAGTTTGCTGGTTTGTGTGAGGCATTTCTTAGGAGGGAGGAGGCAGAGAGCAAACAAAGCTGGAGACACAGTGCCTGCAAATTACCTCCAAAGTACCTAACTAAAGTATGGGTTCAGCTGAGCTTACCCCTGGGAAGCTGTTAAGTGTCCACCTTTTGTTCACAGGTATACTGCCTTTTTGAAACACTTACCGCGATGTTATTTCAATACAGTACCGGTAATCAAGGTATTCAACAGTACAGCCAAACCTCAGTTGTAATCCGTTCCGGAAGACTGTTCAACTTTTGAAACGTTCGACAACCGAGGGGCAGCTTCTGACTGGTTGGAAGAGCTTCTTGCACTCAAGCGGAAGCCGCATCAGACGTTCGGGTTCCAAGAAACGTTTGAAAACCGGAGCATTTACTTCCGGGTTTTTGGCGTTTGGGAGCCGAAACGTACTATAACGGAGGCATTCAGGAACCGAGGTTTGACTGTATGACGATTTATTGCACAGCCCTAGACATGGCCCCTTGGTTCAAAAAAGTTCCCCTGTTAGGCTGCTGGACTAGGATTTGGGAGAGCAATATTCAAATCCCCAGTCAACCTTGATGCTCACTGGGAAATGTTGGGACAACATCAGTCTCTCAGCCAAGCCTACCTCGTGGGGTTGTTGTGAGGGAAATATGGAGAGCAGGCCACCTTTAGCTCCTTGCAGGAAAGGTGGGCTATCAATGGAGCAATTCAGTAAGTAAGTAAATAAAACTACTCCCATTCTCATCCGCTTTGGGTCCATTGCCTCCCTTAGAAGCCAACTCTTGAGGGGAAATGAATGTGTCCTTTATCCACAGCCTGCATCTCCCACATTGCAAGAGCCAAAGTATGTTTTGAACTGTTGGTGACATACTGTCAGACAACTGTGCGCTGTTGTTTTTCTAATATATATTTAACCCAAAAGAACAAACAGTTCTGGCTTTTAAATCTGTGTTGAACAGACTGCTGCAGAGCTAAACGAAAACAAGCTGGGGCGGGGACCCCCCTCCTGTCCTCAGCAGTGTGGAATAGAGGCGAGGCTGAGGCTCACAAGAAAACAACCCTTTCCCCCTCTGAAATGCCGGAGGTATGTTTTTACGTCCCCTGAGGTTGTGCATGTGCACATTCTTTAAAGCACATTCTTTCTTTCAAAGAATTATAAGCGCTGTAGCTTACCCCTTGAAGAATGGGAACGGTAGTTTAAGGGTGCTGGGAATTGTAGCTTTGTGAGGGGTAAATGACAGTTCCCAGGATTCTTGGAGTAGGAAGGAAGCCATGTGCTTTTAAATGAATGGTGTGGATGTGACCTGAAACAATTGTCAAATCAATTCATTATATTTGTTACCATGACAGAATGTTTTGTAAGCCTTGAAAATTAGTTGATCACTGCGTGCTTACACACACTTTTACACACACACACACACACACACACACACTACATGGGGCTTTGCTTCTCCACTTCAGGTCCAGCTGCGCCATTACCTGCCCCACAGGTGGGCGTAGCTTGGGCAAAATGGCCTTGTGGGACCCAATGGGGAGGCTTAGTGGGCATAGCCAAGGGCTGCAGATTCCCCACCCCTGTCTTAGCTCATCTGAAGCCATCTACAAGTTTCTATTGGAAATTTGTGCTTTGTAAGACAGGACTCTATTCTTTTATTTCTGGTAGTCCATTCCCTTCAGATCTTATCATTTCTCAGATGCCTTCGTACACTTCTTTTGCTGCTGTAAACAAGTACTTTGACTTTTCTCCATTTTAAATTGCTCCGCAACTGTCGAGTAATTGCTGTATTGATCTTTGTCTGGAAATGTCAAGTTTCTCCAACTGTCCTTCTAGAGAATTTTCCTGCTACATACCGTAATTATCATCTGGTTTCACTTTTGCTGCTGTACTAAACTGGCAGGATCTTTAAAAATAAATAAATCTGCATGGGCTAATGCAGGTAAATCAGTATTTGACCTTAACGGCATTTAAATGCTGTATTCATATGTCTTATTTTAATTTGGCTTCTGTTTCCATCCAAGTGTTTCTTCAAAGTAATCATAAAACGACCAATTAGTACATAGAGTGCCTGGGGAGGGGGGGGTTGTCAAGCTTTTACCTTTTACAATCTGAATAAATGTTTACTAATTACAGGTAACCCTGCATTAATCTCATCTGACCTCCTGGTTAATATGGGAAACAACATTCCGTTGGGCTTCGAGATAGCTGTGAACGAGCAGATTAATGAGTGCTAATGACGGTGCCGATCTGTTGCAAAACCAATTAACGCAGATTGGAACGTTGTTAAAATCCATTTTTAAAAAATAAAATAAAATAAATGAGCTTCCTTATCTGTCTTGTGGAATAAATATGGGGCTTTGTACCTTTTTTGCAAAATGGCAGATAATGAGAAGATGTGTAAGTTATCTCCCATAGAACTGGATGTTGTGTGTCAAATTATTGAAAGGGGTGAGAGGTTGGGATGAACTGTAATTGACTTGGCTATTCTTTATGAAGTAACATCACTAAATCAAAAGGGCAAGCTGCAAATGATTAATAATACTGAAACAAGCAACTGGGAGGATCATGACTGGATAGCTCAGTCGATTAGAGCATAGTGCTGAAAACGCCAAGGAGGCTGCAGGTTCAGTCCCCGTATGGGACAGCTGCACAGGGGGTTGGACTAGATGATCCTCAGGATCCCTTCCAACTCTACAAATATATGAATCTATGACAGCTATGTGTTGTGACCCATAGGTCAGCTAGGAAGCTGGACACGTCTTTTATCTGGATGTATTGTTTTAAAACTGGGAGTTTCCATAACTATACTTGTGGGCACCTCCTCCTTTTCCACGATCTCCTATTTCCTACTGTGAAAGCAACAGCCTTCCCCCGCCCTCCATGGCATTTGCCTCAGCAGCAGCTGTTCACAGGTACATTTGACTTGTACATGGAAGTTCCATTTAGATGCCATGGGTCATAAATATACCTTTCTCCACAAATTTGGCTGCCTCTAGACTGTCGGCATTGTGTAGAAGGAATTCAAGCAGACATTGAGAAAGTTAGGTTTGTGTAATTAAAGCACTTAGTCGCCCTACCGCGACAATCCCGCTTAAAAAGAAGGAAAGAAATGGATGTTTTGTGGTTAGGAAAGTGACAGCGAAATGTACTGGAAAGTGTAGGAAGAATAAATGATTAATAAGCTGTCTAACCACTGTGCAAGCAAATAAGGACAGATGCAGGAAGAATATTTGTTGCCTTTTATTCTTCCCACAGAGAAATTGGAGCAAATGCTCAATAAAGACTGGATATAATCTAACCTCTGCATAAGCTTTGTGCAAACATATCGGGATGAACGCTTTAGCAAGCAGGTCAACTGGAGATGCCCTTTTGTTAACCTGCTGCTTTTTACAGGCATTGAAATGGTCATGTTGCATCCTGTGGTGGTAAATTCCATGTTAAGTGAACCTTCTTAGAAGGAACGTAAAATGCTATGAGAGAAGTAAAGGTAAAGGGACCCCTGACCATTAGGTCCAGTCGTGACCGACTCTGGGGTTGCGGCGTTCATCTCGCTTTATTGGCCGAGGGAGTCGGCGTACAGCTTCCGGGTCATGTGGCCAGCATGACTAAGCCACTTCTGGCGAACCAGAGCAGCGCACGGAAACGCCGTTTACCTTCCTGCTGGAGCGGTACCTATTTATCTACTTGCACTTTGGCGTGCTTTCGAACTGCTAGGTTGGCAGGAGCAGGGATTCGAACCGCCGACCTTCTGATCGGCAAGTCCTAGGCTCTGTGGTTTAACCCACAACGCCACCCATGTTCCATGAGAGAAGTAAGATTAACTAAAACAAGAAAGGAAGACTAGTCCTACTACAGTTTCGCCTTCTCGAAAGGGTCACTGTGAGGCATATGCCTTTGATCTCAATGTGCAGTTTTTTGTTTTTTTTTAAGATCTGCAGTGTTTTCTTTCTGCTAAACTATTTTCTCCTCCTTCTTTCTTACAGTTCTGTTACCAGGATTCTGGTGCATCCGTGAAGCAAACATCTCTTTGGATAAATTAAGAGCCGCAACGACCTGCCGTATGAAATTCCATGCACATTCACAAGCACCCATATGAACTGCATTTTGCTCTTGTCTCTAGCAAGGTTGCTCTGGTCTCCTCCTCCTCCTCCTTGCCCTCTGCATTCTTCTTCTTTTTGCAAACCTTGAAGCTTTCAATGCTAAAGAATCTTCATAAGGCAAACACTTCCATGTTAGAAGGATTAAGTTGGGGCACTGAATATGTATATAACTTCTGCTGTACAAAATGATTCTCCTCTGTTTCTCATTAGGTTTCACCGTTATTTCATTATAATCATTTTGTAATAAAAAGATTTGAAACCTCTTCAGGCTTTTAGGTATACTTAAGATGAAAAGCTTTTTATTTCTTTGCTGCGTTGAGAGAAATGAGTGCTACCTTCTATCTTCATACACCAGTATTTGCTGAATTATCAGGATAGTATATGATAAACATGACCCAAATCACAAAATAAAAACAGGGGTAAATGTATACTAAAATTGGTACTAACATATAACGCATTGAAAGTCGGAGTGTGAAAAGGTAACAGGTACAAGGACCTATTTCACCCTGATAAAACATGGCCAGGCATTGGCAGAATGAGAATCACATTATAAGTGATGATGAGAGTAAAAGAATCATTTTGAGGGAGTGGGGAAAAGAAAAACCTTGGAAAACAATGTGTAGGTTGTTTGGGGTTCACCAAACTCGACAACGTGAAATAATATTTTTGCATGCTTCCTTGTGACAGAGCTATATGGTGGTGGGAGACAGCTGGCCTCTATGAAGCGGGGTGGTGAACCTCAGAGCTGTGGGCCAAATGTGGCCCTCCAGGACTCTCTAGCAGGCCCTCAGAACTCTCCCTAGGCCACACCCATCACTGGCCCTGCTTTGCACCCTCCTTGAATATTTTTGCCTGCTGGAATGTGTCATTGAGTTCTGATCCTGTCTCTTGCTTCCCTGGATAGAGGCTAGAATGCGCGTGTAAAAAGTAGCCTGCTTTCACAATGCTAAAATTTACACTTGCTGCCTCTGGCCCTAATCACCACTGCCATGTGGCCTCATAAAGTTGTCCCAAAGGGAATATGGTCCTTGGGCTGAAAAAGTTTCCGCAACCCTATTACAAAAGTTTTATCTTACTAAATTATATGCAGAGTAGACTCATTGAAATAAGCAGGCCTAAGGTAGGGCCACACCTGGGACAGCTCAGTTGGTAGAACCAGTCATAGAATAATAGAATTGCAGAGTTGGAAGGGAACCTGAGGATCATCTAGTCTGCCCTCCTGAAATGCAGGAATATGCAACTGTACCCAAACGGGGATGGAACCTGCAACCTTGGCTTATCAGGACCACACTATCCATAAGATTCATCTCCAGGTCATAGGTCTGAGGCCCCCACCCGCTTGGGCAAGATTCCTGCATTGCAGAGGATTGGACTAGATGGCCCTCGTGGTCTACAGTTCTATTATTCCAGGCGGTTTTCACTGGAAAGTAGCCATGCCCATTATTCCCAAATGAGTCTACTCCGAGCAGGGCAAACATTGACTACAACCCGTTGTTTTCTACTCCACCTTTTAAACTAATCGATAGACACATCTGTGCATATTGATTTGTCGTTTTTAAAAACGAAAGCAAGAAACAGCGATGCTTTGGGAAGTCATTTTGCGACCCATCCATGCGGGGAGAAGGAGGAGGAGTCGCGGCCAGGGGTGACGTCATAGCCGGGCGCACGTGCTGCGGATTGTTGTGATGACGTCACAGCAGCAGCGTGATTTTTTAAATTTTTTAAAAAAGATTTCCTAGCTGGGGAAGAAGAAGATAAGGTGGGTGGATTTGAGAGAAGGCGGAGCTTCCCAATTAGCGTGTGTCCATGGATGTGAGGAGCGAGTAGCGGTTGCTAGGAAAGAGAGGGCGAGAGAGAGAGAAGTGCTTCCGGTGTCCCCCGAAAGCAACCCGGAAGCGCTTCTCTGCGGGGTTGCAAGCGCGAAGATGGCGGCGGAGGAGCCTCAGCAGCAGCCGGAGCCCCTCGGCGGGGACACGGACGGTAATGGCGGGCGGGGCGGGGGAGCCTCCCTCGGGGTCGCCGGCGGCGGGACGGGGAGTGCGCAGGCGCGGCTTCCTTTCCCTCCGTGGCAGCGTCGCTTCCCGCCTCTGAGGGAGAAGCTCTCTCATTCCAGCAGCAGCAGCAGCGCCTCCTTCCCTCCCTCCTTCCCTGCCTGGCCCAGAGCAGAAACGTGCTTGGCCGCCCTCTCCGCCCTCTCCTCCCGAGGAGGCCTCGCGGTCTCTTGGGTAACGGTGCCCGCGCGCTGCCGCCGAGGGGACCCCGTCCTTCCGCCTCCGGTCGCCATGGCAACGGCGCCCCCTCCGTCCTCTCTGGCCCCGCCTCTTCTCTCTCCCCTCTCCCCCCTCCCCCCACCTCTGAGCAGGACGGGGGAGGCACATCGTCCAAAGCCAGGCTTCTCACTCCCACATGGGCTTCCATAGAAACGCTCCTCTGGCCCCCAGGGAAAAAAACACCTGGAGGGAAAGGGAGCATTTTTGCACTTAAGGGCTTTATTATTATCCTCTCCCCACGCAGAATTCCTCAATCCTTAAATGTACAGAATTGTAAAGTCGGAAGGGGCCACGAGGGTCATCCAGTCCAACCTCCAGCAATTAAAGAACATTTTGCCCAAAGTGGGGCTCGAACCCACGACCCTGAGATTAAGGGTCTCATGCTCTACCGAATGAGCTGCTCAAGCCCATCTCCGCTCTTGCCTAAAATCAGTTATTACTATATAATTTTTTTTTAAAAAAATGTCCAGTAGCACCTTAGAGACCAACTAAGTTTGTTCTTGGTATAAGCTCTGAGGTGCTACTGGACATTTTTTATATATATTTCAACTGCGTCAGACCAGCACGGCTACCTACCTGAATTTAGAACAATTATTCCTGTTAGTGTGCCGTCAACCATACCTTTTGGAATGAATCAAAATTGATAAAAGGGTTGGACTTCTGTCCACACTTCCCTAATGGTCACAACCACCCACACCCACCCACCCTGCTGAAGGTAGCGGAGGTTAATTTTGAGGAAGCAAATGTAAGTTCGTGCTGCAAGGAAGCGCTGTAACTCACTGATAGAGCGTCTGCTTCATTGCATGCAGAAATCCCAGGTCCAACTCCCAGTCTCTCCAGGTGGGCCCGAGAGAGATTCCTGCCTTAAACCTGCCTGTCATTGTAGACAATACTGAGCTAGATAGACCAAAGGGTCTACTCAGTATAAGGGACTTTTGTATGTTCCAAGGATTGCTTGTGGCTTCTATTAGGGCTGAGAAACCCATGATTCTTCAGGTGTTGTTGCACTCACAACTCCTCAAGCCCAGCCAGCATGGCAGATGAGTCGGGAATGAGGCGAGTTGTTGTCCAGGGACTTATGGAGGGCCACAGCCCTCCTACCCCTTAGCGTACACATTGAGACCGCAGTCCTAAAGACACTGACCTGGGACTGCTATCTTAGTAAACATGTGCAAGCATTGAGTTCTAAAACTAATTGAAGAAGCAGGGACTTCCTTTGATGTTTGCTAGAGTGACTGATTATAGAGGAGCAGCCATGTCAATTTTAGCAACACCAACATAGTACATCAATGATTAACTGGATTTATTATGGCATATGCCACAGCAGAAGGCCAATTTATTAAACACATGAAATTCTATCCTCACTTGCTCTACATGATGAATGAATGGGCAAAAATGGTAAACTGGGATCAAAAGGCAACAAGAAGCACGAGGCATTGCCTGTAATATTCTGTTCAAATCTAAAGATGTGTATGTGAGGACCATTCATAACCGTAGGAGCTGCGTGATAATTAACGTTTCTTGTTTTGCCTATTTAGGACAGGTAGTGAGAGAATCCTGGTTTTGAGCCCAAAAAGAATAGGATCAAACTTACTGATAAGATCCTAGTGACGCCTTAAAGATGAATGTATTTATTGTTGGAGAAGTGTTCATAAACTTGAGCCCACTTGATGCATCCAGTGAAGTACCTCAACAAATTATGCCACAGTAAACCTGCTCATCTTTAAGTCGCCACACAGGACAATTCCTCTCCCTCATTCTAACATTTACACATTTTTAAAAATACTGTTACCCCTTAAAATTGAAGAAACATAACAACTTGCGTATTTCATCAGATGCTGATTGAGAATTCCAGCTGTTGACGTAATAAGTAATATCTGAAAGTTCCTGCTCTTTTAATAAAATCATTCTAAACAGTAAAGCTGCAACTGGACCTTAATAATAATAATAATAATAATGGAGACTAACACCAAAAGCCTTATGTTACCTATGTGTGCATGGTGCAGTACATTTTCTTTTGGTAAACAAAATACAGGTCTACATTCCCAATATGTTTACAATCTGTCAATGGGGAAGGAGAGAGGAATGTAGTGTGGAATGAAATAGGAGCAATGCACTTACATTTTCTTAAGCAGGATCAGAATTGGGAACGAATATTATGGCATTAAACCAAAGGTTTAATAGAAATTCTGAGTTTTGAGAGGAGATATGACGGGAGATCTAATATATGTTCAGGAAGGGAGTAATTAGCATGTGAGGTAGCAAAGAAAAATGGGCAGAGATGTGTTTTAACAGAGATCTTTACGGATGGTAGAATTCACTTTTGGTCCAATACTATTGCAGTTTCTCTCTTCCCATCTCTACTGATCTTTCAACAGCAGCCTAACACAGGCAGAAATGTAGGGGTCGAATTTCACACCTACCCCCAACCACACATGTTAGCTCCTTTCCAGGAGAAGAGGAGAGGAACGGCCTTCTTTAGCACCAGCTAGGGCAGGGGTGCCCAAACTTTTTTCAAACAGGGCCAGATTTGATGGAGTGAACATGTGTGAGAGCCGACCAAAGTTGTTGAGCTTTTTTTAGGATTGAAGTTGTTGAGCCGGATTAGGCCCCCAAAACGAACTTTGGACATGCCTGAGCTAGGGTAAAACAAAAGGTAACAAATATTCCACTGAATAGCCTCTTCATAAGATGTACCTCCCCACTTTCCTGCCTCACTTATGCTTGCTGCCTTCCTCCTCCATGCACACACACATCATGAAACTACCCACCCCAAACATTCATTCATTTGATCTCCCACTTCACACACTGCTCCATGGATCTTGCATGTCCAAACTTTAGGGATTAAACCCACAACTGCTCCTCTTCTGAGGTAAGACAGGGGTGAGTGGACTTGTGGCTTTCCGGATGGTGTTAGACTTCTTCTCCCCCTGTCAACATGGTTGATGGTCAGGGATGAAGGGAGCTGGAGTTCTGACAACATCTGGTGGCTTAGCCAGTCCTGCTTTAAACTCTCCTCCTGCCTTTCTCCCAAAATGATCCAGGGGACAGCTCCAGGTAAGAGCCCCAAACAAAGCTGACCCCCTTCTGTCCGTATACATACTTTGTTCCTCTTCTAATCATCCTTCCTCTCCGCAAACTTCTCCTTTGCTATTTTAACGAAACAATTACTCCTCTTGACACTGGGTTGGAAATATTTCTTTCGCTGTTGAGAAACTGCCTCAATGGCGATATTTTGAGATTTCTGTATACTTTTACTTGGTGTGTACAATCCATCTGCACCAAAGCACTCTTAACATGCACATCTATTGTCCCTTAGGCAGTGCTGCCCAGTTTGCATACGTTGAATTCCTGCGCAGTATGAAAAAAATAATATTTGTGCATTGTCATGTTGGGGAACCGGTAAGGGATGCAGAGGGTTAGGATCTCTGCCTAATGAACAATCAGTGCCAAGTCAGCTTCCCTTTGGAATCCAGGCCTCCTCTGCCATGGTGAGAGAATCCACATTCTCCAAAAAACCCAACCATGGACCCTTGTCTGTGTTTGAGAGAATCTATTGCTCTGGTGGGGAACCTGATGTGAACATAGGAAGCTGCCATTGGTTCATCCAGCTCCGTATTGTTTACACTGACTGGCAGTGGTTCTACTGGGTGTTGTTCTGGAGATGTTTCCAGCCCTACCTGGAGATGCTAAGGATTGAGCCCCAGACCTTCTGTGCTCAATCACTGAGCTACAGTTTCCCAAATGTCGGGTTGAAACTTCCCTTGTTCTTGGCCGCTGGAGAGCTGGAGTCCAACAACAAGAGCAGGGCCACAGGTTCTCCAGAAGGTGTCTGCATTCAGACTCCACCCCCTCCAGGTGCCTGGGAACCCCATTTTGGTTGATGTGATAATCCCTCCCAGAATGAGACACTCTCGCCCTGGAATGAACTTTGCTTTATTACCGCTCATCTGCTTTGACAGTTTCTTCTGACAGTTCCGCCTTTCTGACAGCATGTCCCCCTTTAAAATGGAATCTTGATGGAGTGCATCTTAATATATGTTGTGTAAGAAGTGCCTGAAGTTGCAGTTGGTTCAGGGCCAGGTTGCCAACATGTTAAGTAGCCCTGGACGTGGGCTTTTAAGTGGACTCACACAAAGAAAATTAAGCATCTTGAGCTTTCTCCACTGCTTTACTCCATCCCAAGAAAAGCTCAGTCTCTGCATGACCGGGATTGTGTCAAAGGCACCTGAGAAGGGCCAATAAAGTTGGCAACTCTAGGCAGGGGAGGGGTGGACATGCCCGTGGTGTGGGCTGTTGTGTTCTTTTACCCTTCATCTTGCACCTTGCTGATTGTAAATCAGAGCATGAATTTTGCTTGCTATAGCTGCCTGCCTCTGTTGGCAACCGGAAGAGCCCCGATCCCCAAATTTATTCCTGTTGGGGCTCGCAAGCTTCTACTTAATAATGGGGTACTACTTCCAGACCCTGAAAATAGCTCCTCTCTTCCTTGCTGCTCTCTTGAATCACACTTGCCCCTTCGGAGTTGTGTGTCAACCATTTGACCCAGATTGCATGGTAATATACATTGTGTGTCCCCCCCCTTTCCTAAACAAGTCCTGCACGTAGCTCCTGCCCTTTGAGGATTCATTAACTCATCTTTTGCCAAGAAAATCTGGCCTGAGTGTTGGCTGATCCAGTTTTGGAAGGAAGTCTGGAGTAAATTGTGTCCAATTCCACTACCTTTCTGTGGCCTGGGAGGGAAGAGGTTCGGGGTGTGGGGGTAGGCAGGGAGGTGAAGCCTGCAAAACCAACCGCATGAGAAAGAGTTGCAGTTGTGAGTCCCAGCCTCACTGCGGTAGCATCCTAGCAGGCTGGGAGCTGGGACACCTCTCTGGATGATGTATGATATGGAACGGGCCCAGATCAGGTTTCCTGATTTTTCTGCAGCGTTGGCAGCTGCTGTGAGCAATTGATGCTGTTGGAGGAAGCAGCTGAGATCCTGCACTGCCTGTCTTACAAAGCAGATAAAAACTTCTGCACAGCAGGCTGCGGTGTTACTATTTTCCTTTTTTTTGGGTAGTGGTGTGCAGCTGCTTGGGTTTCTGCAGCAACTGGGCCTCTCTCTCTCTCTCTCGCTGCCTTTTCAAATGGATACCCCGCTGGAGCCTGGCTGTAAAAGGGAGGCAGCATCAGCGTCTGTTGTTCCAAAAACATGGTACCCAATGCAGCTTGTCATGCTAATAAGGCGGGGATGGGCCACTTGCTCAGCCCTGGGGGCTCTGTGTCGGAAGCGTGGTTGTGGGCACAAGAGCTGCGGTGAAGGTGCGATGGCATTGCATGTCCTTGAACATAAACCGGCATAGCTTCGTTTGCGAGGATGTCTTCTTTTTTCCATTTTGTATTTGATGTGGCTAAGCTTTAGATTTGGCGGTTTAAAGCTGTGTGCTTCCTGCAGTTCTGAAACACTGCCCTGCAGAGGTTTTAAAGTGTGATGAGATGTTGCGATCAGGACCATTAAGCACCCTGTATTGTACAAGAAGAGATGTGCTGAATGATAAGAATTAATTAATTGACCCTTGTCTGCTCTAGAGATGTCAAAATCAATTGCAGCTGAAAATTGTAATAGGCTTAGCTCTCTCTCTCTAATTGCTGTCTTGCTTCTGATCCTTTGACTTTGTTGTCATTATTGTATTTTCAAGCCCTGAGGACTAGGAACTTAGGCATCGTTTTTGTCTTGAGCCATACTGTGAAAAAGCAAATTTTATCTTTTTGTGTGTGTGTGCCAGAAGATCATTGTTAATGCTGTGAAGACTGCACTGGTGCAAAGGGACCTTTCTCAACTTCATTATTATCTTTTCTCTCTTTTTTCCCTCCCGCAGGAGTGAATTGCTTGGCCTATGATGAAGCCATAATGGCACAGCAGGATCGAATTCAGCAGGAGGTGAGCCCTTGTGAACATAAGAGGTTGGCCTGTGTGCTCCTGCCTGCTTTGTGTTCGGCTGCAGGAGCAGCAAGCAACCACAAAAAATTGTACCCGTTCATTCAGATTCACAGCCCATCCCGTCTTACAGATTCCAACTGTGTACAGATATGCTGGACTTAACATTGTACTCCTTCCATTGTCACATCCTAAAATCTCTCCGGAAAGCTCGGTAGCAGCCTGATGTGACTAACCCCGTGATTCCCAAGTAATCGCAACATGCGTGAAACTAAGGGCTGGTTCACAAATGCACCTACATTCCTCCTTGATTTCTCTGTGCTTGATAACTGGAGCTGGCTCTGCGGTGCTGGCTCCCTTAAAGCTCTGCGTTAAGCAGAGTGAAACTCTGGGATTCACTCCCCATAAGAAGAAGCAATGGCCACCAATTTGGATTACTTTAAAAGAGGACTAGACAGATTCATGGAGGATAAGGCTATAATGGCTGCTAACCCTGATGGCTTGATCCTGCAGCCAGGCTCTTACGATCCATTGCATTCTTTTCTGTGGTGTTGCGCCTGGGATGGCCGCTTCACACATTCCAGTCAGGGCAAGCTAGTTGATTTTCATTGAATTGTAAAGTTGGAATTCATCTAGTCCAACCCCCTGCAATGCTGGACCATGCAGCTGTCCTTTATGGGGGATCGAACCTGCAACCTGGGCATCATCAGCACCATGCTATGCAGGCCCAATTTTCAAATAGCTAAGGCAGGTTTGGGGACCCTTTGGCCCTCTAGATACTGCTGAGCTATAACTCCCACCACCCCTGTTCCCAAGCTACGCTTGTGGGCCTGATGAGAGTTGTAGCTCAGGTCCAAAAATTCCCCACACCTGTCCTAAGGGGAAGTTCTTGTTTTTAAATTGGTGGGGGGTGGGGGAAGCCAGTGGTGAGCAGGGCTGGAGGCAAAGAGGTGGGCAATGCCAAAGGCAGAGGTGAACGTAGCAATGGATGTGACTCTTGAGTAGAAGGACCTTCTAGTCATGGAGAAGGCAATGGTCTCTCTTTTCTTGTGAACATCAAAGCAAGCAAGAACCATTCTCACAGTTCAAGGATGCTGCACTGGAGGAGGGCTTGGGTGAGGGAGGTGTGGCCCCCTTCACAGTCCTGAGGGCCAGATAGGGAGGTCCTGGGCCCGAGGCTCCACACCCCTGCTTTAAATGGAAGTTTCCAGCTTCCTGATTAATGTATTTTGCAAAGAGGCTGTAGAAATAAGGGTTGATGATGCGAGTGAGCTGTGCTGAAGCAAGCTATCGGCTAGCTTTGCAGAGCCTCTTTTATTGGCAAAAATCAACAGTTGGAAAGCAGTAGTGAAACCACTCTGAACTTTAACATATTTCCAGCAAAGCACATTTCCAGCATTAGCAATACACGTGTCAACAGGTGCTCCCCCCAAAAGCTCCCCTGATACTTGATAACGTCTGCTTTACTCGTCATGCTCCAGCCAAGCAATATGTCTAAGCAAGCAGTTTGCGAAAGGACTAAAGGTCAAGGGGAAAGCCCTATCTTCCAGCCAAGAAGGCAAAAGGTCAGAGAAAGCAAGCGTAACGCTCCCAGCCATCCTGTGGCATATCTTTGTGCGAGGTTTGCCTTCGCAATACGGAGCGTTACCCCTACATCGGCATGGACAGAATTGGGTTGCTGCAACAACAGAACTGTGTCTACTTGCAATAAAAGCAAGCCTTTATACCCCCGGGACCGTAATTCAAAACATCTGGTTATGAAGCCCCACGTAGCCCCTGCAGCTCAAGAGGGAAATTTTGCTTACTGTTGGAACTTCTAAACAATCCTCCATTTCTATGCTGAATGCTGAGAGCGGGGCTCCCCTCTTCTGGGCTTGGTTTCTGCTTGGAATACAGAGGAGAGCCAGTTCACTCCATCCTCCTCTGCCAGCCCACTCACTCGCCTGCATACCACTCCTGATCGCCCGTGGCAACCAAGCTGGTGCTTTAAATAAAAGGCTGGTCCTTTTTAAGCTGCCCACCTCCCCCATATGAAAATATGTGTTTCTGTGCTCTCCTTCCTGTTCTGCACCTCTCACGTACCAACCTGCTTCTCTGCAGATAGCCGTCCAGAATCCTCTCGTCTCAGAAAGGATGGAGTTGTCTGTCCTGTACAAGGAATACGCTGATGATGACCACGTCTACCAGCAGAAGATCAAGGTAACAAGGACCACAACCATTCCAGCGCATGGGCTGTGGAGGGCAGCTGAAATGGAGGAATGGGGTGGAGCCCTTCCCTTCCATGAGGAAAGGGGAACAGCCGTCGCTCAGGGACAGAGCGCTGCTTTGCATGCAGGCAGCTCCAGGTTCAATCCCCAGTGGCCTCTCCAGATAGGGCTGGGGGAGATTCCCTGCCTGAAGCCCCGGGGAGCTGCTGCCAGTCAGTGTAGACAATGCTGAGCTAGATGTACCAGTGGTGTGACTTGGTACAAGGCAGCTTCCTGTGTCATCGGGGTTCAAGAGGGGAAAGTACCCTGAGGTCTGCTTTTAGAAGACAGGGCATTTATTCTGTTTCTGTCTCTAGGCCACCAAGTCAGTCGGATGCTAACCCACCTCCTCCATTCTCCCTGCACAGGATCTGCTGCAGAAGTATGCATTCATCCGGAAGACGAGGCCAGATGGCAACTGTTTCTATCGGGCATTTGGCTTCTCCCATCTTGAGGCACTCTTGGAGGATGGCAAGGAGCTCCGACGGTAGGACATGCGGGGAGGGGGGAGAGTGAGGTGTGTCTCTGAGATGCTCCTACTTATTTATTGCCTTCCACACATCTCAGTAAAAACAGCTAAACCTTAAAAGCAACGCAGGAAATAAGATCAGATAAATAGAAAAACATTACCAAGTAGACACCCACAACAGAGAGACATTAATCCAGCTGTTGGAACAAAGATGTCTTCCATTGTTTCCAGAGAGTGCATCTCAACAGGGATGCTTTTCCGCAGAACAGGGGCAGCCACACGGAAAGTCCTGCTCTGAGTTACTGCAGAGGGGGCTTCTGATCTCTCTGGAACTAGAAGGAGAAGCTTCTCTGCAGATCAAAATAACCTACTGGCTACATCTTGGATAAGGGAGTCTCTTGGGATGCAGAGGGGTGGTCAGCGCTGTCAGTGAAAGTATACTTGGCAGTTCTCAGCCCATTACTGAACGTTGGGTCATTGGCGTTTGCAGTGCAAAGATTCTTCCTTTACTAGAATTACTTATTCTGTACTTGTTTTCTTTACTGTGCACAGCTTCAAAGAGGTGGCTGCCAAAAGCAAGGAAGTGTTGGTTTCGCAGGGCTTCACGGAATTCACCATTGAGGACTTCCACAACACGGTAAGCCAGGGTGGGAAACCTCAGGCCAAATGCAGCCTTCTGGTCCTCTCTGCCTGGCGCTTGGGACCCTCCTCAGGCCACACTTCACACCCTCCTTGGAAGTTTTTGCCCTCTGTATTTTTTTTTTTGCCTGTCTGGAATAGGTCCTTGAACTCGGATAATGGCCCTTAGTCTCCTGGGTAGAGAGGGGTTTGTGTGTAAAACCAGCCTACTGTTATAAAAGCAGTGCAGGTGACTCTCAGCTTACACAGGGGTTATGTTACGGGGAGTGCGTAAAGCCAACATCAAGTATAGTAAAAACACACTGGATGCAATGGCAGGTTCGATTGCCAGAGTTCCTCCCCCCCCCCCATTGATTGGTTGGTTGATTGCTGAGCGTGTAACGCTGAAAGCATAACTTGCCAGTTACCTGTTTTCACAATCGTTGCTCTGTCCACTTCTGCCTCTGGCCCCGCCCACCACAGGCAGGCGTCCCATGGAAGATTGTTTAGAAAGGATTGCAGCTCTCGGGCTGGAAAATATCCCCGACGCCTGTGCTAAGGCCGTGAAGGGGAGGGGTGGGGACAGGAAACTTCAGCGATTGTTTGAGATTGGAAGAATGTGGGAATAAAGGGACTTCACTGTCTGTGTTTCAGTAGTCGCAAACCTCAACCTTTCTTTGTTGGCATGGTGGTCCACTCCATTGTGCACTTCAGTTGCCCCCTTCTGCATCTTTCCAAGTTCAAGTAGTATTGGTGCTTAAAACACATGCGGGCCTCCCAAGTGCCTCTCCAGCCTCCCGGATCCTCTTTGTCTTTGGCAGCAGGTGGCTCCCAGGTGTCTGCTGTTTTATGCCGCTACAGTGGGGCATTCTGGGAAAATCAAAAGGATGGATGGCTCACAAGTGGCTGCTGTAAATCGTGGCTCCAGTGTCACCACAGGGGCCCCTCCCCTGTTGGGGCAGCAAGCAGTACTTTGCCAGGGAGACCCTGGTGCCAGCCATGCCTCCCAAGATACCATGGGTGGGGAGACCGTCAGGCCCTCCGGATGTTGTTGAAGGGAAGATGGGCATCTGGAGGAACATAGGAAGCCCTTGGTTCTTCTAGCTCTGTGTTGTCTACACTGACTGACAGCAACTCTCCAGGTATTCAGACCAGGAGCCTTTCCCGGTCCTTCCTGGTGCTGCTAGAGCTTGAACCTGGGACCTTCTGTACATCTTGTGAAGATGGATGTTTCTGCCCAGACTTTCCCAGACCTATAAGATTTCATATGTTTGAGGCCTCTGAACTTGTTTTGCTTGCTATTGTGTGTTTTTGTATTGCTCTCTTAGTGGTTTTAGGTTTGTGTTTTGTTTTAATGATACGTTGTTTGTTTTAGATGGCGCACTGCTCAGAGAGTTCTGAAATATTAATAAATGAGTCTGATGTTGTGCCACCAAGTTAAAGCCCTTCCCCACTGTTTCCTCATCACTGGCTTACTCAGCCAGCTGTGGGCGCTTTTCTTTGACCTTTCCTCTCTCTCTCTCTTTAATCCCTGTAGTTTATGGATCTGATAGAACAAGTGGAGAAGCAAACCACGGTTTCAGACCTGCTGACCTCTTTCAACGACCAGAGCACCTCGGATTACCTGGTTGTGTACCTGCGGCTGCTCACTTCTGGGTACCTGCAACGCGAGAACAAGTTCTTTGAGCACTTCATCGAGGGAGGACGCAGCATAAAAGAGTTTTGCCAGCAGGTCAGGAGCGTGGAGGCAGGGGAAGGACATCTCTGACCAGGATGAGACAAATTTTTTTACACACACACATACACATACACTTTCCGTTCACTCCCCTGGCCCTTCCTTTCCTCTTGAAGTGACCATTCTGCTTTGGCCATACAGATCTTTCCTGGCAGGGTCTGCGAGTCTGCATAGCTGTAGTTTCCCTATGAAGCTTTTAAACATTTCTGCTTTCCTTTTCTGGGAATCCTAGTTCTAGCACACATTGAAAAGGGGAGGAACATCTATGTAGAGTCTGCTTAAAACTGGCCGTTGAGTGGGCTCAGTAGTGGCAGACCGCACAAGTCTTGTAAGCAGGCTCTTTCCCTCATTCTGTTGTTCTCACCAGTCATTCAGTTTATTACTTGCCCTTCACCCTGAGGGGTCCCAGGACAAAACTGCTGCCCCAAATAATAGGGTGGACCCTAACATAATATGTATCTCAGGGGGAAGAGCATTAGCCCCTTTGCTCCCTGGAGGCCTGCCAACTCCCTCAGGTTAAATAATCAGAGAATGTTCTACAGTACCACAAGTGTGGCAGGAATGAGGCCCCCCCACAGCAAAGATAGCTTATTTTAAGCAAGGGGTGGCGGCGGCTAACCCATGGACTTCTGGGTATTCAAACACAGGAGCAGTTGGGGTGTTTAGTGTCGTGTGTATCCAGCCTTTGCTGAGGTGAGGATTCTGGTATCTGCATGCGTTCAGTGCGGTTCTCTATCTGGCCCGTGGCCTGCAAGATGCAGCGTGGACAGTCCACCTGGGTGAGATCACTGCATCGAGTACAGAGCTTAGCATCTAGTGTCTTGCTTGGCAACTTTGAAATCTCCAGGTTGCTTTTCTTCAGTATTAAAGTTAGGTTTCTAGGACTCATGATCACAGAATAGCTTGGGTGCATGGAATCTGAGGGGGGCTGGTCTGGGCAGGGCAGCTCAGGTGGGGATTTCAGAGCCTTGCAAGGCGCCTTAATCTTTCTCAAGTGGGTACTGTCAAGGGGCGTAAACAGCTCTGTGTGCCTTTCCTCTCTTTTCCAGGAGGTGGAGCCCATGTGCAAGGAAAGCGACCACATCCACATCATTGCGCTGGCCCAGGCCCTCAACGTCTCCATTCAGGTGGAATACATGGACCGGGGTGAGGGCGGCACCACCAACCCCCACATCTTCCCTGAGGGCTCGGAGCCCAAAGTGTATCTACTGTACAGACCGGGACACTACGACATCCTGTATAAATAGAGGAGAGGCGGGGGGAGGCAGTCTGGCCGGTGCACCAAGCCCCCCCTCTTCTTCCTCTCTGCCTTCCATTGTCTTTCTCGCCCGTGTTTCCCTGCCCATCCGCCGGGCAGCATCGTCTGTGGTTGTAAATGGTGATCGCTCTTGCTGCCATCTCGCTCACTTGGTTTGTTATTATTATATTTTTCCTCTTTTTTGTTGTTACACTCACACTCTTCTGTGTTTTATTAAAGGGGATGCCGGTGAAACAATCTACCTTGCCTGTAGCTTCTCTCTAGGGCTTTTATGGGGTGGAACCAGTGCTTTTTTTCTAAAAAAATGTTTAGGGGTACTCTCATTTTGACTCAAGAAAATCACCATTTTATAGTTCAAATTGGGGAAAATAAATACAGTAAATGGACAAAAGTACAAAGATTCACAAAATGTTTAGGGGTATGCGTACCTCTGCGTCACCCAGAAAAAAAGCACTGGGTGCAACCTTTCTCTTCCTCCTCTTTTCTGTCCTCATAGAGTGAGCAATGATTGATTTGCTTTGGTACAAACCCCCACCCCAAAAAAGCGAGTGAGCAAGTGATGGTTTTTCTAAAGGATCATCATGAGGGTTCAGTGTGTGCCAGTGCAGATTCTGGTTGCCAGCATGTTGAATCACTTAAGTGGAGAGAGTCTACTCCTGAAGGCTGCAAATATTTTTTTTAAAAAAAGAAATAAGTATACAGCATCTGGTAAAGTCCTGGAAAGCAGAGGAGGGATGGGTAGAGATTCCAGATGTTCAGGGACCAGTAGTTTAGTGTATTCACAGTGACCTGTCTTCCACCTATCTTAACTGTAATCTTGCATATTTTCCTGCCCCACAACCTGTCACCAGACTCCTTGCCACTTTTTTTCTTGGAATGTATAATGAATCTGCAGGGTTTTTGTTTTTTTTAAGAACTTTAGTAAATCACCAGTTTTTCTGTCAGCAGAGAATTTGACTTCCCTCGGAATGCAATCATCCACTGTGTTATTTTTTTAAAGTGGAGAGTGAGGTTCATTGGTAGAGCTGAGCCAAGAGAAGGGTTTTCCTGGGAGACGTGGAATTGGAACCTGGCTAGGCACATGACCCAGAATGGTGGCTGTGCCACTGTTGCTATGGGACTTGGGGGGAGGCACCTCAGCAGCTGACTCAGTGCTTGGTTAGCAATTGTCTCTTCAAACAGGAAGCCTCTAATTGCAGGACCGGGAAAGGGGGTCCCTGTCTTTGTCGCCAGTGTTGTGTTGCTTCACTGGAAGAGTCTCCTTGCTTTGTGAAGAGTCTGTTTGTGTGCCTCTTGGTGTGATGGGCACACACATTTGTATGAGCCATTGTGCTTGTGTGTATCCTACACATTCAGAAAATCCCTTACTTGTGGTAAAGGACTTCCTGAATTGTACCAGTTTAAATCTGAGGGGGGTATGTGGCGATGTATTGGGTTGGATGCATTTCCCCCTCACGTGAGGAAGTGTAGCCTTCTTAAAAAAAGAGTGTTTCTAGCTTCCGACCAGACAGCATGGAGCATGGCACTGCTTTTGCCCAGACCCTCCATGTTCTCTGCTTTGCCAACTTGCAGCAGGTGCCTCTAATCCTGCTGGCAGACACTCCCTGTAGTTCTCTCTCTCTCTGTCTCTCTGTCTCTCTCTCTCTCTCTCTCTCTCTCACACACACACACACACACACACACACACTTAGGCTGATCCATAATCTACCCATGTCTCTTCCAACTGCTGTCTCTATGGAGCTCCATGTGTGAGAGAGAGGAATTGCTGTTTGGATTCTCCTGAATAGATAATGGAGGAATTAATTAATCCAACCCTGCTCAGAGGCAGTTTGCGGGGGGTGGAGGTGCGGTGTACACATGTGATTTGCCTTTTCCCTGCTGTGGAGATGCTGCCCAGACAGACACACTCGCAGTTACTCTTGCATCATTCCCCTGGTGCCCTCGTTTGACTGGTTGCCAGCAGGATCTGGAGGTGGGTCTGGGTCCTAGAAAGCTCCCAACTCTCTCCGTGTGTCTTGTTCTGACGTGCATTCAAAGGCTGGAGCACAAAAGTTCATCTTGAAATTGGGCAGTTGCAGTGTGTGTGTGTGTGTGTGTGTGTGTGTGTGTGTGTGAGAGAGAGAGAGAGAGAGAGAGCGCAGAATATGGTGTCCTCCACCTGCTTCCTGGGAGCAGAAGGCCAAAGGCATTATAAGCAGTTTTCTGTTAAGTGCGGGTCTGGGGACTCCACCTCTCATCAGCCCCAGCCAACATGGTTACTGGCCAAGGATGATGGGAGCTGTAGTCCCCAGAGGAGCTGAAAGGGGCCTCATAGGCTTCCTCATCCTTGTTCTTAAAGAAAAGTTTGGGTTTTGCTTTTGTTTTTTTAAAAAGGAGATACAGAGCAGGGCTTTTTAAAAAGTGACTAGACTTAGTCATGCCATGACTATCACCCATCTCCCCAAGCCCACAAAACTCTTTTCTGCCTCCTGCTGTTGCTGCTGACTATGGGGAGAGCCTTGTGAGGAGCGAGTGCCAGCTCCTTCCAGACAAGCAACATGCCGCTCCAGCTTGCCTCCTGCCCTGGAGGTTCAGGCAGGGAGGAGCAGGTGAGCTGGTACCTTTTGTTATGCTTGTGCTTCTCTGCAAGGCCGAGTCCTCACTCTTCTGACGCCCCCCCCCTTTCCAATCTCACAAGGCGTGCAACTGGAGTGTGTTTCGCATGAATTTATTCCAACAGCAGTTCCTGGATGTTGCGCTTGTCTGGGCACTGCGCCTCTTCCGAGCCACGGTGTATTCTGCAGCGGGGTGCTTCGCAGGGGTAGGATAGTCAATGCAAAGCGAGCTCAGAGGCGGGAGGGCAGGACCCCCGAGGCATCTGGCGAGAAGAGAAAGAGGCAAAGGTCAGGCTTGCTGGCTGAGGGCTGCCTCCCCTCTGCCCAGCATATTTCATCAGCATGACCTGAGTTGCCCAATGGGTATGCAGAGGGCAGGGCTCGAAGCAAGGGATGTACATGCTGGCTGGCGGAGTAAGTCTTGCAGCTTTGGGAGCGGGGAGGAAGGAAAAAGAAGGATGCAGGAGCAAATGTTTCCATTCCTCAACAATAAAGCGGGGTGGGGGGGTGGGGGGAGAGAGACTGAGTGATCAGTTAGACAAGCACCAAACCCCCAACTCAACAAGCTTTTGTTAGTGCTGCAGGTGTTAGGTTGGCCCTCAGCCCCACCAGCTACCTCCTGGATTCCTAGCACTGCTGCCGCTTCAGTTTGTGTTCTTTGCTGCGTGCAGCAATTTCCAGTCTTATTTTCCCCCGAACTTGCAATTTCTGCAGCTGTTGTGACCACTGTGTGCCACATTACTCCCTAAGGTGTTCTTCTCTTCCCCACCCCCACAAATGCAGTAACCAAGTATGTCCCAAAATGCCCCCTCCCCAAGCCAAAAGCATTTTAAACCCTTCTCAATCTTCCAGGGCTCTAAATCCTTCGTGCTTTCTGTGAAGGAGGGGATCCTGGCTTGCTGGCTCCTTCCTCTCTGTCAACCTCATGGACTCAAACCCCGATTCTGAGGCTGTTGTGGGGAGCTTTTGGATAGCTGCTCTGTGCTTCCTTCCCAGGATCGAAAAGGACCCCATAACTCCTGGCTGTGACCACTTCTTAACCCTGGAGGCCAGCAGCAGTGCCTGTGTGTGCGTGTGCATGCACGTAAGGGCTAAAGGGCACATGTGTCACAGGAAACCTGTCGTTGACTGATCCACTACTTCTATTTCTGCTTAAAAGCTGATGGGAAGGGGTGTCTGTTTTTATTTTTCTTAAGGAGCAATGACGGGATGGGTGTCGCCCCCACTAAATCTAAAGTGGCCGCAGTTGGTATTTGGCTTGTTTGGGTAGACATGAACAATGACCTATAGGACACCTTTGATGCCCCCACCTCCCCCAAGTTAGGCTAATAGTAACTTGTGTGAGAGATAAAGAGGTGGAGGTGGAGAGATTTAGAGAAAGGCCCTGCCCCTCCTCCAAGCCACTGCTCTGCTGGGGAACCTTTTATAGCTGCTTGTAAACTGAAACACCAGGAGAACCAGCCACAGGTCTCTCGCATCTCAGGATTCCCTAAGTGAAATGGGAATCCAGCAAACGAGGAAGAGGTTAGTCTGTGTTGGCTGCCGGGGAAGCGGCGCATGCAGACTCCCCTGTGCCTGTTTCCGCACTGCAATCGGTGCTGGAAAGCTCTTACCCCCATTGGAGAGCGTGAGGAGTGTGGTCAAGCTGGAAACAAACGAAGGGAGAGGTGAGAATCCCCCACGACGGGCTTTTCCCTCTCGCCCTCCCTTGAAGAGCTGGAGCTTTTGTGGAAGGCCCACCAGCAGCTTATCGGAAGCATCCTCCTTTCCTGAAAAGGCCTCCTGCTGCTGCCGCCAACTCACCCACGGGGAAGAAGCGGGGCAGCATCTCCTTGTAGATCTCGTCGTCCTTCTCAAGGAAGACACAGATGATGAGCCTGTCAACCTGCCGGAGGAAGAGGAATTGGAGGGGGGAGTGAGAGCTGCACCTTTGCATTCTGTGCCATTTGCTCCTCCAGGACAGGGCTGGGAAGCCTGCCCCCCCCCCGGTGTTGCTGGACTCCCATCGTCACTGACCATTGGTCACCCAGACCAGGGCTGATGGAAGTTGGAGTCTGTTGCTGCTCTGAGCTGCCTGCAGCTGGTGTGATCCACCATGCGTAACCATGCGTCTCTTCCTGCTTTGTCTTCCACGGCTGGGTATTTTTTAGCTTTCCTTCCATCTTGCTCTTTGCTCTGTTCCTCCTCTGTCATTTATATTAGTGTTTTAGATAAATACCTTGGGTTTGGTTTTTTTGTTCTTCAGGGCTGATGGTGCACACATCTACCTATTCACCCATCTCCAAAAATTATGTATTTAAAATTAGAAAACATTTGCATGTGCCTGCCTGTTTTACTCAGGCTGGGGTCTGAATGGGGCTGTGAAGGCTGCTTTTGTCTGGCCCTCGAGAATCACCCTGAGGCTTCACCCTTCACTGGCCCGCCTTTCTGCCCTCAAGCGCTCTTGCTTGCTGGAATTGGGCCTGTGAAGTGTAATATTGCCTCTTACTTGCCTGGCTGGATGAGGAAGGTGGGGGTGCATGTGTAGAATCATAGAATTGTAGAGTTGGAGGGACCACAAGGGTCATCTAGTCCAACTCCCCTGCAATGCAGGAATTGTTTGCCCAACTTGGGGATTGAGCCCACTACCCTGAGATTAAGAGTCTACTGACTGAGGGAAACCTCCTTTTTAATGTGGCTGGAATGTTGCGTAGCCCTGCCATCATTGGCATGCAACACACCCACCCTCCCTCATTGGAAAGCGTGTGGCCTCTGAGCTGAATCCACCTGTGCCTTAAAGAGCAAGGGGGCTCTGAAACTGGATCAGGAGAGATGGTTAGACTGAGCTCTGCTCCAAAGTCAAAACTTCCCCCTGCTGCACTCTCCAGCATGGAAGAAAGAATTCGGGTCTCAAATGGGGAGGCACCTGCCAGTGCTCAAACCTGCTCCTCCACACTTTCCCCAGCCAGATGCATCCTCCTCCTCTTCCCTCACCTTCTCCTTATTCTCTTCTAGCCACTTGCGCAGCGTGTTGAGCACCACCTCAGCAGCAGCATCGTTCGGATAGCCTATTGAGAAAGGGAGAAGGAAGAGCTGTAGTGCTGCGGAACAACCTCCGTTCTATCTCTTGGCCTAAGGAAGAACGGTTTCCCCCTGCTCCCACTTTCCCATGCGATACTTACCAAATACGCCTGTGGAAATGCAGGGGAAGGCCTGTAGGGAGAAAGGCCGTGCGTGAGAGAGATTCTGCATGTGCATGAGCACTCCTGTCTCTGGGTGCTTAATCTGCAGCAGTAAGGGTGCAGGAGCTCCATCCCACTCCCTGGTTCCAGGTGTGGAGCTGAAGGTTGAAGAGGGGCTTACAACCTGAGGCACCTCACGGCAGGGGTGGCTGGCAGTCAAAGACCTCCTTGCCTCCCATGTAAATTCGGCAGAAAGCCATAGAATAGGCCCAATGATGGATGGTGAACCTGCAAGGGCCTGCCATTCCCAGCAGCAAAGAACAAGAGCTTATATATTCTAAAATAGCCTTTGTCAACCTGGTGCCCTCCAGAGGGTTTGGCCTACAACTCCCAGTCGCCCCAGCCAGCATGGCCGTCCTACAGTGCTGCCCCATGTGCTGCAGATAAACCACAGAGCTGGAGGCTTTTGCTCTCTTCTGAAAGCTTGGGTTTATAAAAGGCTAACTCAATTTAACAGCGCTTGAATTCAATGATTTTATATTTCGATTGTGAGCCCCTGCTTTCTAATTGTATTACAAATATATATCTGTCATCATCATTTAGACCTGTGGTTAAACCTAATTAATTTAATTATCTGTCTTATCTATCAGCCATAATAGCGAAGCATTCAACTTGCGCGCTCCAGTGCAGTATCAGAAGAGCAGACGAAAGGGGGATGGTAGCTAGAAATATCTCTGCTGTTGTGAGCTCTCCTGGGACATTGAGCTGACCACTGGCGGAGGCAGAAGACTTGGGGGAGATGGCTTTTTGTAAGGAGGGAAAGGAACAGTAGTCCAGCCAAGGGGAGCAGACACAATGAACTGGGCTGCAGGTCTGCACCTTCTGAAGATGTAAGCAGGCACCAGAGACCTTGGCTGCGTACACACCATACATTTAAAGCACCCTTGCAAAATTCCTGGGAACTGTAGTTTATTAAGTGTGCTGGAAATTGTATCTGTGAGGAGTAAACTACAGCTCCCATGATTCTTTGTGGGGTGGGGGTGCTTTAGATGTGTGTACACAGTCCTTGTATCTGATGTCTGGATTATTTCCTGTGCCTTCCATTCCGATCAGATTTAATTTCAAAGTACCCTTGGTGAATGGAAGGGGAAATTACACTGTCAGCAGCTCTAGGAGAGTAGCTGTGCTTGGGAAAAGTGCTGGCTGGCTTTGGTAGAGAAATACCCCCATTTTGAAAGAAAGAAAGAAAGAAAGAAAGAAAGAAAGAAAGAAAGAAAGAAAGAAAATATCAAGAACTACCTGTGTAAATTATTTCATCACTTACAGAGCAAGTCCCAGGGCTGAGCCTTGCAGATTTGCATCAAGCCTTGCCACCTGCTCTATCAAACACCTTAAGCCTCTTCCCTGTCTGCTCACCACAGTCCGCAGCTTGTTCTCTACAGTTAATTTCAGGCTGTTCTTGTAGCAGTCGCTGAGTTCGGTTGCTTGCGCAGCACTGGGTTGCCCCTGGGCGATGGGTCCTACCGTGTGAATGACGACTGAGAAAAGAGAGAGAGACAGATGAGGGTCATCAGCCAGAAGCAGAGCCTAGCAGAGCCCCTCTTGCTCAGTTCCTTCCTCTGCAATTTGATTGAGAGATGCTTACAAGAACTGAGCTGCTGGACTTAATCAAGAGCGCATTGCTATTGCTCCTTCCAATTCTCTAAACCACCGGGGGACAAAGCATTTCTTCACATAGTGCACGGCTGAACGATGGAACTCGCTTCCACAAGAGGCAAGCAGTGATCGCCATCAACTCAGATGGTTTTAAAAGAAGATTAGACAAATTCTAATTGGAGGTCAGAGGCTGTAATGCTTCTGAGTACTAGTTGTTGAGAATCACAAGTGGGGAGAGTGCTGTTGTGCTCAAGTCCTTATTGTTCACTTCCCAGCGGCATTTGGATGGCTCTTCTGAGAACAGGATGCTGATGGGCCACTGCTCCGATCCAGCAGAGGTTTTTGCAAGTTTTTGTGGGTGGTGAGTCTCTGGCACTCCCAGCAGCAGAGCGTGTTCTCGTGGTGCCCGGGGTGTGCTCCCACGCGCGCCCGGGGAGCAGAGTGTGGGGCATGGAGGACGAACGGAGCCTGACACGTGCCAGCCCAGGCCTAACCGCCAATGCCACCCGAGCGATACCAGCCCCAACCCACTTTGCAAGGCTGCAGTGATCCCTCAGGAGGCTGGGATCAAAGGGCACATGACTGTTGCATCTTTCTCATGCCACCCTCCCCAAGCCGCTGATCAAATCCTAGCTTCGTAAAGCAGTGCAGGGCTGGTTCGGAGAAGGTGCCGTGAGTAGCGCGCACATACACACATGAAAAATGTGCCCAGGGCACTTGCCCTGGCAGCCCCTCCAATGCTATGCCCCTGGGCACTGCAGATATTTCTAGACTACAATGCCCATCATTCCACCCAGTAGTCCTGCTGTTCAGGACTGATGGGTGTTGAGAGTCCAGCAACTTCTGGAGAGAACCACATTACTTCTCTAAAACAAGCTTACTGCAAGCCTATTCCTTCTGAAGAATAAAGATTATTTCTCAAGTATCCCTTAGGCATTTAGATAAATTATTAAGTGACAATTACTTATTTTCCTTTATTTGCTTTATACATACATACAGCCCTTTGGCTACATTTAGGCTCCCTGGGTAGTTCTGAAGTTATTACTCAGGCTTAAAGCAGCAGTATATGGAACGTTCTCATTTTTTTTATATAAAAAGTAAAACACGCAGTTAGTAATGCCCTCACTGAGTAGCAACATATTCTTTAATGTTCTCTTTTATTATAGTGAGGTTAGACACTTCTACAAGAACATATACTCTGCATGATTCATGTTAGCATTTTTATATCACTTACACTCCTGACTTTTTTTTTTTGGCCTTTACGAAATAAATGAACAGCAGCTCCTGAGAATAACCAAGACCTCATTTCAAATATGGCAAACGGGGGACCTGCCTGCAGTGACCCCACTTTCATGGATCTGTCTCCCAAAAGAGGCTCAGACAACCTCATCGCTGCAACCTTCAAATAAGCATTAAAGAATTGCCTGTTTCAAACAGCCTTTTCTTGATATCGTTTTGCTGCTATTAACTGAAGTGGTGCTGAATTATTTTATTTGTTTTAATTTTCTTGGACTGAAACTGGATGTTACTATTTATTGGTCTCATTGTCTTGCTGCTATTTTACTGTTGCCGAATCTTATTGCTGCCTTTTATTCTGCAGATATCTACATAGCTATATATAGATACGTTTCTCATTTGTGCTGCTCTTGCTTTTACTCGGTATTATAATCCTATATCTGCACGACGGGAACTGCCTGGTGAAGGTTGGTCCCATAAGAGGGTATAAACGTATTTTAAATAAATATCCTCATGGCTTGGACATCTTCAGAAGCACCCCTACCCCAGCCCCACATCTCAAGAGTTGCCAAAGGCTTTTAGCTATCTGCATTTTTTAAATTCATTGTCTATTTATTAGGCATATTTATAGCCCACCCCTGCATCATAATCTGTCCCAGGGCAGAGTAGAATATACAAATGCATGAACTACTAACCCCCCACCCCACCCCAAAAAACCTTGTAAGTGGGCACAATAATAAAGCAGCTAAAATGAATTACACTTGTATTTACAAATAAAGATACATTAAAACTACAAAAGCAACTTGAAAAACTACAGAGTGGGTTACTCGCTCTCAAGCAGGGATGCTTTAGCCAGCAGGTCTTCACAAGTCACCAGAACGACAGAAGTGTCTGTGTCAGAGGTGCTCCCAGGTGAGGCCATCCCAGAAGCAGGGGCCACCACACAGCAGCCTCTTTCCTCAGTGTACACACAGAGCATGTTTGCTGCCAATAGGAATGCAGAGGAGAGAAGTCTCTGAAGGTCTTGGGACACAGGGCTTGGGTTGGTATTGGGAGGGGTGTGGGTGTTGAGTCCCAAGCTGGCGCCTTGCATTTGGCACAAAGCTTCTGCCAAGCTCCCAGTGGTGTAAGGATACCCCTGCCGCATACTCCTGCCTCTGCCACTGCAGTGGCACCTACTACGCATCTGGAATAGAACAGAATCATAGAGTTGGAAGGGACCCTGAGGATCATCGAGTCCAACCCCCTGCAATGCAGAAATATGTAGCTGTCCCAAATGGGGATTGAACCTGCAACCTTGGCATTATCAGCACCACGCTCTAACCAACTGAGCTATCCAGCTGAGGACATTCAGCCAGTCTTATGGTAACTATCCAATTGGGCCCCTGGTGTCCCTGTGCACGCACCCATTCCCCACTCTAAAATCTGCTAGTGATCCCTGGGAGAGAGTGGAACCCCAAAGAGTGATGATGTTTGCAACAAAACATACCAATGTTTTCCCAAGGCACCAGTCGCAAAGGCAAATGCGGAGATAAATGAGGGGCAGTGACTTATTTACCCTGGGAAAGAGACTGAAGGTGAGCTGGACTCAATGAATTAGTTTCTGAATGGAGTGGGGTGAGTCAAAGCTCAGCCAACAGCTGGGTTTAGTTAAATAAAGGAGGAAGTGTGCAAATATTAAAATACCAGGCCCAGATTTATTGGCCTCAGCGTCTCCTGCAGGAGGAGGCAGTGGTGAATTTGTAGATGGTAGTGAAGGGAGCAGGAAGATGAGTGGAGCGAGGAGGTCTGGGGGCTTGGGCCTGCTGAGGATACCAGAGGCCTCATCCCTCTTCGTTTTCAGCTGAATCAAGTTGTTCTGCCTGCTACGTAAAATTCAGGATCCAAGCGTACAAATCAGGAAGAGTAGCTATGGTCAGCAGGGGGTGCTGTTGAGCCAGCAATCATTGCCCACTAAGGTAGGAAGACTGCTTTTCGTGTTTGTAGTGTGTGTGTGTGTGTGTGTGTGTGTGTGTGTGTGTGTGTGTGATTTATGTGAGGTAGGACTTCATCTGAGCCTGCCCTTGCCCTGCTATGAGTGTCCAGTGTTTGAGCTCATGGGGAAGGAGGCATTTTGTAGAGAGGAGTGTGCAAGCACTGGAAGGTAATCTTCCAGCGCGTGCTAGAACCGTGCCTTCATCATGCTCCCTCCGATTTTGCTTTGTTTTGCAGGGATCAGCACAGCCAGGCATCTGTCAAGCCCACTGCCAACCAGCAGAGAACCCCTGGGCCCTGCTGCTCCTCACTGCCTGCTTGTTGCTGTCTTCTCCAAGCCTGCAATAAGAGAAAGCACAGCTGCCGCCCCTGACAGACCCCTGAGTGCCCCTCCACCACCTGTTCACATCCCCCTGCCTGTTCTCTTCTTCCAGCCACGCATGAGAAGTGGACTCAGAGGCAGGAGGGGGAATGCGCAAGCCACCCGTCCCCAAACTGTTGCCCTGCAGATGTCGCTGGACTCCAGCTGCCAACACCCCTGACCACTGGTCATGCTGGCTGAGGCTGATGGGAGTGCAAAAACAGCTGGAGGTGATCAGGTTGGAGGAGGCAAGGCCTCCACAAAAATGTATTTTGCCCAGGGACTCCACCACAAATAAGCGGCCACTTGTGAATTACTACTACTACTACTATTACTACTACTACTACTACTACTACTGCTGCTATTTATAGCCCTTCAAACAGCAGGACTTCTTCATGTGGAAGGCTGTCCTATGTAAAGTAGCATATGTGGGGGCACCCCACCACTGGATAACTACAAAAAACTATTCAGGGTCTACTTAGCCTCTTTTATGAGGGATATATTTACAATTTGCTTTCCATACAAATTCCCAAAAGTGTTGTCCAATTTAAAGGGCAATGATAATGCACAATGAACGGGAACACACATACAGGCACCGACACCCAGCTCCATTAAAATCAGCTCAAATGATTAAAACAAATAAGCAATTCAATTTTGCAGATTAAAAAGCTTTCTCCTTAAAGGACGGTTGACCTCACAACCGCCACCACCCGCCCTGCTGCGGTAGTAAAGTCTTAGTGGTGTCAGCCAGCACAGAGGGGGGTGTGTGTGTAAAAAACACTGCGTTTTAACAAATCAAAATGATTACATGTGCTATCAATTAGTAAACATCTAATTCTGATAAAATTAAAACAGATTTTGCCACACACAAAAACACCCAAAAAAATGGAGTGCCAGCACACTTGTCAATCAGCCACCAGAGAGCGGGAGCAAGTTGACTTCTTAGGGTGAAACTGGTGCAGGACATGACATGACCAGACCTCCCAGTGCTTTCACTGTTTTCCCTTTCTGAGCAGCCATGAGGCGGGCAGGGGCAACTTGGATCCCTTGCACCAGTTTCCCAGTCTTAATTGCCCACATACGCCCCAGTTGGGGGAAACAGGTCTGTGCATCTTAACAAGCTTTGCCCTTGCTGAGCAACTTGGTAGAATCTTGCCTGCTGCCATGCACTGGTTGGACACAGAGGAATGGAAGGAGGAACCAGCTGGGGAACCTCCAAGGGAAGAAGGCTCAGAGCCCATGGATTGGAGGTGGTATGATGATGAGTGGTCAGAGGGAGAAGACAGGGAAGAGGAGGTGTTGGAAGCTGAAGAGGTAACAGGGCTTAGTGAGCAGGGGGAGTCTGTGGCAGAGAGAAGTCCAGAATCAGAGGAAGAAGCTGAAGCAGGGGAGGAGGGAGGTGAAGAGACAGAGATGAGTCTGGCTAAAGAGTCACAGGTGTCTCCCCCTTCTGCTGCAACAAGTGTCCCTGTCCGCTGGTTTCCCAAAACCAGAAGAGGCATGAAAAGGGCAGAGGAGAGGTTGGCTTCACACAGGCACGGTCTCCAATTGTTCGGAAAAAGTCTTGCAGAGGAGGGGACTTGGACGGCTGTGGTGAGGCAGGGGCTTTCAGTCTTGGCAACTGATCCATGGGACAAGACCCACCGGGGATGAGCTGCTGTGCTCATTAGGCCTGACACTCCGCCAAGTCTGCGCAGATCGTGTTCTTGCTAATAAAGAGTTAACGCCAACTTTCAGGGTATGATTTATTGTTGGCTTGCTCCTGTCACCTGCACATTTCCCCCTGCTAAATTTTGGTAGTGAAGCCACAGAATTGATCTTGTGAGGTGATCTGGTCTCCCCGCCCCCTTGCTGCAGAAAATCCAGATCCACAGCACCCCCACAGGTGACTGTCCGGCCTCTGCTTAAGGGCCTTCACTCGCTGTTCTGGGCCATTGCTACCACTGTTTAACTACTCTTGTCATCCAGAATTTTCTCCTAACCTTGAACACCCATCTGCCCTTCTGTCACTTAAGCCCTTGAAAACTAGTCCTGTTCTCTGAGGCAGCAGTGGAGAATGAGCCTTTGCCCTCTTCTGCGGGGCCACCGTGCAGTGATTTGAAGAGTGCTATCCAGATAAGAAATTTCAAGCCAAAGCAGTGGTTGTGAAATCTAGCAGGTGATGTTTATTGCAGCATAAGTAAACCAGACTTTGTGCATGTGTGTGTGTGTGATGTTGTCGAGCTACCAGCCCTCGCCAAAGGACCCAGGAGTCCTGTCTAGGCACCCCATCCTTCAGCCCTCAAATGCTGCTGGCCAACTGCTGCTTCAGCTTCTTGAGTGGCCACATGCAGCCTTAGCTCTGTGAGTGATTTACTGACCCAAGGAGGGTGGCTTGGCTTCCTTGCAGTGCCCAGAGGTGGCTCGCAGGCTTGCTGCTGTGCTCACAGCACGACTCCTGGATTTAGAAGCAATGTGCTCTGATTTACCCCAGTAAACACGGGAGTTAACCCCCATGTTTCAGGACTTGAGGTTGGCCTTTTGTGGCTTCCCTGATCTACCACCCCCCCCACCGGGACACGTGTTTGGAAGGGGAAATGGATACCCAAGAGAGCATATCCATCACTGCTGAAGAAAGCAATGGATTCAAGCTTTAGAGGGGCAAAGGATTCACAGCGGCAGGACTGGGGAAGGAACTTCAGTCACAGGGTGGTTGCTGTCAAGATGCTGTTGGGCTCCAACTCCCATCAGGCTCAATCAGCATGGGAAGATGGGAGATGTAGTCCAACGTCTCGAGGGCACAGCGTTGGCTCTGATTTGTTTGTTGTATTTCTCAGCTGCTTTTCTTACAAAGGCAACTCAAAGCAATTAAAAAAACCTAAAACCTTAAAAACACAAAAATTCAAACGAAAAACACAGTTAATTTTTTTAAAAAAATGACAATAATGACCCAGTACCCACTAATGGAACAACAGCTGGTCCTAGGCCAAAGAAAAAAGGAAGGAAAAGCACAGTCCTGGGATGCTGTCCTTTCCTCGGGCTCCTCTTTGCCTGAGCACGGAAGCAAGAGGAGGTTCTGCGTCCTCTCTGGGGAAATGCAATCAAAATGCAAATCTCCCACTGACACACCAGCATTGCCCCTGATAATAAAGACAAATTGCCCGTGCAGACTCCATGGAGATGCTGGCGATAAATCAGCTTCTCTGGTAACCTGCTTTGAGGGACATCAGCTCAACCCCCACCCTGGGGCCACTGGGTGTTTGCGGCCCTCCTCACCCCACATGCAGAGCATGAATGGTCATTTCCCCCTGTAGGTCGAGAGGGAACCAAAGGCAGTTTAGTCCAGCATCCTGTTTTCGACACCAGCCTCAGACAGGAGCTTCCAGAAAGCCCAAAAGACAGGCAGGGGGAGATGTCTTCCAAAAGACTGTTGAGCTTTTGGAAACTGGTGCTGTGCTGTTTTTATTGCTTATGTGCTTTAACATATTTAATATATGTATATAGTTTTGATTCTAGCAATTGTTTAATTGATTTTTAATTATAGCTTTTTCTAAAAATAAAATAAAAAATAGCAGTTTTGTTTTTTTAATTCTGTAAGCCACCTGGAGTCCCATCAGGGGAAAAGGAGGAGTATAAATAGATTTATAATGATGTACAACAACAACAACTGCATCATCTGAGATTCACAAGGGCAGTGTTCCTGGAGCTGAAGGTTCCATTAGCTAGTGTGGTTAGAAAGTAGGGCTATCACCTCATCAAATAAATCTCAGTTCACCCAGCCCAGCGGTCCCCAATTGGTAGTTGGCAGACCCCAGGGGGTCTGCAAAACCCACCCAGAGGGTCTGTGGCACATACCCGTTAACTGTCTGAGACATCCCATATTGGGGGGTTGTGCTCTCACACAGATCAGGTGACTAACACAGGAGCACAGCCCGGAAGACGCACATCCCAGTTTTGTGCTGGGGCACATTGAAAGGTTCACATAACAGAAACTACCACTGGAGAGACCTGTCAGGAGTAAACATGGACCAATGGTACCAAATAGTATGGGAAACAGCCCTACTAGAAAAATTAACTAATAAACTGAAACTGACACGGGGACAAACAGAAGAAGACGCCTTCACCCCGGTATGGCCCCATTTATCACATACACAGCCCAACAGGACAATGACAATAATCCACCAACAGCATACAAATCAATATGGCTAACCTGATCCAAAACACCCACCCACCTCACTCACACATGAAAACAAAGATCACCACAGCCAATCACAAGCAAACAATCACACCCTAGGCCAACCCCAACCTCTCTCACCACCAAAGGAACACAAGTGAACAACACAAGCAACGCTGACACCAAACTCTACATACATTAAACATAATAGAAACACCGCCACCCGACCCCACCCCCATTCACCTTCCCTCTCTCCACCCCCCCTTTTCTTTTTTCCTTTTTTCCTTCTCCGCCTAATGCCTCAACAAATGAAACGGATTTGTAAAAATGTTACATGGGGGGGGGGAAAAAATACGAGGCATTACACTTACTTCTGTAAAACAAGAAAATCCTTAATAAAATATTTTAAAAAATAATAACAGAAACTACCACAAAGTTATCAACATTTTCAAAAGTAGGGGGGTCCATGGATCGGCTTTTGAAAAGGGGGCCCACAGCTAATTGGGAACCACTGACCATCGCACACAGACAAATTCAGGTTGCACAATGAAAGTTGATTTAGAGATCTTGAGGAGCAAAGACCGGAAAGTGATGGGGAAGTGTGCCTTGACACAACCCAACCCAACCCATCAGGATGAGTGCTCAAGTAGCAGGATTCCTGGAAGTGACCACAGGGGTTTTTAGAAAAAGCAAGCTTAATGGGTAGGGGAAAGAAAGAGCAAGGCTAGGGTATGGAAGGGAAGAAGAGAGAGGCAAAGGGGGAGAGCAGAGACAGCTTTTCTCTGCTGACGGAAAGTCCTCTTCTTCCAACGCAGCACAGAAACCAAATGACCTTTCTCATGGTTCCCTGACTCTGCTTTAAGCCAAGGCAAGACAAGCGGCCTGCTGCTTCCACTCAGTCCCCACGTTGCCAACGTGGCATATTGGCTAGCGGCCTCTCTCTCTGGACGGATACGCAGGAGCAGCAGCAGTGTGATGAGTTAAAAGCAACCTGGGTGAATTTTGGCTGGTCCAGGACACCCATCAGAGTAAAAAGGTGGGCTGGATTTTTTTTAAAAAAAATATTTTCTTAGTTTACAAAAGTACGTGCATCGTCTCTTTTTTCAAATTGCGTTTTCTACTGATCAGTTTCATTTGTTGTGAGACATCAGTGTTATATAGAGTGTTAGGTTAGGAAGAAAAGAGGGGAAAAGGGGGAAGGGGAATGGTGAGTAGGGTGGGGTCGGGTGGCAATGCTTCTATTCTTCTACTTAGTGTATGTGTGGGGTTTTGTGTCAGCTTTTGTGTGGGTTCTCCTACTATTCGCTTGTTATATTTCCTTGGTGGTGAGAGAGGTTGGGGGTGGCCTAGGGTGTGGTTGGTTGTCTTTGGTTCACTGTAGTGAGATTTGTTTTCGTGTGTGAGTGGGGCGTGTGTTTTTGGTTAGCCAGATTGATTCATATGCTGTTGGTGGATTCTTGTTGTCTTGTTGGGCTGCGTATGTGATAAAGGGGAACCATACCGGGTTGAAGGTGTCTTCTTCTATTTGTCCCTATGTCAGTTTCAGTTTATTGGTTAGTTTTTCTAATAAGTCTGTTTTGGGGTGGAAATTGTTGAAGGTCTTGCTTGGGACTGGTTCTGGATGTCAGTTTGGAGTTAACTACTATCTGCAAATTGTAGCAAATAACTGTGCCCTGATTGTCTAGGTGCTTCCACACTATTTCAAGGTTCTGCAAGACTTGCTGCCCAGGCACTATTTTCCTATGGGAAGTTGCTTGTAAAAAGCTCCCCCACCCTGCTTCTTCCAGTTATGGGAGCAGGTCCAGGTCGCAGCAATGCAGACGCCAAAAAGGAAGACAGGCAAGGAGCGAGTGATTATAATATGGGAGGAAAGTGAGAGCGGGATCAAGCTCTGGGATTAAGTGGGAAAGTGGGGGCTCCTGGGGGGGGGGCGGGTCAGTGAACATTTAATTAACACTGGAAATCTCCTTTGCTGAAGGAATTCATAAGCAAATGTTATATAACCATCTCAGCCATGACATGAGTCCCCAACGCAGAACCCATGGGCGCCGGTGTGCCTGCCAGCACCCTCTTACGATGTCTACCAAAGATAGCAGTAAACATCCTCTCAAAAATCTACAATCCACAAAGGGCCACTTGCTCTTCCTGCTCAGTTCCTGCCTGCCCTGGGGCAGCCTCTCCTACACTGAACACACACATACCTGCCCATATTTCATGGGATGCCAGGATTTGACACCCACCCATTCTGAACAGAGGAGAGGTGCAAAGAGCTTCTGCCTGTTAGCAGTGGGTTATATGTTTTTCTTCACATCGATGGGGGGCTGACGGGGTGGGGTGGGGTCCCGCCAGTACTATTTTACGGCCTTGGCTCTGTTTCTGCTTTTTCACACGCGGCAGCCATTTTGTGTCACACCAATTCTCTGGCTCCCACTCCATAGCAGGAATTTCACATTATGCCACGCACCCCACAGCAGCCGTTCTGAGACAGGCACCACCAAAAATGTGCCCACTGACCCCAAAAGCTTGGAGGCCCCCCAAATATTAAGCACTTGTGTGGAATCTCAGTTTTAATTCCACTTCCACTGCTCTTGTCACGACCGCCACAGTGAGTAGCCATGGCTGTTAGCGTGGACGTATTTTGTACAGATAACGTTGGACTCGACGACCTCTCCGTTCTTTTCAGCATGGTATTTATTCTCCCCTCGAGAGAACGTGACTTCGAGGTAGCCCCCAAATGGAGAGAGAGAAATGTTCAGAATGACGCCCTCGACTATGCTTATTGCCCTTGGAGAACTATGATTTAAGGAAGGAAGGAAGGAAATCCCAATTAAAAAATCTCTCATGTTGATCTGCCTTTTGCGAGCGAATCGATTTAATCACGCAGATTGCTGTTGCCAACAACGCGGCACTGCCTTCCACAGAAGAGCACAAGATGGAAGCAAAAACGAAAGAGAAAAAGAAATTGCTGTCTTGCAGGGAGAGAGGGAGAAAGGGAGAAAAGAAATTCGCAGCCAAAATGTTAGTCAGAGGCGGGCACCCAGCCTGGCGTGAAATTCAATTACAAGGCAGGTAGGTGGAAATACAAGGGCCCCCAGGAAGGCAGAAATGCAGCTACGAAACAGATCTAGCAGCGAGTTAAAATTAACCCTCTTAATGCTTCAGACAGAGAAGGCCCCTGCCTCAGTATCCAAAAAATAGACAAGATTTAGGGAGCAAAATTGGGGCTTACTTCATCCCCACTGTGTTTTCAGTCCCAGGGTTTAGCCAAGAAACATGCCAAGTAAGAATAAATGACAGCCCCTCTGAGTGAGTGCAGAGTGCGAATTCCTCATCCCACAGAATAAGCAGAGAGAAAGCGGGGAGAGAAAATCTCCATCCATCCTGGGACTAGGGAAATGATACAACGGTGTTTTCCTCACTTCCTTGAGTGTGGTGGCAGCAGCTGGTGCTTGCTGGGAATGGTTGGGAGGACAGAAGGAAGCCCAGGCAGTAGGTGAAGCCAGAGATGCTGGAAGCCAGAGCCAACCAACTCAAATTTTGTCCCCATCCTCCTCCTCCTCCTCCTCCTCCTCCTCCTCCCTGCTGAGTTCTATAAGGGGCAAAACTGAGATGCAGGAGGAGGAAGGTGGCAGTCAGGGCCATGCGCTGTACTGGCTGTAAGAAAAAGGGCAGGCAGGCAGGCAGGCAGGGGTGGCTGGGGTCTGACCAAGGTCTAGTCTCCCACTGCAAGCGCAGTGAGAAATTCCAGGGGCAGCACTTTCCTATCAGCTTTTGGTTTTCTTTGGTTGAGATGGTACTGGAGATCTATATGGCGTATTTCTAATGTTTGCTTTGTTTACAAAGGTACACTTACAACAGGGATGGTGAACCTCTGGCCCTCCAGATGTTGCGGCACTGCAACTCCCACCCTTCCTCACTCCTGGCCATGCTGCCTGAGGCTCATGGGAGTTGGGAATCCTGCTATACCTGGAGGGTCACAAGTTCCCCATCCCTGACACAGAATACACACACATGCGCGTGCATAAGCCCTCCTTAGTTGACGTGTGTGGGGAAGTGTCCGACCTTCCCCAGGCTTGATGGGCACCTCATTGAAAAGCACAGAGATTCCCATCTCTCTAGCAACCTCAAGCTCCAATCAGCCAGTGATTCCGGGGTATTTAACCAACAATGCATCTAACAAAAGAAAAGTCAAAAGTGGCAACGCTACAAATTAGATGAAACTGTCTCTGAGCACACGCAGAGTGCATCTCCCTCAGCCGTATTCAAGTCTTCATCTTCTGGGTTAGAGCAACATGCAAGGGGGGAAAGTGGGGACAAGCTCCACCCCACCGGTCGCTGTGAGGAGTCGGAGAGTGACTGCCCGCAGCAGGGAGCCTGCTCTACCCGGAATTTAAAAAAACAGGATTCTAAAACTTGCAGGGAGCCTTTGGGAGCAGAGAAGGGTCCCCACAGCAGACCTGTGAAAAGTGGGATGTATACGGGTGTATATTCAACTCCTCCCCCTCCCATGTGTTGCGTTAACTCAGGAAATGCCTGAATGTAAGTACAGTGGTACCTCTAGTTGCAGACTTAATCCGTTTCAGGGTGCTGTTCGCACCCTGAAAAGTCCGCAACTAGAGCGCCTCTTCTGCAAATGTGTGCGGCATGATCGAGCGCTTCTGTGTGTGCGTAAAGTGCGCAGATCGCTTCTGCACATACGTGGACAGCGAACCCGGAAGTAAACACTTCCAGGTTTGCTGCGTTCATAAGCTGAAAGTCCATAACAAGAGCGGAACGCAACACGAGGTATGACTGTAGAGACTCCTCACACATTGGTAGCTTTATCCTCCATGAATTTGCCTTTCCTTTAAAGCCTTGCACAGCTTGCAGGAATAAAGGCCACAGTCATACCTTGGGTTACAGCCACTTCAGGTTGCGGTTTTTTTGGATTACGGACTGCCGAAACCCTGAAGTACCAGAATGGGTTACTTCCGGGTTTTGGTGGTCGTGAATGTGTAGAAGTGCTAAATCGCACTTTGCGCATGTGCAGAAGCGCCGAATCGCAACCCACACATGCACAAACGCGGGTTGCAAACGCTGCGGGTTGCAAACGTGCATCCCACATGGATCATGTTTGCAACCCGAGTGTCCACTGTAGTTTAACTATGCACTGTGTGAAGGACTTAATTGTCTGTCCCAAATCTTCCAACCTTCAGCTGTGTTGGGGGGCCTCCAACTTTCAGTATTTTGTGAGGAGAAAGAGCTCCTCCCTAGCCACTTCCTCTAGACCTCTGGTCTTCAGAGGGTGGGTCACATAACCTACAACTGGGTCACAGCTTAATCTAAGGTAAGTTGCAATAGCAACACTACCACCAGATAAATGTATGGTAAAAAATTTAATGAATTAAGAAATGTGTCCCCAAATGCATGCTTGATTCTAGATGTGAAAAAGTTGAAGACTACAGGTCTAGACTAACATGCAGATGGGAACTTAAGTATCCAAGAGAGTTTCACATTTGTCAGAAAGTTGTAATGTAGTTCTTGGCAGTATAAATGCATCAAAATGCTTTAAAAAAAAAATGTTTAAAAAAGTAAGTAGGACTAGTGGAAAGTGCCCAGTGTTGCTCAGTAATTCTAATGCCCTTCCAAAACATGCATATGTGTCAAGTAGATAAAAACCACCGGATCCAATTGAGTACAAAAGAGTGACTGAAATGCATTGTGACAAATCTGCGTCATCGTCTTGTAAATATGTTAACTACAAGAAGGGACAGTTAGCCCAAGAGAACAGGGGGCAATCCTGAAGGCCACCGGGATAGTTTAAAGCAACAACAACAACCTCACCCAAAGTTTGTGTTTATGTTGCTACTACATGGCAAAACTGAGCCGCCCGACTGCTCTCTGTCCGGGTGATTTATGGCTGCCAGGCTGGCCATTATCACTGCTCCGTGTCCGATTTTCTCGCGGGCTGTCGATAGTGGACGCGCCTCCATCCCTGCCCTCTGCTGGATGATTTAGAGGCAGCTGGCATTTGCCGTTAAAGAGGTGGTTTCTCTATTAGCGCCAGGCGGGGGGAGGAATCGACTCCTGTGGATGTGATTTACCGAGGGACCGGGCCCTGGCATCCTGCAGCTCTTATTGACGCCTGCCCCGTGCCGTCCATCTCCTGTGACAGCCCAATCAATAGCGCTTTGCATTTGCTGTCTGAGTCTATAATATTGGCATGATAAACGGCAGCCCCTGAACACACAGTTTGGCTATGCCTGTGAGCTAGGCCCCATAAGGGGTTGAAGTGGCAGGCTGGGTGTCCCCATTGCTTCAGTCCCTGCCAGGCGTAGTGGCTCCACCAACCTGTGGCTGGTCTGCCCCTCCAGAGGTCACTTTGGTCACACCTTGTGAGGGGAGAGGTTGACATTTGCCAGAGCCTGGCAGGGTTGGCACCAGAAAGTATGACAGAGGGCCCCTCCAGACATCCTTTTTATTTTGCATTCATGATGATTTGTGCCCGTGATGGTATCAGGGCGGTCATACACAATCAAGGAATCATCAGGATGTCTCTCCAAACTGGAAATCACTACTCAGGTGGTGACTGCTTCAGGATTGTACCCAAACTGCTAAATAGAAGGCTTGTGAACCCTGAGGTTTACGGAAATACAAATTTCCCTCCCTCCCTGCCTCTCTAGCTAAGTGGGCACACACACCTGTAGGAAACAGCCCCATGTGGACTGCGTGGCCATGGAATGGGGAGTTTTGTAGGTGGGGGCCAAGTTCGTTGTGCCTGGGAAGATGAAAGAGTTTAAGCTCACCCCAGAGGGTTGCAGGATGAGTTGGATAGGTGGCAATTGTTAAAAAAAAACACACCAAACACCTTTCAGGAATCTGAAATTCTGATCACTGGACAAGAGGGACTTGAAACCATCAAAGAAACATTACTGTTGCCACATCCATAGCATATATTTAAAGCACATTTATGCCACTTTGACAGTCACGGTTCCCCCACCGCAAAGAATCCTGCGAACTGTAGCCCTAGCAGAGCTACAATTTCCAGCACCCTTGCCAAACTATAATCCCCAAGATTCTCTGGGGGAAACCATGCGCTTTAAATGTATGGTGTGGATGTGGATTCCTTTCCTTTCCCCTGCTTTCTTCCTACTCCGCAACCCCCTCAGTAACGCCCCATCCTATGACCACTCAGTCCACAAGGGGCTGTTTCATACAGGTGTGTGTGCCCACTTAAGTAAGTAGCTAGAGAGGCAGGGAGGGAGGGAAATTTGTATTTCTGTCAACCTCAGGGTTCGCAAGTCTTCTATTTAGCAGTTCTGGTACAATCCTGAAGCAGTCACCACCTGAGGAGTGATTTCCAGTTTGGAGAGACATCCTGATGATTCCCCCCTCTAGCCCCCAGCCCCTCAGTATCGCTGTTTCCCTTGCCCACAAGGCAGCCGCGGTGACTTCTTGAAGCTACTGTTGGAGGAAACTGCCTGTGCTGAATACTAACCACCTGCTTAGGATGTGACTCGAATACCACATCTGGAGGGGAGGACAGGGGAGACAGACGTGTGCCAGGCACACTCTCCCCGAGCTCAGCATTCCTGGCACGCCCCACATGGGCCCAGCTGTTGAGGCAGAGAGACCCTCGTGGTGGTGGGGAGCAAAGTTCTTGCACCTCCAAGAGCAGCAGCAATTCACTCCAATATTCAGTCTGGGTGGGACAGGTAAAATATCCTTTACCAATGTTTGAAAAACCCCAAAGCTGCTGATTTAGAGCCCGCTTGCAAACGTAATAATAAAGAATCCACTTGTGATATACCAGTGGTTCAGTGCTCGGACGCCATTCTGGAAATGGTCTAGTATAATTCTACCACAAATACGTTGATATTGCGTCAACAACCTATTGCAGAATACGCCTGCCAAAAAACCCACCCATCTGGAGGGGCCCCGAGGCTCTCGTAAGGGACAAGATGGTGGTAGCTTCTTTTCATTCACATATGTAGAGAGAGGATGGATCTTACTTTAATAGTAAAAGACATGGCTAACTTAGGTTCATTAGTTTCAATGGGTCTGCTCTCAGCAGAACTTAGATGGATGCGACTTTCTGAACGGAAAAATGAGAAGCTTAAGAGACTTGAAAACCATTATCAATCCTTACTGATTGCCTCCCGGTGAGTTTAGAGAATGGGGGCGATATTTGGATAGAGAACTTCTCGTGTTCTCTGCAAAAGGACTTTCTACTTACCAAAGCATGAAGTGCAGTTTGGACAGCAGAGAAGAGACCAAAGGAAGAGGGAAAGGTGCCTGCCCTCCCTCCTTAGGGAGAAGGGAAATGGCTACTTCGTGGCTCATGGCAGATGGTATTTACAGCAGTATTTAATCAATTTAGAAATCAGGCAAACATGAAGTAAGCCCAGCCACTGTCATTCATTCATCTGGGATCTGCTGTTTCTCCAACAAGCTAAGCCATTCTCTGTTTCCTCACTTAGCGATTGATGAGCTAAGAGCTGTATTTATGAGCCTTTGATTAATATGCCACTGCCTCATTCACTTAATTCTTTTTTAAAAAGATTATTAAGAAGGGCTGATTTTGAACAGAGGAATTTTTTAAAAGGAGAGATTGCGCGAAGGCTTGCCTCTTGTAATTTGTTGAAACTGGAACGGATAGTGTAAATAAGAGACAGAATTTGGATGCAATTGTCATTGCTCAACGGGAGAGCGCCTGCTATGGATGAAGAAGGCACCAAGTTCAGTACCCAATATCTCCAGACAGGACTGGGAATGTCCCCCGGAGAGCAGCTGCTGCTTCATGTAGTCAATGCTGAACTAAATGGACCAATGGTTTGACTTGGCACGTTGGTATTTCTTTTTGCTTGCAGTTTGGTTTGTAAGCTGCTAGGCAGCACATAAATCAGGGGTCGTCCTGTTTTGATGCCAAATCCCTTGGGGAAAGCCGGATGGCAACAGCCAGGAGTTGCAGGACCATGGATAGCTCCAAGGGGACAAGTTGCTCCAACAAAGATTGAGGGAGCAGGCATTCTTTCAAGCCCTTGCTTCCAGATTACCTCTCCCAGGCTCCACCCACTTGTAGACAGCTTTTGATTCTTAGAGGACTAACTTGAAGACTGGAGCGCCTCCTCCACCCCCAAACCTCCCACCTGGCGAGATCCGTACCACTGAACCAGCGAGGTACTGTGCAGTGCCTTTGGCTCCTTGGGGTGGGGGGAGAAGGTGCCTATGAAGGTCCTGGCTCCACATCCCCTAGTGGTATAGGGAGGTTGCTCTGGCAGATCCTGTCTGTCAACCTCAAGCTCAGTGGTCTCCTGATCTCCAGGGGCAGGCCTTGAATCTGGTTCCGGCACTGGAGAATCCACAGCTTCCAACTCAGAGCCTTGATCACTGCTGGACTCTGGGGTCATGACTGGGATAGCAGATGGGGTGCCCTCCAGATATCACTGGACTTCAGCTCCCATCATCCCTGACCCATTGGCCATGATGGTTGGAGCTGATCGGAGTTGGAGTCTAACCACATATGGAAGTCCACAAGTTAACTGCTCCTGCATTGAGTGTGATCTCTGCATCCCAGGGGGGTTGGGCTAGATGACCCTTGAGTTCCTTCCAACTCTACATTTCTATGATTCTATTTTTTTCTGCTTCAGTATTATTTCTGCTTCAGTAAAGAGGGATCCACTGAGGAAAAAGCCCTCTGGCCTTGGTCACTGCCACCTGTGGCTCATGAGGCTCAGAGCAGGACTTCAGGTAATGACTGGAGGTTGTGTGGAGGAATATAACAAAGGTCCTTTGACACAGCAGGAACATTTTAAAACACTGCAGGGGGTTGGTCCCTTCCAACTCTACAAGTCTGTCTGTCTGTTTGTCTGTCTGCCTGTCTACTTCTTTTCAGCCTTAGGGCCACATGGCAGCAGAGGGGAGGCAAAGGGCAAAGGTTGGTGGAGCAATGGACATAAATATTAGCTTTGTACAGTAGGGTATTTTTTTACACTCGCTCACACAGCCCTCTCTGTCCTCTATCCAGACAAGCAAAAGGCTTTTTCAGAGTTTAAGGACACATCCCAGCCAGGAAAACACTCTCAGAGAGGGTGCAAAGCAAGGCTGGTGAGGGATGTGACCATGGATGGGGTAGCCAAGATTTATTGGGGGGGGGCAGGCTTTATGTGTGTGGGGGGGAACTAACTTCACTGTGATGCAATTGGCCACTTAGTTAAGTATTTTTATTTTAATTATTTACTTGATTGGGGGGATAGCTGCCCCCCTGGTTATACCCATGGATGTGACCCAGGTGGAGTTTTTAAGTCCTGGGTAGGGGGCAGGCATATTCATCCCCTGGAGGCTGAGATTCCCCATGCCTGTTTTATACTACAGATTACTGAAATTATTAGAAGAAAAGCCTGAGGTTCTGCAGTAACATTTTTTGATTATAGATGTTTTGGTATGACAAATTACTATTTATGAAAATTAACTGTCTTTCCCACTCTCCTCTCCCCCCCCCCCCATGGTTGGAAGCAGATGATAGGCTTCCCCGTCCCCCCGTCACACCCTGAAGAGTTAAAAGTGCTTGTGCCTCTGATTAAGCAGGTATGGTAAGTTTTGGCATCACCTGTTTGGTTAAACAGGTAGGGTGGGTTTTTGGTTAAAAAACCCTACCAAGTCTGTTTGAGTAGAAGTGACAAAAGCCTCGCTCAAGCCACTCTCATCTCTCTTTCGAACTGTCACCCGTTAGACTTGGAAAAACATGGCCTCTCCCATCCTTAACCCACCTCGCAGGGCTGCTGTGAGGCCACAATGCTGTTCCAAGGTCTTCAGGCAGGACAATAAATGTCGCCTGCAACCCAAGCGAGGAAAGCAAGGAGCAGCCAGATTCTGTATTCTCCGGAGCCACTCAGCTCTCCAGATGGTGGGGGCCGCATTTGCAAATGGAATGAGGAGAGCCACAGTCAGGCAGAAATCAAACATGCATTTTAAAGCACTTTAATTATCACTCCGGAAATCTCCCCTCCCTATCCCGCTTCAGTTAATGCACACATTACCACAGTTCGAAAGTTACGCTGTTCCTGTGTTAAATGTCAGCACACTCTCTCCAGCTAGAGTGGGAAAAGGCACACGCAAACACACACACACTGACTGCCTAGAAAACAGAAGCATATAGCTGGGAGTGTGGGGGGGGGGGAAGGCTCCATAGGCCGTTCAGCTGAACTTCCTGCGAAAGATTCAGGGCAACAGCATCCCCAGAAGATGACAGCATCATCTGCTTGGAGGCCTCTAGAGAGGCAGAGCTCACTATCCCTCTACGCTAGGGTTGGGGAATCTGTGGCCCTGCAGACATTGTTGGGACTCCCATCAGCACCAGACAGCATGGCCAATGGTCAGGGATGATGGGAGTTGGAATCCAGCAACACATGGAGGGACACAGACTCCACACCCCTGGCCAAGGCAATCGGTTTCACCGTTGCATGTTTCTTTCCATTAAGAAGTTGCTCCTGATGTTCAGATGAAATCTACCAACCTGTCACTTGTCAATCAGGTTGAAACCCTGTCCTTTCCTAGGGGATAAGCCCCATCTGCACTATACATTTAAAGCAGTATCATACCACTTTAAATCGCCACGCCTCCCCCAAAGAATCCTGGGAACTGTAGTTTGTTAACAGTGCAAAGAACCGGAAGGAGATCCCTATTCCCCCTCAGAGAGCTGCAGTTCCCAGAGATACCTGGGCAGAGTTATTGGCTGTTAACCACTCTGAAAATTATAGCTCTGCATAGGGCAGCCATAGGCAAACTCGGCCCTCCAGATGTTTTGGGACTACAACTCCCATCATCCCTAGCTAACAGGAGCAGTGGTCAGGGATGATGGGAGTTGTAGTCCCAAAACATCTGGAGGGCCGAGTTTGCCTATGCCTGGCATAGGGAATAGGAGCCTCCAAAGAACTCTTAGGGCACTTAAGAAACTACAGTTCCCAGGAATCTTTGAGGAACGATACAGCTTTAAATGTATACTGCAGATAGGGCCACAGCCCTTCAGTTATATAAAAGGTACAATAAAGTCCCCCTGCCTCCTGGGCAGCCTTCTTCCGGCTAAAAACATACGCAGGAGACTTCCAGACTGTCAGTTTTTGGGGTGGGATTCAGCCGCACACTGGCAAATTCAGGTTGCGTAGTTGAAGTTGGCTTGGTGATCTTGCACAACAACTCCACCAACCCCATAAATCAGACCTTTTGTAATAAGGAAAACCGGACAGAAAATGAACTAGAAACTGACAAGGTTTGCACACCAAGTTTCCATACTGGAAGAGGTTAACATATGCACATAGATTTGAGGATCTATTTGCAGCTTGACACAAGAATGGAGGGTAAAGGGTTAACAATACACATCAAGAGGAGCAAAATGGCTAAAAAGCTCTTTAAGCAGCAGGTGTGAAACCAGGGGGCACTTCCAGACTAATCCAGTGTTCCTCCAGATTTGCTTAGAGGGAGATTAGATGACCTTGACTATTTCGTGAGAATTCATTCCGATTTGTTTGTGGGGAGGTCAAAGCAAGTGTTATCCTATACTTTCCCCAGTGCACTTTCCCATTATTTTCCTTATCGCAAAAAGTCTGAACATTTTGGGTACCAGGTTTGTGGTGCAAGGCCTCCCAATTAGCTATAATTGCGCAACCTGAATTTTGCCAATATGTGATTGAACCCCACCAGGAAATAATATTGAGGGACGCGGGTGGCGCTGTGGTCTAAATCACTGAGCCTAGGGCTTGCCAATCAGAAGGTCGGAGGTTTGAATCCCCATTACGGGGTGGGCGCCCGTTGTTCGGTCCCAGCTCCTGCTGTTCAAAAGCACAGCAAAGTGCAAGCAGATAAATAGGTACTGCTCCAGTGGGAAGGTAAACGGTGTTTCCGTGCGCTGCTCTGGTTCGCCAGAAGTGGCTTAGTCATGCTGCCCACATGACCGGGAAGTTGTCTGCGGAGAAACGTCTGCTCCCTTGGCCAGTAAACCGAGATGAGTGCCACAACCCCAGAGTCGTCTGCAACTGCACCTAACGGTCAGGGGTACCTTTACCTTTTTAACACACTACACATTCAAAGCACATTTGAAACACATTCCTTTCTTCAAAGTATTCTGGGCACTGTAGTTTGTTAAGTGCACCTGGGAATTGTAACTCTGTGAGGGGCAAACTACCATGGCCAGAATCCTTTGAAGGAAGGAATGTTCTAAATCTGCTTTAATGTGTACACAGCCTTGGTCTCGGATTGGGGGCAGACCTCTCCCACTTTCAGTGCCTTTTAACAAGCCATTGCTTGCACACCTCCAAGTCTGTCTTTGCAACAATAAGGTCTAAAAATTGCTCTTTTAAAGCAAGGTTTTATTATTATTATTATTATTAATTAAATTTGTATACCACCCTTCATCCGTAGATCTCAGGTTGGCTGAGGATTCTCAAGATGCTAAATCCTTTGCCCAGTACAAGATTCCCCGCTTGCATGGTGACATTTGCATGGAGGTTGCACACAAAAGAGCCGCTGACCTAGACCCTCACCCACCCCAGCAAAAAGTGTCGCACTGCTACTCCTCCTGCATCTTATCAGCCCTTGTTGAGGAGCGCAAGGTGTGTCTCCCACTCCTTCCCTCCGCTCCTCCAAGTGTCACATTTGCACGTTATTGTTCTCTCAACGCATCCTCTGCTGCCGAATTATCAGTCTGAATGTGTGAGAGCAAAGACTGTGTCCCAGAGCAGCTTTAATTAACAGACTCTACTCCCTCTCAGACAGACAAGCGTATTGGGGGGGGGGGTGGAATGTAGGCTGGAGAGAGGCAAATAAGAAGGAAAGGCAGTGAAGGAGGGAAAGCAGGTATTTTTAGAGGGGGTGTGGGAAGGCGGAAGGAATGCACATTCAAAGTTTTTTTTGGAGACTAATTCATACCAATAATAATAATAAGGATTACACCAGGCAATGGGAGGTCATCCATTAGGGCAAATGGCATGTTGCTCCACCAACCACAGCCTGCCCTCAGCCAGTGCCTCCTTAGTCTCAGTATTGCTCCTTGTAGAACTCAGCAGGGAAGGAGATGGGAGCTTTGACTGTCTCCGGCTCCAGCTCCCTGGTTTCCACTCGACCAGTCACAACAAGCACCACCTCCCTCTGGCGTGGGGAGCACCATTTTCACTGACTTTGGAGCAGACACACTCACCCCACCCCAATCCTGTGTTGCATAATTAAGACAGGTGGGGCTGCCTTTGTACACCGATTGGAAGCTTCCATTAGCGCAGAATGTGGCTGCCCAACTATGGCCGGGTTCAAGACATTGGCTGCCTGTATGCTTCCGAGCCCAGTTCAAAGTGCTGGTTTTGACCTGTAAAGCTCTCTACAATTCAGGACCCCATATCTTCTGCAATGCCTCTCCTGGTATGAACACAACCAGACACTTAGTTCTTCTATGGGGGCCCTTCTCCAGGTCCCCACTGAGGGAGACTCAGAGGGTGGTGACAGGTGAGAGGGGTCTTTTCAGTGGTGGCTCCCCATGTATTGAATGCTATTCCTGGAGAGGTTTGCCTGGTGCCTTCCTGACCAGAGTCATAGCTGGGGGGGGGGCACTGCCCTGGGCTCCCAAGCGGCTAGCTATGCCACTGTTCCTGACACCTTTTCAGTGCCAATTAAAAATTTACTTCCCCCCCCGCCAAGCTTTTGATGGATTGAGCAGTTGTTTTTCGGTTAGTGTGTTGCCAAAGCTTTCTGTGTCTGTTATTGGGTATGTGTGTATCTTATTTCTGCATTTGTATAAATTTGTTAATGTTTTCTGTGACATTGTTAATGTTATTCACTATTTATATTTACGTTTTAAAAATTTGTTGTAAGTCACTTGGAGACCTCTCAGTAACAAGTGACTAATAAGTTGTTTTGTTTCGCTTTTAGTACGTTTTCTGATCAAACTCATGCTTTCCAGTCAAAAAAGGATAAATTATAAGCCACATTTCTTTCTTTCTTATTATGGACAGAGATATATGTGTATATATACCGGTATGTGTGTGTGTGTCAATGTTAATGTTACTAAATCTACAGAGAAGAAACATTATGTGAACCAAAATAAAACTTTTAAAAAAGTTATTTAGTTAAAATATCTCCCAATGTCACATACAGGTTTACTTTATCTTGCATTCTCTCAGTCCAATAAGAAATACACAAGCTCAGTTTTTCAATGAAACTTAAAATAACACCAATAGCAACACTTACATTTGGCTGGGAGGCGATACCCACAGCTAATCTTGGCTTTTCCAGTCTCGCAGCCACTCAGGGTCCGGCATTCCTCTTTGAGCAAAGGCCCCGCAGCACGATGGATGCAGCCGTCCACTAGCAAAGGAATGTAAAAAAACACTTTGTCAATGTAAGAATCAGACTCGGGCATAAAGATATGGGCAGCACTGAACACACCTTGTATCAGGACAGGAAACTCGCTCATCCCAGCACAGTCTTACCTGCCTTGATTGGAAACAGCTCTCCAGTAGAAAGAATTAGTCACATCCAACACCATCTATTCAAAGCACAGGTGTACCATTTTAACAGTCTTGCAAAGAATGCTGGGAAATGTAGTTTGTTTAGAGCGCTGGAAGGGAATTGTAGCTCCGTGAGGAGTCTCCTAGCAGCTCTTAGATTTGCTTAACAAACTACACTTCCCAGAATTCTTTGGGGGAAGCCATGACTGTCAAAGTGATATACAGCTGCTTTAAATGGATGGTGTGGATGTTACCAGGCTTTCTCATTGCCTGTTAACGTCATCCTTCCCAACACCACTCCCATCTTATAAACTAGATCGAACCTGGGACTTCCTGCATGTAAACAGATGTTCTGCCACTGAAATATGGCTTCTTCCCTGCAAAACACTCCTGTGAAATCTCTGTTCTGACTGAAATAGTAACTGCAGTTTCCAAATACTGCTCCTTTCAAGTTTCCTTTCCACTGCTCCTTTCCTGTAGTGCATTTTCCTCGACTTGGGTCACATCCACATCAGAGACTTAAAACACATTGCTTCCCCCCAAAGAATTCTGGGAACTGTTAAGTTGTGGGTGCACATATCAGACAACACAGCGATTCTTCAAACAGCTCTTGTTTATTCACAGGCCAGAACAGAACTGAACTGAAGGGTTCAGTCAGCCTGCTTATATAGAACTCCAGTACAACATAACTGTAACAATTTTCTAAAACTATTCAATCAATGAACGTCACTTTCGATTCCTTATTTGCATAACTATCTACAGTATCCCCCTGCTGGCCCAGGGTGAGAACTTCAGTACATAACAGGAACTGTAGTATGTTAAGGGTGCTGGGAAATATACCATTGCTGGGAATCATAAATGCGGAGAGTGCTGCTGCAGTCAAGCCCTCCTTGTGGACTTCCCACTGAGACATCTGGCTGGCCACTGAGCTAACAGGAAACTAGACTAGATGGGCCTCTGGCCTAATCCTGCAGGGCTCTGCTTATTCTCTTACTACACGGACCCTCCATGTGAAGAGGCAGTATACCTCAGAATACAACTTGCTGAAGTCAAACAGTGGGGAAGGGCCATTGCCTTTTACACCCGGATTTGTGAGCTTCCCAGAGATTGGTTGTTTGTAGAAAGAGGATGCTGGACCTGATGGATCGTTAGCCTTCTCCAGCAATTTTTAGGTTATAAGGATTTTGGTGGGGGGAGAGAAGGAGAGCGTGGCCAGGTGTTCCAAGGCCTAAAGGGGATGGGTGATTTGCTGTCCACTCTCGAGTACATTAGAGAGAAGCATTGATCAGGAGGGTCCATTATTAGCTCATTCACAGTCCATCTCCTAATCCATAAAACAATATTTTATCAGCTGCACTCCAAGGGGAGTCGATAAAAACCACAGAGGCAATGGGCAATTTTTTGATCGTACAAAGCTGTCCCCTCCCCCAACCCCCGTTAGCCTGGCTCTCTATGTGGGCGCAAATGAGAGGAAGAGATATAAATACACACATTGACTGTAGGAATCAGACAACTGTAGCCAGGTAAGTAACCCAGTGTGATGGGCGGCAGGGGATATCACAGCATGTGTGGTATAATGGTTAGTGTGTCATGTTAGGACTTGGGAGACCAGAGTTCAAATCCTCACTCAGCTATGGAGCTCACTGGACGACCTTAGACCAATCACTGCCTCTCAGCCAAACAGGGGGGTTGTGAGGATAAAATGGAGGGGGGAATCATGTATGCCACCTTGAGCTAATTGGTGGAAAGGTGGGATATAAATGTAATACTACTACTAATTTCTGAAAAGAGAGACTGGAAGTTGAGAGAGGATGCCTGGTCTAAAGGGGTTGGCTGGATTACACCAGCATTCAACACACATTTGTTGCAAGCCCCATTTGTCTTCGCTGCTTTTTTCAGATGGTGGGCTCCTTCACGTGGCCTGTTTACTGATATTTCCCCCAGATTCGCTTGCACTAAGCTTCCATGGAGGTTATGTGAATCCCAGCTCTTTATTGAACATTTATTTTGATTTGTTTGTGCATTCGCTCTGATTTGTCTTCCTGTCCATCAGTGGTTATCCCACACTTTCCAATGCATTTCTCCATTGCTTTCCAAACTGTTAGAAGTCAGTGGATTGTTTTTAAGTGGATTTGTTGCTGTAGGGCAACACAGCACTTTAATCCACCTCAATTGTGCAAATCTGAAATTTCCTGCACATGACTGAATCCCTCCTGCAAAACAGCGACAGTCTAGAGTCAACCTGTACGTCAACTAGGGTTGCTAAACCTATTTTTCCAAACGCCATAACCCCCGCCCAGCCCTACACACAAAGTTTCAAACCCCAGAGCAGACCCAGCAGCAAACCAAACTAGCTGTAATTTCCTCATCTGAAGAAGCAGAATGGATATAAATTCAATAGATACATGTCCACTGAGCAATAATGCAGGCGGATTATTTCATATGCTCCAACTGCCCCTAACAGGGACAGTCACTGTTTTCTGGGACTTGACCTTGGTAAACTCCAGGCCCTGTGTAGTTGTCGCTGCTTTTGCTTTTGGGGAATGTTTGCATTTTTGGGTTCAGGTGTTAGGAGTCACCATTTCCCACCTCCCTCCCGCCAATAAAATCTCAGAGTGGAGAAGCATCATGTCCTTGGTGCTTGTGCACCTTAATGCAGTTGCTGAGGTGTACCCGTATTTTTCGCTCTATAACACGCACCACACCATAACACGCACATAGTTTTTAGAGGAGGAAAACAAGAAAAAAAATATTCTAAACGAAATAGTGGCTATATGATTTTTGTGGTTCATGCTGTGGCCACAGACATGTGATCTGACAGTGAGTTTGGAGTAGCCCAATGCAAAACTCCTGAGGATCCATGTGGATTCACGCTTTGTCACCACGGAGGAGGGAAGGAAGGGGAACCATGGATCCTCTGCTCACGACTGCAGCAGATTCCCCCCCCCACCACCCGCAGGCATTTGCGCCATAACACGCACAGACATTTCCCCTTACTTTCTAGGAGGAAAAAAGTGAGTGTTATGGTGCAAAAAATACGGTATTTTGAAATGTTGATAACCCACTGTTGTTCAGCTCTGATTATCCTAGCATATTCTTAACCGCCCTCTTGGCTTCTAAACTGGGGGGAGACGGGCTGCTGCAGAAGGAATGAACACGGGAAGAAAACAGGTGAAGCAGAACCTCCCAAAATGTACAAGACTGAGCGTGCGGCTGGTGGTATGTGTCTGCGCACAGACTCAGGGAATCTCTCCGGGCAGAGGCGCATAAGATTATGTATGCAAGGTGTGAAGCAAGCGGAGAGTGAGAAGTTTTTGTTCCTCTCTCATAATGCTAGAACTCTGAATGGTGAAAGTTTCAGGACAGAGAAAACAAATTGACTTCATTACACAGTGCACAGCTTAATGGTGGAACTCCCTGCCACAAAATGGCTTCTAGCCATTATGGCTACTAGCCGTGATGGCTCTTCTCATGTTCTTAACTTTCTTAGGTATGAGGATTGCAGTGTTACAAGCTTGTCTCTGTTCTTGCCTGTGAGTTTTTCAAGAGTCCACTGTTTATGCCTATTATGTAGGGGGATGACCTGGGGTGGGGAGATGAGGACTAGGGGCAGCTAGAGGGTATTGCTGTGACCAATGCGCATTGGTGCCAGTTCTGCAGCTTGAAATGGAACTGATGGGGTGAGAGGAGAGAAGGATGCTTTCAAGCCCAACTGTCCTGACGCTCCCAATAATGGTGGGAGGAAGGCGGGGTGTGTGTGCGCTTGTTGGCATCTGGGCTATTTCTGGCAGCGTACAAAGCAGGGGGCCTCTGGGGAGGCGCCTGTCATCTCCGTTCACCACAAAGGAGATTGTGCCCAAGGTTAGCAGCTCCCCCCCATCTCTCTCTCTCCCCGCCACCCCCCGCCACTCCAACTCCCGTTCTTCCAAGCTTATTCTTGTGCTGTGTTTGACAGGCCCGAGGCCTGAGGCCTATACAGCGGGGAACCCAGGCAGCAGCCAAGCAGAAATTCCCACACTTAATACAGCCTTGCTTACCCTCGGCAACCATAAGCCCCTTCCCCTTGCCAGCTCTGGATCGAGACAACCTGGAAGGCTCTATGTGCAGCTAATCCCCACAATTATAATTGCAGAGGAGGATTTTGACTGGCCCAGCCAAAATCTCCTTCTGCTGGCCAGTTGTTAGAACACAAGGATGTAAAACCCAGGTGAGAGAGAGAGAGAGAGAGAGAGAGAGAGAGTATTTGTGTGTGTTTGTGTGCATTTTCCTGCTCTCTATATGGTGCATTTTTATTTTAGAAAAAGGAAAGAAGGAAGGAAGGAAGGAGCCCATCTCCTTCAGAGAGGGCACTCTACAGATGCTCAATAACACTGTCTTGAAAAGACATTTTGAAAGGCAAGATACTTTGAATTATCAAGAAGTTCACTCTTAAAACCCTTCAAATAAAATATACTAGTTCTACTCAATGAAAGGCACCATGCATGTGCTCAGAGGCACCTGAACAAATTTCAGGCTCTATTTCCAAGTAGAAATTTTAATGTATCCTGCATATATGGGTGATGACTGCATATGTCTGTTTCGCCAGGTGCACATAGGGTCTGTTCTCAAGTTTGCCACAGGCACATGGATATAGCTCTGTACCCTTCTCTCTTCCTAGACCATGGCCGCGCTTGCCTGCATGCCTCCTCTCAGCAGTGGATGTGGAGGAACGCATATGGTTGCCTAGCAACTGCATCTGAAAGACTCTGGGCCTACCTGGACCAGGGATGGAGCTCTGATGGCTAAAGGGTCCCTCATCTGGGACAAATGCTCCATTCATTATGCCCCCCCAGCAAGGAAGATGCACCCCCTCTGTCTCCCCTGTAGTCACTTGATGGACTGCTCTCTCTTCCCTCCCCCTGGCCTGCCCTCAGTCCTTGAATCAGCTGTTTTTCCGCCCCGACACCCAGCTTGTTAATGCGAATGAGTTTTGCCATCACGCATGGTTCCCCATCTCTTTCGCGCGCTGATACTCCCACACAGAGATGCTCTGAGATGGAGACCAAAAGTGACATATTTCAAGGAGACCCAGAGAGGGCAGAGGATAGGGGGGGTGGGGGATGGCGCCAGTCAAGAGGGTCCCAACTTAAAGGAAGCAAGAAGACAGAGGTTAGAAAGTGGGACATCCAGGTCATCTTAGCACCAGTGGAACCCTTCAGCCATTTCCATTCCAGAGACCCACATCCGATGAGTTGTATTAGTTTATGTTGACTAAATCTGTATAAATTTGCATATGAGGAAAGAGGGAGAAGTATATCTTGAGCGAAAAGCTTACCGGTTGTAGCCAACTAAGTTCTACTCAGAGTAGACCCACTGAAATAGATGAACTTAACTTAAAGGTAAAGGGACCCCTGAACATTAGGTCCAGTCATGGCCGACTGTGGGGTTGCGGCGCTCATCTCGGTTTATTGGCCAAGGGAGCTGGCGTACAGCTTCCGGGTCATGTGGCCAGCATGACGAAGCCACTTCTGGCGAACCAGAGCAGCGCACGGAAATGCCGTTTACCTTCCCGCCGGAGGTATTTATCTACTTGCACTTTGAGGTGCTTTCGAACTGCTAGGTTGGCAGGGACTGAGCAGGGACTGAGCAACGGGAGCTCACCCCGTCGTGGGGATTCAAACCGCCAACCATCTGATCGGCAAGTCCTAGGCTCTGTGGTTTAACCCACAGCGCCACCTGCGTCCCTGAACTTAACTTAGTCCTGTCTATTAACTTCAATGGGTCTACTCTGAGTGGGACTAGCACTGTATATAACCCATGCTTCCTTTGTGTTTAGATGATGCACAAACAGATTGTGGGGGGCACTGTCATTAGAAGAGGCCTCCCTCCCCATATTATCACACACAGGAGGGAATGCATTTTTTAAGGCAGCCTTTACCAGTTGTGATTTGTATTTATATTGATTTTTTAAAAATGAAAGAAACCCAAATACGTTAAAAAGCTGCCCCCTGATTAATTAGGGCCACCTTTTTAGTTGATCAGAATGTTTTTGACTAAGCATTGAAGCTCTCGTTATTACTAGTGATTTGTATATAACATTTAGCAGACGTGACAACCCAACTCTTATTCCCCTCCTCTCAATACTTGATTTCTAGCCACTGGCATTCCCATTTTATAGATGAAGTGCTGAGGCTGAGAGAGGGAACTAGCATGTACTGTTGCATTGGACTCACAGAGACTCTTGAGAGATGTGGGAGGACTGCCGTGGGGTCCAAAGGAAATGGAGGGGGTTGGTGGGAGCAGAATAAATGAACATGCACATCACTGGGGCATCAATAGCTCTCGCATACCCTCTTCTGAAAAAAATACGGAATGCCCCCGAAAGCACTAGGAGGCGCTGCAGTGCAGAGAGTGAGGAAAACAGGACAAGCGTTCCTCTCCCCTCGCCCCCAACCCCAACCGCATTCATGGCTTCCCAGAACAGGGTGAGCCCAATCCCATTGTCCAGAGAAGGGCTTGCCGCCCACGCTGGTCCCCACCGCAGCCACCCTGAGTGCTTCTTCTGGGCTGTTTGGAGCAGGGTGCATGTGTTTTTCCTGCCCGCCTGCTGTCTGTGCTGTGCATAGGTATCTCATAAGGTGCTTTTCATAATCTGTCCTTTGGCATCCCTACATACATTCTTGGCGGGGGGGCACAGCCTGTGTATGTTTGGGGTGTTTGTGGGGTGTGCTGGTGAGAACCACGTGCATTTGTTTCCCTGATCAGGCTGTGTAGTGCGGTTGCGGCATGTGGCTGTCTGACTGGAGACCGGCAGAGTGCGTGGCGGGCATCCCTGGGGTGTGCAGTGTGTGCCGATTGGCCACCATGCTGAACTTTGCCAGGGATGTCATCTGCACCCTGTCCCTTGTTTGTTAGATTGAGCTGCTTCTGCACACACATGCAAAGGGTGCTTGGGAACCCTCCCCTGCGTGTCAAGAGGTGGGCCCTGTTCCCATGACAATGCCAGCTGAGCTGGCTCTCTGTGGCTGGTTGGCTCCTGTTCTCTCTGCCAGGTGGGAGCTGATTCATTTCACATTTGCCCTTCTCAGGGGCTCCTGGGCAGGTTTGGATGTGGCATGCTTTAGACCAAGTTAACTTAGGCCAGAGTCATTTACTGTGGTTTCCCATAGTTAGGATTGCTATGCCCATTAGGTCCATTAATTTCAATGGGTCTACTCTGAGTAAAAGTTGAACACCACTGTATGTGCAAAGATGCATATGTTAGGGAGAAATGTCCATAAAAATGCATATTATTGAAGATTACATACAAAAAAAGCATTATAAGAGGAGAAATTGCTTGCAGGGGGGAAGTGTATGTTAATCAAAACTGCATACAAAAATGTGCTTCTCAGGAGTAATGCTAAAATGCTGGTGAATTTTCATGAGGATTAAAAATAAATAAATCAGTAATTGCTGCAGAAATGCAGAAAACTAAATTTCAGACTGGAAAAATAAGAAACTTCAAGAACCAAAGTTGCCAGATTTGTCCAGCCCTAGAAGTCACCAACATGTTATAAGCCCCATCCTGCCGCGAGCAGGATCAGCCCCTCCCATGCCCTCTTTTCCTTCCCCAAAGATCAGCTTTATGCAATCCAGAGCAGTCACAGTTAGAGAACAGATGTCTCACAGAAGGTCTTTGCAGAGCAAACAGCACCAGATGCCTTTAATAAGAGGACCAAGCCACACCACAGAGAGGGGTGTGTGCGTGAGAGGGGGGGGGATGAGTGTGTGCCCCCCCACCAGCAGCAATTCAGCAACCACTCCTGGTGCCTTTTTATTTTTATTTCCTTTTCTTTCTTTTTTATTAGACTCATAAAAACCAAATGGAAGAATTGAACATAATATTTACAAAAGGGAAATATAATTTACAGGAGTGTTGAAACCAGTCATGAAACTTTTCACCATGACACAATGAGCCGTGACTAAAAGCATCCAATAGATTCAGCTTTGGAGATGCAGAGGTTTGTGGGCTTTGGGTATGTGGGGCAGGAGAGGGAAGCAGAGGAGAGACACCACATGATTCAGCTGTTGAATTTCCACCCCATAATGAAACTAAACCCCTGTCATATGGCAACCTAAACTGGCTAAGGAAAATATACAAGCATGGAAAACCCGGGATTCCTTCCCAACCCATGATATGGCAATCAGACCCAAAGCATGAACGTAATCCATAAATCCCCCAAAAAGATTTTTAATTGGTGAGGGGGTAAACCCCACTGAACACAATGAGACCTCCTTAAAAAATAATATGCATGTGAAAGATTGCACTCATATGCTCCTATGTTCTGGGAGAGGGGGCGCCCAGCCACCTTACATAAAACGCCTTAGCTCTCTGATAGTGTTCCCCCTTGTTTTCCTGACTGGCATTTCTTATCCCTCTTCCATACAAACACACAAAAGGCCTAGTCCCAGCATCCACCGCAGCCCATCCTAAACAAGCCTGATGAAAGCAACCAGTTCTTCTCCCCCTCCCGCCAGCTGCCCTTCCTGTGTGTAGGCCTCTAATCCCCCCTCAAGGGCAAATCAATGGGATCGCTCCGTAATCCACTTTCCCCGAGATCTCCTTACATAAAGAAGGGGGTGGGCGCCCGCCAGGCCCATCTGTCAGGTCTGAGAATTATCGCCTCAGATCTCATCAGGGCCCGTTTCATTCCTCTTTCCCCAATGGCTGCTGGGCATCTCTGAGGCCTTGTAGCTCAAGAAGGAGGAGTGGCGGCCGGCTGTCACGACACGCGGCCAGGATCAGGGTTCTCGAACCAAGCCTTCAACCCCCAAGTGGAAAAATCCTCCCAGCTGGTGGTTTCGCCTCTTGGCGTCAAAGAGCACTTTATCCCGGTGTTTGTAGCAATGGGCTGATTTTTCCTGCATGGATGATGCCACAGGGGTGGGAAACAGTCAAGAGCTTTCCCCCTCAAAGCCTTGAAGGTGGGATGGAATTGTGGGTCACATTCACACCATATGTTTAAACTGCTGGAGTGCCACTTTAAACAGTCATGGCTTCCCCCAAAGAATTCTGGGTGCTGTGGTTTGTTAAGGGTGCTGAGAGTTATTAAGAGACTCCTCTATTCCCCTCCTGGAGCAAAAATCTTAGAGTTATTCAACAATCAATCCCTCTTTACTGGGAACTGTAGAAATCGTGTTGGACAAAGACCTGGGAGACCAGGGTTCGTATCTCTACTCAGCCATGAACTGACTAGCTGAGCTTGGGCCAGTCACTGCCTCTCTCAACCTAACCTACCTCACAGGGTTCTTGTAGGGATTAAATGAGGAGGGGGAGAAAAATGTATGCCACCTTACACTCCTTTGAGAAAAAGGTGGGCTGTAAATGCAACAAACAAACAAACAACATTCTCCTAATATACACCTGTTTACTGTATTTTTTGTTTCTATGGAAGCCGCCCAGAGTGGCTGGGGAAACCCAGCCAGATGGGCGGGGTACAAATAATAAATTATTATTATTATTATTATTATTATTATTATTATTATTATTTGTATGCAATGTTGCCTAATAGACCAATATTTGCAAAACAATTTCCCCATATAACACACTTTTGAAATTTTCACTATATATTTTACACACACTTAGTCTAGTACATGCCTTTTTGTTCACATTCCCTGGCTGGAGAATTGCATTGCAAAAGTTGGAGAAGTGTGAATGTGTTTTAGGTCATGTATAGATTCAGAAAGTGCGGATTAGGTACAGTAGGTTCGCCTTTAAATAAGAACTGAATTGAATTTCCTCCCCCTCCCCCCCCAATGCCCCAGTCTGTGACAGCTTCTGGCACATCAGCCTCCCCAAAGCTGCTTTCAGCTCTGGTTATACCCAGGTTTTCATGGAAGAAGGTGCCACCACATTCAACAAGACTTTGGGGCTTCGGACAACAACGAACAAGGGCATGCGATCTTGCACCCTCAGTAAACATTTTGGCAGATGCTCAGTTCCAAAGCATATGCACCAAAATGTGCAATAATAATAATAGTAATAATAAGAAAACCTTTTAAAACTGCAAGGTACAGTTGCAGTGTATATTTTGCTTTGACCCTTTCCTTCCTGCCTTCCCATCCTCCTCACCAGAACGCTAATTATACAGATCAAAGCCTGCGTGTTAAGCGTGGGCATTCCCCAATGAGGCTCACAAGTTTGTATCTCCTAATAGCCACATATAGGCTGGAGGCAAAAGCAGTTAGCAGCAGAGTCTCTAGGTAAGGGCTGGAGGGAGGCGCGGTGGGGGGGAGGATGGAGAACGAGAACGGCAGCAGCAACTGATGGTTAGGCCCATCTGCGGCAAAGGCAGTTGCTAATCAGCCCGCCAAGACAGCCTCCTTTTTTTCCTAGGCATTAATTAAGTCTCGGAGGCTTCATTCATCCACCATGCAGCCTCAGCGCAGATCTAGGGCACAGTCAATAAAGCTCTCCCAGCTACAATGAGCAAGGATGGAAGTTTCAATGGAGCTGAAAGAGTTAGCAAAGGGTTTGTGCTAATGCAACCCCATATTTCTCGAAAACATAATTCTACACCCCTCCTGACCAACCTGGCGCTCTCCAGATGTTTTGGACTACAACTCCCATCAGCCCCACCCATCCTAGTCACTGGTCAGGGATGATGGGAGTTATAGTCCCAAACAGCTGGAAGGCACCAAGTTGGGGAAGGCTTCCAGGAGATAGCTGTTTACCTGGCATTCTGGCTTTTGAGGCTACTGAATGTATGTTTACAATCACAATGGCTAGAAAGCGGAAGTTCTCACCCTGCATTTTTACAGAATTGTGGAAATCAACATTTTACATACTTTTTAGTGAACATCTAAACCAGGGCTGGGAAGCCTTTAGCCCATAGCCCTCATTAGGAAAAGGTAAAATTTGGCCCACAAAGGCATTTCTGGCAAACCATGCCCTCCTGTCAATCACCTGATATCATTATGATGTCATGCGACAACTGGAAAGGGGCTCCCATTTGGAAACAGACTTCTAAATAATGCCACTGATCAGTGGAGAGACATCTGCTTTTGAAGTCTGTTTCCAAGCAGTTCATGTTGAAACCTCTTCCAAAGGTGCTTCAAAGGTGAGCTCCTTTTAAGTTGTTACCTGATGCCATAATGATATCAGGTGATTGACAGGAAGGTGGCCCTGCCCACCTGTCAAAGTTGGCCTGTGGTGGGGCTGGAGGAAAGCGGAATCCGACTCACTGGCTGGATCCAGCTCCCCACCCCTGACCTAAACATAGCACACACCCAATAGATTTAAGCTGTACTCCACAGCATCTTACCAGTATATTAGCTAGTCCCATTTTACTTGATGTATAAGAATACACTGTTGGGCTGCAGGGCTGGATGGATCTGTCAGTTATGGTTCTCTCAGTTTCTTATGTTTACAAGCATAAATTTGGTTCTCCACATTTCTTCAGCAATTCTCCTTTTTAAAAAAAGCTCATCAAAATTCATCAGCATTCTAATGTGAATTTTTCCTAATAAATAATTTTCTATGCAATTTTGCCCAATGTACACAATTTTGCAAAGCCATACCCATAATATTTTCACTAATAAATGCATTTTAATGCACACTGTACTCTAGTACATGCAGTATTGCAAAATTCAGAGAACTGGAAATTTTGAAGGCTCGGCATGTCTTGGTTTGCATGTTATTTTGGAAATTATGGATTTGGTAGGTTCACTTTGAATTTGAATTTACTTGAGATTCTCCCCTATTCCTAGCAAAGGAGCCAACTCCTAGGGGCCAAGGACCCTTCAACCCTGGCAATAAAGTATTTGAGGGCGCCGTGGGTCCCCAAAGTTGATGGGCATTGCGATTCAAATGGTGTTTGTGTGACTGGCTATGCAGGGCAACGCCCCTCCCATATTTTATTGAAGTTGACACCCCTGATCCCTAGTTCACAGTTCACTCTCTTGGGAATAAATTTGAACCTAGGTCCCCACTTCTGAAATCCAATAGTCTCATTGCATTGTACCACACTCACTGTGCCACGCTTCCTCCACCTTGAGAAAATAAAACAAACTGATAAGCTAGGCTCTTCGGAGCAGGAAAAGATGTACACAGGTGTGCAGCCTCCAAACAACCACTTTAAAAGAAGAAAATTAAAATGGAATTCCAGGTTTTTAATATGGCAAAGGGGGAAGGAACGCTGTCCTCCATCTCTAACCATAGCATAGTGATGTCACCAGCTGTCACTAACTGCATCACACGAGCAACTAAAAAGCCAGCTTTCAAAAGCATTACTGGCATGCAATATTTTCAGTGACATTAAAAGAAATAAAACTGAAAAGTGTGCACATTTTAATTCATATTTGGAACAGGAAAATTTTGAAATGTAAGATTTTGCTGCAATGACATTTCTTATGCAGTGAAAACAGATTTCCAACAATATGGTACTTGGGGAACACGGTATTTTCTGGTTGGAATTGGATCACTCCCCCTACTGGAAAGAAGTTTTCCTGCAACAGGAGTCAAGCAATTTCTGTTCACCCCGGAGCCACAGTGGAGAGGCATGAATTATATACAAGTCCCAGGTTACATAAGCGAGCTAAATAATAGATAATAAATAATAGTTAATAAATAATAGATCAGGCTGAGGCTTACATAATGCTCTGTGTGACACAAAAGGAAAGGAAAAAGAAGGTGAGCCGGGAAGGAAAAGTGGTTTCTCAGGCTATCGGAGTGGTGGGCACCTTTGGGGGGAATGATGCACAGACATGAGTGTGGGACATTAGAGATGGGGAGTGGGCAAAAGTGCACCAATGCCTTTGCAAATACATGGAGAGGGTCACCACCTAGTGTGCTGGTCCTTGCATCTGAGCATGTCTTTTCTCAGAATAAAGATTCCTTTAAAAAGGGGGGACGACAAAGTAGTGTGGGAGAGAAGTGGGCAGAGATAGCTCTCCCAGATAACCTGTCTACTGAGTATTCATCCTGATTTGCTTCCACAAAGCTTATGCAGAGGTTAGACTACAGTGGTACCTTGGGTTACAGACGCTTCAGGTTACAGACTCTGCTAACCCAGAAATATTACCTCGGGTTAAGAACTTTGCTTCAGGATGAGAACAGAAATTGTGCTCCGGAGGCCCCATTAGCTAAAGTGGTACCTCAGGTTAAGAACAGTTTCAAGTTAAGAATGGACCTCCAGAACAAATGAGGTACCACAGTATATCCAGCCTTTACTGAACATTTGTTCTGTCTTGCTTCTGGGTAGTTATATGGCAATGAGCATTCATCCTGCATTTATCCTGATTTGCAAGTGGAGTGTTTATGCATCTCCCTTTTAGTCCTTCGTTCATCCCACACTTCTCAGGACACTTCCCCGTCACCTTCCTAACTGCACAGGAGTCTGCTTCTTTCTTGAAGGTGGATTTGCTGCGCCAGGATAACAGGAGTACATTAATCCAATTTAATTGTGCGCACCTAAATTTCCCAGTGTGCCTTGAATCCCTCCTTCCTGCAAAATACTGACAGTCTGACAGGCTGCGCAAAACACTTTTCTGTCCTCTCTCCCATTACAACAGAACAAGGGATCACCTGATCAAATGGACTGACAGTAAATCCAAGACAGACCAAGAGAGAGTCCTTCTCTTCAAAATGCATAATTAAATGTGTGGAATTGGCTGTCACAGGAGGAAGGTCCCCTGTCTTGGATGATATTAAAAAAGCGAGACCAGACAAATTCCCGGAGGAGGACTAGGAGAAGTCCATCAATAACTTCACTCAAAAAGGCCACAAGTAATTCTTTATATTCGGAGAAAGGGTGGAGGTAGAACATAGCCATCAGGTTTAGGAGCCATTGATAGCCTTAACCCTCCATGAATTTGTCTAAACTTCTTTCAAAGCCACCCAAATCCGTTATTAGGGGGCAGAAGCCCCACTCTTCAAATCCTCAAAGCTTCAGGGTTTCAAAATTTACCATGCGCCACTAAAGTAGCAACATCTAGTTCATAACAGACAGAGACCATTGTTTGGGCTAGCTAGCTAGGCTTATCTGTGAAGGGAAGCACCAGTATTAGGCACACAAATTCAGAACATGTGCGCAGGTGAGAAAAAATGCCCACAGTACCTATTAAACAGGTTGACTTGGAAGGGCCTGCCAACACAATCCCAGGAAGCAGGCTAGGGCAGCTGTTTATGGGATGTGGCCTTGAGGGGCTTGCCTTACACATCCCGGGACAAGACAGGGCCTAACTGGGGTTGGGGAGGGGGGATCTCTTTGGTGCAAGAAGCTGTCTCCCTGGCACCCCTTTCCTCGGCTGATCCCTGCTTGCACCAGCTTTGCATTCACACTTCTGCAAAGCCCTCCGCAAAATCAATTTCAAAGTGCAAATTGACTCTTTGCTACAACACAAATCTGGTGTCAGGGACGAGGCAAGAGAGGGGGGAGGAAGGGTGTGTGTGTGTGTGTGCCTGTGCGCATGGGCGGCTGTGGGTAAAAGAGAGTTACAGAATGCAAATATATGTTGGGGATCACTTAGTCAGGGTCAGACTGGGAGACAGGAGAGCTGTCTTCAGATATCTGAAGGGCTGTCAGGCAGGAAATGGAGCAGATGAGTTATCTGTTGCTCCAGAGGGCACAACTGGAAATCAATGGGTAGAAATTACAAACAAGGAGATTTTGGCAAAAAAGGAGTTAGGAGAAACTTCCTAATGGTTTGAGCAATTTGACAGTGGAACAGAATACCTCAGGAGGAGGGAATAGGAGAGGAAATTCAGTTCAGTGCATTTTAAGGGGGGGGGCAGAGTTACCTAATTTGCACTTTCTGAAGCAACATGCAAATTTGCAAACACATGCAAGCATGCAAAACAGAGCTGTCCTTTGAAATTTGCACGTCTCTAAATTTTGCAACGCAGTTCTCCAGTCAAAAAATGCATATACACGAGAAAAGTCTGCATATAAATGTATATTTGAGTGAAAATTAACCTACTAAAAATGCATTGTACTGGGAGAAATTGCTTTTCAAAAAGAGGATATATTAGGCAAAGTTGCATACAGAAATGTGTGTATTAGGAGAAATTTGCAATAAAATGCTGAAGAATTTTCATTAGGACATTTTTTGTGTGGAGAACAGAGCTTAAGGTTGCGAAAATGAGAAAATGAGAGAAACCAAAACTCTCATTTTTGCCCACCCCTGCTTTGGAGGTGATGGCGGCAGCAGCACTTCTTTGCTGAAGGTATCCTGAACAGCCATTTGTCAGGGATTTTTCAGTTTCAGCCTGCATAGTTAGGTGCTGCACCGAGGAGGAGATTGGACAAGAGGAACTCTGAGGTACCTTCCACCTCTATGCTCTCAGGAGGTGGAGCACCCAAATAGCAACCCCCTCTTTACTAATCAACATCCACCGGGAATTTGCCCTTAGCAAGCCTCTTTCAAATGATCCAAACACTGGAGACAGACAACTGTTTTTAAGATGTTTGAGAGGCATGCGGTGTGTCTACACAGATTTATTTTCTCCATTATTTTCTCCGATCAAAAATGTTGAGGAGGCTTTTGAAGCAATACTGCAGCAATATTATGGTGCAAAATTTGGAGAAGTGTGGATCTTGAAAGATAGCTACATTTTGCTTCACTTTCTTTCTTTCTTTCTTTCTTTCTTTCTTTCTTTCTTTGAGGGGGGCCCACAAATGAGGCAAGTCCGCTTGAACCAAACCAGGATTCCTTACTCTGAATACCACTTGCTTGGGGACACAAGTTAGAAGAGAGTGGCTGTTGCACTCAGGTCCCTGCTTCTAGGTCATGGGTAGGCAAACTAAGGCCCGGGGGCCGGATCCGGCCCAATCACCTTCTAAATCCGGCCCACGGACGGTCCGGGAATCAGCATGTTTTTACATGAGTAGAATGTGTGCTTTTATTTAAAATACATCTCTGGATTATTTGTGGGGCATAGGAATTCGTTCATTCCTCCCCCCCCCCAAAAAAAAATATAGTCCGGCCCCCCACAAGGTCTGCTGAAAAAGTTTGCTGACCCCTGTTCTAGGCTCCCCAAAGGCACCTGATTGTCCACTGTGAGAACAGGATCCTGGACTAGAGGAGCCATTGGTCTGATTCAGCAGGGTTCTTCTTTCATTCACTAAATCTCTGATAATAACTCTTATTGTTATATGATAGGATTCTACTGTATGAGAGCCATGCACAGACATGATTCCAACCAGGAACCTCCTGGTTCCTGTAGGATTTGAATATCACTTGTAGTTTAATGGTGAATTTTGGACACAACAGGGAGGTAAAAGATTTGGATTATCATAAAAGATGCAGGAGGAAATGACTAACAATAGGACCCACAAAGGGAGGAGGGACGTCCAAGAGATTCCTTGGAATCTTTTTTTTATGTTGTATGTTGGATATGTGACTGCAAAAGTTTAATCCGAAAAACCAAATAAATAAATTTATATATATATAAAAGAAACCTCCTAGTTCCTAGCTCACTCTCATGCAGCACAATCCTACGTGTGTCTACTCAGACGTTAAATCCCACTGCGGTCAAGGAGTTTCACTCCCAGGTAAGTAAGTGTGCACAGAACTTCAACTTATTCTGTGTTTTTGATACGTTTCCTTTTTTAAACATTGATCCCCCCCCCCCAATTCCAGCTTTTTAAAACCGCTTCTCTTATGTCTCTGCCTCACCTCCAAAAGTCCTGCGCCCCTTCCCGCATATAATTTCTCCACTTCCATCTCACGCCCTTCCACAGCTAGTTCAACCCAGCCTAGTTAGGGGCTCGTTATCTCAGCCACAGCTTAATTAAAGCTTGTTTATCTGCAGTTTCTGCTTAGCCCCTCAGGAGACAGGAAGGAAAGGCTGGGGCGCCCTGGGGAATCAGAGGACCTACAAAACAACCCTGGGCTCTACAACCTGAAAGGAAGCCTTTGCTTTCCTGCTCAGATACTTTTCTATCTATTACCTTATTTCCCATCCCATACCCTTTTAAAATATGGCTCTTTTGGGGGGTATTATTGGGTTATTTCTTTTATTTGTATTTAATATGCTGTGGTCCTTTTATGTGAACTGCCCTGAGACCTCTGGGTATAGGGCAGTATATAAATTCTAATAATAATAATAATAATAATAATCCGTATCAGTTTCATATGTGTTCATTGATAAGTATTTTCCATTCCATTTCCACAGTCATCTGCAATTTTTTTAAAGTACAAAACTTCATATTTAATAAACAAGAAATGGGTATATGTTTAATATCTGCAGTGCACAACAGGTTTGCGTTAAAAGGCATGGCAGTAGGTCCATGGGGAGGGTGGGAAAAGCTAGCTGTACATGCTCACTCTGTACATGCTCAGTGGCATCCTTCTTTCCCCAGAGCTGCTAAGGTAGCCTGTGTGCCCTAAGGGCAGGCAGAAGCCAAGGAGCTCAGGCAAAGAAGCACAATGACTCTCAGCTCTCAGTTGGCCAGAGAGACTCTGTAAGTCTTCATTTTATAAAATGCATTTGTTTTAGCGTTTCAAAGTTGCAAACTGCCTTGGGTGCCCTCAGCAGAAAAGCTATATATCTGTCTTCTGTCTGGTACTTGATTTACTCTTTGGTGCTGGGTTTTAGTTGCTGAATTTGATTGTACCGCTGTCACTTTTTTTAACCTGCTTTTGCATTTAATTTACTGCACATCACCCAGAGAAATGAGGCGGCTAGTAAATATAAATAATAAATAAACAGGCATGCGCTCTGCAGCCGCACTCTGGGCACTCCCCAGCGCTAATAGATTAACGCAAGCACACACCCCGCCCAAGCCTACCCACTTCTCAGTCATAAAGGAATTTTAAAACACCCTCGTAGTCTGGAAGTCTCCAGCGGGAGCAATTTTAATAAAAACCTGTTTTAACAATCTGTTCCAGAGATATTTAGGGTGCCTGTAATATTCATGAAGGGGAGATTAAATATTGAAATTTATGCCGATAATAAAAAAAATTAAACAAATGAAGAAGCGGGAGAGGCAGGGTGTGAAGACTTGCGCGTCAGTTTATGCTAAAGAAGCACATTGGCATTCTTGGTCGTTAATAATTTACAGGAGCCTTTTTTTTAACCCTCTTAATAGTAAGAGACAAAATGAAGGAGGAACAAATCACAGGCTTATCTGGTTTCTGATGGAGCGATTCTCCAGCTTTGGTAAATCAGCCTAACACCGTAAGATTGAACCTTTTTTCAGCCTGGTGGTTGCATTCCCTGCTGCACAACCTTTGGGGGGCCAGTGGTGGGTGGGGCCAGAGGCAAAAGTGGGTGGAGCAATGAATGCAAATTCACTTTTGTATAGTAGGCTAGCTTCTCCATCCTCTTTAACCTCCATCCAGCGAAGCTAGAGGCATTATCAAGCATCAGCGGCACATTCCAGCCAGGACCAGTGAGGGGTGGGGCCTAGGGAAAGTTCTGAGGGCCAGGTACAGAAGCCGAGAGGGCCACATTTGGTTCCCAGGCCTGATGTCCACATCAGTGATCGTCCTGCAATTTTCTCCCAGTACAGTGGTACCCCGCAAGACGAACGCCTCGCAAGACGGAAAACCCGCTAGACGAAAGGGTTTTCCGTTTTGAGGCGCTCGTAAACGCAATTTCCCTATGGGCTTGCTTCGCAAGACGACAGCCCATAGGGAAATCTCAGGGACAGCGGGGAGCGCAGCGCGTCTTCCCCACTGTCCTCGGACCTCCTCCGAAGCCTGGCGGCGGGGCGGGGACACCTCCTCCCGCCGCCGCCGGGCTCGGAAGGCTCCTCCGGGCCGGGCGGGGGAGGGAACACCTGCCGCCGCCGCCCGGCTTCGGGACGGTGCTCCGAAGCCGGGCGGGGGGGGGGGAACACCTGCCGCCGCCGCCCGGCGTCGGGACGGTGCTCCGCAGCCGGGCGGGGAGGAAACACCTGCCGCCGCCGCCCGGCTTCGGAACGGTGCTCCGAAGCCGGGCGGGGGGGGAGGGAAGACCTCCCGCCTCTGCCCGGCTTCGGAACGGTGCTCCGAAGCCGGGCGGTGGGGAGGGAAGACCTCCCGCCTCTGCCCGGCTTCGGAACGGTGCTCCGAAGCCGGGCGGTGGGGAGGGAAGACCTCCCGCCTCTGCCCGGCTTCGGAACGGTGCTCCGAAGCCGGGCGGGGGAGGAAGACCTCCCCGCCGCCCGGCCCGGGACGGTGCTCCGAGCCGGGCGGGGGAGGAACACCTGCCGCCGCCGCCCGGCCCGGGACGGTGCTCCGAGCCGGGCGGTGGGAGGGAAGACCTCCCCCGCCGCCCGGCCCGAGCGGTGCTCCGAGCCGGGCGGTGGGGAGGGAAGACCTCCCCGCCGCCCGGCCCGGACGGTGCTCCGAGCCGGGCGGGGGGAGGGAACACCTGCCGCCGCCGCCCGGCTCGGAACGGTGCTCCGAAGCCGGGCGGGGGAGGGAAGACCTTCTGAAGGCGGGCGGGGCGAAAGTCTTTGCTCCCCCTGCCTGCCTGTCCCGGAGGGCTTTTGAAGGCGGGGAGCAAGACTTTCGCCCCGCCCGCCTTCAGAAGAGGTCCAGGACCTCTTCTGAAGGCTGGCGGGGGCAAAAGTCTTTGTCCCCCTGCCTGCCTTCCCAGGGGCTTTAAATTGCCCCGGACAGCGGAGAAGTCCTCCGCTGTCCCGGGTGATTTTAAAATGCCGCCCGCCAGCATTTTAAGATCGCCCGGACAGCGGAGAAGTCCTCCGCTGTCCCGGGGTTTTAAAATGCTGGGGGTGGGAAGAAAAGCCCTTGCCCCCAGCCTTCAGAAGAGGTCCGGGGACAGACTGTCCCCGGACCTGGTCTGAAGGCGGTTTCCCTAGGAACGCATTAATTGATTTTCAATGCATTCCTATGGGAAACCGTGCATCGCAAGACGAAAAACTCGCAAGACGAAGAGACTTGCGGAACGAATTAATTTCGTCTTGCGAGGCACCACTGTATATACATATAATTGTATGCAATCATTTTTGCAAAGAAATTTCCCCTACTATGTACAATTTTTATGCATGCTCTACCCTAGTATATGCTTTTTTTGTACACTTTATTGAGCTGGATAACTGGGCTGAAATATTCAGAGAAATGAGAATTTTTAAGGATTGTTGTGTTCTGGTTCATTTATTATTCTGGAAAGCGTGAATCGGGTAGGTTCGCCTTTAACTGCCGAGATGAATCAACTTCTCCCCCATCTCTATGAATATCAGAACAGCCTGGCTGCAGGATCAGGCCAAAGGCCCATCTCAAAGGCCCAACATCCTGGTCTCACAGCAGCCAGTCAGATGCCTGTGGGAAGTCCACAAGCTGGAACTGAGCACAACAGCAACTCTCCCCCACTTGTGATGCCCTGCACCTGGTATTCAGAGGTATATAGCCTCTGACAGTGGAGGGGCAACACAGCCAATGACAGCCTCATCCTCCATGAATTTGTCCAATCCTCTTTTAAAGCTGTCCAAGTTGGTGGCCGCTACTGTCTCCATCCCTGACCCTTTTTACAGAACTACAATCAGCAGGACTCCTTGCTAGCATGCTGAGCTATGAAAGAAGAATGATGTTAACTGATTAAGTTAATTTTATGAGAAATTTAGTTTTGGAAAACTGTTACAATGATATACATTGAAATTCAGCCAGGGGGATTAGAGGAAGTCACCTAACAATGTTATGAAGATTGGATTAAGTATAGATAAGATTTATGTTTGTTTGTTTGTTTGTTTGTTTGTTTGTTTGTTTTTCTTAAAATTTTTGGAAAATCAATAAAAAAAATTTTTGGAGGAAAGGATGCTGAGCTATGGGCCAAATCCAGCGACCAATGAAAGCCCGATTCCCACATGCACCTCACTGCACTGTGGTGTGGGAAGCGATGGGAAACGGCGGCCAGAATAACTTGGGCAGGGGAGCGGGGCAGCGGCAGGCGGGAGAATATCTCTCCCGTTAATCAATTCCCCATTAGAGGCCTGCATTTCATATGGGTTAGTTGGCTCCTATTACATAGCCATGGGGACTTAACTCATGTGGATTAAATGGATTTCTCCCTCCCCAATTAAGATTAACCCGGTTTGCAAAGGGATTAAGTTTAACTCAGAAAAGGGATTTAACATGTATTAAGAGTGCCCGAGGCTTGTGGTTTTTTGGGGGGGGAGAAGACGGGGAGGGGAGGGCAGAGTTAATCAGTACGGTCTTGCTCCTATTAAACCCACACTCCCAGTTATAGTAGATTAAGGTGGTGACCTCAAATGCACTTACAAGTGAGTAAATCCCATGGATTTTCAATAAGATTTACTCATCAATAAGTGCACTTAAATCTAGGGCCGGGGCGCGGCGGAGAGGTACATTTTCACTCTGTCTGATGTGAATCGGTATTAACCCCACTGATTTTGATTGCATGGATATCCAGTTATTGAATATGTGGTTGGTTGGTTTTTTTAAATCGCATAACCTTCAACCTTTCTCAGTTAAAGCAGGCACATGCCAGAAACACCCCAATTTGCAAACCGATGACACCCATCCACCCCAAATTCCACATTGCTGAAGGTTTCATTACCCGTATGTGCCACATTCATTTACTTCACCCTTCGCCAATTTGGTGCCTTCTGGAAGTTTTGGACTACAATTGCCATAAGCCCCAGCCAACATGCTATCTAGGGCTCAGGTGACCTGCAGATCTGGAGGGCACCAGGTTGGCAAGGACTGGTTTGCATTGTGTCAGCATGTCTTTCCACTGATTTAAAAGCCAAGCCTGTGTTTGTTCTCTTGGGTTAAATGTATGTTTGAAGACACAATTGTCACACAATGATTCTCCCTGAGTATTCCAATGCAATTGTTGGAGTTGCCAAATCCTGGCTATGTCTGGGAAATTCTGGACGTATGGCAGCCCTATTATTGGCTCAAAAGAAATGTTTATAAAAATATATATTTTATTATCAAATGTGATTAGATAGAGAATATACATTTAGAAATGTGTATTTTGTAAGTAAATTGGAAACAGGATGGGGCAGACTCTGAAGCCAACACATGCGAAACCACCAGAAATTGGGAATAGACCAATCCATTCAACAGATTTGCCATACTTTAAGGTGCAGCTCCCAGGAACTTAGGTGGGTGTGTATCTAGGGATGGAGGAGGAATTTGGCTCATTTTGCATTTAAAGGATAACCTACCAAATTCTTGCTTTGCAAAACATGACGCGAAACACAGCCATACTTTGAAATTTGCACTTCTCGGAATTTTACAATGAAGTTCTCCATCCAAGCAATGTGTACAAAAATGCCTACACTGAGGGCAACAAGTACATTAAAAGGTATGCCCTAGGAAATATAATGCTAAAAAATTGTGTTAACATCATGGGAAATTGCTTTGCAAAAACATGTAAGTTAGGCAAAACTGCATACTGAATATGTGTATATTAGGAGAAATTTGCATTAAAAAGGTGATGGATTTTCATGAGGCCATATAAAAATAATTGCAAACTGATGGGGAAAGGTGGAGAACGAAAGTTTTTTGGGGAGAATGGGAAACTGAGAAAAGCTGAAATTTGATAGATTTGCCCATCCCTGGACTCTACTGCACATGCATGTCATTGCAAGCACATGAACACCAAGGCACCAAAAACTTTTGCTGAGGTTTGTTTTGAATGGTTGACAGCACAGTGTAGGACAATTATATTTTTCAAGTTTGTGTTTGACAACAACGAAGAACAAATACCTTCCGCCAGCTTCCACAATGGCCCCTCCTACAGCCTGCCAGAATATTCTATGGCCCCTCCCACAATCCACCAGGTTCCACTCTTAACACCTCTCACAACTTGCCACATTTTGTATTGAGCTTCACCCCCCAGCACCCCAGGACAGTCACCATTTCTGAATTCAAGAGTTGACAAACCCTAACAGGCCCTTTCCAAAGATGAAAAACCCACTGTGGCCCTCCAGACCTCTTCATCTGGCCCTTGGGACTCTCCCCAGGACGCACACTCTCATAAGCCACGCCCAGCACCAGTCCTGCTTGGCATCCTGCTTGAGTGTTTTTGCCTGGCTAGAATCCATCCTCAAACAGCCCCTCAAATGCTTCTTGCTTTTCCAGCGGGAGGAAAAAGGGGAATGTGTAGGAGTATGTAGAAATCTGCCTAGGTTACAAAAGTAAAATTCACTTTTGTTGCTTTGTCTACTTTCTGCTTCCGACTATGCCCCACTTTTGCCTCTGGTCGTTGAGCTGAAAAAGGTCCCCCCTCTGCAGTGGGCTGAAAGAGCCCAGGGGGAAAGAAGACTGGGGTTTGCCAAGTTCAGTGAAAAGGACACCTTGCCACACGCATTTATTCATCACCACTCCAGCTCGGCGCGTGTTATTGAAAACGCACTTTTATAATGGCAGGGAGCAGTTGCTGCGGAAAGCCCCTGACACCCTTCCCCCTTCCACTTGGCTCCTGGTGCTGCCACCCCTGACGCCCCCTCCCCGCTGGCCTCCCCTCTTTTCCGCCTTGGCTCTCCAAGCGCTGTTTGTTTTGTTCTAGGAAACGTGTCCTAAATGCCAGGCTCGGCAGTTTCGAGTCCATGAATCACTACCACATGTCAGCTCTTGTAGCTGCACTCTATCAGCAGAAAGAGAGAAAGAGAGAGAGAGCCAGGCTCTGATGGAAATTAACGGGCTCAGTATCGATTGCATATGCACGCATGCAAGGGGAGAAGCCCTGCTCCGGCCCCGCACTCACGCGAGGTTGCCAAGTGTGAGTTGCTGGTGTTGCTACCAATCTTTGACAATTCCCTAGAGAAATAGGTTTTTGAGGGGGGCAGAATCACTCTGCAAACTATTTAAAATCCAGAGATTTGGCCATATGGATGTTTAATTTACTTGTGGTGCACCACCCCAATATATATATATATATATATATATATATATATATATATGTGTGTGTGTGTGTGTGTGTGTGTGTGTGTGTCTGTCTGTCTGTCTGGTAGGACCTCTGGTTGAAAGAAAAGTAAGCTTAGGGTTTATTACTCCTGACAAACAAAGCCTTTCTGAGTACAGACTTACAAGTGGCCCTCATAGAGTCATGAGGTTACCATAAACGAACGTCTAGCACTTACTGACTGAATAAGGAGAAGGAAGGAAGTAAAGCCTGAGAAAAAAACAATCTACAGATAGTTAGTGAAAAGGTATCAGTAAGGGAAGAATAGGTTGGTTTCCTGTCTACTGTGCCCCTGCTGGTTCAGGTAACTTATTGCAAACATTGTTGCTTGGCTCACAACCCACAGGCGAAGTGCTCCCCTCTCTTTGGCCAATGGGAATCTCACAGACCATGCCCCTTCCCAGACCTGCTCTGCACCCATGCCAAGTGGTTTTGCCTGGGTGGGATATGTCCCTGAGCAGCATACTGCCTCCTGCTTGCTTAGACCTGAGAGGATGGATTTATGGGGGGGGGGGGGGATATGCAAACCTCTCTTTTGTTTGTGGCTGGAATGTAGCCTATTGTACAAAGGGAAGTGTCAGACCCGCCCACTTTTGCCTCTGGCTCCGCCCACCATTGGCAAATGACCTCCAGAAGTTGACCCAGAAGGGAATGAGACCCTTGGGAGGAAAAGGTTTCCCCACTCTTGGTGTAATACTGAGCTAGATGTACCAATGGCCTGTTCATAAGATCCTATTTAAATCGGCCCTTTATTCAAAGTCCTGAGAGCTGTAGCTCATTGCAAGAGAGTATGCTCAGCTTGCAGGAGGTCCCAGGAGAGCTACTGCCAGTCACCATTGACAATATGGACTCAGATGGACATATTGCAGTTTCCTTTCTGACCCAACAATACTCCAAACTGTTTATTATGAGCAGTTGGTCATTCCTTCTCCAATGACTTGATGTGGCTGGATTAGAACAATTTGACTGAATTGGAGCAAAGTGGACTTTAAGCAAAGTTGGTTTTCTTTCTCAGGATCTGAATAAATGTCATGGGTGGGGTGGAGGTGGGGTGGGGGTAGGTTCCGAAGCCACAAATATGTGGGGTCTTGCCAAGACCACACCAGCACCCTGAAATCCAGAGCGGAAGACGGCTAAACGCTGCCGTTCGTCAAGATGCAATTCTGGGGCCATTATTAAGACTGATCAGCTTCCTCAATTGATATTTGAAAACATTAAGCTTTCGTAATGGGTGCACAAACGACGGCTCTGCATTCATCATTGCATACAATAATTTCCTTTATTAAAAAACCCCATCATACTCCTGCGGCATTGCCACCAATCAGGTGGCCCCCATTCCCAACCACAGAAAGACTGTCCCATTCATTATGTACAACAAACAGCTCTTGGAGAGGGTGGGGGGGCATAGTGAGTTATGGCAGGGCATGGAGGGCTTGTTTGGGGTCAGGGGGAGAAGCAATGGCCCAATCAGCAGTCTTCCTGGAATCTGTGGGTGTATGTGCATGTGAATGTGCATGTGCGTGTGTGCTTGGGAATTTGCTTCATGTAAGAAAGCAAGGACTTTCCTGGGGGACAAAACAAAGACTTCCTAAAGCCCACACACCCATGAGCTACATGAAGGAATTCTCCAGCGAGTTTTCTGTTTGACTCAGAAGGAGAAAGTCTGTTATTTGTTGATGGGAGGGGGATAAATACATTGCAGCTAAGGTTTTTATATTCACTTTAGCAGCTCAACAGATCAGACAGAATTTTACTGTACAACATGGGGCTCCGTGTGCTAGGGACCGCCTGTGCTGAAATGTACTTTTTATATAGCTTGTATTCTTGTGATGACCAAAGGTTTCTACAAAATAAATGTCACCCACCCACCATCCCTCTGCCACCGTTGTTGTTGTTGTTGTTGTTTTGTTATTTATGTCATTTGTAGATAGCTTCCCATGAGGCATCCCAAAGCAATTTACACTGTAACAGCACATAAAATACAGTTACATATATAAAAATAAATAAATGATTGCATATGTATAAAACCAATCTTAAACATAAAAACAGTTTAAAACAACGGCAGCACATAAATAAAATCAATTCAAATTCAAGGAAGGTCCCAACTGAGACAAAGATTTTAGACACCTGGTTGAAAGAGGAATGTATTAAAGCAGGTGCAAAAAGGCACACACACACACACACACACACACAGTTATTGCAGCAAGAGGAATTTCCAAATAATAGTTGTCACCATGCTAAAGGCCCTATTCCGACATTATGCAGAATGGGTCTCCTGAACAGGATGGGATCTGCAGGATACTGCCTTCTGCAAAATGCAGTGGTTGGGCAGGTATGTAGGGAGTGAGGTGATCTTTTAGGCATATTTGTCCTGGGATGTATATGGCTGCAACGTGCCCTCTGAGGATTTGCAGGTGGAAACAGTGACATGCCTGTGATGCTTCAATGCACATACCAAGAAGCAACACCCAAGGGACCCTGGCTCAGTGTCAGAGCAGAATCTCAGCATGCGGAAGTTCCCAGAATCAATGCCTGGCATGTCCCAGATAAAAGGATCTGGGAGCAATTTTACATCAGTTGCATTCATTACCTGTTTGATCTATTGAAAGTGTTGGGAGCAGGGCCTGCTATATCAGGTGTGGGGAACTCCCATCCATTCCCCACTCAGATATTATGCTTTCTAGAGACCTTGGGAGAAGAGCTGAACCTTGAGGGGTGATAACATGAGTGAAGCACGCATTAACATCGTTTTCACAAGGCATTCACAAAAGGAAAGAATGGGGGACATGGACAGCTACCAGAAAAGAAGGCCCACTGGAACATAAGTAATAAACTAAATAATTGACAACAGGGTGGCTTTTAATGGTCCCCACAAATCTCCGGCCCGGGGTAAGCCATTTCCCCACTGCCTGTGTTTTGGTTCAACTGCAGCTAACTCATCTGAGAGTGTTCAGTGTGCCTAGGTGAGGGCAGTGCATTTAAACCAGGGGCGGGGGCCTTTTTCAGCCTGAGGGCCTAATTTCCTTCTGAGCAATCTTCTGGGGGCCACATGCTTGTGGTGGGTGGGGCCAGAGGCAAAAGTGGGTGGGGCAATGAATGCAGATTTTGCCATTGTACAGTAGGCTAGTTTCTTCACACACTCACACACCCTTCTCTATCCTCCGCCCGGACAAGGAAGAGGCGTTATCAGAGTTCACGTTTCACATTCCAGACAGGCAATAGAACCCTTGTGGCGTGAAGTGGAGACAGTGTGGCCTGAGAAGTGTTCCAAGGGCCTGGAGGGCTGCATTTGATCCCCTGGCCTAAGATTTCCTACCAAAAAATTAAAACCACAGGAATGTCTCTACCCCTGATGCTGGGCTGACACTGTGGATTAACATGCAACGTGTGTTGCATGTGAAATGTAGAAATCCTAACCTGTGGTGTGCTATATGCATAGTGGCTTATTGTCACAGGTTATCACAGACACTGAGTGACAAATGTGTGAACTAGTTGAGAGAGAGGTCTAAAGGCACTGGACCTTTAGGTGTGGCTTGCGCATAGATACATACATAGAGATATATTTGATATGGAGGATAACTTGCCTCCTTCCTGAGCTTACAGGATGACTGGAAAATGTGTACCAACAAGGCTGAGAAGCACTGTAAAATCTTTTTCCTTTGATTTAACAGTAGCATGGAGCAGGCAGAAATTCAGCAGGCAAAGCTTTTCCTAACATGGAAATAAAAGTGGGGTGTTTCACTTGTTGAACTTCTGCCTTTATCAGGATGCTTAAAATGACCCAGGAGCGATGGCAGTAATAAAGTTAAATTAATAGGGAACCTTAGTCTGGAGACAGAATCCATGGCTCCTGGCCCCAAATTAGACCCCTTCCATAAAAAGGGTGAGAAACAACAGGAGTCCTGATTCCAAAGTCTGCTCCCCGCTCCATTCAATTCCTCCCCTCCTAAACCAAGAGATCCATCCCCAAAGAGCCTGCCAGCATCCTCTCCAAGAGGTTCCCATGCCACTTCGAACTTTGGCACAATCCCCTCCTTTTTCTTTCTGGGGAGACGGAGTAAAGGAGGGCTTTGCTGTCTGACAGAAACATAAACAGGCCAGCCATGAATGCCCCCCATTCATGCCCCCAAACTGGCGTAGGCGCCATTCCCAAAGTGCATGGAAGGTTATTATTTAAAGGGGTGATGAATCCTTCCCTTGTACCCAGCTGGGGCGCTGGCCGAGGCGGCCGCAGCAAAACATCTCACAGACAGACAGGATCTGTTTCCTTTGCCACACTTTGGCACCCCCTGCAGGGCAGGGCAACGCAGAGGACTGAACGCCTGCTTTGGGTCTGTGAAGGGTGTTGCCAAATTATCCCAGGGTGTGACTAAGCAAGGCTGGAACACACTGCACAGCGTGAGCATGCTGCTCCTTTAAGAATATATGAATCTATGGCTCTAAACTAGCACTGGTTGAGTTTGCTTAGCTTGGTTTATTGAGAATAGGCCTTGTGCTGTGCATGCTATTCAGCTGCTTCTGTTTCACTCCTGCCCAGGCACTCATGGAGGGTGCAAAGCAGGGGCGGTGAGCGTTATGGTGTGGGGAGAGTTAATGGAGGGCTCCATTTGGGCCCAAGGTCCCCCAACCTTCCTCTTCTCCATTCATAAGTTTATGAACTTCTGTGGTGTCTCTCACACACCCCACTATTAGTTCACTTTCCATAGAATTGTAGAGATGGAAGGGACCCAAAGGATAATCTCATCCAGCCCCCTGAAATGTAGGAATCACAGCTAGTTGTGTTCTATATCGGTTGCAGCTGTAATGCTTTCCGTAAGGTACCTTTGATGGAAAGGGAAATAAAACTGGGCAGAGGTATATTTTCTTGTATATATCGGCCACATCGTCCAGTAAAAATGTTACTACCAGCAATAGGCTGCTAGCAATAAATCAAGCAAAAACAAAAAGAATAAAAGACAATCAAATTTATCTTTTAGGAAAAAAATAGGAAAAAAGAAAATACTCGGGCAGATCTTGTACTATTCTAGTGGAACTGAATAACAAATTTAGCCAACAAAAGAGCAAGTGCCCCAGGTAAAGAGGGAGGGGGATTATTATCCAGTATTGGGGAGCATGACCTCAGAGAGCTCCCAGTGCGAGGAGGGGATTAGCCCCTCTGTGGGTTCATGGGGCTGCTTTATTAGTCAAATAAGTAATCCCTCCCCTGCCCAAAGTGAGTTCTTTTAGCTTTGCTGCTGCTACCGTAATTCCATCCTCTCTCTCTCTCTCCGCTGTCCAAACCCTTTCAACATGCTAATCTCAAACTGAGTAGTTTCCAAATCCCTTGGAAAACCAATAGGGTCTCTTAGGCAGGTTAATGCTGATTGAGAGAAAGGACCTCTGCAACCACAGGGCAGTCAGGGGCAGAGGGCAGGGGAAAGAAAATGAAAAGGGGGAAAGATGGCACCCAGATAGTTAAAAGCATACACAATCTCTCATGCACACTCCCAAATTTTGCCTGCTTCCCTTCTCTGCCAGCTCTGTCTCCCACACCTTTTTCTAGGGGAGAGTGTTATGCGGCAGGCCTTTGGATGGTTTGCATGGAAGCAGCCAAGCTGAGCTTTTTGGGGGGGTCGGGGGGGGGAGAAAACGATAAGTTTCAGCTCTGGAGAAGTGGGAAATCATTTGTTTGTTTGGAAAATATCCCCCCCCCCCACTTTCCACTGCTACACAAGGTTTAAAGTTGTAAAAACAGTAAAATGCAATGAGTTGACAAAACACAATCCTGACGCATCTAGCAACATAAAAAATAAAACAGCAAAAGCAGAAGAGGATAAAAGATTTAAACAACAAAACAAAACAGTGGATAAAAACACCATTAAAAGGCATTTCAAATACCACTGAAAGCACAAGATATAAAACTTCATGTTCCACTTGTTTGTAATAATAAACAAGGAGTGGCAGGTGATCTTTGGATTTCTTAGGCCCTTAAAAATGATGGGCTTTGCACCTTGTTCCAGCCTAAAACATACGCCTTAGCAAGGACTGCCAAACAGCCAGTGTCATGCTGGTTACCTTTCATATCCAGATTCTGCCCTGGCTCTGCCCAGACCCACATTCCACCCTGGCACCACTCCCAAGCCACTAGGTTCTGTTGTGACTCTGCTCATGACCTGCCAATTTCTGAGACTGAGCAAATAAAGCCTGGTCTATGCAACAGAGGTATAAGATGGCGGAAGGGACTGTGCTGGTTTAGACTGCAGGTGGGGAGGCCATTTTTGAGTGCCTCCTTATGTAGAAAACAGATGCCAAAAGGAATGGGCAGGGCTAAAGACTCTTTCCTAATGTGCTTGCTTCTCTCCCGGGCCCATGTGCAGGCTTTTATTATTACAGTATTACTATTTTTCATGTTGCAGGATTTCAGCGGGAAATTACAGGATGTGCCGACTGGAACTGAAACAGTGTGATTGCTCTGAAACTTTGCGGGCATGAAGGACATGGAAAGTGGAATCAGGTGTGACTGCCCTGCTACCATCAGGGTCACAACTGAGCCCCAATGCACCATAAAAAGGATGTTTGGAAAGGCCTTTCTTGTCTACTCTCAAAACATTTTAAGAACTAAGTTGCTGACCGCGGGATGACTTCTGCCTGGATTGAATCCACAAAGCTAACATGCCCCGGGTCTTCCAAGGGGCCGAGGGAGGGCGGGGATCACAGCTAAATGGAAAGGAAAGGGAAGCTGGGGGTGGGGAGAGAATGGAGGGAAGGAAAGAAAGAAAGGAGGAGAGGAAACGAAGAGAGTCTCTTGAATTAAACTGTCAATGGTGCGCGGCGGCGGCGGCGGCAGCAGCAGCCTCGGCCATGGCGCGTCCGTGATTTAGATGAATAATTGAAACGCTCCGATACATTTATTATCCCTTTAGTGCAAAAGTGGCAGAGAAAGACGAGTGGTAATTGAAAAACAGAACACAAATCTCCCGGTGAAAGCGCCGTTTCTTATCGCAGAGTAAACATGTCAGGCCTAATAAACAAGAGCGAGACGCGAGTTGGGGCGCGCGCGTTGATTTAGGGGATGATTTCAAGCCCCTCCTGCCCCCCCCGGTGGGCGTTTTTGCGCGCGCGCGTTTGGCGATGAGAAAAGGGGCCCGTGTCGTTTTTATGGTTCTGGGGGTGTGGGGGTTATAATCATAATAAGACTAATAAAAAAAAGGGGCCTTTTTCTCCCCACCCCCACCTCTCCGTGCACGCTTTTATCGACCTAGTAAAAAGCCTTTTACAGTTGGCCCTGGAAGAGCGCCGCTCAGCCTGACGCTCTTGGCAGTGCCCACGCTGCGGACCCGCGGCAACCTTGGCACCGCCGGGCTCTGCCGGCGCCAGGCGCACCTCTGTCCCAGGCCGTCGGCTCGGCAGGGCCCAGCCGGCTTTGCAGGCTGGACGGGAGGCGAACAACGCTAATGGGCTCAGCAGGGCTGGTGGGTGCCTCCTTGGGGCGCAAGGGCGAGCTGGGTGCTGGCTCAGCGAGAAGTGCGCTCCCCTCTCCTTGATGCCGACCGCGCTGGTCAGGATGGCGATGGTGCCTCTGAGCTCGGCCCACATGGAGGAAGAGGGCAGAGGAACCAGCAGAGCTGCGTCGCGACCAAAAATCACTGCGAATGCCAGGGGTGAGGTCCAGAGCCCTCTTTGCACGTGAGAAAGTGAAATGGATTCCATGAGTACAAGAGCGCATTTTCGGTTCCCAGTTTGGGTTCTCCCCATTTTCACTTAAGTTTGCTGCGTCTTTTAAAAATGAAAATTTATCAGCATTATAGTGCACATTTTTCCTAATACTGGATGCACATTTTTGGATGCACTCCCCCCCTAATATTACTGTTTTGTTCAATAATATATGTGGTTTAATGCATTCACATGGTGCACGCACACCTTATTGAAAGTCAAAGAGGCTGTGCCTAGCCGTGGCTTGTGATCCATGAACCAGATCCATCTCTCTCTGTTACTTAATATATTTATATAAATACGTATCTATATAATGTGCCTTTGACAAACTTATGCCTTGCCTTAAAAAAAGCTGTTTTCACAAAGTGGCTCAGAAACATATTTTTTAAAAGAAAAAAACACACAATTCAAAAGTGCACGTAATAAGAAGCACATTTTAAAACAAACAGGTCAGGGGACAACAGATTTTAAATTCTTAAAAAGCATAATGAGATTAAAATAAATATTCATAGCACACTTAAAAACACAAGGAAAGAGACAGAGCTTGGAGGGTATGTCCCCTGAGAGTGAATTCTGTAGTTTTGGATTTTGCTGTCTTTGGGGGTAGCCAGCATCAGCTACCAGAAAAGATTTAAGTGCAATTTTTAATAAACAGCAGCTAAAAGCTAGCACAATCTGAAGCCCCCTGGCACTGGCCCCTTTCACAGGGCTGTGACAGCAAAAGCAGGAGACAATGTCTCTGAGCATGTAGAAGCAGTGATGAAGCCACAGCTGGTTTTGGGGGGTCAAAGTCATAAGAACATAGGAAGCTGCCTTACTACAATGGTCCATCTAGTTCAGTATCGTCTACTCTGACTGGCAGCTGCTTTCCAGGATTTCAGACAGGTGTCCTTCTGGGACATTCTGCATGCAAGGCCATTGCTCTACCACTGAGCATCCCCCAAAGAGAGACAAGGCCTGGACGGCTTGATCACATTCTGCCAGTGCATTACTAGCTGTGCTTGGCTCCCATCTGTTTCCAGGCTCAACCTAAAGCACTAATTAGGAATATAGGAGCATAGGAAGCTGCCTTCTGCTGAGTCAGACAATTGGTCCACCTATCTTAGTGTTGCTTACACACTGACTGGCAGCAGCTATTCAGGCAGGGGTCTCTCCCAGCCGTACTCGGAGATGCTGAGGATCAAACCTGAGACCACCTTCCACTTGCAACGCAGGTCCTTTACCACTGAACTATGTACAACCCAAAGAGTAGTAACTTAGCTACCACTGACTGAACACAAACATGAATGAGTCTATTTTCTCTCTGCAATTTTAAATTCCTTTTGGTTCTGTATGCTTAAATGCATGTGTACGCAGAAGTACAGTGGTACCTTGGTTGTCGAACTTAATCCGTTCTGGGAGTCCGTTCGACTCCCGGAACAGTTCGAAAACCAAGACACGGTTTCTGATTGGCTGCAGGAGCTTCCTGCACTCAAGCGGAAGAAGCGGAAGCCACGTCAGAAGGACGGCTTCCAAAAAACGTTTGCAAACCAGAACACTTACTTCTGGGTTTGTGGTGTTCGGGAGTCGATTTCTTCGGGAGCCAAGGCGTTCGACAACCAAGGTACCACTGTACAGTAAATGCTACAGTGCTTAATGGAGATTACCCCCAGGGAAGTTGACGCAGGACTGTAGCTTTAATTACTCAGAACCTCCCATAGCGCCTGGCAGTAATGCTGACATCCTAAACTCACTTGACTGGGAGTAAGCCCCACTGAATTCAATAGGATTTACTTCTGAGTAGACATGGTAAAGGTTGACCTGACCATTAGGTCCAGTCGTGGCCAACTCTGGGGTTGCGGCGCTCATCTCGCTTTATTGGCCGAGGGAGCCAGCGTACAGCTTCCGGGTCATGTGGCCAGCATGATTAAGCCGTCGTTTACCTTCCTGGTGGAGCGGTACCTATTCACAGTATCTACTTGCACTTTGACGTGCTTTCAAACTGCTACGTTGGCAGGAGCTGGGACCAAGCAACGGGAGCTCACCCCGTCGCGGGGATTCGAACCACCGACCTTCTGATCAGCAAGTCCTAGGCTCTGTGGTTTAACCCACAGTGCCTGTGCTGTAAGCCGCCAAAGCCTCTCAGTTCATGCAGACACCTGATTCAACATATAGGGACATAGGAAGCTGTGTTATATTGAACCAGGGCAGTGGTCCATCCGGCTTGATATTGTCTACACTGACAGCGGCTCTCAGCAGACCATGGGAGCAGCTACCAAGACCTTGGACCAGGGGTTCCACTGGGGGCAGCACTGGTCTCAGCAGCATTCTCTCTTCCAGTCCCGTCCCCGTCCCCCAATTTTATAGTTGGGGGGTTAACCACGTACATGGTTAACAATGCTTGTTTTATTATTTGTAATTTAAGCAAAAATCATTTTCTACAACAAAATGCCGCTTTATTCCCAAGGAAATGTGTTTAGCATTGGAAACGCATTTTCGTGTTTCTGCAGTACAAGCAAATGTTATCCCTGTAGTGGCGATGGTGCGATGATTTGAGAGGGTTTAAAATGCAAAACTGCACATGCTCAGAGAATTTCTTTCTCCTTTTAAAATCGGGGGAGGGAGGAGACTTGTTTGTTTCTTTGTTGCTCCGACATGTCAGGCACATAGAACCTGTTGTAAAGCATGGAATGTGTATGCCTGAGGGAGGGGAGGGCAAAGGGGAAGAAGGGAAATGAGTAACACTATTAAATTCAGGGTCTTAAGGGTACACTCACATTAACGGTTTAAAACAGTGGTTTTCAACCAGTGTGCTGTGGCACCCTGGGGTGCCTTAAATGATGGTCAGGGGTGCCGCAGGCAATACTGGCCTCTCTCTCTCTTTCCTTCCCTTCCTCCTCAGATGCCCCCTTGCGTCTCAGCCTCCCCAAGGCTTGCGTAGCTGTTTGTTACAGCAGCCCTGGCTACAAGCTCCCCAGGCGAATGGTGCCGCTGGGGCTGGCCAGGGGGTGCTGGTTTATGACTTCCTTAGTCATAAAGGAACTAAAACAACTGGAATGCACCCTATCTCTGCCCAGTGGCGTAGCGTGGGAAGTGCAGGGGGGCCGGCCACACCGGGCGCAACATCTGGGGGTTAGGGTTAGGGGGCGCAAATCCACGGGTTAGGGGGTGCAAATTACTTGCCTTGCCCCGGGTGCTGACAACCCACGCTACGCCACTGTCTCTGCCCCTGCAACAATGTCCCCGCTAGGATCTTGCTAAATTTGAATTATATTCCCCAATAAGCTGCTCCCCCTTTCCCACAGCCCCCAACTTAATAATCACTTGATATTAAGAAAATCAAATCTTCCAAGGCCTTGTCTCATAATAAGTCGGCAGTCAGAACCATCATACCAGATATATTCACCCCCCAACACACAATGAAGTAGCTTAGCTTTAACAGGAGAAGACTGAGACTGGGGGGGGGGGCACAAAGCAACCTTAATGTACCCCCAGTAAGTAAATAAACTTGGCCCAGTATCCCTGTAATCTCAAGGGGGGTGGGAGTCCCTTGAGGTGGGGGGAGGTTTTAGCAGCTGCACAGGCCTCTCTGCAGCTCTGCTTTGAAACCATGAGCATCGTCTACGCACATCTTCTGAGGGAAGCATTTTTTGCTTCAGAAAAATTAGCCTCTCTCTCTTCCCTCTTTCCCTCCCCCCCATCTCCCGCTTCTAGTCAGTCTCTTCCCCCTCTCCAACCCCAACCCAAGGGAAAGCAATGGAGCAGAAATTCTTAAAGAAACTGATTATTCTCTTCCCCCCAACCCCCGGGCAGGGGATGGGGAGCGGGGAGGCTTAAAAGGCTGGCTTCTTGTGAAGTGGTAGCAGAAAAGAGGGCAGGAATGCCTTTCTAGCTACGGCGGCAGAGACGCCAAGTCCCTCCGGGGAGCTGGAGGACCAGCCTGCACATTCGCCGGCTTGTTTACGCCTCGCTGTTGTTGTTGGCAGGAACGAGAAAACAAACAGCAAACGCAAAATATGAAATTGAAAAGACACACACATACGCACGCACAAAGCCACCCAGATGCTGCTGCCCCACCCTGCCTTTATTGCCATTTTAAAAAGGGGATTTACTTGGCAGCAAACACACAAGCACCCTTGTTAAGATAACTAAATGCTGGTGAGGATGGAGAGCCACGGGGCAAGGGGGCCAAAGTAGGCCTGAGGCCTTGCCTCTCTGGGTGGTCCCTCTGGGCGCACAGGGTTGTATCCAATGCTAGTCCTACTCAGTGTGTAGACCCACTTAATTCAAAAGACACAACTAACTTAGGTTCATTAATTTCAATGGGTCTACTCTGAGCAGGACACAGATGATACAACCTGTAGTTTGGAGAGCAGAGCTAGTGTGGAAGGTGCCAAGAAGTTCAGGACTGTATTGGCTGGGAGTGAATTTAGGTCATCTGCAGAAGGACAAATCTGTCAATTTCAATTTTTCTCCACTTTTCATTTTCCCCAATCTTAAAGTTCAGCTCTCCACATTTACACATCAGTTTGCAAATTATTATTTTTAAATCCTCGTGAAAAATCAATCAGCACTTTAGTGTGAATTTCGCCTACTATCCACACGTTTGCATGCATTTTTGCAAGGCAGTTTCCCCTAATATAATGTATTTTTGTACACATTATTTGGCTGGAGAACTGCCCTGCATAATTCAAATGTGTGAATTCTGAAGGATGGTTCTGTTTCATTTTGCGTATTTCCCTCCCAGAAAGCGTGAATTAGGTAGATTAAACTTTACATGTGAAAGGAATCAATTTCCTTCCCCATTCTTACCTCTGGACTGTCACCATGTTGTGGACCGTATTTAATTGCATAGTGGAAATTTAGGTTTGCAGAATTAAAGTGGATGAAAATGCTCTGGCACAACAAATCCACTGTTTTAAAAAATGAATTTTCTGCAGTTAGGGGTTATGGGGAAATGCACTAAAAACTATGGGATAAATAACTGATTAGTGGGAACAAGTGCAACCACCGAACAAGTAAATCAGAATGCAAGCTCATTATCGCCATGTAAACAAATCAGAGCAAATGCTTAATAAAGATCAAACATTAACCTTCACACAAGTTTTGTGCAAACAAATCAGGATGAATGCTCTCAGTAATCAGGTCATCTGGAGGAGCCCATAGGCGGAATGTGTGTGTGTGCGCATGTGCACGCGCACACTCAAGAACATCTGGGCTTGGCTTCTGCATTCAAGGGATCTCTGCTAGTTGTTCCACATGTTACAGAGGCCTGAATGACCCCAAGTACAAGTTGGACATTGAGTGCTGCTGCCAATCACATGCTGTGGAACGCTCTTCCAGGAGAGAGTTGGCAGGCACCCCCACTTTTGACGTTCAGGTATCTCTTGAAGACCAACAGGTCATTCTGCATCAGCGGTAGAAGGCTGGGGTGGTCCACAGCACTGTCCCCTATGGCAGGCTTTTAAATTTCCATGCAGGAATCTATGGCAATCATTTGCTTAAATGGGAGGAATTGAGTTGTATCCAGCTAAGTAGATCCACTGAAATTAATGGACATAACTAACTGATTTATTAATTTCAACAGGTCTATTCTGAGTAGGACTAACACTGACTACAACCCAGTCTCTGAATCTTTCCCATTTTAAGTTTTCATATCCTCCACTGGTGCGTTTTAAAAAATAATTAATTTTCTGGTATTCCATTTTTACACGCTTATAACGTTTCACTTTACTGTAAAGGTCCACAAAACCTACAAAAGGCAGGGGATGTCAAACTGCATATAAAGAATGCTAACTTGAATAGCTTTTAATCTCCTTAAGTTTTCACTTAAAAATATACAGAGGAGGTGAAGTAGCCATTTTTTTTACATGTCACCACACCTAAGACCTAGACAACAAATTGTTGCAGTGTATATCCTCACACAGTATTCCTGTTCAGACTTCTAGCCAGTTATTCCTTTTGTGCAGGGCATCCCACTCTCCCCTCCGCTGGATTTTCCTTCCCTCCTCTTTCAAACTGACACACTGCATTCCTTACCTATTGAAGCATGTTTAGTCTTCACTAGGCTGTTGTTGTTTTGCCCTCTTAGGCTTAAAAAAAGAGAGTTCTACTTCTCTAAACCTCAAGGTTCCCCAGAACACGCTGTTTATATTGTTTCTCAAAGGCCCCATTACAGCTCAGTTTCCACCATAGTTTGTTATTAGAGGGAGCAATATAAGTCAACCCACTTTCACCTCTTCTCATTCTGATTTCTTCATCCTACATTTTCCCTTTCTCTGTTCTCCACCTCTGTTCTTCCATACCCACCACAATCCAATTTCTTCCTTCCTTGGAAAGTCATGGTGGCCAAAGTTATACAAGACCAGTAAACACAATCAACTGTAGATCTAAACAGACAACCATTTTAAAAGAGTGTGCTTCGATCCTCACCCCAGCTATGACTGCTCTTAAAACAGGCTTTTGAAACGGCACAAAAAACCTGCAAAGGTGTGCATACAATTGTCAGCAATGGTATCATACCACCTTGACCTTCCCCTCTTTCCCCAAACCCCTATTGTCTGTTTGGATCCCTACTGCAAAGTTATGCTGGTTTTATATTACTCCACCTATCATGGCTTGGGAACTGTGGTTTAGTGAGGGTACTCAGAAGGATTCTTTCCCCATATTTCATTTCATTTCATCCTCTTTGCTACAATACGGGACAGTTTTTAAGCCACAGAAGTGACAAAATATATAACAAAGATCACACATCCTACAACAATCAGATCCAACGCAAATGCCATAATGAAAAAAGTGTCTATGAAAATAAACAACTTAAATCAATTGATTTAAGTTAACTGTTAACTGTTAACTTAACTGAGCAGCAAAGTCACAAAGCTTATAAAATGTAATCCATTTGAAATATAGTATTGCACGATAAAAAGCAACTCTCAAAACCAGCAAATGATAAGCAGAAAACCACTCCCACCAATTACAATAAATCATTACTAGATTATAATCAATAAAAATAACAGCAAAGTCACAACACATAAAATACACCGCAGCCCGTGTTTGTTTGTTTGTTTCAAAAAATTAACTGAGCAGCAAAGTCACAAAGCTTATAAAATGACAAAATGCTTATCCTCAACACATCCATCCTTTACAGCAGGGGGTTCCCAAATTGCGGCATGTGGACCATCAGTGGCCACAATAGTAATTCAGGTGCCCCAGGCACCTGTGGATTTGCTGCTTAAGAAATATTCATATTGATTTTTAATTGTACTTTTATTGCTTATATTGTGTCTAAACGCATTGCAATTCAAACTGCAATACAATAAAATACAATATAGAAGAAATAAAAGCAGCAATAGAAATGCAATTAAAAACACAGTATCTAGCACCACACATTATAATTGACACAAGAGGCATAAAAATTAATGATTTTCAAGTAGTCTGTGGGCAAAAAGCTTGGGAGCCACTGTCTTACAGAATTAGAGTTTCCAGGGATTCCTGGGGAGCAGGGCTATTCTAACAATTAAGAGTCCATGATGTAAAGATGCCATCAGCCTCATACCTAACCACTGATTTGTTCATTCATTCATTTTTATTTATCTCATTTATAAACCGCCTTTCCACATATATTTTACCCAAACCACAAGTCCAGGATGAATAAAGAACATGGTATTGGACTAGGGATGGGGGAGGAATTCAATTAATTTCACACTTAAAAGGCAAGTATAGCAAATTTCACACTATTCCAACAATGCACAAATCGAAGCACAGCCATCCCTCCCAAATTTGTGAATTTTGCAGTGAAGTCCTCCAACCAAAAATAATGTATCCTAGGGTGAAGTGAGCATTTAAAATGCATGTATTAGTGACAATAACATACAAAAATGCATTATATTATAGAAAAAATGCTTTTGCAAAAATGTTTATGTCAGGCACAATTGCACACACACAGATATTTGGAGAAATTTGCACAGAAATACTGATGAGTTTTCATGAGAACGTTTAAAAATTAAGTAAGTCACAAACTTATATACAAATGTGGAGAACTGAAGATTGGGGGGTGGGATGAGAACCAGAGCAAAAACAAAAGCGAAGGATCTGCCCATCTCTATAGCCAACATAGCCCCCAACATTTCACAGATGAAAGTAGGGATGTCCATAGTCTCATATCAAAGGCGATTGCCTAGTTTCTCACCACAGGGCGCACCTTTCACATTGATGAATGCTCTTCTCTGTCTTCTGCATCTGATATTCATTCACACTGCAACAGCTTGCCTTGCTCTATGTTAAAAGCTAGGAAGGAATTTGTTCTTCTGGTTAAATGAGGGGGTGGGAGCGTGTGGTCATTGGACTACAGCTCCCATTATCCCTGATTGTTGGCTATGCTTGCTGCGGCTGATGGGAAAGGTGGCCCCAACAAGTACTGGAAGGCCCACTGGTTCCCCACCCCTGGGCTAAACCAATGAATATAAGAAGAGCCCTATGTAGTTCACCATCCAGCTTAGATATCTAGTTATTTAAGCCTAGTTTTAGGCCACAAAGCACCTTACGACCACAGTGGCCAACCTAGGGAGGTTGCTTATGCATAATCAAAAAGTAGGGAATGCATTGCCTCGCCTGGATAGCTTGGTTGGTTAAAGCATGGTGCTAATAATGCCAAGGTTGCTGGTTCGATCCCCTCTTGGGACAGCTGCATATTCCTGCATTGCAGGGGGTTGGACAAGATGACCCAACTCTACAATTCTATGATTCTATGAGCAGAGGAGACAGATCTGCATAAAATCTGCTTATGCTAATATATATGCATAGATGTAGAAGTAAAATACATATTGCCGTAGTGGGGAAGACAGAGACCAGATGATCTGTGTGCCAGCTCAGCCTATAGTCAACTTCAGGGTCCCTCCTGCCTTTCCTCCTTATAGTTTTCTCTATTTAAACCAGACTTAGACCAACCAGCTCTTCAAAATATGTACGATATCTTCAAATAAAGGTCTGTCCTCTATAAAGTAGGCCGCGTGGTCACCTTAGGCCCACAAAATGCCTGTAAGAAGCCCACAAGCAGGACACGGTGGTGCTCTATAAACAAACCAGCAAGCAAATAATTGCCTTGCGCAGATAAAAGAAAAGGGTGTGCAGACAGCATTCTCCGAAACGGCCCACTAAGGTCACCTCTAGCCTGTCAGCATTGTGCAGGAAGGAATTCAATCACATACCAGAAATTTAGACCTGCACAATTAAAGTGGATTAAAGCACTCTGTCAACTCACTGCAAGAAACCCACTTTAAAAAATAAACAGCAGACGACTGATTAACCAAAAACAATGGGCTTTTTGTGGATAGGGGATGTGATGGTGGGAAAATGCAGTGAAAAGTGTGGGGTGAACAGATGATTCATGGGAAGGTGTATAAACACTGTGCAAGCCAATGAATGCTGATTGTCATATAAACTCCCCACAAACAAATCAGAAGGAATGCTCACTAAAGACTGGCTATAGCCTAACCTGTGTGTAAGCAAACAGGGTAAACGCTCAATAAACAGGCCGTATGGAGGAGCTCCGAGGAGTCAACTTTCTCACCCCTTCCAGCGTTCTGGCCAATGAATGCAAACTAGGAGGATGACTGAAAGGCGCTAGGCCCTTAGTTTTTAAATTCTAGGATACTTCAATTGGGTGAATACTGAAGCTTGTTCAGTAACGTTAACATATCAGGCTACCTGTATTTCTGTTCTGGCTGCACTGCAACGATTCCTCGCCTGCTTCAGGCACCCCCTCCGCACAAAATCCCTGGCCACAGGCCTGTGGTGCCTTGGAGCATGCCTGGCATGGAAAGCAGTTGGACAGGCAATGCCCAGCGGTCCATCCATAGCTGTTTCCTTGAGCATCATCTCACTTCTTGCAGAGCTGAAGTAGAGGCTGCTGCAGATTCGTGGGGGTTTAAAATCCAGCTCTTTCGCTGTCTTTTGTGCTAAAGGCAGCCCCCCACTTGCTCCTACCGTAATGCATCCGTTAATGGGGTAGTGGAAGCAATTGGCCCCTTGCCTTAAACACTGTTTTTTCTTCTTTATTTTTCTGAAAAGCACCCGCTTGACGTCCGGTGTGAGAAGATATAAGGGACAGCAGGGAGGGGCCCCTCTGGAAGCTTCCCCTATTGACAGTTTGTTGTTCTCTTCATTAGCTTGGCTTGACAGAGATTTATGGCAGATTTTTGTGAAATAGCCGAGTTCCGAGGTCCAGCTTTTTAACGCCACGGCGAGATTTATGGCACTTAGCAGCGCGAGAGTGCATTAACGGAAGGGCAGCTTTCCTTCCCCCAATTCCCCCGCCCGCCCCGCTCCCCATCTTTCTTCCTCTCTTTTTAATTTGATTGCAAAACAACTTTTAAAGGCAGGAAAATAAAATCCAAGGTAATGGGCTTAATTGTACTTCTGGACAAGGACGTCTGGGGAGGGACACTAGAGTGCAATGGATGGGAAGGGAGGGGGGGAGAGAGAGAAGAGCCGGGACGCGTGGATGAAGGGTGTGCTTAAGTTAAAGGGCGTTGGGAGTTATTGTGGGATTGGTCCTAAACTAAATAGTAAGCTGTCTGCAGCATCCGCATGACACCGTCGGCATCGAAAGTCCACCCCAAGGGTCGCCACCAGCGCCAGTCCAACTCAGAGGAGACCCACTGGAGTTAATAGACACATCTAACTTAGGTTCTCTGACTTGGTGACAATTCTGTGGCTTTTTTCTCATTAATCTGGGTTTAACCTTTCTGGGGATAATTCTGGGGATAGGTAAAAGAACCAAAAACAATGTTACCAGTGACACAGCTGCAAGTTAAAAACCCCAACTCCCAGCCCATCTCATCTTGAATTAGCCAATTCTAAGTCAATCCATGATCGCTGGATTTATAAAATTATTATCTGCAATGTGAACTGATGGTGGTCTATTAGAAGTATTATTTGTATATTACCTTTTATATCTGTTTCCCTGGTGTTTGTCATAGCAGTTTAGATTTGCCACAACCAATCTGTATTTGTAGGTGCAGTATATGGGCTAGTCCCATGTTTTGTAATGACCATTGTGCCACTGATAAATAAAACTGCTCACAGGTCATTGTTATGATTTATAGTTATTTCCCCCCCTTTTTGTTCTTTAATTTTGTTTCATCTTTTCCTGGTTTCCCCCCCCCCCATTTCCCCTTTTCTTTCTTGTTAAATTCAGAAATTAATAGCGTTATTGCTATTAATGATTCGATTTCTTACCCGCCCTTCACCATAGAACAGGTTACAGGAATTTAAAATTGAACACGAAAAACAGTTTAAAACAAATTACACTTCCAGGAATAGGATGGGATCTGAAAATCTATCTCTCAGGTGTCAAAGGAAGCTTGACAGGCCAGGGTGAAGAGCTGTGTCTTCTGCAGAGCTGAAAAATGTTAGCAGGACAGAGGGAGCTCATCTCCTTCAACCTTAAAACTGATAAACTCTGGGGATGGGTTGTAAGTCCAGTATAGGAAGCAGCGCCCCCCAAGAGAGTCTTGTTAAGATATTACAAGACACTTCTGTGCAAATAAATCTTCGGGAAGTATGTCTTTGTGGAGGCCACCGTGTACCATGAACTCCCCTAACTGGAATAAAAGCTATTTCCTGCTTTGAAAAAGCTGCAAGCGTGGTTACCATGATAATTTGTGGTATTTGTGTGTGTGTGTGCGAGAGAGAGAGAGAGAATTCAAGTAGCTTGTAATACTTTACAGACCTTTCAAGCATCCCTATTTTCCAGAGACAATCCCAGATTTACAGAAGCCGTCCCGGTTTCTGATTTGATTCCGGCATGTCCTGCTTTTCCTTAGAACTAGGGGCGTAGGAAGGGGGTGGGTGGGTGCAGACCGCCTGGGGTGCCATCCCTGAGGGGGGTGACATCGCTGCACCGCCCCCCCCGGACGCTCGCTGTGGGCGGTGCCCCCGGGAGGCTCGCGGCAGGCAGCGCACCCCTGGGACACTCACCCTGCCCCCGCGGGCGGCTAGCCCTGCCCCCTGGGTGAACACCACTCTGGGTGCCAGAGCAGCTAGCTCCGCCTCTGCTTTTCACCCCTATTTTCATCAGAGAAATGTTGGGAGTGTATGGATTTATGCGACCTTGGAGCAAAGGTGATAAGTAACTAAACCAAACAACCTTTAGAAGACATCTGAAGGCAGCCCTGTATAGGGAAGTTTTTAAATGTTTAATGCTTTGCTATGTTTTTATGTATGTTGGTTCCCAGCAGCTGGTATTCAGAAGCATTGCTCCTTCTGACAGTGGCGGCAGAACACAGCCATTGGGGTTGTAGCCATTGATAGCCACTGCATTAATCATTGGGTGTGTGCACTCCCTAACAGCCACCTGTCACCAGAAGCTATCAGTGCTCACTTCAGCAAGCTTTTGCGAGTGACCAAAAGCCCAAGGAGTCTTCAGATGTACAAAAACTCAAAGGTAATGGCCATCTTTAAGCTTTGTGCAACCGAAACGTATTATCTATACATCTATTTTTCTACTCTTTGTTTTTATCACCTTTCACCCAGCTTTTTTTTGGGGGGGGCTGGATTTACTTTTTAGGGAGTACATTTATGTGCCTGCGCAATCCATTTTTGTTTTCAAGTGGTTCATCCTGCAGCTTTCCCGACAGCATGTTTTCCCATCATTCGTATATATCTATATCTATCTGTATCCACAAATTTTCAAGCCCATTCTGCTTCCAGGTGTTGGAGGAACATCTGGATGAACACACTCGCAGATGCGCCCCCACAGAAGCATTTTGCAAGAGCTATTTTTAGCCCCTCCAGTAGCAGCAAAAAGCGTCCCCAGTTGTCAGGAGGATTGCTCTCTGTGGCATCAATCTTACCGTGGTTTTAAGTGAGCGCTGTCACTTCCCATTTAGGGGGAGATATACGCATATCCTTCTGGAGATGGAGAAATTGATTTTGTTCTCTCTCTCTCTCTCTTTCTCTTTTTAAAGCATCGAGCTATTTTGCTGATTAGGAGTTTAATTCCGCCCCCCGCTCTGGTGGGCCGAATATCTTTTGGCTATCCAGGGAAAAAGATCGCACAGCATTTGGCAAAGTGACTTTAATGGCAGGAACAATGAATGCACTTAGCCTCTTCTCCACCGACTGGGCGCATGTCTAGAGCCCCACAGCTCAGAGATGAAGCACAACATTTGTATGCATGCTGTACTTATTTCATCTGGGCCTACAAAGGAGTATAGGGAGCCTCCTACTTCCAATCAGACCATTGGTCCATCCATCCCAGTTCTGTCTACACTGGAGTGGGAATCCTCAGGCCTAGGAGCCAGATGTGGCCTTCCAAGCCTCATTGTCAGGCCCTGGGGACTCTCCGCATGCCATGCCCTTCATTGGCCACACCCCTTCTCCCCAGGCCATGCCTCTCACTGTTCCCACTACAGTGTTTTCAGCTGGCTCATCCTTGAGTGCCTGGATGAAGAATAGGGAGGATTTGTGGGTAGAAACTACCTTAGTGTACGTTAAGATCTTATTTTTCAGATTTCACTTTTGGATAAAATTGTTCATGAAGGCTGAGGAGCTTCTACATATTATATGCCAACATTTTCCTAATTTAGCCTGCTACCTGACATTGATCAGCGATGAATCATGTATCTGCTGAGGTAACACTCCTGGTGCAAATCTGTTAACCCAGTTCTGCTCCAGTTACATGGACCTTAGAATGGGGTCGATTCAACTCGGTCCTAGGGCTGCATTAAATTAAGTTCTACTGACAGCAGACGCACTGATAATAATGAACACGTGTTAGCTATGCCCATTAATTTCAGTTCAATATGCAGTGGAGGTATGTTCATTTGGGTGAAGGGGGCACTGCTCCACCAACTTCAGTCTGCCCTCAACCAGCTCCCACCTACTTGCCTTCTTTCTTAGATTCAGTCCAGGGGGCAGCACTGGCTCTCAGCTTCCTCCTCCTTGGTCTCAGTGTTGATCCTTGTTGAGAGAGGAGGATGGTGACAAAACTAGAATTAGTTGGCTCTGCCTGCCATTGGCTGTGACTCTGCCTGCCATTGGCTCACTGGCTCCACCTACTGTTGGCCCTCCTGCCTTCCATCTCACCAGCCCCCAGTAGGCACCAGCTACCACTGTCAATAGAACTAACGTTGGATACAAACCCATTTGTTTTATAGCAGATAATCTAGTCAGAGCCAAAATATGTAGAAGACGATAGGGTGTGCACCCCAAAATAAGCTTTGGGCTACCACAGACAATGCATCCACAACTGTCCAGGAGAGTTGCCTACTTGCATGAAGAATGGTTTGATGTGCATGGCAAGATGCCATATACAACGTTGCGACAACCAAGGTGACAAAGACGGCTCTGAATCTGTCCTTGAAGTAGTAGAGAATGATGACAATGACTTTTACGAGGCGTTAAAACTTTGGAGGAAACCTTGTACCTAACTTTTTCTTCTTTGCGGATTTGTGAATGAAGGTATAGTAGCAACGCAGTAGCGTAATACTAAAAATATTCTTGTGGATGTGCTGTATTGTTCTCTTTCGCTTTCTTCTCTCTGATTTTTTTACTTCACATAAAATATATATTGCATTTGACAAGTTCTTTTGTCATTTTCTTGCTCATATTGGATTGCTATTTATTTCTGGCAATTATTATCATTATTTATACAGCTAAATAATTTTTTTTGAGTGAAAGCAACTCAGAACGGACAGCCACCATGGCTAATAATTTTACTAGGTCATATTCTTTTTTTGGGGGGGGGGGGAGTACTTAGTTTAATCCCTCAGGATGGTACCGTCCAACCTATTTTAAGACACACAAGTAATTGGGAGGAACCATGCTGGCAGATACGAATGGGTGAGTATTGCTTTATACCAGCCCAGCAGAGAGATTATTGATCACTAATCAGTGTAAGATAGCAGACTAAATGAGGAAAGTTTTGGTATATAACATGCCAAAATGTTGGTATATAATTGGGTAAAAGCTGTGAAACCCCCCATATGGATATTGTGTATTTTTGACTATTTGTTTACATGATTAAGGTATGTTTTTCGTTGAAAGCTACTCAGGGTTGATAAATTACTATGGTCATGGGCTATATAAAAAAAAGGCTACCTTATTTTTTCATTCCAGATGGTAACAACCAAGCCTTCTGGCTCCTAGTCTAATCACCCCTGTTTTGCCCAGGGTATGTGTGTGCCTTTTAAAACCAGGAGAGAAAGGGGGAGCTAGTGAGGGGCTGAGGATAGAGGAACGTATGAGTGCAATCCTGAACGGTGTTAATTATTTGCACATAATTCTATGAGCCTTAGGAGGAAGAGAGGAAGAGTGTTAAAAGCTCATGAATAGTATATTTTTTTACTATAAAAAAATGAACATTGTACATAAAATTATTTTTGCGGTTTTGAATATTATGCCCCATTGTGTCCCCCCCCCCCCGCAGTCTCTCGCTTTCTCCCTCCCTCCCTCCCTTCTCTCTCTCCAGAGGTTAGATCTCTGAAGGGCGGAGGATGCCAGTTCAGATAATAAATGTTGCTGAATGCATTGTGAGTTGCCGCTACCCTGAAATAACAACAGCTCAGATTCATCGTAAGATTAAAGCTTCTGAAGTTGATTTTATTTATTTATTTAAAGAAAGAAAGCCGTTGCGGTTGGTTTGCTAGCACAACACTCAAGTGCAATTGTGTGAGGGGAGATAAGCAGGGGCTGAACTGCGGTGATTCAGGCAGCAATGCTAGGTGTAAGGACCTGTACAACGTCTGAGGCCCTGCCTAATCAGAACAGACCCACTGAAATTAACGAGTGTGATTCACTTAGCTCCATTCATTTCAATGGGCCTAGTTTAAGTAGAATCTTGGATACCACTCCGTTTTAATTTGTGGGAGGGGTGACAGCATTATCAACTACCTTGGGTCCTACAGTCAGCAGGAAGGCCCGGTTGCTGGTGCCACTGCTGACTGATGCCTGGTGGTGTTGACCCGTTACAGGGACTTATTGATGGTGGCTCCCTGGCTGTGGAATTCTCTCCTTGGTGCGGTGCAACTATTCCCCTCATTACTAATTTCCAGGAAGAAGTTAAAAACATTCCTGTTTACTCCCAGACATTTGCTGGCTGAAATCTACTGCCGCTGGCCACCTTGAAATATTCAGGCATTAAGGTATGTGATTGTTAAAAAAGCTTTTATATTATTTTTAATTTTATTGTTTTACCACATTGGTGTTTGCCTTCCTGGCCTCATAGAGGGGGGAGGGCAGGGCAGAGCTGCCAACTTGAATAAACTTTTGGGGGACACAGGTAAGCCCCACCCCACATAAACAATCACATGACGTAGCACACACACACACACCCCATTTGAGTGGCAATGCCCATCAACCTTTGAGGGGCCCAGCCCCATCAAATAATTTATTGGGGGGCCCAAAGGGACCTCAGCCCCTAGGAGTTGGCTCCTACAGAGGATGGGGAGAGGGAGGAGGAAGAGGTGGGAGGGGAATAATTTGGCTTTGTCAAAATGTCTTGGACTAGTCCCGCAGATGTTGCTTGTGACAAAGGCATTTTCTTGCTGGCTATCCACTTGTAAGGGCCAAACTACATTTGTCATGTGGTCTACACTTCACCACCACCAGAAGGAGGCAATGCATCACCAAAAAGACAGAGGGGAAAACAAATGAAGAACTGGATTTGCATAAAATATTCCGATGGTAATTCACATATCTAAATGCAAATTTGGAAACACAGGAAATTGTCTAGCTCAGCTTCTGGTATCCACCCAGCTTATTACTGTCCACACAGACTGGCAGCAGCTTCTACAAAGTTTCAGACAATGTGCCCTGCTGCCCCACTGCCCTACCTGGAAATGCTGGGATTGAACTGCAGGTTCTTTTGCATGCAAAGTACAGTGGTACCTCGGGTTAAGTACTTAATTCATTCCAGAGATCCGTACGTAACCTGAAACTGTTCTTAACCTGAAGCAGCACTTTAGCTAATGGGGCCTCCTGCTGCCGCCGCGCCACCGGAGCACAATTTCTGTTCTCATCCTGAAGCAAAGTTCTTAACCTGAAGCACTATTTCTGGGTTAGCAGAGTCTGTAACCTGAAGCGTATGTAACCCGAGGTACCACTGTACTGTACATGCAATCCAGCGTCCCCTGTACTGGCAGAGGAAAACATGCAGTCAGATAGAGAAGCACACCTGGATGAGCTCCAGCTCTGGAGATTGGGCACACTGTTTCAGCACCTTCTCTCTCCCCCCCCCCAAGCAACCAGGTGTGTGGTCTACACGGAAGGCTCCCTGCAGAGCGAGTGCAATGGCGTGGCCTGGGATGTGGTGGTGGTGGGGAATGAAAGCTACCTTTCCCTAGGATTCTAGATTCAGGTAGGTAGCTGTGTTGGTCTGACGCAGTCGAAATAAATTAATTAAAAATTTGCCCAGTTGCACCTTAGAGACCAACTAAGTAATTCTGGGTATAAGCTTTCGTCTGCATGCAGGTATCTGAAGAAGTGTGCATGCAGATGAAAGCTTATACCCAGAACTAAGTTGGTCTCTAAGGTGCTACTAGACAGTTTTTTTATTTATTTCCCTAGGATGCCTTTTGTTGCTCCAAGCAGAGAGCTAAGTCAATCACTTGGAAGCATAGGAGGGAGCTGCCTGGAGGGATTCTACCTGCATGCTTTCTTGCACCTGCCTAGCTCAGTGGTAGAGCATCAATCCCTGGCATGCCCAGGTAGACATACCCCTGCATGAAACCTTGGAGAGAATTTGCCAGTTGTTGTAGAGAGTCCTGAGCTGGGTGGGCCAATTGCTTGACAAGGCAGCTTCCTGTGTTCATTTGTTGCTCTCACCCACTCAGCACTGCCCATCGTTGTTGGTGGGGAATTTCCATGGTTGCAAAAGGTAGGAAGTTGACTGACATTCCAGCAACACTGCACAGCAGGTGTGCTTGCTAAGTGAGATGCATTCTGCGACAGAAATGGGGGAAGGACACTGTCTGGGCCACAGCCAGTCATGAATTACTCCTCTGCTAAATAAGCTCAAGCCTCAAATACTGAAGCTCAGTAGTAGAGCATCTGCTTGACGTGCAAAAAGTCCCAGGTTCAATCCCCAACACCCCCAGGTAGTGCTGAGAATGCCCACTGCCTGAAACCCTGGAGAGCAGCTGCCAGTAAGGATGTAAGAGAATTCTGTTGGAAACGGGAGAGGAATTTGACACAATTTGCATGTTCAACAGGACCAGAAATCGCACAAGCAAATACAAGTGGTGTCTGCTGTTGCAGGGTTTTTTGTTTTTGCTTTAGTCTGCAAACACTATGTTCATGGCATTTCCCTTCCATCAAAATGCATTGAAATTAATGACCTAAGTGGGACAGCCGAACTGCAGTGGAACAGAAACAGAACTGATTGTGATGAACACAGGATGAGATGGAAATTGCTGCCTCCCGATGTCCCTAGCTGCCAGTCACTGCAGACAACACTGAGCTCGCTGGACCAAGTAGTCTGACTCAGAAAAGAGCAGCATTCTATAACTAATACAGTGGGAGAGGTGGGAGAGGGAAAGCCATGCATCTCTTAAATCTGTTTTGCACAACTCTCCATGCACAAGAAGAGAGGGCAAAGAGATTGAGACTCCTTGGTGACCAGCAACTAGCTCACCAGGCTAATACCAAAGCTCTTGTTTCGAGGCCTAGGTTCCTGGTATACTACTAACATATATTTCTCAAACCATGTGGACTAGATTCTTAGATCTGCACGTATTCTCTCAGACCTTGCAGGCTGGATTCTTAGCAGCTTCATGTTTTCTCTCAGTCCTTGTGGACTAGATTCTCAGAATCTGCATGTTTTGTCTCACACCTTGTACAGTGGTACCTCAGGTTAAGAACTTAATTTGTTCCGGAGGTCTGTACTTAACCTGAAACTGGTTCTTAACCTGAAGCACCACTTTAGCTAATGGGGCCTCCTGCTGCCGCCGCGCCACTGGAGCACGATTTCGTTTCTCATCCTGAAGCAAAGTTCTTAACCTGAAGCACTATTTCTGGGTTAGCGGAGTCTGTAATCTGAAGTGTATGCAACCTGAAGCATATGTAACCTGAGGTATCACTGTACACTCGATTCTTAGGAGCGGCACATTTTCTTTCAGACCATGAGGTCCAGATGCTTGGAAAGCCAGATTCTTCTAATCTTGTTAGGTTCCCCTGCTGCAGAACAGAAGGAGCCTCTTTGTCCAGGCTGGCTGTGCTGTGCTATGCCCCCCCCCCCGGCCAATCCCTGTCCCCCACTTTGCTGCTGCGTCTGCAGGAGTGGTAAGCTGAGGAAGAGGTTGGGCGAGCGAGTGGGTGGGTGGGTCGTTAGGCAGCCTGCAGCTTCAGCGTTTATTTGCGAGCTGTGAGATCACAGGTTAATGGACGGGAGGATAAATCCCGGTTGGTTCTTGTTTATCACCGTACGAAAAAAGCCCCACGCACACTGGCGACAGGTCCAGGACTTTAAAGAGTGGAAATAAAATGGGATCACTTCGGGTCAGGCATAAATAAAGGACCCATTAACATTGGCAGTGATGCCGCTGGGAGCGAGTGGCCTCAGGATGGGGCTTGTTTGTTTGCCTGACTCCTTCATTTCCTAGCAATTTTCTTCTGCTGGCTGGCTCGGCTTCCAGACTCCTGCCACCTTGGGCTTTGACTTTGTGAAATCTTGGCTCAGTGAGGCCTACGCTGCGTGGCATGGATGGGATGCAGATGAGGGGGCTGTAGTGGCAGAGACCGGTAAAGGGCAGCCTTGCCTCTGGGGGGCACTGTTCTGCAGGTTAGAGCAGGCTTGGCCAGAGGGCCATTTCAGAGGACCCCCTCCCCACACTCTTGTATCTCTGCAGTGTTGGGAGTCCCTAGGAAGCCGCTCTTTCTTTAAACCAGTCTGCAAGTTTCGTGAAGAGAATTGCTAGCAGTCCAGGTAAATGAATGAATCAAGTAACTGCAGGCTGCTGTGAACTCCAAATCGCCCACCCACAGAGAAGGATGCCTGCCGTCTCTCTGCGTGAGTAACTGCCCTGGACTTGCCTCTTTCCAAAGTCTCCTTTTGTGGGTGGGGTGGGGTAGAGGGAGGCAATTTTGCTACACCTCTGCCTCATGCATGGTTGGATTAGTCCATGCCTGCAGCAAAATTCCCTGCCCCCAGAGGAGGCTGTTTGTTGCTTCTCTGCATGAGTGACTGTTCTCGGCTTGCCTCCATCCAATGAACCTTCTTGGGAGTTGAGGGGAGGGGAGGACAGGGGAAGAATAATTCTACCATGCATCTGCATAGAGGGTATCTCCACCATGTGATCACTTGCACTGGAGAATTAACAGAATGTACCAATCCTCAAGAAAGCTCATCGGGTGTGGGGGAGCCTTTGGCCCTCCAGTTGTTTGCTGAACTACAACTCCCATCACCCCTGGACATTGGCCATACTTGCTGGGGCTCATGGGTAAATGGTTATTCCCTTCTGAAGTGGCATAACTGCTGTAGTTAAAGCTAACTTCAACTTACCTGGGAGTAAGTCCCAATCAACTCAGTAGGACTCACACCAGAGTAGACAGGCATAGGATTATCCCATAATTATCCCACATTTTTTTATGGTGGCTGTGTTTTAAATATGTTTTCCCCCTGTTGCTTTATAATATTTCATGGCTACATTATTTGTGCTTCTGCTGGTGTCAAACTGTTTCCAAATTTATTTACTTGTTTGTTTATTAAGATGGTTAATTTCTTGTTTTAAGGCTGTGTACACACCACACAGAAATACTAGCTGCAGTGATCCCGGGCATGTCAGCTGCCAGGGCGCATAGCTGTCCTCCTCCTGAAAGTGCATCTCTCTCTGTGTGTGTCTGTCTGTATACCATATGTGAGCAAAAACTAAGCCGACCTCAACCTGCACCAGGGGACACCTGCCTGCCTAACACCTGGAGAGCTGTGAGCATCTTGGAGAGCTATGTGCTGCCACTGGCCAAGCGTGACCTCCACTCCCTGCTTTACAGATAAATCCTGGGAGTCGCTGGCCCTCCCAGGTGCCATGTCAAAAGCCAAGCACAACCTGCTACTTGCATGGAGAGCAGCCTTTGCAGAAGAGCCCTGGGGAGTGCGGGCGGCTTCTTATTCAGAGCACATAGTATGCTGACAATGCCCACCATTTTGGAAAAGGGCAAAGGAAAGGACACATACGTGGGGGGTGGGAGGGCCCTTACTCATCCAAATTCGGTGTGGTCCACAGCTTCCCCCCCTCTATTCTATAGCACAATGTCAAGCCAGGAAGTCATCACAAAAGAACTTAGAACTTTCTCATTGGCAGAAAGACCCAGAGGGCAGGGGGAGCAATAGATGTTTAGCCCCACCCAGTCTGCCTGCCTTCATCATATCCCCTACAGCCCACTAGCCTTTGAATGGCCCTGTCTGGCCTTTCTACGCTCAGCTTTTAAAGAACATCTAGTCCAGGCTTTTATTTATTTTGCCAGCTCCCTGTATGTATGGTTTTATCAGATGCTGTTTTTGTTGCATGTTTGTTCAATTGTTTGATTGTAAACTGCCTTGTGAGGGCTCACTCTGAAAGGTGGGGTAGCACTCAGGATGTCTGGATTTGTTTTGGTTTCTCAGTGTTTTCCATTTCCCCAGCAATTTACAGATTGATTGTTTTTAAAAAACGATAATCATAAAAAACCATCAATATTTTATATGAAGTTTTGACTAATATGCACAATTTTGTAGGCAAATTATCCTACTATAATGCATTTTTGTATGTTATTTTAATCAGTGTGCGCATTTTGAACCACATTTCCCCCCAACATGTGCATTTTTCTGCATATTATTTGGTTAGAGAATTGCACTGCAAAATTCAGAAAAGTGAATGTGTCTTTTGGTTTGCATAACATTTTGAGAAGAACAAATTAGGCAGCTCCACATCAAAATGCAAACAAAATGGGATTTCTGTCCTCTCCCTAGGTAGCACAATATTAAACAACCAAATAAATAACACACCAAGAGTCAAAATTTATCTTAATATTCTTTCCAAACACTTGTTTTGTTCTGCCTAGCCAGGTGAAAAAACACCTTTCTCTGCCTGAATCCCTGGAGAGCTGCTGCCAGTCAGAGTAGACCAACCTTTTCTGACCAAGGGGCACATTTTTAATTTTGAGAGAGTTTTAGGGTTGCCAGTCACAAAATGGATGCTGTGGAGGTGTGGCATAACACAACGTTGTAGGACAACGACACATGGAGGAGCACCATGTTGGTTACCCCTTCTTGTACTGCTTGACCCCATCAGCTGTCACCAAAAGGTGGAGTGCCCCTGCAGATGGAGGTTCTATTTTGCCTCATTATGAGTGGTGATTCATAGACCTATTCTCCAAGTATTTGTTTTTCCTTTTTTAAAAAAATAATAATTAAAAAGCTATCTCACCTGGTAATGAAATGCTGTAAGTTATGTACTGTGGAAGACATACTTATTTAACATTGTGCCGTTCTTGAACTTAAGATCACAACCTTCTGCTTTATACTATGTCCAGCTTCTTGTCTATCTAGTCCACCACTGACTGGCAGCAGCTCTCCAGTGATTCAGCCAGCTGGGCATCTCATGTATTCTGAACAGCCACAGGCAGTACCTAACTCCCAGCACCCTGTGCTTCCTTCCCCCTCCCTTTCAAACCAGTAGAGATATTAATTTGAATGCTGTGAAGAAGAAAAAGGTATCAATTAGAAGACTCACCACCGCCTCCTCCCAGCAGGGAACTGTTAGCTACAAAGAAAACACAGAGAAAGATGATGTTATTAAATCGCTGCCTGCTCAGGAACCATTTCACTTTAGTTCATTCACAAAAAAAGCAGGGGGAAGCATTACAATACTAACTCATTTGGCTTTTTGGAAGGCTCCTTCCCTCCAGCCCTTGTCCCAACCCTTGGAGTCCCCTCCACCCCCACTTTGCACCAAGCTGCTTCTCTTACCAGGCCCATCTCCCTGTGGGAACTCAGGTACCGAAAGTCAAAGCATCTTCATCCCTTTGTCTGAATCATAGGGTCCTAGAGTTGGAAGGGACCACAAGGGTGATCTAGTCCAACCCCCTGCAATACAGGAATATTTTCCTCAATGTGGGGATCAACCCCACGACCCTGAGCTCAAGAGTCTCATGCTCTACCAGCTGAGCTATTTGTGCAACCGCATTTCACTCTGTAATCTTCTCTGTGTCAAGTTTCTGACTGCAAAGTCACTTGGGGCAGAGACCTGTCCTTCTGCGCTTGATAAAAGGCCATGCCTGCTGATGGCTTTCTATACAGATAGACCAGGGGGCGGGAACCTTTTGGCCTCACAGGCCTGGTCTTTATCTCCCCCACTCCTCTGGGCCATCTTTGACAGGTGGGCAATATGACAGCTATTGACATCAGGACCATAGTTGTGGACACTCTGGTGAGAAATGCTTAGAGCAGGGGTCAGCAACCTTTTTCAGCTGTGGGCCGGTCCACCGTCCCTCAGACCATGTGGTGGGCCGGACTATATTTTGAAAAATAAATGAATGAATGAATTCCTATGCCCCACAAATAACCCAAAGATGCATTTTAAATAAAAGGACACATTCTACTCATGTAAAAACCACGCCAATTCCCAGAACGTCTGTGGGCCGGATTAAGAAGGTGATTGGGCCGCATCTAGCCCACAGGCCTTAGGTTGCCTACCCCTGGCTTAGAGGAAAGGGATAGGTGAACCTTGAATTTCACTTTTTCTCAGTTTATTATTTTTTCAGTCTGAAGTTCGGTTTTCCACATTTCCACATAAGCTTGCATTTTTTTCCAGAAAACCCTTGTGTAAATTAAGCATCTTAGTGCAGAATTATCTTAATAGGTACATTTCCCAAATCAATTTCCCCATCTACAATGCATTTTTTCCTTTATTTTGCTTAATATATGCATTTTAATGTGCACTTTATGCATTCTTGTCCATTTTAATTGGCTAGGGAACTGCACTGCAAGATTTGTAGAAGTCTGGGTTTCAAAGGATGGCTGCATTTCAGTTCATTTACTGCTCCAGAAAGTGCAAGTTACCAAACCAAATTTCTCTTTGATTCCCAACAGGGCATGAAGGCAAAATCCCTCCCCGTGCTGGCTGCCCCCTGCCCCAAGCATTCTGATCACCTCGTAATGGGAGGTTTGCAGCTGACGGCCTCTCCCTCCCTGAATCTCTTCAATCCATTTTGAAAATCATTCTAAGTTTAATTCATTGTTTTAACCACCTGCTTTTAATGTTGGTCTTATTGATTGCCCTTTTCATGTTTGTTTTTTATTCTGACTTCATATTGTTTTTATTGTTTTCTTGGAGGGTAAGGCTGTCAATGCCAGTGTGGTGTAGTGGTTCAGAGCGGTAGACTCGTAATCTGGTGAACCGGGTTTGATTCCCCGCTCCTCTACATGCAGCTGCTGGGTGACCTTGGGCTAGTCACACTTCTCTGAAGTCTCTCAGCCCCACTCACCTCACAGAGTGTTTGTTGTGGGGGAGGAAGGGAAAGGAGATTGTTAGCTGCTTTGAGACTCCTTAGGGTAGTGATAAAGTGGGATATCAAATCCAAACTCTTCTTCTTCTTATCCGCAATGGCTGTTTTCTACCTCCACTGTCAGAGGTTGCATGTGCCTCTGAATAACTGAGAATCACATGTGATTGTTGTGAGCTCCCCACAGGCACCTGGCTATACTGATCCTACCCCAAAAATATTCAGGGGGCCCAAAAGTGCTCAGCCGCCCCCAGGAGCTGGAGCTTCTGTCCAGCAGCAACCCCCTTCATTGTCTATCATGCTGTCCTCAGGACTTTGAGCCAATTGGCCAAAGGGTGCTATGCAAATACACAAAATAAAGAAGTAAACAAGCAAAGAAACCAACACAGGCTAGCACCTATCACCACATCGTGGATATACTAATCTGCCAAATAAATAAAAGGTAGCAGCACATCTTGTGGAAGTGAGTTCCACATCCTACATCCCTGCTTACTTTTATACTCTAAACCTGATTCACTGGGAGACCCCTGGGTTGAAAGGGATCTGCTTGCATAAGCCTATGTTGAAGTTGGACACTACTTATGGGCTGTATCCAATGCTTCTCCTTCTCAGAGTAAGTCATGCCCATTAATTTCAATGGGTGTCCTCTGAGTAGAACTAGCATTAGATACAGCCCTGTATTTCCCTGGGCTTTCGCTACTGGGGGCAACCTGTAGGATAAGCCGTGTTTATGCTTCAAATCAGCTTGTAGACAAAATCTCCTCACTGTTTCCCCCCTCAAACCCCTGTCCCCAGTTACAGCTGGAAATAAATGCCGTTCCAGACTTCATTCATGCCCTAGCAGTTTGCTGAAGGTTTAGCACCTGTTACCGAGAAGTTACCTTGGCAACGGGAGCATCGCATACGATTGCTGTCACCTCGGAAACACCCAGTACAGAATAAGCCCCTGTTCCCAGGGAGCCTAGCCAGGAGATCCACGCCACTGTGGTTGGAGCTGGGAGAAGTGAGGTGTGTAATGCGGGTTGGGAGGGGCACGCATGGAAACTTCAGGTCAGTCTCCCCACACCGCAGTGTGTGTGTAAACAGCCAACGGGCTACATCTCATATGGAGAGAGGGAGTCTCAAAATAGCTAGGAAAGAAGCACATCAAGAGAATGCCAAGACAAGGAAAACTGCTTATCAGGTCTTTCAGAATTAGCCTTTTCTTGGCACATATACCAGATTTGATTGGCTGCACACCTAACCCAGAGCTGCCTACAACACAGACTGGCAGCATCTCCTCAGGGTCACCTGCTTCCTGCTCCTTTCTCCTAGCTGGAGACAGCTGGAACCTGGCACCTTCTGAAGGCAAAACACGTTCTCAACTACTCAGCTATGGGCTCCTTGGGAGCTGATCAGAAGACTCCCCAAGGAAACCATCAGGAGGGCTGAAAAGCCTTCTTAGAAAAGACAGCTCACGTGTACTCTGACTGCACTCCTCTTTATGAGAGGTGATCCCTATTTTCTGGAACCTGTCCCTGGTGAATCACCGCTCAGGGCTTCTGGGAATACTCTTGTTAAAAATTTTCTTGCAGCTGAGCTGCTGGTATGGTTATTCTTCAAGATTCAGCTCCCTCCCCAGGGTCTTTAGAAATGAAATCTCTCAGCCGGGCAGGGTGGGTAGTGCACCTTGCCTCTAGCGCAGATATGCACACAGCTCACACATGGACGCTGAGTTGGCAGTGCTGCAACTGATGAGGTGTGATTTAGAACTCTGGAAAACCCATTGTGGAGAAATGGCAGTCTTGTCTGAGTGCGTCCGAACAACATTTGTGGGTGGAAAGTGTATAGGGAGCAAAAGTGGTTGTGCGCCCCGCCCCCCAAATGTCCCTGTTCTACATGTGTGGACCTGGCTGTTCTTGGTTGAGCACAAAGGTCTGAAGAGGTCTTTGGAGCGTGTTTGGATGAAAGCACATAGAAGTCTCTGCATGACTTGAAACTCTTAATATTCATTCACTCATTCGGTATGCCGCCCTATACTTGCAAATCTCAGGAAAGTTCCCAACATAATATTACACCATTCCCAACTGTGGAGAGGCTTCTAGGAACACAGAAAGCAGAACATTGGGTTTTGCCTACACTCTTGGCAGAAGCTCTCCAGGATTTCAGACAGGGGTCTCTCCCAACACTACCTGGAGATGCTTGGGATTGAACCTGGGAGCTTCTGCATGCAAAGCAGAAGTAGCAGTAAGTAAGCTTCTCAGTGCAAGGATTTGCCCTGGCAACATGGGGCTGCCCCCTCTCCTCTCTTGAGTCCTCCTAAATCTGCTCTGTGGGTTCTCCCAGCCCTCCATAGTGGGAGGAAAGTCCTGTTGCACAGGCAGACATCATTGTGCTGATGGGGCTTCTAGTGGTTGCATACTGCTGAGCTGCAGCTGCAGTCTGTCCTCAAACAGACTTCTGGCTTGCTCTTGCCCCCTGAAACATAGGCATGTGCCTTATAGTGAATCAGTCCATTTGGTCCATATAGCTCAGTATTGTCTACACTGACTTGTAGTGGCTCCTCAGGACTTCAGGCAGTGGTCTCTCCCAGCCCTACTTAGTGATGCAGGGGACTGAACCTGTGACTTTCTGCATGCAGAACAGAAGTTCTACAACCCAGCTACAGCCCTTCCCCACATCTCAATTGCATTTGGGTTAGAGCAGGAAACTTGGGGCGGAACATGCAGGAAAGGGGTGTTGGGAGCAGTGCTTGCATGCATCACACCAGTTTTTTGTTTGTTTGTTTTTTTGCAAATATATCCTTAACAAAAAATATTTTAAAAATAACTTGACTTATACATCAGAGGAGGACAGGCTGCGGTAGAGTAAACGAAGACCGCAGCTGGAGTAGAATTGCTGGCAATGCGTCATAGTGTGGGGAGGGAGGGAAGCAATCTTTTGTATGAGAATTGGGGTGTTGCAAGCACGTTTCACCAGCTTACACTGGGGAGGGGGCTGAATGGCTTTTCCACCCACCACCAATCTTCTCTTGGAATTTGCAGTTGATGGGGGGATGCGGAATGTGTGTGTCCCAGGGTGTACCTTCAGTTCATGAAAAGAAACAAATTCTTCAGAGTGGTTTGAAAGCTTTCCTCGCTTCTGCTCAAACATGTTGTGCAAGATTATTATTAAGAATTCAGGACCTACGTAACCTGTTTGACCAAAAGCAACAAGGGTACGAACGCATTCTCTCTGAGCAGCAATGGCACTTTGAAATCATATTCGACTTTCTCCAGCCTGAGAGTATCCCATAGAAAATGTCCCAGCATCCTCTGGAGTACTGTGTGTAGTTTGGGGCAACACATTGACAAACTGCATCTCATCCAGAGGAAAGCAGATAGGATGGTGAGCATCCTTGAAACCAAGTACTATACTAGCCATGAATAGATCAGTTGAATTCTGCATCATTTCTGCATGTAGTTATTCAAAAGTCTACTCAGAACCATAGATCAATGGTTTTGCATCTGCCTTCCATGCAGCAGGTCCCAGGTTCAATCCCTGGCATTTCCAGAAGACAAGCTGATGGGGAAAGGATGAATTAAAGATAGGAATTTGCAATTTAAAAGAAGTCTGAAAACAACTGGACGAGAGAGCATGACCAGATTTTGTTTCATTTCATTTGCTTTTAAAACATACACACCACATTTTCCAACGTGTGCTCAAAACAGCTTATTAACTAAGGGTGGGGAGGGCATGGGGGGGGAATGAAAACGGCAACAATAAAATCAATATGCAAACGGCACATTGATTCCACACCGGGGCATAAAAGTTGCATTCCATTTGCTGTGGAAATTTACATGCTTGGTGCATGCAACATCCAAGGGTGCCTTAAAAAAAATGTGACCTGCCGCGCATCCAGCTCACAATGTCTGCCTGCCCCTGCAGGGCCCTCAAAAGGAAATGCTTTTTGATGGGAGCCAGTTCCCATTCCTGGCTGCTGCACTTTGAAGGATGAAAAACACGACAAGAAGTGACGAATGTGCACATTTGGGGCTGGCGTCAGTGGTCAGCATGGTTGGGCACTTGCCTATGCCCACAGCTTAGCACAGAGCTACTGGACAGCCCTGCTTGATCCCGTTGCCTGTGATTTAGCAGCAACTGAAGCAAGGCGAAGGCATACAGAAGGTATTGCATCTCCAGGTAGGGCTGGGAAAGACTCTCTGTCTGAAAACCAGAGGAACCATTGTCAAGAACCCATGCTATGTGGCTGCCTGTCAGTCACCTACAAGCTGCACTGAAGTCGGGACTTCAAACCACCTTGCAAAACACTGCTAAAACAAAAGCTCCCCCCGCCCCCTTGTTTGAACAAGGGATTCCAATGAAAACCTTTTCTTGAATCAGGGAGGAGTTGGAATGAATCTTTTTGAATTGAGCAGGATTTAACCTCTGCTGCTGGGAAGAGGTACAGCAGCCAGTGCTTTTTATTCTTTAAAAAAAAAGTTTAGGGGTACTCTCATTTTGACTCAAGAAAATCACCATTTTATAGTTCAAATCGGGGGAAATACAGTAAATGGACAAAAGTACAAAGATTCACAAAATGTTTGGGGGTATGCATACCCCTGAGTCCCCCCCCCCCAGAAAAAAAGCTCTGGGTGCAGCCAATGCAGGATGTAAGCTTGGCCTCTTGTCCTTCAGATGATGTTGCTAGTGATGTCAGCCAATGGACAGGTGGATGTGGTTTGGGGGAAATGGCCTCATGGGTCAACGTGAATACTGCCCCATTGTCTGGAGGCTCCCTACCCCCTTTTAAAACCCCCTTTAAAAAGAACTGGACTTCTTACAGTTTAGAAAGTGACTGGGAAATACACCGAAAAGTGAGGGATGGATGAATGTTTAATGGGAAGACATGTAAACACCCCGTGAATCAAATCAAGATGGATGCTCATTGTTTTATATATCCTCCTTGCAAGCGAATCAGAACAAATGCTCAGCAAAGACCAGATACAGTGGTACCTCGGGTTACAAAGGCTTCGGGTGACAGACTCCGCTAATCTGGAAGTAGTACCTCGGGTTAAGAACTTTGCTTCAGGATGAGAACAGAAATTGTGCAGCGGCAGCAGCGGAAGGCCTCATTAGCTAAAGTGGTACCTCAGGTTAAGAATGGTTTCAGGTTAAGAACAGACCTCCGGAATGAATTAAGTTCTTAACCAGAGGTACCACTGTATAACCTAACCTCAGTGAAAACCTTGTGCAAGCAAATTAGGATGAATAATCAGGATAAACGGGTCACCTTAGTGTGATCCCCTTTCTGCCTGTATGGGGTTAACTGATTTACTGCACCCCAAAAAGTAAAATATGGTGAGGCTGCAGCTTGGGGTGGGAAGAAAACCCTATTTTAGTTCTGCTAACTGAGTTGTCAGTCTCTCAGTCGAGCTGCCAGTGCCACACAAGTGGCCTCAACAACCATATTACACACACACACACACCACTTTGTGAGGCCCACCCGCGCTGCCTCTCCCTGGGTCAGCATCTGACCCCTCCGTCAGGCATCCAGACAGCCCATCTCTCCACGGACGCCTGCGCTTCCACCAGCTCCTGTCAATCACCCCAGCAAACACTTAATCCACTGGCTCCCGAGTTGTGAAGCTAATTGAGCTTGTCAGTCTTTCCCCAGCTAGACCGCATCCAGGTGGACAGCGGCCCGGAAAAAAGCTTGTCGCTTTTCGAGGGGCGGAAGAGCACCTTCCGAAAGGGATTAATTTTTGCTGTGTTCGGTTTAGGTGAGCGTCACATGAAAAAGAATAAATAATTTCTCTTCTGAGGGCTCTTCCCCTCCTTCCGCCCCAACTTAATACGAAGGCTGGTGCCAATAAGAGGAATCACCAGGCAGCTGCCCGGCTGCTATTGCTGGTAACTACCCTGTGTTATGTCTCAGCTGGAGGATTCCTCCTCCAAGGGTGACCTGGAGTCCCTGTGACTTAGGAAAGCCCAGAATGTGACTAAAACTGGGGACAAGGAAGAGCTGGGACTCTCAGACCACAACCCATTGACTTTAATGGCTATGTAGTACTTGGGTCCACGCGGGTGGCGCTGTGGACGTGGGTGGCGCTGTGGGTAAAACCTCAGCACCTAGGACTTGCCGATCGCATGGTTGGCGGTTCGAATCCCCGCGGCGGGGTGAGCTCCCGTCGTTCGGTCCCAGCTCCTGCCCACCTAGCAGTTCGAAAGCACCCTTAAGTGCAAGTAGATAAATAGGTACCGCTTTATAGCGGGAAGGTAAACGGCGTTTCCGTGTGCTGCTCTGGTGCCGGTTCGCCAGAGCAGCTTCGTCACGCTGGCCACGTGACCCGGAAGTGTCTGCGGACAGCGCTGGCTCCCGGCCTCTAGAGTGAGATGAGCGCACAACCCTAGAGTCTGTCAAGACTGGCCCGTACGGGCAGGGGTACCTTTACCTTTAGTACTTGGGTCCATTAATTTTAGTGGGTCTTCTCTGAGTAAAAACTAGTTGGATGCAACCCCATGTATGCCACATAGAATCATAGAGCTGGAAGGGAGCCCAGGGGTCATACTGAGTTGCATACAGGAAAAGTGGGATATCAATGCAATAATAAATTCCTAAATAAAAGAGAAGCATTACATAACACAATACCCAATTCATTAAGGTTATAGGCTCCAAGGAGTAAATTATATTGAATTCAGTGCTGCTCTCTTCTGACTGCATATGTTTATCTTTGAGCTTTAACCAAATAAAAAATAAAAAAATATAGGCAGCTGAAATGCAGTCTTCAGCTTTTCATTAGAAATCTTGCTAAAAAAGAAGAAGTTGCCGTTTAAACTGCTAGTGTGAAGTTGGAACCCCACTGAAGAACAGGAAAGTATCTAGCCTCAGCACTGGCTAGGACGAGAGCAATGGTCCAAAACATTGGGGGGGGGGCATCAGATTGGCAAAGGTTGCTCTATGCTAAAATGTCACAAACAGGCAATCCCCGATTTGCACGGGGGCACGTTCTGGGTCAGCGTGTGCGACAGCAGAATGCACACAAGCCTACTCTGCCTTCTTCCACCCAACCCTGCCCTGTCCTGCCCCTTTTCACAGCCCCTTCCAGGTCACTGTGATGCCCGGGTGCATGGTCATGCATCAATAAATCAGTCGTTGTCTGTAGTCAAACCTGAAATACTTATTATAACCTCGTTTGCTTGCCAGAATGAGGAAGGTCCATAATTTAGTGTGGCCTTCCAGGAGACCACCTACTCTCCTGCAGTAACAGAGGCAGTATGCTACCAACTTAGATGGTTTCAAAGGGGTTAGACCAATTCATGGCAGATATGGCTATCAATGACTACTAGTTATGATGCGTATATACTACCTCCGTATAAGAGCCAGTGGGTGTCTGAATTCCGGTTGTTGAGAGTCACAAGCATAGATAATTGGTGTTGTGCATAGATCTAAAGGTTAGCCACTGGGAGAAGAGGATGCTGGACTGGATTCTACAATTCCAGACTTGATCAGGGCTTTCGATATATCAAGGATTGTATAAGAAAAAGCACAAAACCTGGAGCAGCTCTATACGTGCACGCAGAGCACTGTATGTGTACAAACTTGCCAGAGTCTACATGTTGAAGGGTATATTTATAAGCAGGGGCACATGTGCGTGTGTGAGTCAGGAACTGCCCGTGGGTTTATGCCAAGGTACAGCAGCCATGTGTGAGCTGGCCTGCTCCGTGTCTGCCCAGATCAAGGAAACCACCTGGGACAAACTGAAAGGAGATTTGCAGAAATACGGGGAGAGTAAATGGGATTGGACAGGCAGAACAGCAGAAGGCCGTGTGGTAGGCTCTTGGGAAGGAAGGCTACACAGATAGACAGATTAAATAGATAGGAAGAGATGGGACTGACGATACAGGGAAGGGAGGGAAGGAGACTGGAGCCTACAGGGAGGAGTGAGGACCAGATGAATGGCTAGACCCAGGTAAAAATAGTTCTGTATATAGCAGTTCAAGGCAAGCAGAGAAGTGGCTGTGATGCTCAGCTCCCTGCAAATCGCAGTGGTCATTCTTTCCTTTCCTTTCTACAAAGAAAGAAAATAATTTAAAGTTTATAGCCCGTATTGTTGCAGATGTATGCTGGAAAGTGTATATGATGCAAAGTTTGTGTGGAATCTCTGAGCTGAATACCTCCTCCTCCTGCTTCCCCCAAGCAACAGAACTTGAAGAAAACTGTTGTGCAAAAATAGATAAAGACAGTTATAAACAGCAGCACAACCCGTACAAAAAATAGGAAGGAAAACATTATTTTTACTTGTGACACACTTTGGTGTGACTTTGCCCAGCTTTCAGCGTGATGGGTCCAAACTCCCAAATTGTACTATCCATTTAGAAATCACATTTTTTTTTTAGTTTCTACAAATTCCTAGGCAGAGCCAGGCACTCCCGCTCGTAGATTATATTGTTGCTGTTGTTGTTTATACACATAACATTCACATCCATTATTCAACCCACTTTCTCCCCTGGCCCTGTCCACTCCTTGCATGTGGCCCTTAGAAGGTTTTCCCTGAAGATAATGCAGCCCTGAAGTTGAAAAATGTTCCCCATGCCTGCCTTTTTAGGCCAGATTTGACCCATGGCTGCTCACCTGCTGACCCCCTAAGGATTCTTTTCCTCTCTTCCCAGCATGGAAATGTAGCAGATTATGGCTGAGGTGGTGAGAGCATGGGTCAGACAGAAATATGCCATGGGCCACAACCAGCCTAGTGACTTGGGGTTCCACAGCCCTGTCCTATAAGATGGAAAAACTTCGCAGCAGTTGTCTGTACACTCACTAAGGATGGACAGACCTGTCACTATCTGTTCCTTTCCTTTTCTCATTTTTCCAACCTTAAGTTATGTTTGCCACATTTCCACATCAGTTTGCAATTTTAAAAAAAATTATCACAAAATTCACCAGCATTTTAGTGTGTGTTTCTCCTCCTAGGCACATTTCTGCAACCAATTTCCTGTAGTATGAGACATCTGAGTGGCTTATTTTCACTGATACACACACACATTTTTATATACTCTTTCCTCCAATGTACACAGTTTTTTGGTTGGGGAACTGCATTGCAAAATCCAGAGAGGTGTGAATTTCCAAGGATAGCTGTGTTTCGGTTCACCCGTTGCTTTAGAAAGTGAAAATTAAGACAGATTCACTTCGGAATGTAAACTGGAACAGATTTCTCCCTGTCCCTTGCACACTCTGCCCTTCATTCAGCCACACGGCAAGCCAACACAGAGTGTTTTTTTGCCTCGACTTTTTTGCCCCCCTCTACACAAACCCAACTTCCTCCCCCCACCATCTCTCTTTCTCTGCCTCCCCCCCCCTTTGACAGTCCTGCACTTGGGGAATAATTAATCTAGCAGCCTGAAAGCACGGGGGCTGCTTTTATTTGCCAGATTAATATGAGCAGCTAATTAAGACAGAATGTGCTGCTCCCAAACTGCAAAGAGGGAAGCGCAATGGGAGTGAGCAAGGGGGTTGCTGAACCAGCCACCCCTAGCAAAGGGCTACAGATAAATCACATATGCGGGCGGTCCCTCTTATCTTTGCGGTGGCTTTGGGGCAGCTCCCCTACATCCACCCCAAGCACTCTTGTTGGGGCGGGTCCCCCCACCCGCCTTCCTACCATTCTCTTTTTGCTAATTAAGGACACTGCGGTTCAGCTGGCAACAGGTGGGAAAGGCATCTGTGCCTACCAGGCCTGGTGCTGGCTCAGAGGTTTTGAAGATGCCATGACCCCAGCCCCGGTTTGGGGCACTAGGCGCCTTTCAACACAGATCAAGAAAAGCTAGGTTTCCTCCCACAAGCTGGTGTTGGTTACTTCCCCACCTCCTTGCCGGAAAAGACATATGTGGCTGCAACTACCCATAGCCCTGGGGACTGGAAAGCAGAAGGGACACACATGCTGGCCTTAATCATCATCTGTGGGGCCAGGGCCACTGAGAAGCTGCATCCCCAGCCCCCCAGGAGGAACATCACGGCAGGGGAAGCCCACCCTGGTGCCAACCATAAAGTCAGAGAAGGAGCAGCTGCAGGGAGCTGGCGTCCCATCCCCAAACACCACCAGAAACCACTGCCTGTTGCCCTGTCATTGCAGAACTAAAGGGCTCTGGCCCCGTCCATTAGCCAGGGATGATGACGATGACAACATCTCGCCTTTCCTTCAAGGAGCTGAAGGTGGCACACATACTTCTCCCCCTCCCCATTTAATCCATAATCTTGTGAGGTAGGTTAGGCTGAGAGGCAGTGGCTTTCTTAAGGTCACCCAGTGAGCTTCTCGGCTGAGTGGAAATCTGAATCCTGGCCTCCCATCTGTATTATTGCAACCAGTTGCTTGTAAACTGCCTTGAGAATCATTTGATTGAAAGGCAGGGATAAAGTGAGGGATAACGTTCACTTGCCCCAAAGCTCATAGGAGGATGAGTGGGAAATCAATGCAATAATTTTGCTTCTGTCGAAGGGCTGACCCTACTCCTGCTCCCTAGCTGTCAGATGGCTTGGATTGCTTATTACATCAGTATTCCACATGCTTGTCGAGCAGCTCAAGGAGTGCGCATGGTTCTCCTCCCTCTATTTCAGCTTCACAACAACCCTTTGAAGTAGATTAGGCTGAGAGGTAATGAGCGGCCCAAGCAGACACCTAGCTAGTGCACTTCACAGCAAAGAGGCGATTTGAATCTGGGTCTTCCTGGCCTTAGTCTACGCTAGCCACCATACATCACTGCCTTACTTGGGCTGCAATCCTCCCCACACTCTCTCTTCCCCTTTCCCCCTTTTTATATTTTCACAACAACCCTGAGAGGTAGGTAAAGTTGCGATGTATCCATAGGCCCAAAGTTATCCTGTGGGCTTCATGTCTGTATGGGGATTTGAAAGCTGAGTCTCTTTAGCCCTAGTCTGGGACTCTAACCCAATGCAGTGGCCTCCGGATATTGTTGCACTGCAATTTCCATCAGCCCTAGCCAAGCATGCCCAACAGCCAGGAATGATGGGAGTTGTAGTTCAATGGCATTGCTGGACACCAATTCCCATAAGCCCCAATCAGCATGCTCAACGTCAAGGAATTATGGAAGTTGTAGTCCAGCAAACATCTGGAAGGACACAGATTTTCCATTCCTGCTCTAAGAGCATGACCACGGCCCTGTGAAGTCACACTAGAAGCCGTCTCCAGCAATGGCTACTCAGGTGGCTCTGAATTATCCCCTCCCCACAACCACCAAACAACATGTTCCTATGAGCTTCCTTTCCCACCTATTGTTGTTGTTGTTTAGTCATTTAGTTGTGTCTGACTCTTCGTGACTCCATGGACCAGAGCACGCCAGGCACTCCTGTCTTCCATTGCCTCCCACAGTTTGGTCAAACTCATGCTGGTAGCTTCGAGAACACTATCCAACCATCTTGTCCTCTGCCGTCCCCTTCTCCTTGTGCCCTCCATCTTTCCCAACATCAGGGTCTTTTCCAGGGAGTCTTCTCTTCTCATGAGGTGGCCAAAGTATTGGAGCCTCAGCTTCACGATCTGTCCTTCTAGTGAGCACTCAGGGCTGATTTCCTTAAGAATGGATAGGTTTGATCTTCTTGTCCACGGGACTCTCAAGAGTCTCCTCTAGCAGCATAATACAAAAGCATCAATTCTTCAGTGATCAGCCTTCTTTATGGTCCAGCTTTCGCTTCCATACATCACTACTGGGAAAACCATAGCTTTAACTATACGGACCTTTGTTGGCAAGGTGATGTCTCTGCTTTTTAGGATGCCCACCTATTACATGTCCCTGAAGGTGCTGCTCCAGCCTTCCCAACCTGCTGGCCTCCCAATATTATTGGACTCGCAATTCCCATCAGCCCCAGCCAGAATAGTCAATGCTCAGAGAGGATGGGGTCGCAGTCCAACAATAATGGGAAATGGGGGTGGAAGGATCTGTCCACTTCAGTTTATCTCCTTTCCAATCTTAAATTCAGTTCCCCACGTCTCCATAAATGTTTGCTTGTGTTTTTCTTTTAATCATCATGAAAATTCATCAACATTTTAGTGTGCTTTTTCCTAATGTATACATTTTTCAATATGGTTTTCCCTAATGCTTTTTTTTTTGTATGCTGTCATCAAGAATATATGCATTCTTGTGCATACCTTATTCTCCAGCCTTTCTGTACACATCACTTGGCTGGAGAAGAGCACTGCAAAATCTGGAGAAATGCAAATGTCAAAGGATGGCGTTCTTTGGGGTGGGGGTCCCCAGAAAGTGGAAATTAGGTAGATATGACTTTAAATGCGACCTGACGATCTCTCCCATCCCCATCTGGAGGGCACTGGGTGGTGGGGAAGGACGCTCTAACCACAACACTACACAGTCTCTCACTTTGCACTTTTGCTCAGTAGCATTTTGGAGCCTGGGGGCAGAAAACCCAAAACTGCTTCCTTCCCCTGACACCCACTGCAGGGTAAAATAAACTAAATAATGGGCATTCTGGTGGCCTCTCACAGCCTCCCCAAATCTGCCGCCCAAGGCAGGCCTGGCTCCGATTGTGGTGTTGCTGTTTATCGGCACCAATAATGATTAACAGTGACTGTCAAAAATAAGCCGCCATAAAAGAAGCCTGGCAATCAGGGAGCCCCTCACAGCCTGCGGCTCAACCCATCAGGGAAACCCACACCGAGCCCGACAAGCTCAGGCTTCCTGTACCAGAGTTGTTATTGATATGTAGACCAGCGCCTCTCTTTTTCCTTCCCAAACCGCACAGTTTACGCTCTGGCGGTTGTATTAGAAAAACCCATCCATCTCCCTGGCACCCTCCTCCTTCTCCCACTTCTCTGGCATCAGGCGTTTCTGTTGCCGGGCAACCGCCGTGCAGCAAGGCTTTCCTTGTCATCACTCTAGTGCCCACTCAATTTCAGCAGACGTTTGCTCAGACCGCCGCTCACCTGCTCCCGGCAGTCTTTGCTCCACCCTGTCTGGAGGGCACATGCTGAGAGGATGCAACCTGTTGCAAAGTCCCCGCCTGCCCTGCACACACAAACGAGAAGGGTACGCAAGGTTTAAGCAGCAGCAGCGGCAGCCAGAAAGGCAGCAACCTACTGGTTCATGAGAGAAGTTCACGCAGAACTGCTGGTCTAGCCTGTCATAGTGAGATGCACAAAACTAAAGGCAGGCTCTCACTAAGTATCTGAATAGAGGTCACAGAAGGTGATGCGGAATTTGAAGACCAAGGGCACTTCCAGACTGTCATTAGGGATGGTGTGCGGTGGGAGGTGGAATTCATTTTGACTTGTGTTACAAGGCAAACCTACCTAATTCGTACCTTCCAAAAAAACACATGAATCAAAACACAGCCATCCTAAATCCATACTTTTCCAAATTTTGCAGTGCAGTACTCCAGCCAAGTAATGTGTAGAAAAATACATATATGAGGGCAAAATGTACATATACATGCATACATTAGTGAAAATAATATATCACAATTGCAGTATATGAGGAGGAATTGTTTTTGAAAAATGTGTATATTAGGCTAAATTGCATACAAAAATATGCATATAGGGAGAAAATTACACTAAGATGCTTCATTATTTAAAAAGCAAATATCAAACTGATGTGGGAATGTGGAGAACTGCACCTGTCTGGATAAATGAGAAACCAGAATTGACAGATCCACCCGTTCCTAGCTACCACTGTTTTGGGGGTGAGATCCAGCCACTTGTTGGCAAACTCAGGCTGTTCAACTAATCATGATTTGATGATAATGCACAATAAATGCATCATTTTTTGTGATTAGAATATAGAAAATGCCCTGAAAAGTGTCGGATAGCAATGCCATCTAATTGCCCCCGCCGGCAAACAAATCAGAATGAATCCTCAACAAACAGCCAAGGGCATCTAACCCCCTGACAAACTTCGTGGGCAAACAAGCCAGGATGGAATGCTCAACGAAAAGGTCATCCAGAAGCAACCATAAGCCTTATGCAGAAATGATTCCCCCAGGCATTCAAGGAACTTGCTGAGGGGGAGGCGGGTTGTGAACATGAGCCCTCCCAACAGTCCTGCCAACTCCACTGACTGCCCTACTCCACCAAGAGGAAAGACTGAAGGTGGAGACTGTGAATACAGGGCCCCCAATCAACGTGGAAGAGTCTATGCAATGTTCAGAAGAAGCAAATGTGATGCACTCATTCAGTACATGTGAATTGTACAGCATGCAAGAGGTGGAAGAGCAAGAGGAGAGGAAGTGGCCCTTTTGCCAGGGAGAACCTAAAAAGAAGATTCCTGCTGCATCAGGCCAAAGGGCCATCTATTCCGGCATCTTGCTCTCCCAATGCACAACCTCCCAGTGCCTACGGGGAGCCCACAAGAAGCCCCCGAGTGCAGAGGCAACTCTCCCCTCGTGTGATTCCCGGCAGCTGGGATTCAGAAACCTACTGCCTCTGACTTTGGATGGAAAACATCTCCATCATGGGCAGTAGCTATTGGAAGCTGTTTCAAGCTGGTGACCACCGCTGCAACTTGCAGGAGCGTAACTGAACTACTATTGTTGAATAGCATTCCAATAATTATACCAGTGTCATCTATTAATAAATGGGAAGCACCGGAGTGTGTGTTACACTAATGTAAGAACTTACGGAGAGCCTGCTAGATCAGTCCAAAGGCCCATCTAGTCCAGCATCCTGTTCTCACAATGGTCAACAAGATTCTTTGGGGAAAGTACCAGCAGCACTTTTCGCACTTCCCATTCCCAGCAACTGGTGTCCCCGCAGTGGAGGCAGTAGTCAGTCCCTTGTCTCTTAGGGAGGCCTTCTTGTGAGTAAATAGCCTGCTCGTGAGTAAAGATTTGCTCACAATAAAGGCAATGGACTAGGCAGGAAACAGGCTTTGCTGTAGAGCCGTGGTTCCCAACGTGGGGCACACGCTCCACAGGGGGGCAATTTGGAAGCTTGTTTAGAGCAAGTTAATGGCCTTTTAGGCTTCCTCCATGTGAACAGGAGTTCACTTTTTGAATAATAAGAATTATATGTCATAGATGGGGCATGGCCAAAAAAAAGTTGGAAACCACTGCTGTAGAGGAACCGGGTGGGAATAATCCCCTGTTGCTCATACTGAGTCAGACCATTGATCCATTTAGCTCAGTATTGTCTGCACTGACTGGCAGTGACTCTCCAGGGTTTCAGACAGGAGTCTCTCCCAGCCATACCTGGAGATCCTGGATGGGTATAGAACCTGGGAACTTCAGCATGCAAAGCAGGTGCTCCATCACTGACCTGTGGTCCTTCCCCTTCATGGCATGACCCACCTCTCTTCTCCACAATTGCGTAAGTTAATTTTCTTCCAATATGCACAAGGAATGACATGGTGCTACACAAAGCACTGAAGTCCCATTTCCTGATTTACCGAAAGCCTTGCTTAGCTCCCCATACCCTGCCTGTCCACTGACCTCCTCTGCTGATTTCAAATTTGGCTTCAGAGTGATGAGGACTAGAAACTTATTCCTCTTTATTTCATTCAAGGAAATCTGAGATTCTCAGGCTCTGCTGGTTTCCCAGGAAGGGCAGCACTGGGTGAGTGGGGGAGGAGCTGCTGGCAGGGAGTGACAGGCTGTCCTCCTTTAGCAAACGATAGCAATGCAAATGAGCAAATGCCCCACTTTGCATAATCCAGAGCTACGACCTGGCAATGAAATCTGGTCCTAGGCTCAAAGTCTTCACCCAGCAGTTGGTACGATATAGATGCCCTAGTAACACATCTGGGTACCTGGCTATATTACCAGCAGAGGGCAGCAGTGCCCAGTGCCAGCTGCCTACGAGATGGCAAACTGCTGAGAGAGGGTCATCTGTAAAACTGGCACGGTCCTTGGCCAATTAAAAATGCAATGCCTAAATTGCAAACTGCGAAAGCTTCCCGCACTAGTGGAGCAGGAATTAAAGGTGGCTTTCGCCTGCGGTGAGCAGGAGGAGTGCACTGTGAGAGTGACCAGAGAGGAGCACCTCTAAAGGGCATTTTGCAATCAAGGTTGAAATGAGGGCTGAACAAAAAACTAATTGCTGCACCCCCACGCGACCAAATGGTGGTAAGCAGCACTGAAAAACGCTTCTTCGCATTGCCTCTGCTTCCTTATTTGTTTAAAGTACAAGCTATCTCAAAATTGCCTTCAGGGGCTGTCACAGAGAATGGAACCCCACCAAGCAGGACTAGACCTGGGCCACATTCACACCACACATTTAAAGCACTGCAATGCTGCTCAAAACAGCCATGGCTTCCCCCAAAGAATTCTGGGAGCCTTAGTTTGTTAAGGGTGCAGAGGTTTGTTGGCCTCACAGTTCCCAGAGTTTCCTGGGAAGAGGACTGGATCGCTAAACCACTCTGTAAACTGTAGCTCTGTGAGGGGAATAGGGGCTCCTAACAACTCTAAGCACCCTTAGCAAACTATAGTTCCCAGGATTCTTGGGGAGAAGCCATGACTGCTTAAAAGGGTATCATAATTCTTTAAATGTTTGGTGTGACTGTGGTGTGACATTAGGAGAGTGTTGAGGAGTTTGACAATGGATCCAGTGGCCTGGAGAGGGGAGGTGATGGTGGTCTCTCCATGGCTGGAAGTCATTCAGCAGAGGTTAGGCAGACATGCTCTAGCCCTGACTTTCCTTCTTTGTGCACGCTGTTAAGATTTTTTTTTGTTTAGTCGTGTCCGACTCTTCGTGACCCCATGGACCAGAGCACGTCAGGCACTCCTGTCTTCTACTGCCTCCCACAGTTTGGTCAAACTCATGTTAGTAGCTTCGAGAACACTGTCCAACCATCTTGTCCTCTGTCGTCCCCTTCTCTTTGTGCTCTCCATCTTTCCCAACATCAGGGTCTTTTCTCTTCTCATGAGGTAGCCAAAGTATTGAAGCCTCAGCTTCAGGATCTGTCCTTCCAGTGAGCACTCAGGGCTGATTTCCTTCAGAATGGATAGGTTTGATCTTCTTGCAGTCCATGGGACTCTCAAGAGTCTCCTCCAGCACCATAATTCAAAAGCATCAATTCTTTGGCAATCAGCCTTCTTTACGGTCCAGCTCTCACTTCCATACATCACTACTGGGAAAACCATAGCTTTAACTATACAGACCTTTGTCGGCAAGGTGATGTCTGCTTTTTAAGATGCTGTCTAGGTTTCTCATCACTTTTCTCCCAAGGAGCAGGCGTCTTTTAATTGCTGTCACCATCTGCAGTGATCATGGAGCCCAAGAAAGTAAAAGCTCTCACTGCCTCCATTTCTTCCCCTTCTATTTGCCAGGAGGTGATGGGACCAGTGGCCATGATCTTAGTTTTTTTGATGTTGAGCTTAGGTCCTTCCAACTCTGATTCTATGAGGTCATCACACAGGTAAGCATGACTGGCTATAATTTTTGTTAATGACACCCAGTGACATTGTTATACCCAGACAAAGCAGGGAGATGCCATCCTTCTATCGACAGGATCCTTGACTGGGTGGGATACCTTGTGTGACCAATTTAAGAAGCTGGGTGTGGGGGTTTTCAGAGGCAAGCTGTTGCTGAACATGAGAGCTTTACAGAAACTTGGAAGAATTACAGCAGAGCTGTCATTGCTCGTGGTACACATGCTTACTTGGTGTGTTCCTCCAGAGTCTCAGATTAAATCGATTTTGCAGCGTTTTGTGGCTGTTCAAGCTGTACCACCGAAAAGCCCAAACAAGCCCTTAGTAGCGTAACCAAGACTGCTACAAATTAAGACATATGTACGTTTTGAACTGACTGTCATGGATGCTCAATGAGAAATGCCTTTCCAACACTTTCTCCAATGCTTGGTGAATTTTAAGAACAATAAGACAATCTTATTGTGTATTTTAGTATGCCTATATCTGTGTTCCTTTAAAAAGAAACTATGTAGCCTAAAAGAACTCCACTACCCTTTAGAAACACCCTTGTAAAACGAGGTTTTCTTTAGGAATAAAATTGCCTCGACCATAAACTACATCTACTCTGGTCAAGCCAATTTCATGACACCATCGGTTATGGCAGGGATTTTCAGACTGTACCCTAGAGTGTCTAAGATTCCTTCAGAAGTTCAACAGAAGCTCCAAAGAGAAGATCAGTCATGGTGTTCGACTGACGCTGAAAGACAGGTTGCCTACCACTAACAGAAGTGCCTCTCTGGGTGGGGCAGAGGCAGCAGGATGGTCGGTGTGGTGCAAATTCACCGGCAGAACCAATGCAGCGTCCCCACCACTGCACTCATCCCTCTCTCTGTCCTGATACTCAGCAGTGACTCACCTGCCAGGAAGCTAGTGTAGTGGCTAGCACAGTGGATCAATACCAAAGCTGAACCTGGAAAATGAAGCTACAGGGCATGTTGGGTATGTCCTAGACCACGTCCACAGTTCACATATAACAGGAATTGGGGAATGCCTGAACGCTGTCCTCTGAGCCTCCCTAGCTGTGCCAACTTTGGGTGACACCCAGTTCCTGGTGAAGGAAGCGTATGCTTGGCATGCTTCTCTTAGGCAGAGATATGTGAATATTCATTTACTATATTTCTAAACATTTAAATCTTGTTCCTATCCATCTACATGAATTTCCACTTTGTATTCTTTTTATAAAAAAACCGGAACATTCATATTGTTATTTTGCTGCTGATTTATCGGCTTTATTTTATTTCATTGGCTTATTTAATTGGAAATGTTGATATTAAGTATTGATTTCTGTGATAAGCAATTTTTGAATTATTGATTGCTATACCTTCAAATTCAGGCCGATTTGATTTGTTCGTGGTTTTTGCATTATTGATAGGGGATTGAGATTTGGATATTACACAAATAGAGTAATATCTGTTAGTGTATTTTACTGCTTTGCCATTGTTGAGAGTTGTTTTGAGCTCAAATTTCTTACTGGGAACGTGGCCTACGGATATCTAATCTAATGAACTATCTTATACATAAAGGCTGACATAGCATAATGGCTAACAGAGTAATCTTAGGCCATATCTCCACCATCCATTTAAAGCAGCATCATGCTACTTTAAAAGATCATGGCTTCCCCTGCAAAGACTCCTGGGAACTGTAATCAATCAATCAATCAATCAATCCCTTTATTACGGTCAATGACCAGTATTCCAGGAACTATAGTCTGTTAAGGATGCCAAGAGTTGTTAGGAGACTCCTAATCCCTCAACACAGCTACAATTCTCTGAGTGGTATATCAATACATCCCTTCCCAGGGAACTCTGGGAACTGTAGTTGAACAATCTTCCCCAGGAGGTTATGGACTCTCCTTCCTTGGAGGTTTTTAAGCAGAGGTTGGATGGCCATCTGTCATGGATGTTTTAGCTAAGATTCCTGCATTGCAGGGGGTTGGACTAGATGACCCTTGGGGTTCCCTTCCAACTCTACAATTACATGATTCTGTGTAGCTCTGTGAGGGGAATAGGATTCTCCTAACAACTCTGGGCACCCCAAACAAGCAAGCAAGCGAAACAGAAACATTTGCTGTGAAGTAGGACGGTTACAGCCATCTCCCGCCACCACCTTTGCCCATGTGAAACCACCAACAGGTGAATTGTACTCGTACTATGCAAGCTGGTCGAGATGCGCAGCTTCTGCACCAGCAGAATGGCTATGGGATCCTAGACATCAGGGGTGGGGAACTTCAGATCATTCTATTGGGCCACGCCCCTCACCCTCCTTGTTTTCACCCTCCTTGAATGTTTTTGCCTAGCTAGAATATGTCCTCAAACCCTCATAATGCCATTTGCTTTCCTGGATGGAAGACAGAGAGCGCTGTGTTGAGAAAACAGCCCACTGTACAAAAGTAACATTTACATGTGTTGCTCCACCTTATTCTCCCTATAGCAGTGCCCACCATCAGCCCGTGCCCACATCCCCCAAGGAGGCTGCCCAGAAGGGAATGCAGTTGTCGGACTGAAAAATGTTCTCCGCTCTTGATATAAGCAACAATCTTTTACTTGTCTGTGGCCAACTTTTCTCACGTCAAGGAAATAACCTCAAACCAACAGGTGCAATCTGGGATCAAGGAAGAAGGGGTCCCAGGATGTGAAGGCTCTGAGGATCCGCCCTCCCTCTCCCTCTCCTGCAAGCAAGATTCCTCATGTGCTAGCATCTCTTGTGTGAGGGATTAAGCTGTTCTGGGCCAAAGACTTCTCTCTCTCTCTCTCTCTCTCTCTCTCTCTCTCTCTCTGTGTGTGTGTGTGTGTACAACAGAATGGATTCTGCAGGCAGAAATAGCTGTTTGGTGAAATGCAAAAATTTGGCAGAGAAAATCAGAGACTAATAAGGGCACTTCATTAGTGCCGCAGAACAGGGAAATGACAAGGGATGAATAAATATTTATGACGTTTGCCA